GCGCAATCACGATGGCTTTAAAATATGATCTTGTGCTATTTAGTCACTTATTTTAAAATGCTTTAAAACAATATTGTTCATACCACTAGACTATGTAATGAGTATCATGATCCGGGAAAAGTTGGTAGCCATTCTCATTGGTTTGCTCGAAATTGAAAACAAGACTCTTAGCTATCAGGCATTCATCACGCTTGCACTTTGTGTGAGCAGAGGATTGCCAGTTCAAGAGATTGTTAATATTCACATGGCATTTCCAACTGTCCTTAAATTTGTCATTGCGGAGGCTTCGCAGACTCTATACTTTTACATGAATATTTTATTAGAAAATCTATGCCGTTTCGATACTTTTTTAAAAACTGATTCGCTGGCACCATTTGATATTCTCAACTCTGTTTACACATCTGGGTTTTCGATGGCGATCCAAACGCAAGAGGTATGTGGCATGGCCCAAATGAAGCCAAACCTGCCAATATGCTTTACCACGTGGCTTTAATTCAAAGATGCTGATGAAACATTTGCAATGATCATGGTATTGTATAGATTCGAAATGACGACTGGACTTTTCAAAGTTTGCGTATGAATACGGGCGTTACTGGAAACGGACGATATGCATATGAGTTTGTTATCCGAACGACTGGCATTATCCAAATTGGGTGGGCGTGTGACAAGTGTGTTTTTGATCCTGAAGCCGGTACCGGTGTTGGTGATAATGTCTATTCGTATGCATTTGATGGCCATCGTGTCAAGAAATGGCATGACTCGATCGATGATGTAAGTTTTGTTCAATTTGCTGGCATATTTATAGATCAGTTACGCCAAGTTTTGGATGTTCATCTGCATTGTTTTTTGAAATAATATTTAGAATGAATATGGAGCTGAATGGACTGCAGGGGATGTCATTACTGCCATTCTTGATCTGGATCAAAAAACCATTACATTTTGTCTAAATGGTGTTTCTTTCGGTGTAGCATTTACAAATGTTGATAACTCTGTGACGTGGTGTCCTGCTGTTTCCCTTACTTCAGAACAAAGTGGATTCTTTAGATTTGGTAGCAAGTTTGATCCCCTCAAGTAAGTTGTTGATTGCATTTTGGTTTTGTGTTGGATTGATGCTATCCAGTTTACCATTTGTTTACTGTTTTGGACCAGGTTTCTACCAGAACATACAGTTCCTATCGCCAGTGTATCATCAGATACATTAATAATGGAACGTTCAATAGGTTCGCCTAAAGAGAATAGACACGTATTTGAACCGCCGCCTCATGTGCATACTGGTATGCTTTCTTTATTGATGTATTTTGGTTACCAACAAAATTCTATTTAACTGATATGCTGTATTTTGGGTAAAATGCTTCAAGAATCTGTTACATCTAGAGATCGAGTGGTCACTGAAGCAGAGTCGGTGCTTACCGAGAATAATGTTGCTTTAACACCACTATTTTACTTTGAAGCAAGAGTAAATATCAGCATGGCCAGAGTAGACAAATGTCCACAGTTTGGTATCCTGCTACGCGAAGACCAAATGGTTATTGTATGTTTGGAACGTCACAGCAAGACACTTATATGGCTCAAGATCCATGGTTTACACTACAACGACAAGAGTATCTTTGACTATATGCTTGATCAGCACCTTGTATCCATGATGGATGCTAGTCAAGAGACCTCGCAATCTTTTTCAAGCGGAATCGAGATCATTCATTTGATGCCAAATATTGATTGGTGTGTTGGAGATACTATTGGATGCGGTTTACATCACAACTCGGGATTTTTTACTATGAATGGAAAACAAATAGGCAAGTCTATTTTATTGTCATTATTATGGTTCAAGATGCAGTTGGGATTAAATACGTGATTTGCATGTGTTGTAAATATCCTATATTTAATACATCAGGACCTACACTCGCATTAGAAGAAACACACGACGCAATCTGTATTCCATACATGCGGCATATTCCAAAGTTTGTGCTTAATATTGGCGAAACCCCGTTTATGTGGCTGCCTGCTCATCCTGATCGTACACCAAATGAATGAGACTTTGCTATTATGGGAGACGTAAATGGGGTTTCAATTACACGAATAAACCCACAACTCGACACTTTACATTTGTTGTAGATATAAACACAATTGAAGCATGTATCTACAACAACGGTCGTGGTTTTAGTATACTGTTTGATTGAAGTGCAGGGTTACGATCAAATTAACAAATGGTGTTGGTATGGATAGTTATTTTGAGCCAACATCCAGACTCGGCAGCAATGAATGAAACCAAAGCTTGCATATTTGATTCGTTGAATACCGTCGTGTTGGGATTTTAACCTTTTTCCAATGACTCTAATCTACTTGACGTACTTGTGGGTGATTTTTGAAATAAGAATTTACTAGTTTTGGATTTTCGTTTACCATTGCAATCCAATTCCAGCAATATAAATTTAATATTGTCTCGACACAGTTTTGCTTAAAAAGATAATAGACGGTTATGAATCAATGGTATTCCTCTGACATTCCATTGAGACCACCATAACAATTTTGATAGTAGGGAATAATATATAAAATAAGTGATGATGTATGAAACTATTGGTTGGGAAGAAGGAATACCTCAGTGTCCATGACAACCGAATTGAAGTTGTTGGAATTGACAGAAATGACATTGTCCTTGGCAGTATAAAGACCAGCAGACACAGTATGAGCGAGAAAGGCGAGTAAACAGCCCAAAGTAGCGACTGACTTCATCATCATCGATGGCATGAAATGCCAGATCGACTCGTTGGTTTGCAACAGACAACAATCACGTGTAGACCGAGTATTCACAGTTCATGACAATCATCGACTCTTACACCAACAATGAGTCGGATTGCTGCCATTCATGCTATTCATGCCATGCGTTCATGTGCTGTCATGAATTTGACACATTATCGACCAATCGCCTCTTTATCCACCACTGCAGTAAAGAAACCGCCTACTGCTTTGTTACTGATGAACATGGGAGGACCTCATACTCTACAAGAAGTTGAACCCTTTCTGTTCAGACTATTCTCTGACAAGGATCTGATTCCTCTGCCATTTCAATCCCAGCTGGCTCCCTTTATTTCAAAGCGTCGTACTCCGAAAATCAAAGATCAAGTACGTGTATGTCAATGGACTGTCTTGTTCATCAATCTAATTAGCATCGTATTTCCTTGCGATATTCTAGTATGCCCAGATTGGCGGTGGTTCTCCCATCAGAATGTGGAGTGAGCGTCAAGGCCAGCTGGTAGAAAAACTAATGGACACTCTCTCCCCGGAAACTGGTAGCTAATTAAGCTACTCATACAACCATGTTCTAGATTGGTTTAAACTAACTCTTGGATTGTGTCATGATTAGCTCCCCACAAGAGCTTCGTCGCATTCAGGTATGCCTCACCGCTTACTGAAGAAGCCCTGGAAGAAATGAAGAAGGCTGGTGTCAAAAGAGCCGTTGCTCTGACTCTTTATCCCCAATATTCTTGCTCTACTACTGGAAGCAGTCTCAATCAGCTATGGCGCTCTCTTCAAACGATCGATCCCAAAAACGAAATCAAGTGGAGTGTTATTGATCGCTATCCAACCCATGCCAAACTTATTGATGTAATGCATTGCATGTTATTCAGAGCTTGATTCGTATTATTTGAGATTTAATGGATTGCTTTTTTATTCTAGGCATTTGCACGCAATATCGAAAAGTCACTTGCAGGCTATTCAGAAGCAGATCGCAAAAATGTCGTTCTTCTCTTTTCGGCACACTCACTTCCCATGTCGGTAGTAAATCGTGGAGATCCTTATCCTGCTGAAGTTGCTGCCACGGTTCATCAAGTCATGAGTCGACTTGGCAACACCAATCCATATCGGTTGGTATGGCAATCTCAAGTTGGTCCTTCTCAATGGCTTGGTCCAAAAACTGACCAAGCTATCGAGGGTTATGCGAAACAAGGTGTCAAACATTTGCTGGCAATCCCAATTGCATTCGTCTCGGATCACGTCGAAACACTGTTTGAATTAGACATTGAATATGGACATCTCGCTAAAGAGGTGACACTACAAAGTCGTGTACTAAATTAGCCTTTTACATTTGCTAACATATTTATTGGCTTGTACTGTTTATAGAAGGGAATTGATTTCCGTCGTGTAGAATCACTAAATGACAATGCAATATTTATCGAGGCACTTGCTGATCTCGTCAATACTCATCTAAAAAGCCACACATCCATATCCACTCAGCTATTATTAAGATGTCCTTCTTGTTCTAACGCTACATGTGGCAAAACCAAAAGCTTTTTTGAAGGTCAAAAATCCATGATCTAGTCACAATCATGTGCTTTTTGATACCAGTTGACACTCCATATTATCTTGACAATTGTTTGATCAAATGAACAATGCTATATGCAATAGCATATCATTATAATTCTTAGTTTCATTTAATGTTTTGAATTGGACCAACGATTGACTGTAAAATTCCATACAGTGCATCAATATCACTCATTCAATCTACGACAAACTCAAGTTTTGTTCTGATCCATCTTGATGGTGACAGTATTGTTAGTTTTCTATAGCGTGTATCAATGCAAAGCTAGTTGAGCACATTCCAGATGTTGAAATATTCTTGTACTCGCTTAATCAAAGCTTTGTTTTGTCTTGGAATAGAGATAACTGAATGCTCGTGTTTTTCTATTACAAATTGACTGCTCTGTCTTTTCCAAACACAACGTTCATTATATGATGCTTACAATCAAACTATAGTTTTGGACTGCTATTATCTCCACTTTTTGTAGTCATACATTGTATGATCACCAGGTTCATCCATTTCAACCCAGATATCGTAGATATTGTCAATACAGATATTTTGATATATCTTGAATCAGACATGTTCGCGTCCTAGTTCAACACAAGGTTGCATATCTCAGTAATACAACTGTTATTTGGATATTGATCACTTAATGTTTGAAGCAGAGTTGGAGATTGAACAAATGCCAAGAATATGTGATGTGAGGGTTTGCTTGGTGTTTTTATACAAAGACGAGCATCAAGACCAGTCAACTTTAACGAGTCCAGAGAGCAGTATTGCTTGGTAGATTTGACTAAACCATCATGTCACGAGACTGACGGCTTATGCATTTTGGCACTGCTATTTAGTGTTCCATTCTACGTGAATACGACTGTAGATTAGATACACCTTTATATACATATTAAACCGTACCGTGAATATTTGCAAGCCATACTCTCATATGGGAAACGCCAATTCAAACCAAATTTCTAGCATGCCAAATTGCAAGAATGACCCAGACCAACTGAGTATCTCTCAGGCAGCCATGCAAAACTCGACACACTGTAAGCACCTGGCTCAAACACTCTTGGATATTTACACAATGCGTTTCATAACTGCGCTGAATATAGATGATTCCATGGTGTAGTATTTCGGGGTTTAATTCTCATTGTATGTCTAATTTAACTATATATCATGAATTTGATATGATAGTTACTCTGGAAGAGATTAAGCGTCTAAAGCATGCTTTTTCCAAATACGCCGACGAAAATCATACCATTGATAAAGCCGATTTTAAAAGAGTAAGCTATAGTATAACCCTTTTTGAAAGATATCCTGCACTACTGAATGAGGTTGTGTATTTTCTGGTCCGGGCATAGGCACTCGAGAATCATGTAAATGCTTGGTCAGCGGGAGCGCAGTACCTGTTTCTTGAAAGATTATTTGATGCATTTGATATGGACGGAAATCATCACATTGATTTTCACGAGTTTATCAATGGTCTTAGCGTATTTTTCAAAGGCACGGACGAAGAAAAGCAAGAGTGTAAGTGATGTTGATTGTTACAGGTCAAGGAATTGTCTGTCGGCTATTCTGCACGTCTAATCCAAGTTTAATCCATAGTGTCTTTTCGACTCTATGATATTGATAAAAGTGGAACCATTGAGCCAAAAGAACTCATCAAGGTTCTCTCGAAAATGGTGAGAAGATTTTCTATATGTGGTGGTATTGATATACAATGTGTTACTGATACAAAAATTTGAGTATTCTACCTTTTATAATGAGGATCAGTCTTCCCGAATCACAGCAATGGTGCATCAAATGTTTGAGGATCTGGACATCAATGGTGACGGGTCGTTGGTGAGTTTTTTGTTTGAAGCACCGCTATAGTGTTTTGATAGATAAAGAAGCTTGATTAATAACCCGTGTTGACTTTAGTCGATTGTCGAGTTTAAACTTATGGCTCTCAAAGAACCAATGATGATTGATTTTGTAGATCAATTTCTTCGAGCTCCTGCAAAGCATAATGCTGGCACAGATCTTTTATCGCAGCACTGAAAATAAATGATTATTGTGCCATAATCGGCCAGTTTGAAACATATATTACAGCCTTGAATGTTTTTTTATCTAGTCATTTGTAGCCGTATCCACGTAAAATGGAACACTAAGAGTGTCTGAATGCATAATAAACGGTCACTCTCATGTTTGTACAAACCAACTGAACGAATGTTTTAATGCATTTACTATATCTCCAACCTTTGACCTTGTTTAAAATGAATATTTGAAATGAACATTGGATGGCTAATATGAAAACAGCAGTTGCATTCCCAAAATGTACAATCTTGTTGTATTGAATTAGAATGTGAGCGTATCTGTAATTCAGGATACAAAAAAGCTTATCCAGTGCCAGATATTTTTTGGTTGTGTGTAAAATCAATGCTTTTATACACGATATACGCTGATGGTTACTATTAACCTTTGATCTCACCCATCTCATTCCTTTTGTCAATAGTCGTGCAATTCAACTTGACAATCTTGACAATCACTTCACCAGACTGTTTATTATACCCTTACTTAGTATATCATTCTGCGTCAATACAGTTGTAGCCTCAAAGTCTGGCATTCTTTGGAAACATGCGCTAAATTCATCATTACACAAAAAATCAGCAATCAATTCAATACATTGGAGCTAAATCTGTCTGATCAAATAACCATTTACCATTGCTTGGCGTACTCCAAGATCTGCCATAATCTCTTCACTTCCTCCAAGAATCGCTGCAAATTTGTACGTGCGCTGGAATGACTCGATTATATGTCCCATACCCGTCTTGGTAATTCCACGTCCACCAAAAATCTGGCATGCTTGGTCACTGATGTTATGGGCCACACGAGTGCATTGTAGCTTCAAGAGCGCAATCGGTCCTGCCAATTTATTGGCTTGGTCCTTGTACGACATTTTGTTCATTTGATACGTGATGTTTTCAAGCCAGTTTTGTGTTGCCTCTACTTCTGCTATCTACAATAATGTCAGCACATGTTCAACTACAAACCAATCTCATGTAATACTCACCATATGAGCAAGTTTGTTACGGATCACTGGCTGATCAATAAGCCGTTTTCCAAACACCATGCGTTGATGTGACCATTTAAAGCATTCTTCAACAACAACTCGGCTTGAACGTAAAATACTACAAGCAATCACCCATCGCTCATGATTAAAATTATACATGATGACTTGGAACCCGTCACCTTCTTTTCCAAGAAGATTTTCGACTGGAACCTTGAGATTCTCCATGATCACATAGGACGTGCCTGCTGAACTCGAGTAACTCGTTTTGATTGTTTTGGTTTCTAAACCATCTGCACGTTCAACCAAAAGCATCGAAATGCCTCCTGGTCCATCCCCTGTACGAACGGCTGTCGAAAAATAGTCCGACTGAGCACCATTGGTGATCCACTACAATATCGACATTAGACTTTTGTAACATGTGAAATCATACATTCAACCAAAACTTCAATCTACTAATCTACCTTTTTGGTGCCATTTACAATATAAAACTTTCCATCAGGAGTTTTGACTGCCGTGGCCTTGATTGCTGCGACATCGCTCCCGGCACCTGGTTCTGTAATGGATAAACAGATTCGTTTTTCACCACGAAGCACTGGTCCAATTACTTTTTGCTTGAGCGAGTCACTGCCAAAGTAAATCACTGGTGGAAGCCCAATAACCATCCCTGATCCTAACGACTCGGTATAGCCACGCATTGATAGGGCGGATATTTCTTCATGAGTAATCATTTCGTGGAAATAATCAAACTCTTCAGGCTTTACTCCTCCTGGAAGTGTAAATGCTTTGAGATGCTCCCCTGGTCCAATTCGAGATGCCAGATATCCAAACTGACCCATTTTCTTGAATGTTTCTACAGATGCTGGCTTATCCATGTTTTCAAACACAGAACCCTCCGGAGCAATTTCTTCTCGAACAAACTTTCGAACAGCTTGCTGGAATTTACGATGCGAATCACTGATCAAACATATATTTAGAACCCTTGGTATACGATTGATATCAAGCAATCCATGTTATTCAATCAATGGCTTACTTGAAATATGCTGAATGGAATCCTTGCATATAACTAGGTTCTCCATATGGAACCTTGCTGATATCACTCGTACCAACTACGATCTGAGGCTTTTCGTTTACAATTCCACCAATCAAGATTCGTGGATACTTGGCAAGCACTTCATGACGATGGAATGAATAAAACTCCTCTAAATAATGATTCATGTCATAGTTTATCAATGCGAGTAATTATACAAACCAGAATGCATGATTAGTAAATATTACATTCAATGTGAAGAGTCTTGATAGAAACCATTTACAACTTGTAATGCCATGAATCCATGACATCATGCCATGCGCTTATCAAGTAGAAAATGCCATTCAAGTATAATAAAACATCACGTACTGGTTGCATCTTTTCCAGCAACTTCCAAGATAATATGTTCACCACCAGGATGAAGTGCAGCAAAGTTGGTGATATCGTAGACTAACGAGTCGATGATAATCCATGCGTTTTTTGGAGTGTTGTGAGAGGCCACTTCTTGACGAGTAACTTGCTGAAACTTGGACATGAGTGATGGTTTGAGTTGCAGATACGCTGTTTTTGGTTACTCGATAAACGATGTCCGTGCTGGTGTTGGATAAGCAATTTGGCCCGATGTTGTGCCAACCCAACCCTACCACGTGATCATGGATGTGGTTTGGCTTGCTCGAAACCCTACATTCGAAACCTAAAAGTAACGCTGGCCACCGCTTACCAACACACTAAAGAGCCTCTTGTCTGTACATTGCAAGGTAACAGAACTTGGTTTCATTAAAATAACTGCGTTTTGTAGAATTAGACAGTCATTTTTACATGGCTTGATTGCACTGACATTCTATCATTTGGCATTAATGTTATGCAACAGTTTGAATTGCAATGAATACTAACATTGACAAACTTTATTGCTATGTGCAATGCCATTCTTTCTCTTTAAACTATCTGAATTGACAAGGTTTTCCTTATAGTATCTTTGGAAAATTATTATTTGCTGACATTTCCTAAACACTACTCAGCTATATTCTGGCTGCCATTCATACCTCTACGTAATCAATTTCAGCAACAAACGCTCCCTTTAATCTTTAACTCGATTCATCGATGACTGTAGTATCTCCAGATGAAAGTACGGAGCCTTCTTCGCCTACTCCAGTCATGACTACTCTTGATATCGGGGCTCCTGATACATATAAGCCACGTCGATCCTTTCAAAAGATACATGGATTTCAAGATGAATCAAACTTTCAAGCAGTATTCTGGCTGACGATATATTTCTGCTTTAATCTCGGTCTTACATTATATAACAAAGCTGTTATGCAGTACTTCAATTTTCCATTTCCATGGACATTAACAGGAATTCATGCTCTTTGTGGTGCATTTGGGTGTCAGCTCTTGTGCATGTTTAAAGTATTCCAGCCTGCTAGATTGGGCCTGCGTGAAAACCTAACAATGCTAGCCTTTTCAACACTATACACTGTCAATATTGCAGTATCAAATGTCTCGCTAAATATGGTTTCTGTTCCAGTAGGTTTACTCTTGATGGAACAAGAGTCATTGTACGATTTGAGCTAATCTTGTTTGAATTGCGACAGTTTCACCAAACTGTTCGTGCCATGGTTCCGTTGTTTACTATACTTATAGAATTTGTGTGGCTTAAAAAACACGTTTCGGTTTCTGTCATCATCACAATGCTTCCAGTATGAATTTGCTATGCCACTGTTTTGCAGGTTGTCTAACTGTACAGGATTTAATGTTTTTGTGAAATGGTGTTTTGATAGATTATATTGGGTGTTACGCTGGCTACGATTGGAGATTATGATTTCTCGCTATTGGGATTTGCTTTGACCCTTCTTGGAACGCTCCTTGCTGCTGTAAAGGGAATTGTGACCAATGTTGTTCAAGTTGGCAAGTTGAGGCTACATCCACTTGATCTGCTTCTCCGTATGACACCACTCGCCTTTGTGCAAACATTACTCTATGCCTATTTCACGGGCGAATTACGCAAGGTGTCCGAGTTTTTTCATGAGGATGTCAATATTGCTATTCTGTTAGCTCTTCTAGCCAATGGCATTCTTGCTTTTGGACTCAATGTTTCAAGCTTTACTGCCAACAAAAGAACTAGTGCCTTGACTATGGGTGTTGCTGGTAAGCAATTTTCAAGAGTCGTTTGGAAATACCGTCACGCTTGTCACAATAACTTTTTGAATCTAACTTTTGAAAATTGTCTAGGAAACATCAAACAAGTTCTCTCTATTATCATATCCGTTACTATATTTAGCATTACAGTCACATTCACAAATGGTGTTGGCATTTTACTAACACTGATTGGTGGTAAGATCAAGCGATTTTTATATACCCATGTTTTTTTGATTATTAATATACCTTGATGAATCTGTATTTGATAGGAGCGTTTTATACCAATGCAGAGCTGAAGGAAAAGCGGCGACGCAGCAATATTGCCGACTTTTCAGTCAAATATGCTTTGGTTAGTTTCGTTGCTGCTGGATGGATCCAACTAAATATTCATGAATATATGACTAACATTGGGGTTTCATTTAGGTCAAGGACAATGAAAATACTGAGACTTTGCCGAGTTTTGTCTCTTCAAATAAAATATGATTGGTATTGTTTGAGATTTACTTGTTAGTGTTTTAACCATCGAGTTGAATATGAGCTAGTATTCCGAGTCCAGTTTGATGGAATCGGCTAAACGCAGATCTGATAACTGTGCATGAATATGGAACTTTGATGATGGTTGATTCAGTCATTTCACTACTATACGCTGATTTAACAAGTAGCAACACCAAAACCAAGATTTGTTTCGATTGTCGAATATCGGTTTCAGTTCAAGCAAAAGTTGATTCTAAACTTCCCCTCGTTTAACATCACGAGCCCACTCGGCGACCATGTCTGTTGAATACCTTCCAAAGAGCGAGACCCAGGAGATATTCCGAAAGCTTACTGCAAAGAGAGAGAACAAGGTAATCTATTCGGTCTACCTATTTCCTGCAAACCTATTATGGACAGCCCTTGTCCTTTCAAGAAGGCACCTTGTATCAAGTCTCGTCTATATCCACATCCTACTTTATGTCCTGCAATTCTTTTCTTACTTGTAGTACATATAAATAGGTATGCTTTGACTGCATGGCTAAGAATCCAACATGGTCCACGGTAACTTTTGGCCTCTATCTCTGTCTGGACTGTTCGTCAGTTCATCGAAACATGGGTGTGCACATCACCTTTGTAAGGTAATATCTTGTGGTTGTACGCCGCTATATGGCTCATTTTCAATTCCATTTCAATCCTAGATTGTGGGAGTTGTCTACTTGAATACAATCAAGGATCATGTTAAAGCATGAATTAGACATGTGCTGATTGTGTCTTGACACATCTATCCATGTTGCTATATTATTCCTAGATCAGTTACTTTGGATTCTTGGTCAGTCGATCAGCTCCGTCGTATGAAAATAGGTGGCAACCATAATTTCTCAGAGTTCCTTAAAAGTCATGGCGGGATGACTGGATATAAAGATGCAAAGTTAAAATACACATCTCGGGCTGCAATGCAATACAAGGAGCGTATGCAGAGACTGATTGATGAGGACGCTAAGAGGTATGTCCATATGAGAGCGGTTAGACTAGTATATTTGAAAGTGTTCAAGTCTAGGCATTATACTTTGTTGACTAATATGTTACTGATTTTTTGGTATGGGTAACTATGACTGTTATAGACATCCCAACTCCATTGTACTTGATGGCCATGAAGATCTTGCAGCACACAATGGCTTTGAGGATAACAAGACAGATGACTTTTTTAGTGATTGGAGTGTTGATGGTGGCAAGAGTTTGTCACACGAGAATCCTGTTCGCAGTTCACCTGTGCCAACTACTACGCGACAGAATGACCTTTCTTCTGTATCAAGAGTTTCTGCACCTGTCTCCAAGACTGATAGTTTGAGTAATGTAAAACAGGATGCTTTGCCTGCACCAACGCGTTCTGGGGATGATGGATGGGGGGATCATGATGATCTGCCGCCAATTGATACACCAGTCACTCGACCATCTTTGTCGGTGAAACCACATACTGCTGCTTCATCTACATTGAGTGGATCCATTGGCACAAGTATCCTCCGACCTACCGCAAAGAAAGGACTTGGTGCCAAAAAAGCAACCAAGGTAATCAATTTTGACGAGGCAGAACGACGTGCAAAAGAAGAAGAAGCTCGTCGAACCAAAGAAGAAGAGACAAATACAGAGCGTCGTATGCTTGAGGAACAGTATCATACATCCAATTCATCGCCGTCTCACGGAGACAACTCTAACAGTGCAGGTGGTTTCTCGAATAGACTGGCCTATGGAGCTAACCCTCAAAATAACACTATGGGGAGCTTTGCTGGTGCTGAAGTTTCCCAACTTGGTGCTGGTATGGGTAGATTGGGTTTTGGGTTTGATCCATCAAACACTACTTCTTCAGGTGGTACGGGTGGTTTTGGTGCAACCCAACAGACTGCATCTACCACGTCTAATGGTCGTGGTCCATCCGCACACACAGCTGGAGGGAAAACAGGACTTGGGTTTGGTGCACAGCCTGCCGGCTTATCCGATCCAGATGTTCAAAAAAGGTTTGGTTCGGCCAAGGCTATTTCAAGTGACATGTATTTTGGACGTGGCAACTTTGACGAGGCTGAAAAGTAGGCAAATCTGATTTACTGTTGTTTCAATCCAATGTATAGTTGAACTAATTTCTATTCAACGTTTTAGCACGGAGGCTCGTGAAAGACTTTCTGCATTTCAAGGTCGTAGTGGGTTTGGGTCATCTGATTACCATGGTCGAGATGAATCTGGTTCCGACTCTACTGGAGCACGTCGCACATCAATATATGACTCTAATGTAATTTTGTCAAATGTTTCGGACTCGGCTCGCGATTTTGCCTCTCGATTTGTTGGTCAGGCATCCGAAGATCTTGATAGTGTCAAGAAAATGGTGACGGCTGGTGGATCAAAACTCGGGGAGCTTCTATCTGATATCCAGTCTCGCTATGGCTAAAAGTTGACCTAGTCTTTTGATCAGGATTGTCTAAAACGGTATATTGAATTCTTGTCAGGATGTGACCAGTGACATTAGCTGGCGCAAGATTGGACTGCTGTTATTTTTCAGCTGGAGCAATATATGATTAGGGGCAGTTTGAATAAGATTGAATTTTTTTAGATTTACCACTTTATTTGGCTTTAATGGACGAATTGTTGGTATGTGTTTGAATTTAAAGTATTTTATTTACAACGTATAGTGAATGGATATATATATCACTGAATATTGATACCCAAAGAGCAATGTTTTAAAATACCAATATATTTGAGCAAACTAATAGCGCATTCATCCAGTTTCAACCAAGTCATGGTCGAATTCAGTTCCTATAATTCATGTGTTGAACAATGATTTTGAATGAATGATCGGTGAGACAATTTAATGGCAAAATCAGCACAAGTTGGCGACAGTGAGAACAGCAGGAGAATCTATTTTTTGGTTATATAAAAATCAAGACAGTGATTCTGCAGCACCGTACTGGTTGATTACTGCAGGTTTAGATATGCATTCGTTATTGGGAATGGACTCAATGACAGTTTATTTTTAATCACGTGAATACTATTGCTTTGAGATTGAAAAACTTGACAAATATCAAATCTTGCTGCTGGCATGAATACCTTGACATCGCCCACATCAGGTAATAGATGCAGACAGACCATGCGTTTAAATCGACCCTCTTTAAACCACCTCTTGTTTCTACTCTTAGTCATTGTTTTAGTGCTGAAAGACATGAATACGTTGAATTACTTTAAATCTTTCAAACTCTTGGCAATATGTTATGTTGTGTAAGCAATACTTTGAATCACCTAACGCCTGCTACAGTTTCCATCAAGCTTTTAGATCGACTGGAGAAATTGGTGCAGGATTGGACAGTCTTACATGCAAATGGCTCGCAATTGCTTGGATCTCTGTCCAATCTACACCAACAGCGAAAACTCACTTGGTCGTTTTATAAACCAGCCACTCCTGCTTCAGATGATTACTCTAATTCGACGAATGCCAGTATGGATCTAGATGTGCAACTTGCTAGCCATCCTGCCATTGTGCCTCCATTTTTACAGCTCTTTCCATGTGTCATTGATCGTCTTATTATGAAACAAACGTGTTCGCTGGAAAAAATAATGTCAAGTCTTGATGAGCTTGTTGATGATTACCGCAAAACAGTGAACACGATGCAAGCTCTAACCAAGGATGCTCATGCAAAGTCGCTTTCTTCACTCTATGGTAAAGTGTTTTTGAGCACGGCAGATCTCCCCACCTTTCTTGCTGCAGATTGGATTGACACAATTGTTGCTGGGTATCAACGGGAGCTGTTATTCAAGGAAGATCTAATCTCAAAGCTAGATTTGCGAATGGACGGAAACATTGATGTTACTCGGCGACAATGGGAAGTGACGCAATGGTTGGACTTGAAATTGGAAGTGGCAGTCAGAGATCGTGTAAAGCTCGCTAAACAAACTTGTCGATAACAAATACCTCGATATATCGAATTAATAACTCGGCTGCCACTTTAATCAGATGTTGGACTCTAGACTCCATCTACTCAGTGCCATGAAATAATGCATTGCCAAAATTATCAAGTAATCAGATACACAATATAATACACGTTTAAAATAAATTGGATCAAATGTAGAGTTGTTTTAATTATGGTAAATTGGCACATTCCAATTGCCTCATCTTGAAAAAGTTCAAGCCATCCGAGGCATACTATTATCAATGCAGGTTACATCAAGCCGTTTTTGACTTTTTTGCAAGTGCAGGATTTGGAGTCTTTGACTTTTTTGCAAGTGGAGTTTTGACCGTCTTTTTAGATAGTTTTTTAACCTTTCCAAGCAATCGCAAACTAGCAGATACAGAATGTTTAGACTCTTTGTCCATTGTTACTGTAATTTTGGGTTGTGCAATACCAACATCCTCGTAATCAGATTCAGGATAGTCAGTTTTTGAAGAATTGATACTACTGTTGATTGTAACCTTGTCTACCTCTGCCAACGCAATGCATGTTAGCCGACATTTGGTATCAAAACAACAAAGTTTCTGGGGAATTAGATCTTTTGACTGAGCATCATCATGACCATCCGATTCAGAAAACACAGTATGGCACATATTTAAATCCCATATGAAAATGGCTCCATCCGAAGAACATGTTGCAAAAACAGTCGTTTGGCGCTTTGTACACACCAATGCCGCAATATCTTTTATACGCGAGTCGTGTCCTGATTTCCATTGCATAGACACTTTTCCAGTAGGCAATATGACTGTAATGATTTTATCCTCACCACCAATAATGATTACCTCTGTTTTCGTAGAGTCGGAAGCAGTACACAAAGTGAAGGATATGGCATTGAGTCTTGATCGGGGACTATCGAATTTCCCAAAAACGTCGCCAGTTTCTACGAGATAAACGATAACGGAATTGCTAAAGAGAAGAGCATAATGACTGCCTGAAGGACTCCAAACAACCTGTTCGGCAATAGCATGCAATTTAAGTGTATATGCGCACACGCCACGCATCAGATCCCAGCACCGAAGAGTCTTGTCTTTGGAAACGCTTAATAAAATCTTTCCAGATGGATGAACAGCAATAGAAAGAATCGACGAGGTGTGTCCTTTTAAAGTCTTGAGTAGCTCCCAGTCACTCGATCGCACAATGCCGATTGTGCCATCCTCGGATGCAGTCATGAGATGAGAACTATTGTAAAACGCAAGAGCAGTGATTGTACCAGAGTGATGCATCAATGTTCCAACCTCTTTGCATTTTCGGAGATCGTATAGTTTGACATGCTCATCAGTGGACCCAGTGGCTAGAAATCGACACCCAGCTGCAACCGTCTTGATACAGTTGATGTGTGCTGGGTAGATAAAAACTGGAGTGATAGTGTTGTCAGGACTAGTGGAGCAAGACAGTCCATACAATAAACGCTCATATGTTCCAGCAATAATCAGAAAGTCTGATGCAAGTGGTTTAGAATCGCTCATGATAATCTAGAAAAGGTCTAATGTTGGATTACTTTCGAGTAATTTTTTTTAATTGCAAAATATTATTCCTGAAGATTTCATGACAATTGCTACAATTTGCTCATACTTGGCTTAACTGCCACTGCAAACTCGCTATTGGCATTATGCACATCAACTACAATGGATATCGGATTCCGGATTCCAGTTGTTCTCTAGATAGAATAGATCCTAATAGCATGGATCCAAAAACGTTTTTTGAACGATACGTATCAACCAGAACACCCTGTATTTTAAACCAACTGCCCAGTCCATCTACTACCTCTACTGATTGCAAGCCTTGGGATTGGCTGTCACTTGCATGGCTAGTCAAGCATGCTGGTAATGCAATCGTGTCTGTAGAGCGAAAGGATGCATCCATTGATCGGTTTGGATCTGGAAAAAAGCGAGAGCTGATCAAGTTGGATGATCTAGTCAAGTTACTTGAAACTGGAGAACAAGATGTTTACATGACTACTCAGTATGATAACCATGAAGAGGTTCAGCCTGAATTAACATCCAACAGGAATGAATCCATGTCTGGTTTGGAAGAACATGACTCTTTGGACTGTAATGACAAGTCTGATACATACAGCCATAGTGACCTTGATTCTCCTTCAAAGATCAGTGACTATGCATCACCCCCTCTTGACAGTGTAGTAAAACACATTCCGATTTCGCTCAATCTGTTTGGAAATCTCATTCCGCATTTGATGAATTTATGGATTGGATCTTCAACGGCAGCACAAGGCACTTCTTCTGGTCTGCATCATGACTTTCACGACAATTTTTATTTATTAAAATCTGGTGCCAAGCAGTTTACTATTTTCAGTCCAGATGATACAGATGCAATGTATCTGAATGGGAATGTTGTTCAAGTACACGAAAATGGATTGCAGGAGTATGCAGACACATCAAGTCACGGTGTACGTGCTGATGGAGCATTCTTGTACGATGTTGCTTCATATCAATTACAAATTGCTCAGGATGCAATGGATATAGCCATCACACCTAGTGAAATTGAGTTGGCTGAAAAAAACCTTGATTATGCAATGCAGCAGATACTTGATTATCAAGGTATGTCTCAATACGCAATTCCATACTATGTTACCAATTAATGATGAAACGCACTTTAACACCAATCTTTGCGTGTTGAAAACTCCTTTTACTTGTTGATACTAAGATCCGGACAATGAGTCAATATTTTCCCAGGACGCAGATGACACACAAAGTGATGTTGAAGTTGCTCAAAATCATCCAGTATCCTTGACCCAAACAAAGAAACGAAATACACATGCTACTCTAGAAAACGTGCAGCCATCCTTGAAAAAAGTTAAAACACATCAAGATACTCCAATACAATTACCTGCCCCCGGAAAATCCGAAAGTGATCCTCCCAGTTTCAGTCGCATCCCAATTCAGATTTTGGATAAGTTTATTGCCGGCCAACCACCTCCAAATCAATTCGGAAAACTTGCGAATGCTACTGGTATTCGTTTTAAACTGAATGCTGGAGAGGCGTTATATCTTCCAGGCGGTTGGTTTCATGAAGTCCGATCTTTTAGTAGCAGCAACTCTACAGAAATCAATCCACATCTGGCTTTAAACTTTTGGCTAGAACCTCCCACTACCAACAACTTTGATAATCCGTACCCTGATCACTATTGGCGTGATATTCGATGGAAGCCATTACAAGAGTGCATGGCTAATGCAACACGATAGGTTTGTCGGTATTGATTGATTTTGATTAAAGCACATGGCTTTTGAGATTGAAAATAAAATCAGGCAAGTTTTATCAGTTTAGATTAACCTAGATGCTATAGTCGTATTGACACAAAATACAATACTTTTGTATTTATCTTGCAGTAGTTGTCTTGGAATAGAAATAACTGAATGCTCGTGTTTTTCTATTACAAATTGACTGCTGTCTTATCCAAACACAACGTTCATTATATGATGCTTACAATCAAACTATAGTTTTGGACTGCTATTATCTCCACTTTTTGTAGTCATACATTGTATGATCACCAGGTTCATCCATTTCAACCCAGATATCGTAGATATTGTCAATACAGATATTTTGATATATCTTGAATCAGACATGTTCGCGTCCTAGTTCAACACAAGGTTGCATATCTCAGTAATACAACTGTTATTTGGATATTGATCACTTAATGTTTGAAGCAGAGTTGGAGATTGAACAAATGCCAAGAATATGTGATGTGAGGATTTGCTTGGTGTTTTTATACAAAGACGAGCATCAAGACCAGTCAACTTTAACGAGTCCAGAGAGCAGTATTGCTTGGTAGATTTGACTAAACCATCATGTCACGAGACTGACGGCTTATGCATTTTGGCACTGCTATTTAGTGTTCCATTCTATGTGAATACGACTGTAATTGGATGGTCATTTTCGTGCCATATTTCTTTCTACCAGTTTTTATCCTACATTTCAACAGTGCAATATGGAATCACTTTCCTTGAAAAAGCCCATCATTTTACCTCAAGTAAATAGTAGCCTAGATTGCCTCTACCCACCAGATATCAGGTAAAGCAGTACTTGCAACCACCAGTGTCTGTATGCTGCAGCACTCCGACAATTTTGGTCAGAACTTGACATCCACTTGTAAATTCTATCTTGCAAGTTGGATGGTTTTAAAGATATTAGTAATCTGTCATGCATACACTACACAGCTTTTGGGGTTTCTTGCTTTGATGATAAATACAATCAGATTCCATATCTGGTGTGCACAGTAGTCTATCCGACCAGCGTTTAACTCATTTCAATTCTCATGTGATTAGGAGTGCAATGACTTCAACTATCGATAATACTTCAGAAACTTACAGTCATTCTCAACAACAGCAGTTGGATACGCAGTTACCCAAAATGAGCGATATACCCATTATTGGTGAATCAGCCCTTCAAAGCGAAAGTCCTGCAAAAATAGAACCACTAAATGATAGTTCCAATACATTCATTGTATCGAACGTGCCCAGTCCAAATGAAAAGCAGCAAGCAAAAATCAATACCCGCTCAAGTAAAACGGCCTTATGGAAGGACATTACCAAGACCACCCAAGATAATATACTAGGTAGCTTTGTTTTTATCTATCAATGGTTAAATCATGCATATATCTGCTGAGCTAATTGTACTACTATGATTGAATCTGAATATATTTATTCAGACAAATCCTCTTTACAAGATATAACCAACAGTACTTTAGATAGTGTGCATATTCACTGTGCAGCACTTACCAGTTTAGATACACCCAGTATTTCTCCTGTCAATAGCCTCAAATCTGGTATTTGGTCTGGCATGAAAAAACATACCTTAAAACCTTCTCGATCGTCTAAAGCTACTTTAACTACTCCGACTTCAGTAATCAATCAAGTTGAACGCACCAAGACTCTTTGCAAATCGCGAGCTGATGCGCAAAACAAGTGCAATACAGATCAAAATCAATTGGAACGTATGCCAGATACTGATGTTGTTCAAAAAATACGCTCGTATTTTCAATTTTCAACTCCAGTACCTGCCTACGCAAAAAATCTTTCTAAACATGACCTTTTTGGCTCGACAATGGAAATGTCTATCCAGAATATTATATACAGCATTAAAAAAACTCGAACTAGTAGTCGTCTACAAAATTCTTCAGTCGACAAAAAAGACCATACTTTTTCGACCGCTTTGGCAGATATGGATAGTCTCCTCGATATGCACCACTGCATGCAGCCATCTAAAAAAAAGATGCGCAAAGATGCTCCAAAATATCCTACCATCAGTGTACCAAAAAACGCCTTGGCGGGCGATGTTCCTGATCTTTTTCAAAGTCTGTCTAATTCCGATAGTGATATGGCTGTGTCTGGCACACTTTCTCCAATTCTTCATCGGACAAGACATAGCCGAGACATAGTTAAACCCACCAATAATACCGTGAAAGGGAATATGGTAAGTTTAAGCCCACCTATCTGCATACTTTTCTTGATCCCGATTGCATCTTTTAATGTTGTTGGTTTACATTTTTAAGTGTTCCAAACTAATTTTGACAATTGCTTTCCAAGACCCCACACATTTCATTATTTTACAAAAAAGCAGCCGTGTTGTCCAAAAAGCTTCGGTCGGGAACGCCTGCTACCGTACAAGATCGAAAGGCCATACGCGAATCTGCCGATATCATGCTCACCCATTCTATCCATGAAGACGGTCCACCAACCTGGGGAAAAGTCTCTAGTTTGACACAAACCTTGTGGAACAGCATTCCAGAGATGGCAAAGCTTTATAATTCTAAACAGTATTTAGTATCTGGTCTTTATTCCAGTTTTAGATTCAAAAAGACAGGCCAATTAAAATCGACTGCAAAAAAGAACTTTGCTTTTCCGCTTCCATTTCAATCTGGTAATGCCATTTTAAACACCGACGTAGATTTTGAGCTTCCTTATGATTTGCAGCATTTTGTAAAAATATGTAACGGCGTTGAAGGGGTATGTATAGGACAATGCTCTAGATAAGCTGAATGTATTTTCAAGTCTAATTACTTTACTCACACTGGTTTATCTGATAGATGAGGACCCTTTTTAATGAAGAGGAAGCAAGCCCTTTTATCCATATTCAAAAAAGTAAGCTTTGTTTATGCCATATATATAAATATTGTATCATGTTTTTTGTAGCGGTTATTCATATTTTATAAATAATAGATGTTTGGGTAGACCGTCGCCCATTAGACGTGCCGTTTGATTTTGAATCCATCTGTCAATGCAAGCTGCCAAAGGATGGTTCGCCGCCCTGTGGTGATGACTGTATTAATCGATGCTTATTTATAGAATGTGGAGACAACTGTCCAATGGGTGATTGCTGCACTAACCGGGCATTTCGACGCAATGAACAGATTGAAAAACTACGAGTCTTCTATGTAAAATCAACTTGCTTGGTTAGATCATATTGATTGTATATTGTGATTTTGACTGGCTGACATTGTGTGTTTTGGCAAATCTGATAGGCTCCCAATCGAGGTTTTGGTCTATACACAGATGTCCCGATAAAAGCTGGGGTTTTAATTATCGAATATCGAGGGGAAATTATTTCTACCGCCAAATGCATTGAGCGCAACGACACTATATATTCTGGACAAAAAAATCACTATTTTTTGGAATATGGAAATGGTCTGGTATTGGATGGATGCCGAAAAGGAACAATAGCTCGGTTTGCTAACCATTCGTGTGATCCAAACTGCCATGTTGAGAAATGGTTTGTAGTTATTTCAGATATTGGTTTTGCCTATCAATATAGCGATTGCTTTAAATTTGGATATAGATCTACTCTAACTAAATTCAAATAGGTATGTTGGGACAGAGTTCCGGGTAGGGATTTTTGCAACAAACAATATTTCAGTTGGAAGCGAGCTGACCTACGATTACAGATTTGATTCGTACGGTCAAATGCAGCCCTGTTATTGTGGCTCTCAAAACTGCCGAGGTTAGTGGACGTATCAAGTTTATTTTAAGATATATATTATTAATCTAATACAATTGGTTTCACTTTTAGGATTTATTTGTATCAACAAGAAAGCACCTGCTGGAGATACAGCTTCAAAATCAAAGGCATCGCATACTGGCAATAAACTTTCATCTGCAAGCAATGCGGCTTTGCAGCAAGAGAATCGTTCTGCTCTCTTAGCTCATCGACTGTATCTGGAAAAAAAGCAAAAGCAAGAGTCACAAGAGGTACAATGTTTTTTGATATTTTTCTTTAAAAATAATGTGTCATCTCAATCAATTCATATTGTTTTAGAGTCGAGAACAGGCGGTTCACGGACGAACTTTACGTGCTCTACAGCGACGTCGTTCCATTGATCTTACATGATGTTTCTGTTTGCGAGTGTGCGATTTGCAATGTTGGATCTGATTTTGTATTATCAACAGTTTTATTGATCTTTAAACTTTACAGCAAAGGATAGAATAAGGACTGTGAATGACAAGCTGGCGCATGAATAATAAAGAATTCTTGATATGAAAATATTTGAGTTTTGTTGGTTGACGTTTCAATATTCTATTATTGGGCTGATGGTCAGAATTGCAATAAGTTGACAGTCGCTTGAAGATGAATTTGCATGTTTAAATTTGTGCTTGGATTTTGCTTTACACGTATTACAGCCAAATCCGACTTTTGCTGCTTATCCAACACCAGCACGGACATCGTTTATCGAGTAACCAAAAACAGCGTATCTGCAACTCAAACCATCACTCATGTCCAAGTTTCAGCAAGTTACTCGTCAAGAAGTGGCCTCTCACAACACTCCAAAAAACGCATGGATTATCATCGACTCGTTAGTCTACGATATCACCAACTTTGCTGCACTTCATCCTGGTGGTGAACATATTATCTTGGAAGTTGCTGGAAAAGATGCAACCAGTACGTGATGTTTTATTATACTTGAATGGCATTTTCTACTTGATAAGCGCATGGCATGATGTCATGGATTCATGGCATTACAAGTTGTAAATGGTTTCTATCAAGACTCTTCACATTGAATGTAATATTTACTAATCATGCATTCTGGTTTGTATAATTACTCGCATTGATAAACTATGACATGAATCATTATTTAGAGGAGTTTTATTCATTCCATCGTCATGAAGTGCTTGCCAAGTATCCACGAATCTTGATTGGTGGAATTGTAAACGAAAAGCCTCAGATCGTAGTTGGTACGAGTGATATCAGCAAGGTTCCATATGGAGAACCTAGTTATATGCAAGGATTCCATTCAGCATATTTCAAGTAAGTCATTGATTGAATAACATGGATTGTTTGATATCAATCGTATACCAAGGGTTCTAAATATATGTTTGATCAGTGATTCGCATCGTAAATTCCAGCAAGCTGTTCGAAAGTTTGTTCGAGAAGAAATTGCTCCGGAGAGTTCTATGTTTGAAAATATGGGTAAACCAGCATCTGTAGAAACATTCAAGAAAATGGGTCAGTTTGGATATCTGGCATCTCGAATTGGACCAGGGGAGCATCTCAAAGCATTTACACTTCCAGGAGGAGTAAAGCCTGAAGAGTTTGATTATTTCCATGAAATGATTATTCATGAAGAAATATCCGCCCTATCAATGCGTGGCTATACTGATTCTTTAGGAACGGGGATGGTTATTGGGCTTCCACCAGTGATTTACTTTGGCAGTGACTCGCTCAAGCAAAAAGTAATTGGACCAGTGCTTCGTGGTGAAAAACGAATCTGTTTATCCATTACAGAACCAGGTGCCGGGAGCGATGTCGCAGCAATCAAGACCACGGCAGTCAAAACTCCTGATGGAAAGTTTTATATTGTAAATGGCACCAAAAAGGTAGATTAGTCGATTGAGGTTTTGGTTGAATGTATGATTTCACATGTTACAAAAGTCTAATGTTGATATTGTAGTGGATCACCAATGGTGCTCAGTCGGACTATTTTTCGACAGCTGTTCGTACAGGAGATGGACCAGGAGGCATTTCGATGCTTTTAGTTGAACGTGCAGATGGTTTAGAAACCAAAACAATCAAAACGAGTTACTCGAGTTCAGCAGGCACGTCCTATGTGATCATGGAGAATCTCAAGGTTCCAGTCGAAAATCTTCTTGGAAAAGAAGGTGACGGGTTCCAAGTCATCATGTATAATTTTAATCATGAGCGATGGGTGATTGCTTGTAGTATTTTACGTTCAAGCCGAGTTGTTGTTGAAGAATGCTTTAAATGGTCACATCAACGCATGGTGTTTGGAAAACGGCTTATTGATCAGCCAGTGATCCGTAACAAACTTGCTCATATGGTGAGTATTACATGAGATTGGTTTGTAGTTGAACATGTGCTGACATTATTGTAGATAGCAGAAGTAGAGGCAACACAAAACTGGCTTGAAAACATCACGTATCAAATGAACAAAATGTCGTACAAGGACCAAGCCAATAAATTGGCAGGACCGATTGCGCTCTTGAAGCTACAATGCACTCGTGTGGCCCATAACATCAGTGACCAAGCATGCCAGATTTTTGGTGGACGTGGAATTACCAAGACGGGTATGGGACATATAATCGAGTCATTCCAGCGCACGTACAAATTTGCAGCGATTCTTGGAGGAAGTGAAGAGATTATGGCAGATCTTGGAGTACGCCAAGCAATGGTAAATGGTTATTTGATCAGACAGATTTGGCTGCAATGTATTGAATTGATTGCTGATTTTTTGTGTGATGATGAATTTAGCGCATGTTTCCAAAGAATGCCAGGCTTTGAGGTTACAACTGTATTGACGCAGAATGATATACTAAGTAAGGGTATAATAAACAGTCTGGTGAAGTGATTGTCAAGATTGTCAAGTTGAATTGCACGACTATTGACAAAAGGAATGAGAACGGAGAGAAATGCACAAATCTTATATTTTAATTACAAATAAATATTTGAAATGTGTTTCAATACTTGCAATATGGCGTCTAATGTGTTGGCACGTTTTATTGAATCCTTGATTTCAGCACTGGTGGCTTAGTGATGGATAATAAGTCACGTGAAAATTAAAGTTGAATCTTTGATTCTGCTTTGATATGCACTTGCTCTCAAACTGATTCAAATGCGTATCAAGAAGCATGCAAGCGAAGCTGCTGGAAGAACAAACGTTATGTTTGTCTCGCCCATAGACTTTCCTCAGAATGTTCGCTACATTCTTATTGAAGATACATTTGCTTTTACCTGCAGGTGAATTTTCATACCAATACATTTGTTGCATATCTGCACTTCTGGCAGTACGCTAGTCCTTCTCGAATGGCCTATATTTTATATTTCCACTAGAAAGCTTCAATTGGACTCGTCTACACACAAATCTACATTAGTTTATTTTGAGTATTTTAATACTTTTGGATATGCTAGGGTAAAATTGGTATACTAAGCACTTCAAAATGGTAGCTTACTATCATGGCACATGCTATAGCTTTGTTATACCACAAAATTCAATTTTTAGTTCATAAATGGACAGTTTGCATTATACTATCCAAGTCTACACGGTTTACATGATGATATGCGATTTTACTGACAAGTTGCTTTTTATAACGATCTTGTTTCAACAGAGTTGATCAGCAAACTTCTCCGGGAGATATTGCTACAACACTATTTCATCGCCGATTTGCATCACTTTCTTTAGATCAAGATGTTCGTGTTCGTCCATTTGATCCGTTTAGAGAAAGCCCAAGCCCGTATATTAGCCATTTTGAACTACAGGTTAGTTTTTATTGTACTTGACGAATTTGTTTTGGGTTGAATGATGGGATCTGTATATTTTTGTTTGAACTAGACTAATATATGAATCACTTTTCTTCAGATCTGTTTTGCTCGTAAAGGAGCGGTTCAAGCCTCAGAGTATTACGATGTTGGAGAAATGTCTTCTCATTTTTTAAAATTGTTTGACTCGCATATTTTTACGCTAAATCAGGTATATAAACTTCAAAAACTGGAGTGGTTGAACTTGCATTTTAACAAGCACGTACCAACTCAACTCTATTTTTAGGAGTGTTATTTTGACTATCACGGTCAAGATATTATTGGAAAGGTAGTTCGAGTGGAACTTGTGGATATGGAAGCTTTAAAATCTGGCGAATCTAAGCAGGATGCATCTTTTGGTTGGTTTCTATTTGAAAATTTAACCATTGATACTCGTTTGATCGGTTTCCTGTTTTAATGCCTTTATACTGCATGTGTAGGTGCAAATGCTCGTGGAGTGATTATGCAACAGACATCTATGCATGTTGTCAAAAGTGCCGATTCTTCCATTCGACTTAAAGGCGGTGCACGAGGGTACTGTTTTGCTTTGGTAGATTTGTATCTCGCTGTGATTTACTTATCCAATACATTCTTGTGTAACTATACGTCAAATATAGTGCTGCACCCAATGCAATTTTTAAGCCCAACTTTAATTTTGCAGAGCTTGGAATTGGTGGTCTTGATGATGAGTTTAGCAACATTTTTCGTCGTGCATTTGTTTCTCGAATCTTTCCACCAGCCATTGTTGAGCAGCTTGGTATTCAACACGTAAAAGGCAAGTCGATTCAGTATGATTTGTTTTATGTAGAATTCTCGTGTTTAATTCTATGGTATTAGGCATTCTTCTTTATGGTCCACCTGGTACTGGAAAAACGCTAATGGCTCGTCAAATTGGCAAAATGCTGAATTCTAATGAGCCGCTTATTGTCAATGGACCTGAAGTACTCAACAAATTTGTTGGTCAATCGGAGGAAAATATTCGAAAATTGTTTGCTCCTGCTGAAGCCGAGGTATTGAATTTATTCAAAGTGTTTCAGATATTAAATTGACATTGTGTTGATGTTCAAGTTGATACGTTTACTATGCATGATTATAGTACAAATCAAAGGGTGAAGAGAGCTCTCTTCACATCATCATTTTTGATGAATTGGATGCAATCTGTAAACAGCGTGGTTCCAAAAACGATGGAACTGGTGTGGGTGACTCGATTGTCAATCAGCTACTTTCCAAAATGGATGGTGTTGATCAACTCAACAATATTTTGATTATTGGAATGACAAATCGGCTGGATATGATTGATGAGGCTCTTCTTCGACCCGGTCGTCTTGAGATCCATATGGAGATTCACCTTCCTGACGAAAAGGGGCGTTTACAAATTCTCAACGTTCACACTTCCAAGGTAATTCACGAGCGTGTATGAATTATATGCGATAGTATGATTTATTTAGATTTTCATGACTATATTATCAATCTTCAGATGCGTACCAACAATCTGCTTGATCCATCGGTGGATGTGGCCGAGCTGGCTGCTCTTACAAAAAACTTTAGCGGTGCTGAGATTGCAGGTAAACAAAGACTTGGTTGCTCAATTGATTAGTGCTTTACCAGTTTAGATTGATATACCATATTTTGAACAGGATTAATTAAAAGTGCCAGTTCTTTTGCTTTTAATCGCCACATCAAGGTAATCTATACTTTGTGGTATCATATAGGCTCAGTATACTGACTATTGTGTTGGAAATTGACGATAGATTGGCGACCAGGCCCAGGTTGCTCAAGATTATGACAAGATTAAAGTTTGTCGTGACGATTTTCTGCATGCAATTGAGGAAGTTCGTCCCGCGTTTGGTGTTTCCGAGGCCGAATTACAACAATGTGTCATGAATGGAATTGTCAACTTTAGTCCCAATATTGAAGTAATACCTAATTGGAATGCAAGATTTGATGATTGTTTTAGTGAGAATGGCTGGTTAGTTGACTTTGTACATTTAAATATAGCGCATTCTTGCAGATGGACAGCTTGTCATTGAGCAAGTCAAGAACAGTCAGCGTACTCCACTTGTGTCGGTTTTGCTACATGGTATATTTTTTGTTTATATTTCGGTATTAGAATCCAGAAAATGGTACTGAGCTGATTGCTTTGAATGTTACAATTTATCTGATTTTGGTTATTTAAATAGGACCAACTGGTGCTGGTAAAACTGCCTTGGCTGCTACGATTGCAATGTCGAGCGAGTTTCCATTTATTAAACTCATCTCACCCGAGTCTATGGTTGGGTTTACTGAGAGTGCGAAAATGGCACAGATTACAAAGGTGACAGATATTGAAAGTGCAGTCATTTGACTTGAAAAGGCGACTAACACTTTACTGCAGATCTTCAACGATGCATACAAATCGCCTGTCAGCTGCATTGTTGTGGATGCCATTGAGCGTCTTTTAGGTTTGTAGTTTTTTTTACTTTACAAAACCATATATACTGGGCTGACTGTTTATTTATTTGGTACAATCTGATTGTTTAAATTAGACTGGGTTTCTATTGGACTTCGATTCTCAAACACGGTGTTACAAACTCTTTTGGTTCTACTGAAAAAACCACCTCCAAAAGTAAATTAGCTTTTAATGGATCATATCTAGACTTTAATGTTTGACTAATTCTACCTTGCTCTTACAACATGTATTTTGAACTGTTAGGGACACAAACTACTTATTTTGGCCACTACCAGTCAGAAAAATGTTTTGGAGCAGATGGAATTGATTGATGCATTCAACTCATCGATATACATTCCAAATATTACTCATCTGCCCTCTATTCAGCATGTTCTCATGGTATGTATACAAGTTTGAAACATGCAGATAAAAAGTAGATTCATGTTTTAAACATTTACATGACTATTTGGTGTAATAGGAACTTAAACCATTCCCTGATTACGACTGTAAAAAAGCCATACAGTCTTTGCAGCAGTATCTGAGTTCTTCTACCACGAACCCCAAGTTGTCCATATCGATCAAAAAGCTGCTTTACATTGCAGAGATGGCAGGGCAGGATGTTGACCACGCAGAGAAATTTGTTCAAACAGTCACGGAAGAGTGTATTTCGTTTAAATGAAACCAGCCAGATTGGAGTATGTTTTTATGGAAACCAAGAAGAGATGATTTTGAGCTGTAAGCGATTGAGCGCAACCTTTTCTATTGAATTTTCAGATGGAATTAAACTTGACCGATTCAAGTGAATTCGATGTGATTTGAATAAAATGAATCGAATTTTTTATTGGCTGAAAAATTGCCATTTATGGAATCGATTGCGCTTTGAGTTTCAGTGCGAATGCAAGCAATTCTTACTCAGCCAGAACACGTGACTATAGTTTTGTCTTGACAATCGACTTGCGACAAGCTTTCTCTACTGACGACCATCGCCAAGGAGTTGCTCTTGTCACCAGCTATTGTTCTCACTGAACCTTAGATACTCGAGACTATAATCAAACAACCACATCAATGCAAGTGTGTCCAATCATTGTAGAACCACAGAATGACTCTGTTCAAGCTGTGATATCTACTAGAGCCATGGCTAGTACTGGATTGGCCGATACAGTTTATAATACTGAGTCTGTTGCAACCAGCTTCAACAGCAATCATAGTATGAGTTCGCATTCGTTAGTATTACCTCTGACTGAGCTGCAGTTGGGCGAAGCGGCACTTTCTCAGAGTCTTCCTTCTCAAAGTACTCAAATCAGCCATCAGATGCTTAATACTTCTGGAAACAACTTGCATGAGGAAACTCAACCCGATCGATCACTGTTTCGACTTCATGGTCGTTCTCGATCTTCATCTGCAGCCAAGAATGTCGTTACTGCATTCGAACTTCAATTGGATCAAAACAAGACCACGTTTTTACCGGGTCAGCGCATCGATGGACATGTGGGTCTATCGATCTCTAGTGAATGCAGTGTCAAGCTCTTGCGGGTACGATTCAGCGGATTGATCAGTACTTATACAAACAAAAGAAAGAATAGGTAATAAGTGACGGGTCAGAAGGCTTTTAAAGCTTTGCAATTCTTGTAGAATTCGGCCATTGACATTGCTTTCTTGATTGACCCTTTATAGAAAGCCAAATACAGACGATCAGCAATCCATTGTATTTTTGTTTCGGGAAATATTCAACCATCTTGGAAGTGGTCAACCGGGTCATCCACCCGTCATTCTCGAGGCCGGCGACCATACATTTCCATTTTCCTTTCGAGTTCCTCCTACATCATTGCCTGCTTCATTCGTTGTATGACAAACTGGTTTAAATTGCTATATCATCATGTTTTACAATGTTGAATCTAACGACTTTATGTTGAATCTTATTGGTAGGGGCCTTATGGCGAGATTCGATATGAAGTAGCAGCCATTTTCTTGCATTCATATCTTCCAAAACAGATGGTGACGGTACCCATTACAATTCCATCAACTTTAGACGTGAATACGTCGGAGCTTCAAGAGCCAAAAACAATAGAGTTGACATGTGGAGCTGGCAGACTTTGGTGGAAAAGTGGTCATATCGATATTTGTGCATCGCTTCCTAGACATGGTTTTACAAGTGGTATGCACTAATTTGAGTTGATTGAATGTTGGTTGAAATGGTAGATTATTGTGCTAAATCAAATAATGTGTCTATATAACAGAGGACACGGCTTCGCTTAAAATTGAGATAGTCAACCATTCAGCTAATGCATTGATTATCCAAGACATTGCGTTAAAACAACAGGTTATGTACAAGGCATTTGCAGAGTAAGTTTTAATGCAATAATCATTTCGGTTGTTCAATCTACTTACTGTCTACTATTTTAGAGTTCGAGGACCTCGGACAGAACGCATTCATAAAATCAACTTTTCAGAACGAATAGGAGCCACGACTCGAAAAATCACTCGTCTCGTGCAGTTTCCTATTCCAGCATCTTCTGTTATTTCACCCGATATTTCAACTCCCGTGTTACAAGTTACTCATTCTATTGGATTCAAAGTACAAAGCTGTGCTCCGTGGTCCCAAACTTGCAAAGTGTACTTGCCGATTGTTATTGCAGGGTTTCCATTCACCTTGTTTGATGACAACTTGCTACGTAGATCTGTAGACACGTTACCCATATATGACGGAAGTCGTGGTACGGTCGAACCACGCACACCTGGAATGGCAAGCATGTATGAGGACATTGATGATGAAAACATTGAGATTAGCATATCTGATGTATCTCTAGTTCAAAACATTATTGCCCAATCGAATAGTCCACGAGGTTTAGTGCCTCAGTTATATCTGGAGCAAAGCAGCAACCTTCGTACTGCCCATTCTATGGATTCTGGTTCATTTGACAGTTATGAAGGAAGACCGTCTTCGAATATCATACCTCACACTATAACTAGACAGGATGCATAGCTGAAATTTAATAGCGCTCTTGCACTACTTGTGCTTGGATTTGGTTTCAACTGATACTATTTGTAGTATGCAGATGCATTTATGCCATCTTGAATTTGTTCATGAACAGCTCATTTCATTCACGAAATCAATATACAATCCCTATAACTGTCCTGTAACATATTTGCTAGATCATTCTGAAACTGTCTTTTATGCGACTCCATATGACATGAACTCTTATATTTGTAATAAAAACAAACCGAATATTTCAAGTCATTTCAGTAGAATAAATGGAAACCAAGCACCTCCCTGATAATCCTCAGGAACTGTCAAGAACAAATCTCGCAAAGCAATCTTTAATCGGGTTCAAACAGCAACTGTCATGTCTAGTCTTTATAGCATAAACTATCACTTGCGGTACGTATAGCCTGGACAACTTTATATCTGAACAAGTTACAATCATTTCATACGCATTAAATGCCTAATTCTTTAAACTTCGTTTATCCAACATGACTCTATATCGACTCTTGATACTCATTGTAGTGCTCATAAACGAGATACTTTTATCGAGTTTATCAAATCGCTGCTCCTCACGCCGTTTGTGCTGAATACCCGTGTGGATGCTGCTGCTGATGCTGCTGCCATTGCAATATCTTCCCAGGGTTCTGACAATTTGATCACTCTTGATGCGTCTGAAGATGTTCATTCCTCTAGTATGGCCAGGTATCTGGAGATCTTTGAATGCATTGAGGATTTGGTTAAAATCCACATCATGCACAGTAACAATGGTAAGTTTTACTGCTGCAAACGGGTTAGTTGGTCTTGGCTCATCCAACTGATTTTCAATCTGCCATGAAAATACGCTGTATAGGAATGCCTGAACTCTCCCGTTTATCTCATCTGGTTCCCAATATTGGTCGCTTTTTTACTCCGCTGCCACTACGTGAAACCTTTCTGGAACAAAGTCCTCTTCGATCTATTGCTGCTCGTCATTCAGTACCTCCAAGCTTCAATGACATTCGTCATATTTTGAACTTTGCTCAAGTCAAGGCCATTTCCTCGACTTTGAAACTGATTACATTGTATGTAGATTGAAATCCCATCCATTATTGGAAAGAATGTTGTAACTAACATTTAGACTGTTAGCGATGGGGATATGACATTGTATGCTGATGGTGCTGATTTTGCTCGTGATTCTCAGCTTGTTCAGCTGTTGGTAAAGTTACTTGCTGCAAGAATCACGGTTGCCATTGTAACAGCAGCTGGATATGGCAATGATGCGGTTCGCTACGAAAGTCGACTGTCTGGATTGCTCGAGGGATTTAAAAACTCGGGACTTGATCATGCTGCTCTGTCGCAGTTTTATGTGCTGGGTGGTGAATGTAACTACTTGTTTAGGTACAGCCCAGAAGCACACCAGTTGGTTTACATTTCAGAAGAAACTTATCAACCTGAACGTGTACGCAAGTGGTCTACTGCTACTGGACGAATTAAAACCATTCTGGATGCGGCCGAAGTGCATCTTCGACAGTGTGCCAAGGATATGCATCTGAATGATCGAATCAACATTATGCGCAAAGATCGTGCTGTAGGCAAGTTGTTTTCAATGCAAAGTTGTAACTGCAATCCAATACAATTTGATATACGCTGCTTACTCTATTTTATATACAGGCGTGTATCCTAATCCTGGTGTAAAACTCACTCGAGAACAACTAGATGAGCTTGCTCTCTCTACCCAGCACCATCTGAACCAGCTACAACATATCATTCTTCACAACAGTTTGAAGAAAAATGGTGTGTTGAATTCGAATACGGCCGATACGGCTAGCAATTCAAGCTCTGGCAACCTCGCATTGCTTTCCAAAATAGTTTCTCATGAAAGCACTGAAATTGACTATCCAATTCCATTCTGTGCTTTTAACGGAGGATCGGATGTATGGGTGGATATTGGTAATAAACTTATTGGTGTTGGCATGCTTCAGGACATGCTTCATTGTGAAGGATGTGAAACCCTTCATGTTGGTGACCAGGTATACAGTCATTTTTTGATAGATTTACAAACGGCATTGATAAATTTTCATGCAGATATGTTAGTAACTTGACTCGATACTAACCTTTTTATTGTTTTAAATTCTAGTTTTCTACTACTGGTAATGATGTAGCCACGAGACGTGCTTGTTGTACTGCTTGGATTGCCAATCCCGAAGAAACTGCTCAAGTTCTTCTTCATCTGACTGATTTGCTGGATCAGCGCACTCTCATCAAGTAATTGTTGAATTGTGGTGGTATTTAACCCAATGTGATCTTTTATTATTTTTATACTTTCAATAAAGTATATTTTTAAAAATCAATATTCTGCACGTTGTTCAATCAGAATAGGGCGAAGCAAGGAGCTCTCTACGAGTTCAAACACCCGATCAAACGTAGGATGGTTATTTAAATGATCTCTCTCTCCCAGTCCATCTGCACGAACAGTATACATGATGCCAGTTGATACCAAACTATCTCGCGAACCAAACACTTTTTTCAGCTCATTCTTGACACCAAGATGACTCTTGATTCGTGCAGATACTGACTCAGGCATATCTTCTGGAAACTGTATCCATTCTGCAGTGTGAGTAGACTGTAAATGTTCTGGAATAGCTTGTATATTGACAGCACATCCAGTTATAGGATCGTATCTGCGATGAACCAATCGATTGGTGCAAGTTTCTGCATCAGTGTCGAGCCAAACCAATCTATTACAAAATGATGTTGAGCAAAGCCTAATCAACACACGTACACTACTTTGAGTTTACATCTGTATTAGGTATGTACCTGTTTGGAACCATTCCTTTGCTACGTAACGCTTCAGCATCGAATTTTGTAAGTGGGAATCCATCCAAGATCCATCCATGGTTCAAACAATCTTTTCTTTTTAGTCGTTCAACAATCAATTCGACCAAATACCCTTGTGGAGCTAAAATAAATACAAGATGCATAGAATACAACACATGTCAAGATATAGTATTGAGAAGTTGGGAGTGTATAGTTTCTACTGACCTTTTTCGGGTGTACTGATGAATGGCTTGAGTGTATTTCCCCAATGCGATCCACTGGCAATCTCTTCAAGAATCACTTTTTTTGGCGAGACTGGTGTATGGATGAACGCGATTGAGTTGAAATGGTTAGTTTTAAAAACATATCAGCCATGAATAGAGTAGGAGATGAAGGATTGACTTGCCATGAATATAGCCATATTTTTTTGAGATGGCCTCGGAGATTAGAGATTTTCCAGATCCGGGCAAACCAGCAATTATGATTTTATGGCAAGAAGGAGCTTGCGAGATATGCTGTGTTCCAAGAAATTCGTATATATCCTGCAACACTTCATTTTCCTTTGTAGAAATTCCTTCTGGATACCTAAAGACTCGAGCGTTTGTTTTAAAATAGGCGAGTACGCCATGAATGTGTTGACGATAAAGATTCAAACGAGCCTGAGTAGCAGTCTCGGTATCGGACTGTCGCCTGGTTAGACGGTCTTCAATAAGAGCATTTTTAGGTGGTGGATCATATTTGATGTGGTATGTTTTTCCAGTAATAGGGTCATGACGTAAGCCCGTCACTCGATTGATGACCATTTCATCTGGAATATCAAAAACGACTAAAAGCATGAAACATGAGGAGCATGTCTTTTTTAGATTGTATGACTTGAAGCATTGTAGTTGAGCAAGACTTACTTGTATGATCTGGAATCAGACCTTTACGAAGCATGGCAACAGCCTGTTCGCGTGTACGAGGATAACCTTCCAACACATACCCACGTTCAATGACATCTGATTCATTCTGTAAGCGTGATAAAACCAAGGAAATGATAATATCATCTGGAACAAGATGACCACGGTCCAAATAGGCCTGTGCTTGAATTCCAATAGTAGTTTTTTTTTCAATAGCATTTCGAATGAGAGAGCCAGCATGAACATGCACAGCATCGTAGGTGCGCACAAGAGATTCAATCTGAGGTTGAAAAGCAGATGTGAATAATAGAAACCTTTTCAACGAGTCACAGAGACTTACTATAGTTTTCTGACCACATGATGGCGGACCAATGACTAAAATGGATGTAGCTACAACCCATCAAAAGAAACCAGTTTAACAAGTATTTCATAAAGCAAGGTCGCGTTCATGGAGTGTAGAGATGACTTACGAAAAGGTTTCTGCAGACGGTCAATGATAAACTGAAAAGGCTCGACGGGTTTCTCGATGGTGATTTTAGTAATAATGTTATGAAACAAGTCAAACAATCCATGCTTATCCACGTAAGCTGCGTACGAGTCAAGTTTATCGTTATCCACAAGGTCGCTCATTGATAGTTAACACGAATTATCAACCAGATTACTAGTTATGATGACTGCACGTGTATTAACCTCGACTTGATTTTTATAAATCTTGACAATCTTGACAAGTTCCCATTGAACAACAAGCAATCCCTTACTGCCGTTTACATTGAATTAACACAAACATTGATATCCATGAGTAGCCCTCAACAGCCTTCACAGGGCTTAACTGCTGCTTCCTTCCAATCGTCCTTGATGGCCAACACTTCCACTCCTATTACCGAGTCTAAACCTTCCACTTCTTCACTAACTGCTGGATTAAAAGCTCAGAAAGAGCAACTGCGTCATCAACTATATTCTCAACACATGCCCATTCCATCCACTAGAATCTCACATTCTTCTGCTAGTCTGAACCATTCTCTTGCTCCCACTGCCAACTCAAGACCTCAGCAACGACTCTACAATGACTATGATGATCGATGCATTCCTCCAACAACTCATGCCAGTCTTGTTCCCTTGCAACACAATCACTTGTCATCAACCGACTTTAGTAGAAAGTCTATATCTACTGCTTCATTCGATACTACTTTGACTAAACAGACTCAGTTGCGACCTCTAGGGTCTGGTTCTATTCCCACAACTGCTGGTCAGGATAATGCATTGGTTGCTCAAACTGGCATGAGTTCTACACAGTCAAGACGTCTTCCATCTCCAATCTATCCACTACATCAAGCCTCGTTTCTACATGCATCTCCTATGCCCATTCCCTCTGCCACTACTTCAAGACCATTCCAGTTTCGAGATACCAATGGAATTGACAGTCAGTGTGTTGGCAGTATGGATGCGGGTGTAGTATCGCATCTATACAAATCTGAGAGTACAACTACGCCCATGTCATCTCTACCAATCACCATGTCAGCATTTCCTGTCGAGTCTAATCCGTCTTTGACTGGCACTGAGATTTTGCTTTCATGCACGCCAAATTCTACAATTTCTGGTCAACGACAAATTCCTGCTGCTACATCTGCTGCTCATCCCATAACGAGCCCATTGTCCAAGTGCAGCATTTCAGCTATAAATCCAAAAATAACTACCAGTCTTCATTTACCTGAAAATAACACTTTTCGTCGGTCTGGTGTGGCCAGTGCATCATCCAACTCTTCTCAAAGATATCCTGCTATACATACATTCACAAATTCCAACACTTCATTGCTACAACCTCCTCAGAATTTTGCTCCACTTTCTGCATCCGCTTATTTTTCTGGATTTACCTCTTCTCCTGGCACATCAAGCTTTTCGTTGGATGGTAGCCAAACTCGGGAACATTCCCTTACACGTCGAGGAACTGAACGCACTGGTATCCGACTAAGAAAACCACTTCCTTACGGTCATATACGCACAGGTTCGTGTGGTTCTAGCTCTGCGTGGAGTACATCGCATGTTTTTGTACGACGCCAATCTCAGGATGTTTCATCTCCCACCACAAGCAGCTCCTACTCTTCTGTCAATCCTTCTCCTGCTGCATCATTTTTAGCTTCTTTTGCAGAACCCTCCATTTGTGCACCTACCTATGGTCAGTATTTAGAAGGTGATCAGATTGGAGAATATACACTTGTCAAAAGAATTGGCTCGGGTGCATCATCGTGTGTATTCGAGGCATCTGTTAAAGATCCTGTCACAGGAGAACTATTGTATATTGCAATGAAGATATTACCCAAGCGGAGAATCTGTAACAGTGATAATGACGTTGACACGGATCCACCAAATGGTCGCTACTCTATATCTAGCTTTGGACAATCTCCTGATTCGGTCTCGACACCATTTGGATCTCACATGTCACTTTCTCATCTAAGCCAGAATTTCCCCAAAGCTTCACTTCCAACGTATCAATCTCACTCGATTGTTTTGAAAGCTCAATTGGACAAGGAAACGTCACTGTGGTCTCGTTTACACCATCCGAATGTTTTGGAAATGACTGAGATGATTGATTTAGACGATGCAACCATCATTGTTTGCGAGCTTGCACGCGGTGGTGATTTACTTTCGTTTATCAACAAGCATGGTGCACCAGGACTTTCAGAGTCAACTTGCCAGCGTATGTTTTATCAGCTTTGTCTTGCCGTGTCATATCTTCACTGCGAAGTAGGGATTCTTCATCGCGATATCAAGCTTGAGAATATCTTGTTGGACGAAGACAACAATATCAAATTAGCAGACTTTGGTCTTTCCGAAGAGCTTCTTATGTCTGACTCGAATTCTGTCATTTACCCTTATAATTTAAAGTCACCCGAGCAAAAAGAGTCTAATGCTACGTCCCAATCCAAATCCGAGCATATGCTTTCCAGAAGCACATCACTTCTTGGGCCTATTTTGCTCTATGTGCATAAATCCGAAGCCGAATTGATTGAACACCGTATTCAAAAACATGACGAGTCGGATGACACTACAAGTGGATCGCAAACTTCTCAGAAAAGTATGCCTAGAAAGAATTCCGAACCTTTTATGGGTCATTTTGGATCCACCACACACTTGTCTTTGCCTCGTACACACATGGCCTTGTCCAAGCCCGAACCCAACGCACATTACATTGTTGGATCACTTCATTATTGCCCACCTGAAGATCTTCGTAAAGCATCCCCCACACCATCACCACGATCCTTTTCTAATTGTAATCAAGATGGTTTACAACAATCTGTGTTGTCAGCTATTCGAAAGCCTACATCAGATATGTGGGCACTTGGATGTGTTCTTTATGCGATGCTTACAGGAAAACTTCCTTTTAATGATTCCTTTCTTCCTCGTTTACAACTGTGTATTGCCAATGGAAAGTTTGATATGACGTGTATAGACAACATGGCACAACGTACCACTTCATTGTCTTGTGTACAAGAGTTGATTCATGGTATGTTGACTGTTTCAGTAGAGCGTCGATGGACGATTGATAAAGTACTTGATCATCCATGGGTCAAAGCAGGAGCAGAGATTTCACCCGGATCTACCCTTTCACCGAATGTGTCGTTATGTCACAAGTCTTGATTTCATACTACGATTGCCTAATATTGAACTGGTTTTTCAACTGGTTTTTCAACCGGTTTCTTGTTTCTTGTTCATACACTAGACAGAAAGACAACTCTCTTTTTTTCTCATTCCTCCATGCATATTCCCAATATCAGATAAACATGATTCATTGATGTATGATCAGTTTGAAATATAATGTAAATGTTTAAACACTCGTACATACAACACTTTAGTGATGTCCAATCCACCTGAATAACAACGCAGATAAAATGTCAATACTATACAGTGTATTATTTGTTGGTAGTCTAGCAAGTTTTTAGAGTATAGAGAACACGAAGCCATTAGCATCGAGTTGAACAGCAGACATTACTACTACATGACCTACAAGGGATGTAGAGTAAAGAGTAGTTTACAAAGATAGAGCAAGATGAGATGGGTGTAGCAAGTCGAAGCAGTAACAGGAGCGACACGAAGAATGAACACAATTCAACCCATTGCATAGATGATGAGCATGTTTTCCAAGTTATTTAGAATCTGATGGATTCAGGACAACGTAAGCGTGATGATAACCCAAGAGAAAAACAAGGACCAAAATACCATAGTTGAAGCAGAGAATGAAGACAAGGAACTGTTTCCAATGACGACTGTTTTTGAAGCAGGGTTTGTAGTTGTAGCAGAAGCGCCAGTAGATTTGCCACCAGATGTGCCATTTGGAATAATAATTTTAACCAAAGGACCTTCAAACGTGCCAGCGCCAATTTGGATTCCGTCATGGATTCTGCTTTCAGTGTAAGCCAATGAAACATCCAATTCCCAGTCTGTTGTGGGATGAGACGCATTATTAGGAATCACTTGGAGTGGAATAATGGACAGTAAAGGCAATGGGTTAAGATTTGCCATTAAAGAAAAGGTCATGTTGGATAGGTAAGCGGGCGGAATTGCAGTTGCGTTTGAAAAAGTGATGACGACAGTGGATAGCCACACATTGGTAGGTTGTGATGGTAGATACGATATGGTGAGGTTGATGGGAGTGTTGGGAGAGACTTCGAATGGACAAGGATCAGGAACACAAGAGAGTAGTACGGATGTAGATACTGGCAAGGTTTGTGCTTGGACACCTAGTATGATAACAAGTTAGTTTAGAATAATGCGGTGACCGGCTATGCAAGAATCTGCAAATTCAAAAAGGCATTCAGACCAAACCAGTTGTTCTAATAGAATGCATTCAGTCTTGATTGTTTTAGAATTCTAATCATATTAAAGAATGATATTGACAAACGCCTCATTCATACTATCAAGACTCGTTGATAGAATGTTGAGTATTTCATATTCCATCAACATTCATTCTAAGAATGTTGCTGCAAACTAGTTGAGATGGTGAATGACAGTATAATTCAAACTATTAGAAACTTACTGGAAAACAAAAGAGCAAGCAATGGCCCACTATGCCATAGTATGAGCATTGATGTCAAGTGTCTGGCTCTGAAATGGATTTTTCAAAGTAAAGAAACGTTTTAAAATCAGCGCATCAAACTGGTGTTGAAAGGGATTTTCAATACCGCCCTGTTGTGTTGAAATCTGTTTTGGTTTCCCTATTTTATCAACATCAGCTCGTGCTTGGTAACACAATAACCACCCTCACTCAACCACTGATACTTTATCAATTGATTCATACATCTCGTATGACTATACTTTATTGGGTTTCCAAAAACTTTCTAGAATTTCAGAACCATATGGAGTTGGTAAATTTACAAAAAAGTTAATCTTGATCATCACCTAAACATGACAAGTGAATCACTCACCTTCTAGCTTGTTGGACCATAAATTCCTTTCGTTGACGAAGACTCAGTTGACGTGCATCGGGTGATGGTTCCCACTTTTTAAGTGGTTCTGCAACCACTTCTAATTCTGATTTTAAATAAGGTGGCGGCTTGTTCGTAAAGACAGGAAGGGAAGATGCTGGTGTAGATGCAGTAGAAACTCTTGCTTGAGAAGTATTTACAGGGACTGGAGTAACTGGCTAGAAAAGTTTAAATCAGACTTCATTCATACTACTAGTCTATCCACACGACTTACTGCTACAAGTGCACCACTAAGAATTCGATCGCAAGTTTCTTCGACACTTCCAGTATTGGACAAGTCTAGTTCAATAGTAGCTCGAGGAATATGTGGAAACATGGAAAATACTGCATCAACCTATTCAAGATGATTTATAAGATGAACAAGATGAAATCCAACTGAACAATGACAAGTTCTTACACTTGAAAGAGGTACTGGAAACCGGCCTCTTCTAGAAGTTACTGTTTGTCTTGTAACATTTGATCCTGGAGGTTGAGTCTGACCACCTGTTGAAAGGATACAGTTTAGAATCCACAAGATTTGAATCTACAACGTATCAAGTTATTAGTCTGTATGACTTGATAACTTACCAAAGAGAACGTAGCGCACGACAAAGAAGAGCAAGACAAGCGATACAAGAATAGTTGTAGTGTCAGACATGCAAGAATGAACAAGACTATCAGTTGCGGATGATGGCAAACTTGTAAACCAAAAATGTTTGTCAAATGGCGTCCATCTTGCATTGCCAATCATGAAACCAGCTGCCACTTCAGACAGCAATCTGACTGAATCATCACATACAGGAAATAGTCAATTTGCTAGTGTTCTTGCTGGAATTGTTCGTACTCTCGCTACCAATACAAGTCTTGTTTTTGTTGGTGTGGTCAAGAGTGCTTTACGATGGTGGTTTCGAGTTCCTGTCAAGTTGTTTCGTCCTTATGCTGTCAATCCTTGGTTAGTCTTTCATTCCATGGCAAAGGCTCAAGGAAGTTCTTTTTCATTACAATTTGTGCATCATACTCTACGGAAAGAAGGAGTGAGTTACTATGTACTGTCATGATTGTTGGATTCATTCTAATGTCTTGTTGGATTCATACAACACTGTAGATTCATTTCTTTTCTAGGAATGCAATTCCTCTCTTTATTGCCAATGCTGCTGTTGGAATCACTCTATTTAATGCTTATTCTGTTGCCATGTCAAGACTCTCTTTATCCAATGTTGATCTACATCCATTCATGGCTGGCTGTATAGCTGGTGCTTCTCAATCTATACTCGCTACTCCACTCGATGCCATTCAAAAGATCATTCATCCAAAAGATCTGGTTCAGAATCACCACCATGGTATTCATCGTATTACTAAAAGCATATTGTCACAGGTGCTTCCAACCACAATGCTGGGAAAACTACAGTACTTGTATCGGCATTGGCAGTTTAATACCATTCGCGATGCTGGTGGATTCTCATTGTTTTTTGGTGTATTTGAAGGAGTTCGCAAGTGGGGTCGAGTTGGCGTAGCAGCATGGATGACTCGAGAACAAGATACGTTGACAAAGCGATCTTATGCACACATTGGATGTGATGGATTAGTGACTGTTTTTGCTGGTGCTGCTGCTGGTGCTGCATATCAAGGATTCACTTATCCGTTGGATCAATTATCCGAACTTGCTACATCCGTAAAAAGCATCCAACCAATGCATTCAGTACTCCCCAATGCAACACTTGCCCTAGATTCAACACAATTCACAACCCTCACAAAGCACATGTCAGAAATCAACAGTGCACATTCACAAGCTAGATTCAATGCTCAACAACCCGTTGTTACTCTGAAAATAGCCTGGCGTCTTGTTCGACAATATGGTATATCGAGATTCTTTCAAGGCATACAGCCACAACTTATTCGAGCTATGCCGCCTAGTGCTGCCGCACTTTTTATTTACCAACTGACAGAGGAAGCTTTTTGAGTAGTGTGCCATTGTATTGTAATTCCTTTATGGCAGTGTGAATCTGAGCTAGTTGAAGATTCTAAAAACATTGATACCGTTTCCAAGCAGTAAAATTCAATTGATGAATACATGTATTCATCAAGACGATCAATATTTATGAAATAGAATAAAGTGAGTAGAACATGCAAGACAATATTAAAATGAAGAGATTGAATTGAATTGAATGCGTTGCGGATTGAAACCAAAAAGGGATTTATAACGCAATTTTACTAAGAAAATTCAAATTAAATTGTAAAGAATTCGGTCCAAACAACCCATTGCAAACTAAAAACTTGAAACTGATTTTGAATTTCCTTTTATTCGCATTCACAGCAACTTGCATGGCGTCGTCCTCGTACACACCGACAGCTGTTGCTCCCGACTCGAGGTGGGTGTTTCTATAGTCTTGATGGAATAATCCTGTTTCTTCTTCTACATTACTCTGTTACCTGTATGCTCAATGACTTGTTCATCCTGGCTTGAATGGTCATATTCGTTCATATCAAACTGTTACTGGATGTCAAGGTGTAGTGCTGACTCTATAGTCATGACTACAAGAGTATAACAAAGACTCAAGTCTTGGTCTGGATGTTCAACTGCTTTCTCGTTCATTCTCTTCCCTTGACCTTCATCTACATTCTAACAAGTCCATTTATGCTACTCTACATGTTCATGGTTGACTTGTTGTTCGAGCTTATTTGGGTGTGAACAATCATTTCAACTGCTGATTACTGACTTGTTTTGTAAAATAATTCAGGATAGTGCGATTAGCAGGTATCAATGCTCGTTGAAGTTGCTCTTTTCTTACGAGATTCGTCGTTATTTGGTTTCATGTCAGAGATGCTCTAAATGAATGCCTGAATGGTGTTGGCTATGCTTCAAGGAAACTTGTATTAATGTTGTGTTATAATCTTAAATAGTTGTGGCCGCTGATGGTCTGTACAAGCGCGATGTATTTCGTAAGTTTTGCATCTGCTCTCTCGACTATATAGAAAATGACTCAATCTAAACTGTTTATACTATGCAGGCTTGCCTGACCCATTTGCAGTAGTTACGTGAGTGGAATTTGTTTGAACAATTTGATGGAATCAATTCACTCATCAATTTTTGTGAATATCTAGCATCGATGGTGAACAAACAAAGTCAACATCTGTAATCAAAAGAACTTTAAATCCGTATTGGAATCAATCGTTTGATTTGTACGTAATGTTTGCATTTCTAGTTTCTCAACCCTTGATTCAACTTTCTGTTTTCCGCATTTTAATCTGCATACCTAATCTTGATGCTTTGATAGAGTTTTGCGTAACGAGAGTGTGATTACCGTCCAGATTTTTGATCAAAGAAAATGGAAAAAAGACAAGAACCAAGGCTTTTTGGGAGTGATTAATATCCAAATGAGTTCTGTTTTCAATATTCAAACAGGTGGCGATGGTGAGTTTCTTTTTGTAACTATTCTTTTTAATACGTATTTTGAAAGTCTAAAGATAAACTCTTGATGTTGCTTTTTAGAAATGCTGACGGTCGAACTGAAAAAATCCAGCAGCAGAGATGTTGTAACGGGAAAACTGGCCATCAATCTGTCCACCAATCTTGACCAGCCTGCACCCAGCCACTCGTATGGCGTAAATGGACTATCAACTGATCTTGGTGGTCTATCGCTTGGCACAGATGCATCGCCGTCTACAGCTTCTCGTCCTCTATCTTCTCTTTCATCTGCAAGTATGCCCATTCCAATAGATTCAACCACTAAACTAGGATCCAACGTAACGTTTCTTTCCCCTGACGCTGCCAACGGACCTAATGGAGCTCGACCCAGTAGTGATACCAACTCTATCAATGGCATGTCCTCCATTGAAGATCAGTTTGGCCCTCTTCCTCCTGCGTAAGTAATGTCAATGTTTTTTTGATTTTTACAAACTACACGACTGATGCTTTGCTGTTTTCATTCAGATGGGAGCGACGAGTGGATCACCTTGGAAGAACTTACTACGTTGATCACAATACTCGCACCACTACCTGGCATCGACCTAGGTAAGATATCAACTGCTTTCAGTCTTTACATGCTCTGACATGTCATTATTAAACCCAACCTGTGATTCAATTTACAATTATTAGAGTCAATGCATCACAAGAACAACGTGCCATCACTGAGATTGAACGGACACGCCATAACAATCGTACATTGCCTGGTGATAACTCTGTATCGGAATCCAATAGTGTATCTGGAACCGAATTCTTTGCTGCTACTTCACCTCGAGAAGAATCCGCCATGTCGAATGCTCCAATGTCTGCTTCTGTTTCAGCGGCTGCTTTGCCCACAGATGCTTCACCTCAAGCCGCTACTGCATCACTTGGTCCACTTCCTGCAGGTTGGGAACAAAGGGTTACACCAGAAGGAAGATCATACTTTGTAGATCATAATACTCGTACAACAACTTGGCTAGATCCTCGTCGAGTTCAACAGCCCAATAGGTAGATTGCAACTCATATGCTTTATTGATCAGCTTGTGTGATGCTTAGACTGTCAACACGTTTTAACTTGCATTTTAGATCGTTTACGCAGCAATTAAATGCTGGGCAAGCGGCATCGCAGCTGGCAGTTGCTCAACAGCAATCTCAACAGGCACTGGGTCCATTGCCTTCTGGTTGGGAAATGCGCATGACCAATACTGGAAGAATATACTTTGTGGATCACAATGCCAAAATCACCACATGGGACGATCCCAGATTGCCCAGTAATGTTGACAGCAATGTTCCTCAGTATAAACGTGATTTTCGGAGAAAGCTTGTATACTTTCGATCCCAGCCTGCGTTGCGTCCCATTCCTGGCCAAGTTCATGTTGCAGTGCGTCGATCCAACATTTTTGAAGATTCATTTACTGAAATCATGCGTGTCCCTGCTGTTGATCTCAAAAAACGTCTTATGATCAAGTTTCAAGGCGAAGATGGTCTTGACTATGGTGGTTTGTCAAGGTATGTATGGCATTGTTTTATTTGTGTAGTCGTATTTCATTACTCATTACCGTCTTGTTTTTGATTTATAGAGAGTTTTTCTTTTTACTCTCACATGAAATGTTCAACCCCTTTTATGGTCTTTTTGAGTATTCTGCACATGACAACTACACTTTGCAGATCAATCCACATTCAGGCATCAATCCAGAGCATCTCAACTATTTTAAATTTATTGGCAGAGTAGTCGGTCTAGCTATTTTCCATCAACGGTTTCTTGATGCCTTTTTTATCACATCTTTTTACAAATTGATTCTCCACAAAAAGATTTCATTGAAAGATATGGAAAGTGTGGATGCTGACTTGTACAGAAGTCTCAACTGGACGCTGGAAAACTCGATTGAGGGTGTTTTGGACTTGACATTTACGGCAGAGGATGAACGGTTTGGTGAGATTGTAACGGTCGACTTGAAAACGGATGGAAAGGATATTGTTGTAACGGACGAAAACAAAGCAGAGTATATTCAGCTGATTACAGAATGGCGTATTGGAAAACGTGTTGAAGAACAAACCAAGGCGTTTTCGGATGGATTCCATGAGTTGATTCCTCGTGATTTGGTCAATGTGTTTGACGAGCGCGAGCTTGAAGTAGGTTTATTATTGCTCGTGTCAAATGGATTCAAGTATAACAATTGAGTCTAGTAGTGCTAACTGCTCATATCTATTGATTGTATAGCTTCTGATTGGCGGTATTGCTGATATTGATGTAGACGACTGGAAAAAACATACCGACTATCGTGGCTACACTGAAGACGACGAAGTGATCCAGTGGTTCTGGAAGGTAACTGGACTAGTTCATTTGAGCATCACGTTTCCATGCCATTATAGATTGATTACTAATGCCTCAGTTTGCTTACAATTTTTTAGTCTGTGCAATCATGGGATTCAGAAAAGAAAGCCCGTTTATTACAATTCGTGACGGGCACGTCTCGGATTCCCGTCAATGGATTCAAGGACTTGCAAGGAAGTGATGGTCCTCGTCGATTTACTATTGAAAAAACGGGCGAGATTGAATCGCTACCCAAGTCTCATACCTGGTAAACGTCTTTCTAGACTTTTGCATTGGTGCTTATACTACACCTGCAATGTGCTAACACTTTTATTGATGTCTATAGCTTTAACCGTCTTGATTTACCACCATACCGAAGCCAGTCTGCATTTAATCGGAAAATTACATTGGCGATTGAGGAAACAATTGGATTTTTGCAGGAATAGGGGATTGCGTGTATTGAGTGGATTCTATCCTTTATTTTATGTTTTGCTTCATTTTTTCCACTTGAATTAATTTCCAGTTGTTCATTCTCTGTTTAAACCATGAGATGGACAAGCTGTTGTAACTTCCAATTGAATTGTTTTTATTGTTGAAATGCTCGTTTTTCAAGTGCTGCACAAGATTGTTTCAGACATGTTATCTAATTTAAATGATATGGAGTCATGTATCGATCAATTCAATCTTGGACAACACTGCAACCCGTCATACCACAGATACACAATTAAAAAGATAGATTCTAATCCGATTCCTTGTGATGCTGTCCATTTACAAACTTGTCCGCTCGTAAAACAAAATATAAGCCTGACATTTCAATACTTCGTCGAGTGTGGCATAGCGAACGGCACTATCGCTACAAAACGCCCATGTATCATGTGTGGAACATCGATCCACTTGGCACGTATCTGCACCAAATGCCACGATACGTTCAAGTGGAGGAACACGAACATAGGACACGTAATGACCGCCAAAAATACTACCAGAATGAACGACTACAGCATAAAGACGGTACCATCCACCCTGACGACGAGTGGGTACAGGGGACAATGCATCTTGATGAGCCAAAGTGAGTACAGGCGATGGGTTCAACATAGACTGTGTAGCGCTGGATGGATGTACCGAGAGAGTAACATGACCATCTCCATGATGACTCGATACATCTGCTACCTGTTCAAATTGTGATCCATTCGAATCACCCTCTCTGTTTTTCTGAGACGTACCTTTCTGTTTGGGTGGGGTTTCGCACACTTCAGGAGGTGTCATCACACTATCCAGATTCAACCACTCTTCAAACGGAACCATCAAATCAAGTTTTCGTGTACGTTCCGTGTTACCAATTTGTTCAAACCGTTTTAAATGCAATACGAGAGTTTGTGGCGCATCGTAAAGCAGAAACCGTTTGTACGCTCGAGATATACAAGGCGGATGTTTTTTAGTTTGGGTTGTAGGTTTTGTCACGGAGGGTTTAAATTCTTCTACGGGAATGGTAAGACTCACATTATGAATCTCAAAATCAAGATCGCTTGATGATGAAGTGGATTCATCTTCGTGGTCTTCCATATCGTCTTGAAGTTCTGTTTCAGATTGTACAGACTCGATAGGATGATCTGGAAGTTTAGGAGAATCAGCCATCAGGGCTAAACAGTCATCGCTATCTTCATCGTACTTTGAGCTCTGATTCGTAGACTGCTTTGCAACGGGTAGTAAAGCTGCTGCTGGAAAATCCTGTACCAATGGGGTATCTTGTGATTGAGGCAACAGTTGGTTAAAACTGCTGTGTTGAATTCGGCCCGGAGTCGAGGCAGTCCAAAATAAACTGGGTAGTTCATTATTTTTTGTTGCTGCTGACACCTCAATGGATGTAGGTCGAACAGCTTCTGAAGAACACGATGAAGGCTGATCTTCCTCATTACCGTATTTGAGCTTGTAGCAATTATCACAATGCAACCCGTTTTCACCTTCGAGTGTTTCTACAGACATAAAATCAGTCAAGCATCGTGAAAGTGATGCGGCAATATTGGCATTACTCGAGGTACTTCCAAACGACTTTGTTTTGGCGCGCTCAAACTGAAGGCCCAAATCACTCGGGTCAAGTGATTTCAACAGAGACTGCATTGTTGCAATACATTGTGCTTCAGTAGGTGGAAGTGATATAGGATCCACCTGCTGAAGTTTGGAAGATGGAGAGGTAGTTGAGCTGGAAGGAGGAGATTTGGATAATTGGTTGGTAGCCAGATCAAAAGACGCCAATTCTTCAAAAAAAGGTTGTGCAGACAATGTATTGGGTGATGACAGTGGAGTTGGACTAGGAATAGTAGTGTAAACAGGATTATTGATAGGCCCGCGTCTTGGAGATAGTCGAAGAAGTTCTAACCCCTTTGTAATAATGCTACGATTCGCGTTGTCTGTTAATGTCTTTTCAGCCGCCTTATCTATAGACTCGTCATCTGATCCATTGGAGCTTACAGCATCAGAGGTTTTTAAAACAGGCTGTGGCAGTAGTTCACGTTTTGATGAGATGGGACTTGGAAGCCGACTTCTTGGCTTGATTACAGTGCTTAAAAAATTGCGCATACTGGCACGTCGTTCCATTGGCTGTAATGTTATACGCCGATACAATAGAAAATAAATATGTGGATTTACAATATAACCAGTAATCTATTCATACCTTTATAATGGAAAGGGATACATCCAGAAAACTTTCAAACGAAAAAGAAGGCTAGTATTGAACAAAGAAAACACATTAATGATTAGGATTTGCAACACTGCGATTGTGTATTACAATGGCAATTAAAAACTTACATGTTTACAGGTATCGCATACAATAATGCTTGCCATACGACCTCCAAACACATCATCTATGAACGTTTTTTGTTGAAATGAAATGACTCTTTCGTTGTTGTCCTTCTGATGGGTTTAAACCAATTGGGAATTAATGAAAACCCAAAGTTTAGTGACGTGGTATCAAGATTGAATAGTCTACAAAATAAACTTACAGCATACTGTTCTTCCTTGATACCATCCAGTAATCGCCTTAAAAGCTCGTGACTATCCTGTTGCTGATAGGACGAATAGCTGTCCCACTGTCTAGAGATTTCGGCAAACAGATTGCGGGGATTGACAGAACTTGAACTTTCAGCTAAAAGCTGTTTTCGCATAGTTCTAAAAAATCGAAAAAGCTCTGATTCAAAAAGTTGATATGAATGATGGATATACAGATAGTGTGAATGTGCATATACAAGAAACACGAACCGTTTGTTAGCGTAGTTTTGTGTGAAATTACAAGTTTAGGTAGTGATGTGTTTGAAACGATTGAAGTTTGTGCAGCAGGATCATTTGGTTCAACCAAGGGTAAATCTAGTTTACAAACAGACGCATTGCTGGCTATGTGTACAGGATCATTCTGATTTGGGAGATCAGAATTGACATGATCAGATGACTGCGAGGCTGATTGATGTGTATTATGTAGAGAGGTATTTTGTGACAAGGAAAGCTCCATGTTTACAATAGGCGAGCCTGTTGAGGAATTGGTTTGAAAAGACTCTGATTCCGGGATATACTTGTAAAGATGCTGTGTATATGTCAAGGACTATAAAAAACAAAGACGATCAGAAATCATTTTATCGAGATGATCAAACTTGATACATTCATACCGACATACCTGCATGACAGAATTGAAAAAGCATGTATTGCCGATATTGTTGAGTCCTGGTATTTTGAGAGCGGTAGAGCGTAACTTTTTTGCAGTTGAAGCGTGAGTAGCCTCACCTGTAGATGAAAAAGGAGAAGCGATTGATTCCAATGGTAAAAGTCGCGGCGGTCTACGGTGTTTTTCTAGGATGCGACGAGCCTCTAGAATCACTTTGTTGGCATTGGGTTGACCAATAATATCACAGCTACAGGCAAAACACCTAATGAAGCGGATATGGATGAGCAAGATTGTTTTAACGAGTAGTAGATGAATGTGTAAAGTACAGTTTAAACTGCAGACAGATGTCTTACCAACAATCGTATGAATCGGTATTCATTACAAGATGATGTTGACGCTTTATAGCGTGAGCGCGAACATGGTCTTGAGTTTCGCTACCACAACTGAGTTTGGCACAACATAGACAAATCCACAACTGACGAGCAGAAAATCCCACCAACGGAGAACTCATGCTAACAGCACACGACAAGGCGATGGATGGATCGTTATCATTTGAAGCCAATTGAGATTGAACATTTACAGCCGAGATGGAAGCACTAGCAAGCTGACCAATGGCAGTATCGCGAGAAGCCATGATAGGAGCAGATAAACCTCGTTGACGTGGAACCAATACGTCAGTAGTGGGATTAGCAGATCCAGCCTTGAGTTTGGACTTGCAAGACTAGCAGAGCAACAAATTAAATATTAACGATTAGACATGATGAATTTGAATGAACAATCAAGACTTGACAGTGACCAAGACTTACATGACATCCAGAATCTTTGATATACATAGACTGAGCAACCTTGAGTATTTTTGGAACCATGACCATCTTTTTCAAGTGTGGACAGCGTTTAGGTTTTCTTAAAGTATCGAATTCATCAGCAAGAGGAAGAGTCAGTTTGCAGTCAGTATCGTCAGACAATTGAACATCGAGAGCAGTAGTAGCGATTGAAGGACCAGAAGGAACAGAAGGACAATTGATGTCAGTTGTAATAGTTCGTCGTAACAAGTATTTAGAAGCAGGACGAGGCTTGACAGGATGTTCAGTAATGATCAATGTATCCGACTCTAGACTGGCTTCAACAAGACCAACCAATTCAGTAGCAGTCTTGAATAATCTACTTGACCTTCTAACAGCAATAACAGGAGGAATGTTACTGTTGCTGGTCATTACTTTAGAAGCCAGTTGCCTATCCAGTAATGATGAAGATTAGGTAGATGCTAAGCTTAGAGTTGTGATGGATCTCAACACTCATCCACTCTGCTTTACACATCCACTTGATAACCAACCCATCGGAACATCAACATGACACTCGAACCAATCCTTGCGTCTGTTCTACTTTATCATTACCATCAAAGCTTAATCCAAGTAATGACTGAATGATGGACTGGAGCCATGGCTCACTCATGTCTGTATACTAGCCAAGGGTACAGTCTATTACTGATACGGGTTCAATACTCGTCTAGTCTGTCAATGAACGTACTAGTCATTCGTATCTTGACTACGACCATTAGCTATCCATGAACCCTCTGGTGCCAGTCTCTCCTATGAGAGAGTATCTGCAGCATCGACACCCGTCTGTTGATCACTGTTCCCAGCAGTTACTCTACTCGCAGCCTCCTGTGCATCCACTGTCCTCCCATCTCCAGTATTATCCATGGCTGTTTGATCCACTGCAACCATCCATGCGTGTACCACTGCCAGATGGTCAGTACGGTCTTGGTCTCATATCCTGTAACCACAGTCAGGACAGTCAGGACAGTGCAAACTCTTGTGGCTACAAGAGTTTGTTTGGTTGTTCAACCGATACAGATTGTCTTGTGTCAAACTCTCTTCATAATGATGTGAATGTAATGCTCAACTCGTTACTAGACACTACTGATCCCATCTCACCCGGTCCTTTGGACTTTAGTGGTATCGAGTTTCCAACTCCATTGCCCATCACTGATTCTATCCCTGATTCCATCACTGATTCTATCCCTTCTACTGTTCATACAATGAGTGATACTTTACTACACAACTACAGACCTGCTTGCATCTGGCCTTGTTCGACCCCTATCGTCTCAATACAGCCACCTTTCAAGTCGTTGGAGATTCAGGATTATCCTATTCAACCCCCTACACTGGGTAATGCATTGATGGACTCTTACCAAGTCTTTGATGATCATTTGTATTCATCACTTCCTACTATGCATTGCTCTACACCTCATCATGACTACACTTGCATTGAATCTGCTCACAATACCACTTTGAATTCTACTTTGACTACGACTGACAGATTCAATACATTCTCAACTTCTCATTTTCATCCATTCAACTCTTCCTTGTCTAACAAGACTACCAACTCCTCATCGCCAATTACTGCTTCTATTTGTTTGACTGAATCCATCTCAAATGATCCATCTACTACGTCTGCATCACTCTATCCCATCTCCACTCTCTCTTTTGTTGACTCGACTCCATCTACCTGCGAATCATCAATAGATTTGATTCCCATGAAACCAGAGATCCTTCCTACAATCAGAATTCTATCTCTTAGCACTTGTTCTCAAAAAGCAAAACGCGCTAGTACAATCATACGACGCTCTACTGTCAAACAGCATCTACAACAGTCTGTCACAAGTCCTGCAACATCCATTGCTACAACTGAAAATGAATTTACTCTTTCAGAGTCTAAAAGTGATGACGACATTCTTGTATGCAAAGTTTCTGGTTGTCGTAAATTGTTTGATACAAGTCACAATCTACGAGTACATGCTCGCTGTCATCTTCCTCTTGTCCAGCATCTGTGTCCTACCTGTGATTACGGATTTCGTCGTTTGACTGATCTTCATCGCCATATTCGCACAATGCATACTCCAGAAAACTTGCGTCCTTGGCAGTGTTCTTACTGTAACCGTCGATTTGGTCGATCTGATGCACTACGTCGTCACTTGCTATCCCGCGAACGATCGCTCACTTGTCCGCCCGTATCGCGTAAAAAGAGTATTCAAACTACTGCTCGAAACTCTTCCATGGCAGTCTCTTCATTTCCTATAAAACAAATATCTTGATCTTTATCTGTCGATTGCATTCTTATACATACACTTACAGCTTGAATGGTAACACCAAATGCTACCCATTTGTTTTTTTACAACCTCGTTTTTGATTCTGGTCATTCATGACCCGTACACTCGCGAAATAGCTGCTGGTCAGCTATTGCTCTAACCAACCTCATGTTTCTTATCTCTTCAGTTTATATGCCTCATGCATACCTTTATACCAAGGCAAGCTTTTCAATCACCTGTTGATGAGTGTCTCTTGTTTTTGTGCGTCTACTCAATCTCTTGTCGTTTGTGACAAAGGGTTGACATTCCCAATCTGCTTGTACTCAGTCTAGAATGGTTACTGTGTTCAATTTAAACCTTTTAGGATTGGATAGCACCAGATATTCTCCATGACTGTTTTGGTGATTGTCTCTCGGGAATGTAATCATTAGTCCACTTTTTCTCATTGAATAATAGTGTTGAAATAAAAAGTAAACACATGGATGGTGTAGATTGAGTTGATTCATAGACGGGTTGGGGGTATACCAAGAATAGCACCACCATCCATAGTAAAGATAACACCAGTCATATGAGATGAAGCTCTGCTAGACAAAAACAAAGCTAAACCAGCCAGATCGTCAGGAATGCCAATCCTTCCCATAGGTTGCAACTTGACCAAGTGGTTTTCAGCCTGAGATAAACTGTATTGGGTCATTCCAGAGGGAAACACTCCTGGAGCAATTGCATTGACAGTAATCATTTCCCTAAACCAAAATACACTGTTAATTTCAAAGATCAACTCAGAGATGATTGTAGATATTTACTTTGCAAGTGACGCAGCAAGTGTTTTTGTTAAATGATTGACTGCAGCTTTAGAAACAGAATCTAATGACAATTGAATACACTCATTCATGAAGGGTTAAAACTAAATCAATCATGTTTTAAACATGCCCATATTCAACTTACATGACCATGTACCATAACCGTTAGGTGTAAGCACTCCTTCAGCCAAGGGTGATACGGCCGAGATTGAACTGAATATACATGTAGAAATCAAACTTAAAATGACTTGAGCATACAGTGAATATGAAACTTGAACAAGATCTACCTGATATTGATGACACGAGCTGGATCAACATTTCCATTTGAAGCTGCTTTAAGCAACGGCACAAGTCTAATTTCATCAACATATTAACGATACAAATCAGTACATTCACGAGTCGATTCAATCTACAATAGCTTTGACTTACGCTGCGGTGAGGTAAAACATTCCCTTGACATTTAAAGCCATCAGATTATCCCATCCCAGTTTTTCGTCATAATCCAGCAAGGGACTAGCCCAAGCTACACCAGAGTTGTTGATTAAAACATGCAGTTTTGATTCCTTGGAAGCAATGGTAGCAGCAAGAGATTCAGCTTGAGCACGAGTCGTCAGATTGGATTGAATTGCAATGCATGTGCCTGGTCCCTTTAAAGTCAATTCAGATGCGGTGTCTTGAACTACTTTAAGCTTACGAGATGCAATATAAACTATAATATAAAACAAGAGAGATTCAAACACATTGGGATTGATTTTCTATACAATTCAAACCATAATTCACGTCAAATCTTCGTACCCTTGCATCCGTTTTGAACCAGTGCAGCAGCCATCACTACAGAAACAGCATGAATTCAGCATGATGGATTAAAGTACAAATAACCAGTTTAAGATCATACTTTTTCCAATGCCAGAACCACCACCCGTCACCAAAGCAACCTTTCCCTTGACATTGAACAATGACTGGATTGAGAAATCTGCCATAACTCTTGAAATGTATTGGGTTGGAAATGCAAGATTGGATCTGACTGATGATTGATTCATCACATGACATCACGTGAAATAAAGTTGATTTTGAGATGAAGAATAAACTATTGAATCTTGACATTAAACAGTTGAATCTTGACATTGAACAATTGAATCTGTGTTTTTAAAGAATAATAAATGAGATTATCGAGTGTATTTGTTGAATTTGATGGTCAAAATTCAATGCAAAATTGATAAAATTCTTGCTCGTGTTTTAAACAAATTCGCTTTTTTATTTCTTTAAATTCAATTCTTCATAATGGACAGTAAGTAATAATGACAGTAAGCCTGCTGCAATTCAAGCACATTTATTACTGGAAACACAATCTATTGATTGTGTCAGTAGATTGTGTCAGCAATAGTTTGTTGTAACAATTTGTATAGACAGATTCTAACAATCATTTGATAGAGTTCCAGCAAGCTTCTGGTTCTTATCCAACTAATGGGTTTGTACCCACTAATCCCAACCAAGGTGGTCCTATTCCACCACCACAGTTTCCTTATATGTTTTATGGTCAACAACAACCGCAGATGGGAACCGTCCTTCCGTCTCAGCCACTACATCCAATGATGCCAAGATCCAATATGATGATGATGGGCGGACCCATGCCTCCATATGGTATGCCTCCACTACAGTCCATTCCTGGATTCCCAATGACTCATCCTCAGTCTTCTCCGGACATGATACGTCCTCCTATATCCATGATGCCTCAGATGATGCGTCCGCCCATGATCCCCGGTGGCCCAATTCCTCCTCTGCAACACTTGCCTGTCATGCCTGCCATGCCTGCTATGCTATCGCATCCATCCTTGGAGTTTCGTCCAAAACAACTACCTCCAAAACCACTTCCAATGCCTTCGTCTAATCTAGTCCCAAAACTACCCGGATCGGTAGTATCTGCAACAAATGGTTCAGTCACTGTTATGGGTGGTCCTACTGGTGCTCTGGCTCATCTGAGTGCTAGTGTCACTTCATCTGCTTTTCAAGATTTGCTTACTACCGTTTATGTCGGTCATATCGGTCCTTCAATCTCGGATGAAAAAATTCAAAAACTACTCCAGGTTTGTCTTGACATCTTGTTACTTTCATCATCTAAACACTGTCTAGCATATGATCTCTACTCACTCTCTTATACTTTTTAAACTAGACATGCGGCGAAATTCGATCGTGGAAACAAGGTGTATCTGAAACAGGAAAAAAACTCGACTTTGGTTTCTGTGTTTATGAATCTGCACTTAGCACCATCAAGGCTATTCTTTATTTAGGTGGTGGAAACATTAAAAGCATCACTGAACTTCACGATAAACCAGTTCATCCCATCCAGGCTGATCTTGACACTGAAATCTCCAATGTGACTGCTGAAACCACTACCCCCTTTGTGGTGCGGTTTGGAATGGATACTCCTCTCATTGTTACAGCTGATGAAATCACAAAGGCCCATTTGCGAACAATCAAAACGGGTGAACAAGACATTGAGGATGATCCTTCTCACGCAGAACAGATGCGCAAAACTATTCAGGATTGTTTACAAGATATTTTCATGTCAGAAACACACGATTTTCTTGATCGTTTAGATGAAGATGTTCAAACATCTCACGCCTCAAAACGGTCTCGTGTCTCGAGTCAACCTAAACAAGATCCATCTGAATCCAATCTAGACGAAATTGATATGGAAGCACTTGAAAAAGCATCTATTGAGGCTGATCAAATTGAACAGCGACGTGCTGAACGGAGAGAGCAGGATCGAATGGCTACCCTTCAAGAACGACAACGGCGCTGGGAAAATAGCGAGGCTGGACGTTTGCGTCGAATCGAAGCAGATGAAAGTACAGATGCTGCAAATGAAACTCGGCGGATTCATGCTCGAGAATTCATTTCTAAACGACTCGCCGAATACGATGATGATATAGAGCGTGAAAAAGGAAGTGACGAGTTCTATCGCGATCGGTATGTAGTTTTTTTCAAAATGGTTGTGGTTTGTATTCTGGCATTTCTTTTAAATTGTTTTGAACAGATCGAGATGGATTGATCGCAGAAGTCGAGATCGTCAACGTGAAGCCGAATTAGATGACCGTGATCGAGCAATGGAGGAGTCGGAGAGAGCCTTTGCCAACGAACACGAGCGCGAATCTGCTGCTCGTGTCGAAGCAAATACAGCGTCGGGTGTCATTGTCAGTCGCATCATGACCAAAGATGAACGAATCGAAGCCATTCAAGCACTTGTTGCAAATATTCCTGCTGAGCGTGATGGGTTGTGGGCATGGCCCATCAAGTGGAAGTTCTTGGACGAGGTAAGTGGCAATGCTTTTGAAACATGATGGAATGCATGCTGCAATGCTCTTGAAAACCTTGAATCTCAACCAGTGTTTGAAACTTGCCTGGTAATTAAATATTTTTTGAATAACAGACAATTGTAGATGTCAAACTACGACCATTTCTCAAACGCAAGATTGTCGAGTATGTGGGTGATGAAGAAACCGATCTGACTGAATTTATTCTTGAAAAAATCAAAAAACAAGACAGTGCACAATCAGTTTTGGAAGAGCTCGAAGCTGTAAGTTCAACGAAACCATGTATTGCCTTTTATTTCTGTCACTGACTCAACTTGTGACTGCGTTGGCTCAACACGATTAGGTTCTGGATGATGAGACTGAAGTATTTGTAATGAAGTTGTGGCGGATGGTGATTTACGAAACTGAAGCGCGTGCACAAGGTCTGTAACCTTCATATATCCCTTGTATACATCCCAAGGCGCATGGATTCAATTCGGAAACCTCTTGGTAAGATTGGGTTCATGCAGTGCATCAAATATTGCTACGCAACAAGAATAAAGACTATATATAACATACTCGATTGACTTGTTTTGATTGGAAAATGCAAATGGCTAGACTATCGCAAAGACATGGGCAAGAATTGTATGAATAAACACATTTGGACACTTCAAATTTATTTACGAGTTGCACAAGCAAACAAACTGATATGTTCACGTTTTCATTGAAAAAGGTGCATAGCAACAACAATCCTCCAGTCAAATGAATCAAAGAATATACTAATGTTCTAATCCATTAGGGTGTTTCTGGTGGAAATTCCATGCAGAGGCAACAATCTCCTCAATGGAGGTATACTGGCGTTTCCAGCCAAGAATCTGTTCGGCACGTTCTGAAGCAGCAATCAGTGTATCTGGATCACCAGGTCGTCTAAATATTGTAAATACCAACAAGGTTATCAGCATGTGTTTTGTAAATCATAGCACTCGAACGAGTCCATCTAACCTTTCGGCAAAATCAGCAGGAATAGGATGTCCCGTAACCTTGCGAGCTGCTTCGATAATCTCCTTGACAGAGTATCCTTTGCCACTTCCCAAGTTAAACTTGTCAGATGTGTTTGTCTTTAGCATATGCTCAAGAGCCTTGATGTGCGCAGTGGCCAGATCTGTAACATGGACGTAGTCCCGCACACAAGTACCATCGTGTGTGTTGTAGTCATTACCATTGATAAAGACCTTTTCACGCTTTCCACGTGGAACCTATTCAAGTAAAGATTGAGTGTTTGCCAATGAACACAAGCCATCTGATTCATCTGAATAGACTACACACCTGAAGCACAATAGGAATCAAATGAGACTCGGGCTGATGGTCTTCACCAATATCACCAGATGCATCGGCCCCACATGCGTTAAAGTAGCGTAGGCACACGTTTTTGAGACCCCAAGCCTCGTCGCACCTAGAATGTCCAATAAACAACTCGAGTCAAATCAAAGCATGATGACTACTGCAGTGCACTCAAGCTTCACAGAAACTGCCTACCATTTGAGTATGGTTTCCACAGCAAGCTTGGTATCACCATATGGATTTTTTGGCACAGTTGCATCAAACTCGTGAATTGGAACACGATCTGGCATACCAAACAGCGCAGCAGTAGATGAAAACACAAAATACTAGAGAATAATACCCCAGTCACCAACGCAATGTATCATTTAAATCTCATCTAGTCTTGACAACAAACTATTCAAATACTTACCTTTGTTCCATGCTTTTGCATGGCTTGGAGGAGAGTGATTGTGCCCGATACATTGTTTTCGTAGTATTTTAAAGGATCAATGCAACTTTCTCCCACTTCAATACTAGCACAAAAATGCTATACGGAAATCAAATCAACATCTCAAATTCAGTAGATAGCCTTGCGCCAAACAAGGCATGCAGCAATCTACCCTCAAACCGTGATACTTACAAAAACAGCATCTGGTTTAAAACTAGTGAATGCTTTTTCAAGATCCTCTTTGTTGCGAATATCGCCTTGAATGAGTAGTGTGGTGGCAGGTACAGCAGCAGCATGACCTACATGATGCAATGAGATGAACACCACATCCAATCGAGTAGACTGAGTTTAGAAGAATGGATATAAAATATGACGCAGAAATGATGGCAGTTTGTGGAGATACAAGACAGATTGTGTAAACAGTCAGATGCATGTCAATCACCCTTGGACAGATTGTCAAAAACAGCAACTTGATATTTGGGCAACTTGGTGATTTCCCGTACAAGATGGGAACCAATGTAACCGGCACCTCCGCATACAAGAACCTATATTATAAATTTATTAGTATTTCTTGAAACATGAATAGAACAATCCATTTGGACTTGCAACCAACCTTCATATTGTCAAGATAGTTTACAATAGAAACTGTCCGCTTTGTGCAATTCGATTGCTATTTATACACGTGATGTTCAACTCACATTTCGGCCGTATCCACGTAGAACAAAGCACTGACTAAACAAATGCTCACATTACAATCCAGTCCATCTCCGACTTTTTTGATACAAACCAAACATTGCAATATCAACTGAATGCATAGATACAACTGTTGCGTTTTTAAACCGTGGGATCGCTGTTCAACTGGATCGCGAATGTATCTGCAATGTTTAGATACAGGATTGTGGATGCTGAATATCGATAGTGTATGCCCTTGTAATGTGAGAGTATTGGGATGTGCAGTCTGTTGACTTGCACTATGTGAATCCTTTGTATGTGTTTGGGCTGTGATTACCAATTGTGATATCACAGCCATTTCTAATGTAAGATATACGGAAATCGAGGATCGGGGATCTTCTCAATAATAATAATTGAGTGAGAACCCTTTGCATGTGTTTGGGCTGTGATTACCAATTGTGATATCACAGCCATCTCTAATGGAAGATCTATAATAATCAAAGACTCGACAACGATGCTCGAGTGAGAATCCACATACATTCCTTTCTCTGCTCACCCGCCATATAAATACACACTTTTCCCATTCTGTAATAAACAATGCAACATTGGTTCATCCCTTCACATCTTTGATCAACTGTAACACGCTTCCCGACTATACTGAACATTGATATGCCACCATACATCTACAGTCTTTAAACTTCATTGCTCAAAGTTAATAAAGGTAATTTATTTTAAAAAAACAAAAATCATAAAACATCACAAAATTGAAGAATCACAAAGCCAAAGCCTCGCCAAAATCATACGCAAGGGGTTTCATTGATTCATCGTATCCAAACGCATCTATAGAAGGTGTTGATATGGATTGAAGTTTGTTGCTTAAATCATTACCAATGTCCATTTGAAGATTACCCATGCCCAACAGATCAAAACTGGGCATGGAAAGCGATTGGGTTGAATTGAGCTGGGCCGAGTTGAGCTGAGCTGAATTGAGCTGAGTCGAATTGAGCTGCGTCGATTGAAGTCGTTGTGTGGGTAAAAGCGAATTGGAAAAGAGTTCGTTGGGCTGAATAGATTGAGAGAGCAAAAACATGGCATATGGGTTGGGTGAGGGTGATCGACCATTCATACTAGGACTTGGACTAGCTACACGGTTCAAGGCTTGATGTAAAAGTGGACTAGGCGACGGAGAATCGTATTGAGACATACTTCCAGAAGATTGGGATGGCGAACTATACCCCTCACTAAAGCCATTGGCTGACATGTTGTTGAGTGGAAAGTTTAAAAACGACAACTGAGGATGACTCTCAGACATGGCAGGCGAAATCATACCCAAAGTCGACTCATCGCCATACTGCAAAAGATTCAACTGGCGCGACGGGGGTTGCTGGTGAGGTTGATACTGCAGATGCTGTTTGATTTGCTGCTGCATCTGTTGCATTGGCAATGTTTTGGCCATCAACGATCCCCGCCAGCCACCATCACCCACCTTGCGGAGTCGTGGTGTGGGAGAGTGTATGCTTGGCGAGTTGCTTTCAAATCCACTAGACATACCACTATCGTCCATCAAAGACATGTCGAGTTTTTCGGCATAGTGGCGAGGAGACTTGCTACGAACAACAAGTGGTGCAGTTTCGATACTGGCAACAAGAATCTCTGACCCATCAAAAAGTGTAGCCCACAGCTGCACAGAAATTGTATGATACTGCTTTCCGATACGGCGCCTGTTTGCAAAAGTCGTGGTGCTACGGAACTGAAGGCGTTCATAGACCACCACGGTACCAGAGGGAGCATCCTGTGGTGCAGTCTGCAGATCAGGTAGAGGTGCACAAGGAATGTGGGTAGGGATAATCTTTGGGCCGCGTTCTCGCTTGGCAGTACGCTGGATCAGATCCACCGGTACATTGTCAGTTTCATCCATGCAACGAGCAGCAATGCCAATAGAAAAATGCTGGATGGGTACAAGCCCATGGTCAGTCAAGGCAACAAGACCAACAGTGTTGGAGATAGCTTCTCCATCGCAGCTATCAACATCAAGACCACCAAAACTAGCCTGTGCATTTATTATGGCATAGGTAGCACTGATTTGGAAGTAATTGCGACGGTAGCTGGTCCAATGGTTATCGGAAAAAGTGAATCCACGGCCAACCATTGGCTTAAGCACAACCTGGACGCTCTGCAGTCCAGTGGCAGTTTGCTGGGCAATAGCATTAACCTGGCAAGTCGATGTAAACAGGGGTATGTCAGGGGTAACATCGGTGCTTGAACTATTGTTGAAAGTTTAAATTTCAAGAGTCAATAAATAAGCACCAATATCACAGGCTTTTGAAAGCCGCGCCATCTAAAATCTGGCATGATTGCTAGATACAATATCTAAAAATCGCAACTTACTCTATAGGGGAAGCAACAGAAGAGTCGACATCACCACCAAGTGAAGCTAAAGTAATATTTCCTGGGTGGCCGAGCAGTGAGGGTGAGAATGACATTTCTATAGCAGATCAATTGACAATATGCAACTAAATTCTAGGTAATAAGAGGCAGACACAGTTTGGTGGATAACAAAAATGGGGAAATAACGCTCCATCTTATTGACGAGCAACTAGGCGAGATGCGAGCAGTGGTGGCAACGGTGGCAATCCAAAAGCTGATAAAATTGGGAAATATTTGCTCAAGTTTGGGTGGCTTGAGAGTTATTTTCGACTGTCCTGCTTGAAAGTATTCTTGTGTTTGATGGAATTGAGAATGCGAAGGTGGGGTTAGTCGAGCTTCTTCCAGTTGCCGTGACGATGGCACCTAATAGATAAGATTGGCACACTAAACAAGTGGCATAGAAGCGATCTCATCTGACTATGTTTGGCGTATTAGCGGGATACTTTTAGATGATACTATTTGCAAAAGCCACAGAGGCTGTTATGGTGCTGTATTCAAAAATATATACCTGAATCCGATGCTATTTGAAATCCAAAGTATTGCAAGCAATGACATGACTAAGAGTAACTAATAAAAAGTATATGCTATATCATATGGTCAATGGAAAAATAGATTAAGCATTCCACTTACAACCACATTCATGTAAAATGGAGTATCTTTGTATCTATCTTGCATTGACCGCACCGCTTCTCATACAATATCCATTATGGTTTTAGTCAAAACTACAATTTTAAATTCATTATCCCCTTTTTTGGTACAGTCATACATTGTACGATCATCAAGTGTAAGCCAGATACTGTGCTCAGCTGTTTCAATTTTGCCAACATCCACAATCCCTGTATCTAAACATTGCAGATACGTTCGCGATCCAGTTGAACAACGATTTCACGGTTTAAAAACGCAACAGTTGTATCTATGCATTCAGTTGATATTGCAATGTTTGGTTTGTATCAAAAAAGTCGAAGATGGACTGGATTGTAATGTGAGCATTTGTCTAACCAGTGCTTTGTTCTACATGAATACGACTTAATTCAACCAACCGAATAGCTGTTTTCAAAGGATTGCTGCAATCCTGTGTACTATTGTTTCATCACATAATTAGGATGCCAGAATTGCTTTGAATCTGTCGAAGCAATTGTGGCATTCCCTATGGCTCTCTCTAGTGAACAGTTGCTGGTTTCCAAATGACTAATTTTGATGATTCTATATATTTTATTAAAGGAATCATGTTTAGTAGATGGTCGAGAATAAGCTTTTTTACACTTGTGCAAATCATCCATTTGTAATACTGATGCATGATTTATTCTGCAGTAGAATGCGGTGTATGCTTTGTAATAAGATGAGTGGTACCGATCCATTGGATACATGGTTTGATGGATGAAATCTATTTTTGTAATTAGCGTCTATAAGCTAAAAGGCAGCCACAGAGATGTGCATGCAGAACCGTGTCTAAGCTTTACTTTTTTGTGACCGACCACGAGGAGGCTGATTAAAACTCAATATGTTTACAGTGCAATAAGACTTGAATTGCTTCGATAGCTTATTCACTGAATATATCCGAGACCTCAATTAGGCAATAACTGCGAGTTTACAGTCGACCAAGTATCAAAAATAACTATTTTTGTATACTTGAATGTAGTTTTGGATCGATTCAAGATAATCCCAAGCAATTATGAATTTCAAGATATTACAAGAGTTGAGTAGCTTTTCCTCGATTGCATACAAATCAACTTGATCAAGACAATGGCTACTATGAAAGCAATCCAGATTAGTCAGATAGGTGCTCCCAGCATGCTGGTTCTCTCCAAACATATTCCAAAACCCACTCTTCCTTTGGCTGCTGGTCATATCCTTGTCAAGAACTCTTTTGCTGGTGTCAACTTTATTGATACTTATCATCGTTCTGGACTTTACAAAGTTCCTTTGCCATACACTCCTGGCAGGCAAGTGATTGCTTCTATTGGTGCTGATTCAAGCATTTAGACTATTGTCGATCCAAGTGTATTGATGTGCGTATACCACTTTTAATTAGAGAAGCAACTGGACTTGTCGAGGCTGTTGGAGAAAACGTCACTACTTTTAAAGTAGGCGATTCAGTTGCTCATCTTTCTCCATCTTGTTATGCAGAATATAGCACTGTTTCGGCAGGTAATGCTCGTGGTCATCTTATGCATAGTGTTATGTAGTTGCAACGATCATAGATTTAGTCGCTGGTTCACGTCATATTCACTACCATGTAAACTAGGTTATGCTGTTCATCTTCCCAGTGAAATCTCGCTGGAAGCTGGTGCATCGTTGCTGTTGCAAGGACTTACTGCCATGGCATTATCTCGCATCGCTCACAAAGTTCAACCGGGAGAGTTTGCTCTTGTTTATGTGAGTACCCAGTCTTGGTCTGTCAATAGTCGAATTGTTTATTTACAGTCTTGATCCTTTAGGCTGCCGCTGGTGGTACTGGTCAGATGTTGGTTCAGATTTGTAAAAATATTGGTGCAATCGTCATTGGTATTACTTCATCTGCTGAAAAAGCCCAGTTGGCCAAAACGGCTGGAGCGGATCATGTTATTACGTACTCGACCGAAGATATTCATGCTAGAGTAATGGAGATTACCAATGGCCAAGGTACTATTCATGTTGCTTGATTAAATCAATCCGTTTATTGCTGCATTTCCATTACTGCTCTATACTTACTGCATGCCATCACATCCAATTGCAGGTGTTCATGTTGTATTTGATGGTGTTGGAAAATCATCATTTGATACTTCGTTAGCGTGTGTGCGTAAACTCGGATCTATGCTTTCATTTGGAAACGCATCAGGAAAAGTGGATCCGATTGATATTATGAAGCTAGGTCCTAAACAAGTTCGTCTTATGCGACCTTCTCTTTTTCAGCTTGTTTCAACAGAGGAAGAATTCCAAAGCCGTAAGTAGCTTTTTGTAACCAATTGTTTGATGGCACGTTTATGAGTTGGAAACTCAATACTGCATTACATTATATAGTTGCAAAGGAGCTGATTGATCTTGTCAAGAACAAAAAAGTAAGTATCTTAAACCAAACACTATTTTGTTGCAGTTTGTCCATTTAACAGTTATTTTGATAAGGTGTCGACGCATATCCACAAGATATATGATCTTGTGGACTGTCCATTGGCTCATACGGATCTGGAAAGTGGGTCGACCACTGGAAAGCTTATTCTGCGTATCTGAACAAGCATTCGAGGTTAATACTTGTCAGTTGCAAGTATTTTGTATTCAGCAGAAACCTACGCTATGAACTATTGAATGAAGATCGTTTTGTGTTGATGGTTGTCTGTTTTGCGAATGGAATAGTTGTTTTGTAATAGATTTGCATGATAGCGAGTCTGAGTTGACACTTGGATTAATATAAAAACAGAAAGCTGGCTTGCAACCAGTTTATTATAATCCAAACATGATTTCAGATGTTGATACCAATGTGCTGGCTACAGAGCCTTTTAAAAAGGTAGACAGAAACAGCGGTACTCACAGCACCTGGGTTGCTGTATCAACTTGTATTAATCATACTGCTACCCCCTCGGTCCTGCCTGCTCCCCGTGCAGGCCATACAGTGACATTATGTACAGGCGATGGCAGTCCTTGTGCTCTGATTTTTGGCGGAGCCAGCACAGAGGACGGATATTACAACACTCTGTTTAGTCTGGATCTAAGTAAGCACTGTGACATCTACTTTCAAGCCATACTAATGCATTGATTTAACCCTGACTATACAAGCAATGTTCCATGTCTGGATTGGAATAAGACTGACAAACTATACACATCGTGAATACTCAAACTGAACAACTAATCCAACCTTGAATACTTTCAACTTGAACATGCATGTGTAGCAACGTATATATGGACAAACCTGTTAGAATCTACAATGTCAACGACACCTTTGCCAAGATATGAACATGCGGCATGTATGGCCAGATCTGAGAAATGGGGCAATTCTCAGGAACGTTTGGTGATTCTTTTTGGAGGAGCATCTGAAGGTCCAATGAATGATATTTGGAGTTTTGATCTTAAACAGCGCAGGTGGGAGCAGGTTCATGCTCAAAGTATCTCGCAACACCCACCCACTGCGCGTACACTTCATACAGTTGCACGTATACGCACGTCCAGTGCTGTAGATGACCATGTTCCTCATGACCGCATTTACATATTCGGTGGAGGTATGCATCAGGATGTTCCTGTTGAAGATGACTGCATGCACTGCTTGGATATGGATCATATGGTGTGGATTGTTGTGCATCCTGGTGCTGGTGGACACGACGAAATGGTTCCCGAATCTCGACTCGGACATACTCTGAGCGCTGTTGGAAAAAACGTAATCATGTTTGGTGGCATGTCTAAATGGAAACACTATGACGATCTATGGGTGTTTGACACAGGTATGCTGTATTTAGTGAATCACGTCTTTGTATTGTCAATGTTGGATTATTGGTTCTTTTATTGATGCATAGTTTTGGATCAAAATCTATAGAAAAGTATACTTGGTTTAAACCCAATGTATCTGGACAGCGACCTGATGGACGGAGTGCACATTCTGCAACTGTAATGGGTACCGATATTGTGATATTTGGAGGTTTGGTAAATCGCACACAGCTGACTGTCACAGACGAAGTATATATTCTTTCGACAGGTTGGTAAATCATGGTTTGGGTTTGAACATCCACATTGTTATTCTTGTCAATCGTGGTGCTTATGATGTTTTTAAAATCTACTGGATAGATACATGGACGTGGCGTAAAGAGTATCCAGCATTTCTACCACATGATACTCCAGGTTCTCGGATTGATCATGATGCATGTGCTATTCCAGTGCCTCTGCATACTAGCTGCGATCCTAGTACTTTTACGCGAAAGATGTGTCTTGTAGGCGGGATGAATCTTGATAGCGTATTTAATGATGTATTTGAGCTTTGTCTGGAATAAAGCCCAATACCATTGCAGGAAATTCAAGATCTATTTGTGCTCTGCTGATTATTACATTTCCAAGATGATCGACTACAAACGAGTCCCATCAACACAATAAAGAATAATCAAATTTCAATCTTCAACAATGCAATAATTGGGCATACTTTTGCTGCCAATGTCCGAATTTTTATGTTGTAAACTATCCAAAATTCGTACAATTCTTTCCACTGTTCTTAGCACCATTGAAGCTCAGTGTTTGGCTATTGTAACGGACCAACGCTTTTCAAGAAACCCACTCATCAGGTTATAGTTTAAAAAAAGTAGGCATGGCTACTAGCTATACTGTCCATGGTCGCCCGCCTGTCCAAGTACAGATAAAGTCACAGTCTTCTGTAAATACAAAACTTCAACAGCATCTAGCTGCGGTTGGGTCTTTAGAGCGCCAACTTAAAGCAATTGAAGTGACTGACAAAGAAAATACTATAGTAGGACATTACAGATTTCACCTGTTTGTACTTGTGAACGTGGCTGGATATGTTCCATTTACTGACCCATGCATTACAATCTGGTATCATGCATTGTCAATGGGATGATATCTAGCCTACTAGTGATAAGCACAAGTCAGAGTCTTCCAAGCCAGATACCCTCAAACTGCATCCTCAACTTGCTGCAACAGTTGATCAAGAGCGGACTCGACAGGTAATAGACTGTTGAGCATGATTTCCAACTTTTTCTTAAAACCACATCAACATACATATGAAACTTAACTACAGTTTAAATCGCATTGCTCTTGATTGACGAATGTATAGAAACCCGGTGTGCCAGACCCAGATCAGCGCAAATGGTCTTTATCCGATTTTGATGTAGGTCGTCCACTTGGTAAAGGGAAATTTGGTCGAGTTTATCTTGCTCGCGAGAAGCATTCCGGATATGTCGTTGCTCTCAAAATTCTCTTCAAATCTGAACTATCAGAAGCTAAAGTCGAAAAGCAACTACGGCGTGAGATTGAAATTCAAAGTCATCTCCGACATCCCAACATTCTTCGTTTATATGGGTATTTTTACGATAGCAAACGAGTCTATTTAATTTTGGAGTTTGCTGCCCAGGGCGAAATGTACAAGCAGTTGCGCAAGCTTACTCGTTTTCCTGAACCTCAGGCTGCCAAGGTAGGAAATCCAAACAGTTGATCCGATTCAATAACGATTTATATTTGGACAGAGTTGTTTATTTTAATATTTAATTTGCTGATTGCGATACTACTTGATAGTACATTTCACAAATGGCCAATGCACTTGCGTATTTACATCGCAAGCATGTTATTCATCGTGATATCAAACCTGGTAAGATATGTTATCCAAATTTCAGGCCAGACTTGTTCATACTCTGTCTTGACTCGTAATTGCTATATTTAGAAAACCTGTTGCTGGGACTCAAGGGTGAGCTTAAGATTGCCGATTTTGGATGGTCAGTGCATGCACCTAATGCAAGACGTCAAACACTCTGTGGTACATTGGACTATCTACCGCCAGAGATGGTTGAAGGCAAGGATCACAATGAAAAAGTAGATCTATGGTCGCTTGGAGTCCTCTGCTACGAATTTTTGGTTGGCGTACCTCCATTTGAAGATCAGAGGTCTTACAAGGAAACCTATCGGCGTATTGCCAAAGTTGATCTTCATGTGCCCGACTATATCAGTCCAGAAGCCAAGGATCTGATTGTCAAGGTAATTTTTATATGGTGACATTACAAAGCCATTTGAAGATGCTGATTTCTTTGTTTGGTTGAATTAGCTACTTCAAAGAGATCCCAACAATCGCATGCCGCTGGAATCTGTTATTCAACATCCGTGGATTGTGAAGCATATTACGACTGTTGTCGAATCTAAATAAAAAAAAGTCTCCTGCTTTAGTTTTTTGAAATAAAAATGATTGTCAAGTTGAGTTGGTTTTGGATTAAACAAAAAAAGGGATGGAAGTCTGATACTCGACGTGGCAAGCCAAGGCGAATCTCTCAAGCCAGCTATCCGCAACACCACTTCAAGCGGCTGCTTTTCGCTGCTCTATTTCTAGCCTCACGCTTTCCACAGCTCTTTAACAACCTCGACACCCTGCTTCCGCAAGAGTGCCAATGTTGAACTCAAAGTTCATCATGGACTGACTCTCTGCAAGACCAAACTGTTCCGAAGAACAACCAAGGCCCGAAATTCCACAGCGCGTACATTCATATCCCAGTCCCGGCTTCGGTTACAGGCACACGCGACTGTACCCAACGAGTAAATCTGTGATTTGATTTGCTATATAAATGTGAATATTTATATTTTTTATCTATTGTGGGATTCAACAAATAATATTGACATTTGAATTATAATCTCACTTTTACAACTATATTGACATAAAATAAACCACTTGCATTGTTGCTTTTCCATATTGTCCATCATAATACAAACTATGACTTTGGACTAGAGAGTTCAAAGAACACACTCAGTAAATTGGTGGAAATTATTTCATGAAACTGGCCATCTGGTTGCATCGACACTTTTCCATTTCACATGAACTACGGCCTCAATTGTTCATTAGCTCTGTGCAATAAACTAGGTATGCGCTGATTTCTACTCCTGCATTTGCATTCAAACAACTGACTGGTTTATTTCTAGACTTTTTACCATTTGTCTGCCAAACATGTCAGTGTGCTTATTGTCCTGCCCATAGGTTTCCTGACACCCACGGATGCATATCTACTGGCCAGGTTTGGTTTATCTAGGTTGGACTGGTCTGTAATGTACTGCATTAAAACTAATCCACTATACTGGCTCACTTTGAATACCGTCGTTTCCTGCAGACTAGTTCGTATTTGGTATGTCCAAAGTGTTCGCAACGTATCCACCAAGACAAGTATAGCACAGATACTGAAACAACAGACATTGATAGCCAGCAGATCTTGAATCGACACATTGAGGCATCATGTCCAAAGGAATTGGACAATGTGCTTACATCTGCAAAAATATCTTGCAGTTTTGATGGCTGTTCCACTGCTGAGCTATGGGGTGTAGTCTGTCCATCTTGCACCAATAAGTTCTGTTTAGCTCACCGTCACAAATCATCTCACAACTGCCCATCGATTGCTCAGTCTGCTGCCAACAAACTTGAGGAGCAAGCACGTATCAAGGCATTTGTCTCTCAAACCTTGTCCAAAATGCCTGCATCTAACTGCACCACTCCCAACACACTGAATCAACCCAAAGCGAATTCTAAAAAACTCAATCCAGCTGTTTCGCTCATCAAACTCAAGATGCATGCTACAGGCGATACAAAAATTCTTCCTGAAAACCGTGTATACCTCTTATGCTACTCTACGGAGCTCCGTACTTCAATGGGAGTGTTTTATCACTCAAATACAGTGATTGGACGGCTTCTTGATTTGGTTGCCTCCAAGGCTAATGTGAAAAATACCAATAATATTGCCAGTAGTGGTCCACCTTTGGGTTTGTTTCATGGTAAAACTGGCAATCGGCTACCCAATGACAAATCGCTTCAAGATCTGTTAAAATCAAAAGTACTGAGTCAGGGCCAATGCATTGTTCTCGATAGATCTCATGAAGCGTGTATCGACGTATCAAACATTCCCGAAACATGACTCTAATCTTATTTACCCTCAATTGAACAATAAATGCTCGAGTTGGTTAGAATGGATCTAGTTTTAATGGGATGGTTCTTCAACAATGGCTGGCAGATTGGCTATGCAAATACTTTGACGATGAGCCTCCTTGGTACGCATGTAGTACATGACAACAGCAAGTATTACTGGAATAGCCTGGAGAATCAACGCGATTCCAAACGACCCAGTAAAGCATTGTGATCCGTAGCAAGTTATGGATAGATCACCATTAGGAAGTTTCGGTTGGGCTTGCAAAGCTGCATCATACATATTTCCAAACACAAGATTGGAAACAATAACACCAACTGGAACGGCCATCATGACAAATCCACAAGCTGTTCCGTAAAACGCCGTACCAAATAAATCTTTGATAATGGATGGAAACATTGCGCCTGCAGAACCCCATCCCAGTCCAATCCCAATAGTGCAAAAGTATAGCAACCCAGTAGTGACCACTACACCATCCCCCTGGACCACCACCAATGATGTCCCCATAAACGCGACAAACGCATGCGATATAATAATCACACTTTCGCTAACAACCAATAACATGGTGCGGTCATGATGGTACTTGGTCTTGACCAGATCAGACACTGCACCAGTGCAGAATCTACCAATGCTTTGACCTATTGAAAATAGTGTAACGTGAAGTGCACAGGCGCGAGCAAGTGAATCAGCGGTAGCTGTTGGACCACTTGCTGCAGCAATGATTGTGCCAATGTTCGTGACATAGGTCAGTCCCTGTTGCCAAATGCACACCAAAGCGTATATCCAAAAATACTTTGATTTTAGGATCTGTAGTGGATAAAAAGACTCTGGGTGAAGGGTTTCGGCTGTCGAAGGCGAAATGGACTCGGAAATATGGCTACTAGGTGGAACCATCATGTCTCTTTTGGCAGAAAGCGTACTATTTTCAGACGTTGCGCTATAGCTTTTTGCCGAATGTTCCGGCATCAGCAATGAAGCTTCACTTGAATTGGTTTTCATTCCGTTTATAGGGGCAACTTGAAGTGATTTTGGTGTGCTAGAACCAGTCTTTTTAATTGGATGGTAGTCACACATGGCATATGGGGTTGGGAATATAGTAAAACACCCAATGCCATTCATTATGGCCAGAGATACCCAAAGAAACAGAATATAACCACTCGCGTCTTCTTTTGATCCGCCAGAATAAAATGCCGCAAACACCTAAAGGTTAGATTATAATGGCATGTCATGAGATGAGCGCAGTGCTGTTTTGATAAATAAGCTCATAGAGTTTGGTATATCACCACATTACAAACACCTCGAAACAATTAATCTAATAAACTTGGTTTACCTGAGAGTTGATTGTGCCAGATAAACCATAGAATAGCAGTAAAATCCCAAGTGTAAGACCAGTGCGCTCCGGCGGAAAATTAATCATATTAATTCCCACAACTGCTAGGTATGCAGCAGTAGAGCTTACACCAATTAAAAAATATAGCACGCAAAGCACGGTTACACTTGTAATAGAAAAATGTCCACTGATTGCTGCCCAAACACATCCGTATCCAATTGTAGAGGTCACAAATGCAAGTATCATGGTGACGGTTGAGCCCCAGTGGTCATATATGGGGCCAACGAGAAGAAATGAAAGATAAACAGCAGTGTTTCCAACACCCGCAATAAGATTGACATCGGCCGAACTATATCCAAAATGTGAACGTAAAGCTTTAGAATATAAGGAGAATGTGAAAAGCGTTCCTGCAGAAATTAAAACCAAGCAAGATGTAAGAAGTGTCAGGGCTCGCATTTTGGCACTGTGAAAAAGAAGCTGCCTTCCATCTGGTGGCTTTTTAGGAGTTGATGAAGGTCGAAAATGTAGATATGGTATCATAGTCTAGATTGAGTCCACTATGCAGATAATAAATTTGATGCAATGGGCGTCTTGAAAGCTTATTCGAGTTGAAAAACAATTTATATAAAAATGGAAAATATAATTACAATGAGTGGAATTTTAATCAAGAAATGACTAATTTGAGTTGGAAAGTCATCCATGACAACTGTATCCACTACAAGATTGATGATTGTCATAAGATGTAGTGGAAAACTCATCAGGAGTCATACTGTAGAATGGATATATTTTCACAGCCATTGGTATCGACACATGTGGGATTGTCCACCCAATCCAACAGCGATTGACTGCCATCGGGAATAGGCTGATTGCACCAAAAAAATAAACCAAGTATAGTTTCTGCCAATACCTCAAACCCAACTCTACCAAACCCCATGTTCATGGAATTGCATTATCGGTTATCAGAGCCCACAATATCAGCTAGACAGCTGTAAATCTAACAGAAATTGTCACCAAACATGAGATTGGCTGTTTATTATACATTGATATCCTTATTGATGTTTCACTTTACATGAATACAGCTGTAATAGCTGATATTATAAATATGCTAAAAGTTCAATACTACAAGTCTATTTCAAGTTAGCCCCATATTACGATATACTAAGTATTGTACAAACAGACACTCAGTGTATGCTTTCAACTGCTATCTTTACAACTCCATTTCGTGTAGCTTGGAGTGTTTCATGAATCAACGCCACAGAAATGTATGCAAGTCATATATGGCTTGAATAGACTTTCAGATTTTAGTAAATCAGTAGTCATTTCTCTTATTATTGGTTGTAAAATAGAATCGGCATACATCTTCAAAAGACAATTTGTTTGGTAGGATCAAGTAGACCAGTTATTAGATTAAAAGAATCGACATGTTCAAGATCGTCACAGTTTTGATGGTTCTGGTCTTGTCTGCTATACTTCAAACGACAGCATTTCCATTCGAGGGTCTGCGATACAGCGCTAGAAATTCAATACTTGAAAAACGAACCATGTTTGACGTTTTAAGAATGGATGAAACTGAATACGAACCAGTGCCTTACTCTGTTAGTATTCCATATGGCACTATTCAAGGTAAACCTTCTGAAGATGGTAAAGTAATATCCTTTCTTGGTATCCCGTTTGCTGCGCCACCTGTTGGAGCAAACCGATTCCGTAAACCTCAACCAGTACAACACATTTCAGTCGAGTCCATCTTTGATGCAACACAAATGGGCAACATTTGCATTCAGGATCCATCAGAAACCAGTGATCATGCACCCAACCAGTCAGAAGATTGTCTAAATCTCAACGTTTACACACCAGCAAGAATGCTCGGTAACAGTGGTAGAAAGCTTCCAGTTCTTGTATTCATTTATGGCGGATCATTTACAAGTGGGAAAAACAGTAATCCTTTATTTAATGGCGCATCGTTTCTCCAGGTTGTTGCACAGGAGCGTCAGACTGTGATTGTTGTTCCAAACTACCGTGTTGGTGTGTTTGGATTTTTGAGTTCTATGGAATTGATGCGTGAGGGAAGTTTGAATGCTGGTTTAATGGATCAGGCAGCCGCTTTTGGTTGGGTTAAACAAAATATTGAAGCTTTTGGTGGTGATTCCAGTCTTATCACTGCTTGGGGTCAGTCTGCTGGAGCAAGTAAGTGAATTGTTTATTAGGTTTATATGCTTTTTTTCAAGATATACTCATCATGTTTAAACCATATTATTAGTTTCCATTGCCACTCATCTGATGCAGTATGGTGGAAAGAATCCTGACAATACTCCATTTGATCGCATGATTTTACAATCTGGAGGATTGCCGCCGGTGCTTAATACGCCATATCAAGGACAGAATGATTTCGACAAGGTAGCGCTTTCGGTAAATTGTCCAAAAACCTCGGCAGTTCCAGTAATGGATTGCTTACGAAGTGTAGATGCAAGTACTCTTTTTAAAGAGTCTTTTAAACTTCAATTGATATATCGCCCATCTGTGGATGGCACCTACATTACCGAACAGCCATATAAAGCTGTTGTTGGACAACGTCTCGATCGTGTTCCAGCCATTATGCTTGGTAACACGGATGAAGGAACATACTTTGCCATAAAAGCAGGAGTTGATTCACCAGAAGCTGCACGTAAATTTATGCACAAGAGTCTCGATTTTCTGAAATTACCCATGTATGAGCAGCTGGATGCGCTGTATCCTGTTGATGGACCTATTAGTCCAGTGTTCCGAGGCGGAGCTCCGTACGGTGATGGTATTTTCAACTGTCCCAGCAGACAGATATCGCAGTTTTTGTCTAATCAAGGGGATGATGCCGAAGTTTACAAAGGTCGGTTCAACGTAAAGCCTAGTCTATTACCTCCAGGCAAGGACGCGCTCAAGAATGCAGGAGTTTATCATGGTGCAGAGTTAGCGTATACTTGGAACTATAGCTCATTACTCGATCCCCATAACGGAGATAGAGCTATTTCTCTTGGATTGATTACCGCATTTACTGATTTTGCCCATGGTAAAGTGCCCAGACTACTAGATACTGGTTTGCCATCTAACCAACTTCCTACAGCGTGGCCTATTTATAAACAAAGTGATCAACTGCAAGTTGTTTGGCAGCATGAGAGTCCATTGACATTAGAAACCATCACTGAAGATATGAAGCAGAAATGCAAGTTTTGGGATCACATCTTTACCACTATTAGCAAAGTGTTGACATGATTCCACCAGTACTTTCTTACTATAACCAATACGTTCCATAACCAGCGTTATTGAACATTTCTAGTTCAACTATAAAAACTAATTAATAAATTGGCGACTGACACGAGTGTAGAGGATTGTATGGATGAACAATTGATTAATAAAATGATCGTATTTCTTGCCTGCACTCTTCAACTGCTGAGCATTATATATTCTGGAATGTCGTTTTTCAAAAGCCTCTCTCCCACATCCAAGAAGATTGTATTTGATGGTATTCCTACCACTGCTATCAATATTTTAAAACAGCATTCATTGTGCATGGCTTCTCACATCTGCCTTGTTGTTAGTAACGCTGTTGGCATTATCTCAAGTTGCACTCTACTACGGAGTAAAATGGGTTATATCATCGCTTGACCCAATGAGAAATAAGCGGGCGGATTCCAAATCCAAGAGCAATAAAATCATGAGTAAACTAGGAGTAAGTCGCTTGCAGTTTTGATGAGCACAATAGAACAACCAACACCGTCAAAATTCACTTTTGATCATACTGGACACTGTTATACTAAACCACTTTTGTAGCTACACGACATGAAGCTCAATGAGCATGAAGAGATTATTTCTGGTGAAATTGTCTGGCCAGAGGATCTCACAGTAGGGTTTGAAGGTGAAGGTAGCTTGGATCTAACTGTAATCTTGACTACAATTTTTCTAAATGATTTACATTTAATTGCTCAGATATTGGAGGCTTGGAACCCATCATCGACTCGCTCAAGGAGACTGTTATTTATCCACTAGTATATCCCGAGCTATTCGAATCGACGTCCTCTCTTTTTGGTCCACCAAAAGGAGTGTTGCTATATGGACCTCCCGGTAACAGCTGATTTTTAAATGTTTTATCCGTCAAGCTTATACTCAAAAATACATGAATTACAAACCATGTGATGTGTAGGATGTGGTAAAACTATGCTGGCAAAAGCTCTTGCAAAAGAATCAGGTGCATGCTTTATCAATTTGCATGTTTCAACCTTGACCGAGAAATGGGTAGGCTTGAGCTTATATAGATTTTAGGAAATGTCAAATAGCTATACTAGATGTAACATTGCTAAAAATAGATTCTAAAAACTCGTTGCTTTCCATGATGCATGTTATTTATAATAGTTTGGAGAATCTCAAAAACTCGTCAATGCATTGTTTTCAATCGCAAAAAAACTACAGCCTACTATTGTGTTTATTGATGAAATTGATGCATTTCTTCGTGAACGTCGTAGCAATGATCACGAAGCAACATCTATGATGAAATCAGAGTTTATGACACTTTGGGATGGGCTGGCTTCAGGAGAAAATGGCAGAGTAATCATTCTTGGTGCAACGAATCGACCTACTGATCTGGACAAGGCAATTCTACGTCGCATGCCAAAACGGTTTGCTATACAGCTACCTAATGCTTCACAGCGATCAAAGGTCCTTCAGCTGGTAATACTCGATGAATTTAGTAGCTGGGATTGGATGGATACATATAACTGTACTTGCTTTGACAACTTTTAATTAATACTGGTCAATGTTTAGTTGCTGAAACGGATTAATCTCGATCCCTTGTTCAACTTTGAAGACCTTGTTTCGCAAACTCATGGATATTCTTGTAGCGACTTGAAAGAACTGTGTCGAAATGCAGTCATGGTTCCTGTTCGTGAATCCATCAAAACCATCAAAGGGGATTTCAAAAATGCCGACTTGAGGGTAATTTTTGTATTCTTAGATACTATGGCGTATGACTTTATGCAAACTGATTTATTTATGTTTAGACTACCAAGATTCGCCCAGTAACAGTGTCGGATTTCTTTGCACACGACACCAATCTATTTGATAGTGCAGTGTTTCCCGATTCAGTGGATTTAGACTGATTTTATATCATTCTATCTTATCGATATATACTTTCGTTTATTTCACAATATTGGATAATCTTCCGTAAGGACTTTTTCGATTGCGTCTTGTTCATGGCAATTGAATAGTGATGTGGACCCATAATCTGTTGTTTGATGTGTTTGAGATGGAGTTTCGAGTGCGCAGGGTGTGAAGAGTGATGGGTAGGTACAATGGCATACTGATAAAGGAGTTAATGATGAGCTTAATTCGCGCAAGAGTCTACACACCAGCTTAAAAGAATCTTGCGGTATTAAAGAAACGGGCTTATGGTTTTGTATGCCAATACTTTTTATATACGCCGCGTGATTGCCCTGAAACACAGCCAATCTTTGGTTTAAGTTGACTTGAGCATCTCTGTCGGCTTTTACAAGAGCACTGAACGTATCTGGGATAAATCTAGAAAAGCATGTTGATGGCATGCCCTTGTTTTTAGCGTGTCTGTTTTTCCACGTTTGAACTTGGCTGAGATACAACTTTAAAGTATGTGTTGTATTTTCATTTACTTTGCAAGCAAGTTGAAACGATGGTCCAGGAAAACGTTCATGCGATAGTGACTCTTGTGTATGACGGCCAAACAATTTTGGATCAAACGAAACTGAGAGCAACGGAATAACTTTGATTGGGTTGTGAGTATTATTCATTGTGATTTTGTGGTATATGTCGCTTTTAATCGGTACAGATATACATATGCACATGGTGTCAATCGTGATTCGAAAGGGTGTGGGTAGTGGAGATCCATTGCTTGAATCGCATACAGTACTGACATTTTCTGGATGAATGTTTAAACAAAGTCGATGCCGCAATTCAACAATCACCTGCCATACGAGAGACACACCATAAGATGCAATCAGATTCCGAGTTTCATTGATACCAAATGGAACAGCGTATCCCACCTCGGCCAAAAATGGCCATATCCTTGAAATGAAAATATCCACGCATGTTTCGCGACAACTGTGTTTTTGCATTTGGTCAGAGTCTTGGTAGCTCCAATCTGGATAAAACCAAGACTCTTCAGCTACCCACGCGTAAAGGGTGGTGGTAAATACTGTAGCAATAGTGGAAATCAACTGAAGCGTGATGGGATCATACAGAACTTGAGCTGACCAAGAGTGATCTGCAATACGCTCTACACACGGAGTTTGAGCTGGCGTCAGATTTTCAATAAGTAGCATTGTTCGATCCACTACACATGCAGCTAGATCACAAACATCGTTGATCGAATTATTTCTGCTATTCATAAACGGTGTGAATGCTCTAGTACTTGGAGATTGTAAACGCATTGATGCAGGTTGAGCATTCTTTTGTCTTGTAGACAACCCGTTACCTGACAAGACTTGTATGGACATATCGATTTGACGGATTTGTACAAGTAATTTAGGATCAAAACTAGAAATATCAGACACTATGCAAGCAATGTGGCGAGTGATGGTTTGAACGGTGTTGGCAATGGCTGCTATTGCAATGTTGATCTGTGATATAAGTTCGGAGCTTGCTACGTGATATCCAGAGGATGATTTTGCAATTGTAGCAATGACTTGAAACTCTTTTTGCATTTGTTGTGCCAGACCACGTAATTTACTTGATGTTGATTTTAAGCCAAGCGAAATGAATACCTTGTCAATATGGTCAAATGAGGGATACGTTTCGCTGCTTGTTTCACTATATTTTAGCGATTCCTGGTGCAGTTGCTCCATTTCAAGAATACATGATTGATAATATACTATTTACAACAGTTTTAATAGCAAAGATGGGTGTTTTTGAAAGTGATGATTAGAATAATAAATGTTTGCCAAATTTTCAAGATTTCCAATTATCTACAAGGATTAGACACACCACAAACTTTTTTGTCAAGACCTTTCAAGCATAATAGTTGTTTGGTTACAAGTTTTGAGTCGCGATGGCCAAACCCATTCACACTCGCCTGACTCTGATGGTGCTCAATTTGCAACAGTTGATTGCGATAGATCCCATTCAATCTATTCCGGACTAAAGAAAGTGCGCCAGAATGAGACTCTTGTTGATTAGATACCTTGGAGTGGTAGCATGCTGCAGTGACGTGACAAGGATGTTTGCATGGGAACAGTGCAATTTTGTCAAGTGCGTCCAATGTATGCTTTTCGAGTGTATCTAACAAGAGAGTATAGATTGATTTTTCTAGTCCTGTTTCAACTGTTTTTACGTAAGATTTAACCGGCACCCGAGTACGAGTCACTAAATAAAATGCTTGTAGATTGGCAACTGAGCGAGCCCCTACTGCAGAAATACACATTTCAATAATATGCAAACTGCCTATAACCAACTCGTTTGGTTCGCGATGACTTGGAAGTGATAGAATGGGAAGCACCAGACACGATTTCAATGTCTTTGGTACAAACGCACTTCCAAATCGAGACATTAACGGCTCTTTTCCATATATCAAGATTTTACCATAGAGTTCAAATACAAGTGAAGTGTTGCAATCTTGTATATAATGGTCTGGTATCAGAAACATTACAGATACTTCAGCCTAAAGAAATACATGTGCATATTTACCAGTATTTTAGATTAGATGTCAGTATATACTATCAAACAAATTAAAAGTCTAAGTTTACGCTACAAAGCAAGACACACCTGTTCAACATTAGTGTATGGGATTGGTTCTGACATGGTTTTCATGGACTCTCCATTAGAACTCGTCGAGACTAACTGGATATAAAAGTAGTCGCACTCATTCCATGGTGGAATACAACTATTTCCTTGCTGGCTCTGCTCTATAAATGGGAGTTCCAGTTGAATTCGAAGTTCATGTATGCACATGATATTACTGTAATTGAGTTTAATCAAACAAACGCGGTGACTTGAATAAAGTTTCGATTTGTATTGGTCAAACCAGATACGCAAGACATTTCATGCTCAGGTATCAATATATTTGACAATTGCTTTTCAAGAGTTGTGATCAATCAGCTAAATAGTAATACATTTTATTCCAGACTAAACCAAAAAAGTCTTGGTTACATACTGGCTGCAACTCTGGCCACATCAGATCCTTTACCCATCTGCAATTCAATCTTCTGCTGAAGAGCCCTCATCACTCGAGCTTTGATTATTTCCTATACATTAGAAATAGAATCAGGTTTTGTCACATATATAATCAATTTAAAATGGCCCAATTAACATACCGTCGATTGCAGCAGACAGTGAAATAGGTCCAGATGGACGAGTCAAATTCGGCGTATTTACTTCAAAAATATCTGGCTGAGAATTGCAATCATTGCTATATAACTCCTTGATAGGATGACTTCCCACTTCTTCCCAGTCGGTAGACTTGACAGTATCGGCATTGGAAGCTATATGAGGATCTTCATGACTAGCTAATTGATCATCCATGATAAAATCAGCCATGGGGCTTTGCAAAGCCTCGTCCATATACATATCTATGCCATATTCGTCCTCGAGTGAGTCAGACAAAACCGGATCGAGTGTTTTTGAATCAACAACAGGTTCTGGAATGGCTGGCGGAGGAACCTTGATTGATGATATGTATGGTTGAGGTTCAGCAGGTTTGGGTTTTGAAGAGTCAATACTATGCTTATCAATTTCTGGATTGGACTTGTTAGACACGACTTTTTTAATACTAGCTCCAAAAGCCGGTCTGGGCTCTGCACTCAATGGCTGCACTGCAGATCTTGGAATAGTTTGAAGTTTAATTCGCGGGCCAGTATTCTTTTTTGTGCCAGTATGAGAATTAATATTAGAGATGGAATGCGGGTGTGTATTAATGGTTGGCTGACTTGAATTTGAGTCAGCAGTGCGGGATATCGTTTGAGGAGGACTTTTTTCAGCATCGTTGATGTTTGTTACTGCTGCAGTAGTAACGCCATGTGCGGCCAAAGACGATTGAGCAGATCTACGCTGTGGATTTAAATTGAAATTCGAATTGATATGCTCGAGAACATAACTCTGGGTTTTACATATCAACAGCCAAATTTACATCATTTACGATTCTACAAAAACCAACGATTTTAAAAGATACACTTGATAAGCGTGCTCACCTTTGTTTCAGGATCGTATATTAAGATACACTCGACCTCTTTAGAGGATACAAGTGGAGAAGTGAATTGCTGGTTTGGCTCACTTGGCTAGATGATAATCAGATCCAAGACCAGTCAGTTAATCCAAAAAACTGTTGAAATCATAAGGCTTTACGAACAGTCCAACGCCTGTCAAGACATACCTGCAGACCAGGCAATGTAACCGTCCAGTTCTGGTTATCTGCCTCTTTTGCAAGCACGCCAGGTTTAGAATAATCGACATGATCAGGCCGTAGCAAGTCTAGAAGTAAAACAACCAGCATTAGATGTGTTATCCAGTAGCAAAAGCATGATTACGATAGTGCAGTACTTGGTTGGCTTTACATTTCAGAGTATGGTAAGCATAAAGTGGTTTAGGATTAGATGCAGAAGCCACAAAACCCTCTGAGCGACTTGTGGAAGACCCTCCGCAGGCACTTTCCAAGAAAGTCTGTCCCAGTCGCACAGGCACTCTTGCATTGACGCTGGCATCTGACATCATTGTCCGTATCAATAATAATTATTGGTTCACAACGACAAAAGGGACGAGAATTTGGAAAATATTTATTCAAGTTTCAAGCCATTTCATCATGGTTTGATAACATTCTTGTAGCATTGAGCAGCTTATTGCATTTCAACATGAATTCTCTGAAACTGCACGATTGTGTTAGGTTAGCGTACTGACAGTATAGATAGAAATACTGAAACTCTCGCGTCAGAACAAGACTCGATGGGTGATGTTCTGTATTCAATCGAAACGAATAGCAGGTCGTTGATCAAACTGGTCGTGTCAACAAGTCAGATTGTCGTCATGCTATAAAAGACACGAGCGATAGATGATTCTGCCATTCAAATCAACAGTCGACTGATAATTGTCGAGTTTCTTATTTATCTGTTTTTATGCTCATTGTTGCTGAAAGGTCAAAAGCAAATTATACATCATGATAATACTTGGACGAGTTGTAAGTCTAAACTCACTTAGACCATCTGTATTATCATTCAATCATGCATTCCCGATCATGTTACGATTGCAATCATGTCGTAATAGAATCTGTTTATTTTATTGTCGAGTTTCGGTTCTTGAACCAACTCGAATATATTTAGGAATATCACTAAAACCAAATTCAGTATCAGTTATGTTACAATAGATTCCATGATTGCATTCATCTGGTTTATATACACATGATTGTCAAATATAACTAATACTTGTCACTTTCTCCATTCAATATTGAAACTGATTTAGGCAGTCAAAAGTATGGTGAGTACTCCCTCGGCAGCTGGAAAAAGATCCATCGATGCGGTTTCTAGCAAACAGTCTGATATTAGCAGCAAGAAAGACAAAGCAGATGAATCAGTTAATAATGCATCAGCATCTTTAAATAAACGACCTAAACGAGCCTGTTCTTCAAATCTCAGCTCATCTAATATCCAGTCAGACACTGCAACCTCCACCAATGTCGCTCTTCAGGAAACCAGTGATTCCAGTAACCCAACTGTTGCCATCACAGAAAATCCTGTTGATTCCTCTCATCAGCCATGTTACACCAACACTAAACTGCCTGATACGATCAAGTTTGATCCAACACCTGTTGGAGCAACCAAGTTTATTGCATGGAACGTTGCTGGTCTGCGAGCTAGCTTGAAAAAGGACATGATGAGGTACATCGAGGCTGAAGATGCTGATGTGGTGTGTTTGCAAGAAACCAAGATGAATGCATCGTTGGATACTAGTATGTTTAGTCGCAAGCAATATCCCCACCAGTTGAGTTGATTGGCTCTATATGGTTTAATCTGGGTCTGGCCAGATTCAATTTGTTGATGAGTTTGATGGATTTGTACCATTTAGATACTGGTCGCATTGTACTACCAAAAAGGGATATTCCGGCGTGATGGTTCTTTCAAAAGTCAAGCCCTTGTCAGTAGAATACAAAATGGGCCATTCAGCCATTGATGATGAAGGCCGATTTGTAATTCTCGAGTATCAAGGTAACTCGGTCATCTTTTGCTTATCCAACAATCTCATTTTCATGGATTGAATCTTTTATTGATATGTATCGTGTCCACTAGACTTTTACTATATTGGATGCTACATTATGAATGCTGGAGCCGATTTGGGTCGTCTGGATTTGAAACGAGAGCATTATGTAAAACTGAAAAAGTTTATGGGTGAACTACAGAGTAAGAAACCAGTGATTTGGTCTGGAGATTTGAATGTTGCTCATACAGAAATCGATTTGGCTCGTCCAGCTACCAATACAAAGTAGGTATTGATATTCAATTGGTGATTGCATTTCGCTGCATGTGCTTTTCACTGATGTTTTGGATAAATTATGCTTCAACAGGTCTGCTGGCTTTACTCCCGAGGAACGCGAGGATTTTGGAAACTTGTTGACTGACCTTGACATGGTTGACTCGTTTCGGCTCAAGCATCCTACAGCTACTGGAATGTACTCTTACTACTCATTTCGTCATAATAGTAGGGCTAATAATGTTGGATGGCGGTATGTCAAGTATTTGTCCTGTATTCTCCCATTCAACTTTAATTCAATCTGAAGCTAACCGTAATTTTTTCAAATGGCATGCATTTGAATAGATTGGATTACTTTGTCGTCTCCAAAGCATTACAGGATGATATTATTGAAGCAGATATTCGATCAGAGATTTACGGAGCTAGTGATCACGTTCCTATTCTATTACTACTAAATCGCAGTTTGGGGTCATCAGTTGTTGAGCCCATCACCAAAGAAGCCAAACTATTCCCACTCTTTATAAAAAAATAAAGTCATTCAACTCATTTCTTTAATTTTTATTCAAAAATCCAATACTAACAAGAGCCAGTGTGTTAAAGGTTCATTTTTGAAATCAGATTGGTGAGCAAGTCCTTATACTCCCATGTGTTGCCCATTAAGCGCTTGAAACGCAATCCATTAAGAGCCAAATTAGGCAAACGGCACACTTCCAGCTCAAACTGGATTCCTTCAAGATCGCATGTAGCAACCAGATTAGCAATACTATGCTTAACACCAGCATCTTTGAGAACACGTACGACTTCGGCAAAAACCAAATCTGGCTCTTTGGTCGATGTGGTGTTGAGAGAAAATGTGAATCGCGCTGTTCTGGGGCCTTCTGCATCTTGTTCAAGACGTTTTTTAAGCTGTCCGATAGGGATAGGTTGTTGGTTGGCTGAATCATCGTCATTGTGACTATCTTGAGCAGGACGCGAAGTGCCCGAAGCCATTGTATGGGCACGAGTACGACCGGCAGGCTGAATTGGAGGAAGAAGTTGAGGCACACCTGGAGGAACAGCAGCAGTTTGGGCAGATGCAGGCTCAACAATTTTAGGTTTGAATTCTCCAGCGATTTGAGCAGTTCGTGAACGAGCAGAGGGAACACGTCCGCCTGCTCGAGGAGGTGGAAGTTCCTTGATGTTTCCAGATTCAGTTGTTTCATTGTTTGTGCTACTGAAATCTTCAGATATAGGTTTGGCTGCTGTGCTTTCACTACCAACAATTTCTTTACGCAGCTCAGTAGCTGTCATTGGAGACGCAGTCACAGTTGCACGACGACGATGGGACGATGATGCAGGTCGCACACTCTGAACAGTGGAAGGAGGATGATTGTTGTTTCCAGGTGCAGCGGCAGTAGCAGATGTAGCAGTTGGAGAATGTTGTGGCGATCCAAACGGCGCGTTTTTAGGCGGACTGGGCTCGGTAGCACTTTGTGTTGCATTATAACCGAGAGGTTCAGTTGCATGGCGTTTATGCTCATCGCCCTCAACAGCACCACCTTCCTCATCAATTCCAATCAAATCTGTTGCTTTGCTGGTTTTTGTTGGGGCTTGAGTAGATGACTTTTTATGCGAAGTAGCATCTCCACTGGTGTTTGGAGCAGCTGCAGTAGAAAGACTCGATGTGGCCAAGGCACTGGAAAGCGTATTCGACTGTTTTTGTCGGAATCTCTTATCAGCTACAAGATAATATGTGGCAGCTAGTGGATCGTAATCTCCATCCTGCAGCGATTTCTCGACGCTTTGCCTTTCCAAACCAATTTCTTCAAGTTCGTCAAGAACCATTCGATGTTGTTCGGGTGTCAGAGTAAATGTCAGTGCGGGAGATGGTTCAGAAACTTCGTTTTCGTAACCTTCTGTATACCACTTATCTTGCAGAATCTGATCCAGAGTAATTCGTTTAGTTGGATCAATTACCAGCATTTTTTTGATTAGACGTTCACAATCTATTTTCACAGACATGACTGTTATTCAACAGTCATATGATTTCATTGAATAATGGCATATCGTGATCTAGTAACATATGCAGATTTGCACTGTATTTGGTATACATTTCCAATTTTGATCTTGATATTTGTAACAAGTGTCGTACATACCTGGTGACATGTAGAATGGCACTTTAAACTTTCCCGAAATCACGCGAGCACGCAGCTTTGCCAGATTGGATCCATCAAATGGCAGCGAGCCACATACGAGTACATACAAAACCACGCCCATGGACCACACATCAACCTCTGGCCCAGAATATTCTTTTCCTTGAAAAAGTTCTGGAGCGGCATAAGGTGGAGACCCACACCACGTATTCAATCTTTGTCCGGGAGCAAACTGGTTTGAAAACCCAAAATCTGCAACCTTGACATTCATGTTGGCATCAAGCAAAAGGTTTTCGGCTTTCAAGTCACGATGAATTACATGCATGGCATGACAATATCCCAATGCCGAGACAATCTCACGAAAGTGTTTACGAGCTTCCTTTTCTTTCATTCTCCCATGTGCCACAAGGTAATCAAATATTTCACCACCTGATACGTATTCCATAATAAGATAAAGCTCGTCTGGAGTATCAATTACCTCGTAAAGGCGCACAATGTTTTTGTGATTGAGGAGCTTCATTATGCGTACTTCACGAAATAGTTTTTTGGATGTGGCTTTGTCTAATTTGGTTTTATCAATGATCTTGACAGCTACCTATCATATTGATTAATAATCAAATTCGAATAAACGGCTTTAGCTCAGTTCAATTGCTGTGGAAATAGTATGGGTTTGAAATCACTGTAAAGCATTTCAAAATTTGACAGATTTGAAAACAATGGCTTGGGTTTTGCTATGTGATAGATTCTATTCTACATAGATCTGCTTGTGAAGCATATACCCACTCTCACACAAAGTTTCTAGGATATACAGGGATATCCTGCTAGGTTTTACAAATAATACCATCATAGAAATTCAAAATCTTTCAGCTAGCCACCACTCTAGAGCATACCCTATCTTTACAGTATGCTCAAAAAACGGCATAATCACTCTACCTTTTGAGAAGTCAAAATATGTGTAGCAAGCCTCACTTTTGCAAAGTTTCCTTCACCAATATTCTTCTCAAGGTCATAGTAACCAATAGATGAAGCTTTTGGCTTGTTGGCACGCTCGGTCGTCGTGCGGTTATAAAATGATTCTGTTTCGGCCATTTACGCGCGCACTACAGATCAAGGTGCTTATATCGATTTGTGTATGAAATCGAGGTTCGGGATATAGTCGAGTTGCGAGATGATGTAGGAGATGGATGTATTTAGGAAAGAAAAAGATGCATTCAAAGCGTCTTTATAAAATCGCGAAACAAGCTTCAATAAAAGTAATATCAAAAATGCTTTATTGAATAGCTGTTACATTTACACAATATATAATTTTTAGTAGCACCCTTCAAAATCTTTGTACAATTAGCCATAGTCACGTAGAATGGATCATTTTGTATTTATCTTGTAAAGATTGCCTTTTTTGCTTTGGAATAAACAATGGCTAAATAGTCGTTACGCCTTTCTACTAGACACTGCCTCTTTAATAGACACTCACAATTCTTATATATCTGGAATCACACATCGCGCAAAGTCATTTTGTATTATGCTAAAATAACTTTAGCAAAACTTAAGAATAGGCAATATGTAACTGTATAATGAAGCTCAGCCTCGAAACATTGTTTTTTGTTGACCAGTTGGAAAATCGTGTTTAATGAGTAAATTTGTAGCCTTGTGAAATAGTATGTTGTATAGAAACAAGTGTGCATTGGAAAATGTTCTTCAAATATCGGTGTTTAGAAAATCTTGAAACATCAAAGCATTTACGGTTTTCCTAATCAACCTCTAGACATAGTGATCATATGATTGACACACTATAGTTTTAAACTAATCATCTCCTTTTTTGGCATACCTATATATCGCACGATCACCAAGCACACTCGTACAATTCAGATAGAGTTTGACTACTTTCAATACCATTCTATACACACTCATCTCTGCTGTATCTAAATCTCATACTTTCGCGTTCTAGTTCAAGAGAACACATTACATGTCTTGGGAATGCAATTGCTACTTGTATGCCAATCACTCAATGTCTACTTGTAATGAAACAAGAGTTGACAATTGAACATGAGATTTACTGGAACTGTGATGTGAACACTACTTTAAACATTTGTTTAGTTGGTACAAAAATAAGCAGATACCATTACACTATCAATGAGTTCAAGAGCATGACATGCAATAGAGTTGATGAGAATTGGCTGCTTGTCATGTGCTTTAACATTCTATTTTACGTGAATACAGCTGCAGGACAGAGATATGAATAGATGTGGTATTTTGATACTAGTTTGCCTGGTTGTTCAAATATTACTTGAATTGAAAGAGTATGTTTGGTCGCATCTATCTCCATGCTTGGTATACACATGCTAGCAACCCATTGTACGGCATGGATAACTCGATTGAGGATTGCATTGTTTTCCTATTTTATTTACATTGGAATGAGATGTGTGATTATATGAATTTAAGCCCAAGCCTACATACTAAACAATTGAAATGACATTGGCTAAAAAGGGTTTAATCAGCCAACGACAAGGTTTAAATAGGCATTGGCATAAATCGACCAGTTTGAAAGAGTATATACAGGGTTGAAGGATTTATACTAGCAATCGAGTTGATTGCATAGTCAAAAGTGATATAAATACACAATTTGCGAGTTTTTCTTGTCTACATTAGAAATAAACAAACTTGTATTTTCAACTTTATTCACCAGACGCGTCGCATCTACAAGTTTAGATATAATCATGTCGGATTGGAATAAACATCATGGTGTAGGAGCTACACTCCTTGAAAACTGGGTCGAGGAGCGCTCAGTTGGAGATACTATTATTAAAGAACGGTCTGATATTTGTCAGCTGAGTCGAAATGGACACAAGGTAAGATACATGGTCTAAACCAAGGATAGTGTAAATGAAGCAAGTTGGAAAGATTACCACCTTGTGTATAATGTTTAAATTTGCTCAAGTATATACTGCTCAAGTGTATTGTTTGGGTGTGAGGGCAGAATTCATGTCAACTTACTAGCAACATATTCAAATAATGCAAGGATCTTCTTACTCACTCAACCGACACACCACAAGAACCTATGCAAACAACAAGCAGGGCCTCTTACAAACTAGTTTCTCGCAGTGATTTGGCTTCTCAGACTGTAGGAAAACGGCGACAGCTTATGGAAGCCGAAATGCTCAAGATCGCCATGTAGGTCTTCAATAACACGTCAATAATCATACTAATAAGCATTCATATTGCTGACAAGATGTTGTGTAGATCAGGGCAAAAATCGCAACCACAGATAAACGAATCAAAGCAATGGGAGTCGACTACCATGCATGATTTCTGTCATTCAGACGTGTATCCACCACTTGTAAAATTAGGTAGTAGAGTGATTCAATTTGCCAAATCATGGCAAACGTTTTGTGATGATAAGCCAAGTATTGGGGATGCTAATATGTGTTGAATGGGATGTGGAAATTGATGATTTTATCAACATAGGATCGAAACTCCCAGATCAGGTATGATGGACGAGTTTTAATTCTCATGCTTCAATGTGTTTGTATATCCAAATACACAACTAAACTATCTATTATGGAGGAAACAGAGTCAGAGTGACAAGTATGCCAAGCCAATTACTTTTTGGAGCGATTACGCAGCAAAAGGATCTGGCACAGCGGTTTGCTCAACACCTGCAAAATATCTGCATAAACAAGGATACAGTCAAGAGCCCAACAATAACGAAGTGGTTGGACATAGAGCTGGACAGATTCATGAGATGCAAGCTTCAGATGTGCCAATTAGGTTTGGCAAGCATCCCACATTCAGCTGCCCTATTCACGAAAACAGATTTGAAAAAGAATAAAATATTGATATGTGGTATAACCAGATTGATTTCTCGCCACAAAAGTACAAATAAAATAAAAACCACTAAAGTATGTAGACTATTTAATCTAAATTTAAAAACACAAAATTATATAATGCATATAAAATGTGCAGCACAAGGGAATCAAATAAACTAAATCTACCATTGATCATCGCCTAGTACCCTTACGTTTCAAAAACCGATCTCGAGCAGAATCAATCTTTTCCTGTCGCATTGTTTTATCCTCATCACCAAGTGTGTTATGCTTGCCGGCAGGATGTAGCTGCAATCTTTCATGAACTCGCACTGTAGGCACTGCTGGCTCTTTGTCAGAATCCCCAGCAGGGTGCTCGGTATGATGTTGCTCGTCAATGACCTCTTCAACAAGATCAAATCCAACAGGTATCGTATTACTGCCATCATCACTACCAACATCCTTGTCCGCCTCGCTTAAAATGCTTTTCCGAGGTTCATTTCCCAGCAACTTGCTCACATTCAATAGCTTTACTCTCTGACACAACACCTCTACCATTGAAAAGTTCACACGACTTACTATTCGCATACATGCCCGATTGACGTACTGAATATCATTGTAAACTACCCAATCAAGTTGATTCATCTTGGCTATATCCGAGCTATATAGCGCAGATTTTTGATGAATATACAGTGCAATTTGTTGTGTGCTGGTGTTTGACAGTACGATAGATGCTAGGTATGGAATGAATATGGGTCGCGTTGGATGACGCTTGGAAGTATTGGGATAAAATGCAGTACAGATTGATTTGAGAATTGATATGGTGTTGGGCGTGTGATTTAATGCAATCTCATCCACTGCTTCTGAATTGTGATGATCATGATGTTTTCGTTTACGATCTTTGTGGTTGTAAAGATCATCTTGATGGTCGCGCTTATGATGATGAGAATGTAAAGTAGTCTTGAGTGCAGGACTATTGCCATGTGCCTTTTCCCCTATATCTACATGCAATTGCAATCGCTTCATAATATCAACCAGCTGAGATCGAATACTTTTTGCGTTTTTAAGTGCTCTGTAATGTAAATAGTTTTGAATACACCAGTCGCGCGAATAGCCTTCCTTGACCCATGCGTTATATACCTGCAAAAGTGTCATATGGTCTCCAGAATAATGGTAAAAGCGTTGATGTGCCTCATCTAAATGTCAAAGATCCACAAAAAGAGGTTAGTTGATATTTAAATCAAAGTATAATTGAATTAGACTGACCTGCTTCAGACTGACGCTTTTTTGATCTTGGAGTGGAGAAAACTTCTTCGCTAGATAGCATTGCTACGATAGTCACGACATCATATGCGCAGTGGAAATCTACGGCAGCTGATATAAGTGCACGAGTCAAAAACGGTGAGCAAGGCAGTTCACTCATTTGTTTGCCAAGCGGTGTCAAATGCCCATGCTCGTCTACAGCAGCTACACAAAAATAAAAAAATGCACGGATTGAGTTTTAAGCCAAATCCAAATACTAACATGGGAGAAATGTACTTACATAGTAGAAAAAGTTGCTTAGTGGCTGCAATAACCAAGTCTGGATCAGGTGGATCGATAAATTCAAAATTCAAAACATCATCAATTCCCATTTTTTTAAGCTGCAGCACAGTTCCCAGTAATGAGCTGCGTTTAATTTCAGGCACAGTAGCTTTATCCATTTCTTCGAATGCTTCTCGTGAATATAAGCGGTATACTCTTCCATGTTCGGTGCGACCAGCCCGACCAGCTCTTTGCGTTGCGGCAGCTTGACTAATAGGGACAATTACTAATGCATCCATATATGTTTGAGAATCATACATTTTTTGTTTTACAAATCCGCTATCGACTACATAGCGAATGCCCGGGACAGTGACAGAGGTTTGAGCAATGTTGGTGGCAAGAACGATTTTTCGGACTGTAGGAGGTGGTGGATGAAATATGGCACGTTGCTCAATACTTTCGAGTGTACTGTAGATTGGATACACGACAATATTGGAAACATCATTGTTGTATCTGACTGTGCTGTAATCAAGATCCTGGTGTGCCTCCATAATTCTCTGCATCGCCGTCTCAATTTCTTGTTGGCCAGTAAGAAACACCAATCTAATTCAAAGTATTGAAACAGGGAGTTTAGATTCGCAACCAAAGCATAGCCAAGTATTTCACGCTTGCAGACTACTGAAAACCTACATATCTCCAGGTTGTTCTTCACAATGAATCTGCATGCATGTTTCTACGCATCGATTAACAAACGAAGCCTTTAATACAGCAAAATTCATATTTTTTTGCCAGAGGATATCTACAGTAAACATGCGACCAGGAACAGAAAAGACTGGACAATCGTTAAAAAAAGACGAAAACTCGTCGATATCTAACGTGGCACTCATGATAACAACCTTGAGCGCAGGTCGTAAACGACAGGCTCGACGCAAGAGACCAAACAAAATGTCAGTTTCGAGACTGCGCTCATGGGCTTCATCGAGAATAACAAGATCGTAGGATGTGAGTTGACGATCTGCGGTGCATTGACGAAGCAGAATGCCATCGGTGACATAAGTGAGTCGAGTTGATGCAGAAAGACACTTTTCGAAGCGGACAGTATATCCAATGAGATCACCGAGTTTTGTTTGGTGTTCTTCAGAAACCCTTGTTGCAGCAGAGATGGCAGCTATTCGTCTTGGTTGAGTGACGACAATGTTGTGAATGGAATCTGAAAGATCCTGAAGAATATACTGAGGCAGTTGAGTAGTTTTACCACTTCCAGTATCACCTACTACGACTAGAAACTGATATTCTTTGATAGCAGCGACCAATGAGTCTCTATACTGATAGATGGGAAGATTCTTTTGTAATTCGTTCATTGATTGCGTTGGTTAAATTTGGCAGTCCAAAACGTCCACTTTGTTCATGTCCTCAGGGAATATCAAATGTAAAGTTGAGATGACTCTAGTCAAGGCTGTATGCAACCGACAGTTGGACGACAAGACTGCACAGGATGCCGTATTACGGGAAGCTTGACAGGAATTGGTTTGTGTGGTTACTTGCTCTATGAGTGTAAAAACGTAGTAATTCCTACGCAGCCTGTCTGGACAAATGTTACAAAGTTGGAACGAGACGCTGGTGATAAAGCATTCCATACAGCCCTGCGTAAAGCATCCCGACACAGATCATTACTAGCAGGAATGGCTGTAGGTGAGTTATTCACTGTAGTTGAATCATGAGACAATCATCAACTCATTCTAACATTGGTGTATTCATATCAATGTAGTCAGTGGGTGTGTAGGGATCTGGCGAGGCTTTTTTTTCTAGTTTCATTGGTTTATAATAGTCTTGCAGTTGATAATAGTCTTTTACAGTTGATAATAGTCTTTTGTAGTTTATAACACAGGACATGAAACCCAAAATAAAATCATAAACTGTCATCCTTGTTGGATTGAATGGCATGATCATTTATTGTGTTTCCTGTATTACAGTGACAATCTGGCCTATTTGCTGAACCATCTATCGATACTGATTCAACACAGGACAATATCACTTGTCGAGTCTAACAATGATTGCTTGCTGGTGTTGGTCTTGCTTCGAGTCTTTCGCGTTTCATTCATATAGATGCTAGACTCTATATTATAGAGTCTGATCTCCATCAAAACTCTCCCTAAAACACAGCCACTCGTGAACAAAATGGCAAACTTGGAAACCACTTGTTTGCTATTCATATATTGCATCCATCTTAGACTAACTGGTTTGAGCAATCCTACTATAATCTTTACTACTGGCTGTTGGTCTTTTGGATACTTCCTATTGACTCACTTCCTGTTCTAAGCTGATAGCACTACCACCACTATCTGCAACAATCGTCCTCACCAGCTCTTGTAAACTATCACTCGTCAATAATGCTCTATTCACTGCTGCTCTCCTTGCAGCTGCTTCCTTTAACCGCCATTGCATTTTCTCTTATGGATTGTCGAACAATGTCTCGTGGCGGCTCTTCATCTCCCAATGCCGAGTCTATTTTGTCCGCCAACTTGACTGTTCAGGCATGTGTGGATATTTGTTCCAGCAATTCCAAAGCATTTGCATTGCTAGGTGGTGCTGCCTGCAGATGCATCACTAGCAAGTCTGCTCTTGAATCCACTACATATACGGTGAATATGCCCGAATGCTCTCTTGTTTGCTCTGACGGATTGCCTTGCGGTAGTTCTGTAGCGTTGAACCGATTTTCCGTTTACAACGTCACTGAGGCGTCATTACCACCAACAAATGGACCCCAAGACGGACCTGGTAAAAACGACACTGGCATTCCTAAACAGGTAACTTTATACTCTTGTAGTGATACACGAGCTCATGCTGGATTCTGTTGAATTGCAATCATTCTTTTGCTTCCCTTGACTCGCCCAGTCTGTCCTTTCGTCCCTTTTAGTCTGTGGCTTGAAACTGCTTCATTTAGTTATTATTTTCCTTACTTTCCACGTGGCCTTTTTCAACTGTCTTGCTGTCATGCCTCATCCAAACATTACACTCAGTCCCTACTGCCAAACTACTTGTATCTAACCTTTATTCTGTATTTAGGGGCCTAATAAAACAACAAATGAAAGTGTTGGTCCTGGAAACTCCATCAACCAACAGCAGATTGCTATCATTGTTGGTGTTCTTGCAGCCGTCCTTATCATCATAATTGTTTCTTTTATTCTCATCCGTCGCCACAGAAAACGAAAGGCAATCCCTGCTACACCCATGATCGACTCGTCTGGATCTACAGAATATTTGATCCCAAAACTCTTACCTCGCACTCCCAATCAACTCTATTCTGTCTACGCGGTCTACAAAGCACGGAGACAAGATGAGTTGTCATTAGGATTGAAACAGGTCGTTGCTATTCGAAATACATACTCGGATGGATGGGCCATGGGAACCGATTTGAGTACCGGTGCTGCCGGTGTATTCCCTTTGACTTGTTTGATCCCTGACAGAGAAAAAGCACCTGCCCACGCCTTGGCTGTTCCAGAGCGGACTCAGGCCTCGATACAGATTAGCATGATACCTCCACCCCTTACAGCTCCGTGAGTTTCGCATTAAGATTAGGCTATTCAAAAGTGTGTCCTATCTTATTTGGGGAGACTTGATATCGTTTCATCCTTGTATTTTTTCCAGCTCAATCAGTTTGTCTTCAAAGCGTATTTTAGGTTTAATGTCTAGTTGCAATTTTATATTACTTATCGACATGGTTGTCATCCTGTTTCACTTATGAATATGCCATTTGCTAATACCATCTCATCCCCAATCTAAAACAGACTGTGCTGCTATTTAGAGCATTTTTAAATGAACCGATATCGTTAATTGTATCAAATTCACTAGTCTTGTCATCACATGCTTAGTTTACAGGATATATAACATGCATTTTTATTGTAGTAGGGTGAGACCAGATGATGTCTGCCTACAGTGACTCAATGAGGGTGTCATTGAGCAAGCAGTTGAACATTGAGAATCACTGCCATGATAACAATCGTAAGAACCAAAACAAGAGCCAACAGTCCTGACCAATAGGTAGTGGCTATTCTATACAAAAATTCACCCACGCTCCGACTAGACCATCTGGTACGAGTCGATGAAATAGATTCAGGACTATTCTGCTGTGGTAAAAGAGAGTCCGTTTCCTCTGTACCACCGAGTGTGTTTCTCCGATAACTACGACGGAAACTATTACGAATGGTTTGAACAAGGTTTTCAGCAATAAGTCGAATGGATCTTTCTTGTGAAGGTTGATCAGATTCTTGATCAATTCGAATCTCTGTCTCGGTTTCCGTGTCAAGTCTTCCCATATCAGTAGAAACACTCTCTATATGACTTTCAATTCCCCCACTGTATACACTTCCTGTAGTCGATTCAGTATGAACCAATGTAGGTTGAAGTAGAGCCGATCTCAATAGGACTGAATCAGATATAGCATAGGATGTTGACCCAGATAAAGACCATTGAGCCTCTAAACAAAATTCGGATATGTCCAGTGTACCAGGAGTAGGTGTACCAGTTTCTGGATCTAAATCATAAAAATAAATAACACATTTCTTGTTCATCACTCATAGAAAACAAGACTTGCCTACAGCGATGATGCAATTCGATCGAATATGTAAAAGTATATCTCGTCGTTCGCCTATCCATCCGCACCCATGATCGCTATAAGGACACAGAATATCCATTCCATCCAAGACCATTTGCATACCAACGGCATCGGGCAGTCCATTCATTGCCATGCTCATGCTCACCTCACTTCGACAAAATGGACACGAGGATTGAGGCGGAGCTGAGTCGGACAGCGACTGGCTTGCTATGGATCGAGATGGTCTCAGCCACTGCCGAGCACATGGACTGCAAATAATATAGTTGCAACAAGGAAATCGCTTGGCCCGGTTGGGAATATGAAAGCAGAGTGGACAGGAGAGAGATTCAATTGCAAGAGCCGGATAAAGTGCATAAAAGGCTGATTTGCAAGTTGCTTCTGCTGGTGTCAGGGGTATGTATGATGGTGGAGTGTGGTCAATGTTAATATTGGAAGGACTGGTTATTGTGGCTGTTGGCTTAAGACAAGACATGGTTCGATGAAATGTTGGATGCGGAGTTGCACTGGATGCTGCTGCTTGATAGTTTATCAAATCCATATCAGATGTGGATGCAGTAGGAATTATCATGGGTGTTGATGGAGTCGAGTCCAATGCAATAGTAGTATATTCCCTTTTTTCTAGTAGCTTATCCTCTACTTTGTGAGTGTCTTGATAATCAAGCTGTACCTCAATAGGAGTGACCAGCAAGCCAGCGGTTCCAAATGGATCGTCTGCATGGTTCCAAGCCTTTTTAGGAAACTGATGAGTTTCTACCACATAAGTGAGTTGGTAGGCAGGCTTGGACATTGAGAAACCCAGTAAAACAGCAAGATGGTGTGTGAATAGCAAGAGTTTATAGAAATAAGGTTTTACTATTGTATTCACGTAAAATGGAACACTTGTATTTATCTTGCAATCACTGCATTGAAGTCAATGGTTAAATGCTCGTTGCTTTCCCATTGCAAATTGATTACATTTTCAACCCAAACACAGCGTCCATCATATGATGCGCATAAATCAAACTATTTCTTGACTCTGCCTTTTCTTTTTGAATGTATATTGTACAATCACCCAATTCATTCATTACAATTCAGATATTGAGTTTAACAAATTCATGTATCCTAAACCTCACAGATACGTTCTAGTTTAGAAAACAACGATTGCAGGTCACAGGAATACTACATGTCAATTACCAAAAAACCAATCGATTAAAGGGTTTTAAAAACAGTCTTGTCCAGTCAACTGACAGTCAACTGACATCATTTCATGAACTGGTTGTTTATCATTTGTATTTTGCGAATAGAATGATATCAACAACAGGGTTTTATCAACTAGAAACCACATGATGCAATGCAATGCAATGTTTGGTAAACATGAGTTTATCACTGCATGAATTTGGCACATTCAATCTTACATTTCATAGCCAACTGCTTGTGTCCTACTTAAACTAATGCTTAAGCAGGTTTAAATCGACTTTGAAATCAAGTTCAACTCGATGCTGATTGGCCAAATGCCAGTCAAAGTCCGCTCCACATTCAAGCCAGATCTACCCATCCATTCTAAAGATTAGTCCATGGCCGAGATACTACCTCTTGATAGTGTCCACTCAAAACCTGGCATGCACTCTATTTCTACTTCCTTGCCATTAAACCAGTCTGACATTCATTCCCTGTCTTCTGCTTCATACACCAGCCATTCATTATCAGCCGTCTGTGAACACCCTGTAGCTGCTGCTGCTGAAGATGATGCCATACATATCACTCATCTGCCATCACAACCTCAGCTTGCATGTGCTGATGCTACATCTACTCCAACACAACTGAACGCATCACCCAACCTTATTCTCTCAACGAGTCTGGCTAAACTTGTCGTCTACTTGGAATCTTGTATCCCACAAGGTCCTCATCTCCCACCTTCGTTTGGCACTCTCATGGCTACTTTCCATCGATATCTGACCAGCATCAATCATGCTGAATCCCGCCTTGCTCGCTCCAAAATAATGTCCAGTATCGAAACCCGTTTTGGCATCCCTGCAGCTGTATCCACTTTTTTAATGGCCATTGCTGGGTCAATTGCTGGTCAAAAAATACTGGCCAAATATCCTCATCAGGTAGCCACATGTGTCGGTGTCATCTACCCTGCTTGGTGTAGCATTCGCGCCATTGAACATCCTCGTGAGGATGACGACGAGCGATGGCTAACCTACTGTAAGGTTCTATCTGCTTTCTGTTACACTATTCATTGCATCAAATCTAACTTTGTATGGATCTACTGCTATAGGGTCCGTCTATGGTGTATTGACGCTTTTTGACCATATGGCAACTTACATTCAAAAAAAGCTGCGTATCTACTACATCCCAAAAATCGTACTCATGATCTGGTTGGCCAAATATAATGGGTCATTGGTAGTATATAGAAAATTACTTCGTCCATTCATGTTTTCTATACAAAAAGTGTTGGTGCAACGTCGATGGATTGAAACTCCATATAATGTCACCCAAGAACCCCAACCCTATATTTTAAAGGATTAACACCTTAATAAACTTGTTTCCACTTGTTATTCAGGCTGGATTTATTTTTAAAGCAACTATGGTGTTTGTAAAAAGTTGATCGTTCAATAATTATAGGTTGGGTTGGGTCATGACGATACCAGATGTACTGTCAGCTCTTGTTTGCGGTTTGGTAGTTTTTTTGGTAGTGAGCCTTGCAATACTACCAGCAACCCATTCGGTTGTTGTGCCAATGGCTTGGACAAGCGAGGTACAGTTGGAAATAGGTCCAGAGTGTGTTGCTACAGTTGGTAGGTGTGTTGTATCCACTGTACTAGGCAGTTCAGCTCGTGATGATTGCATATGAGTATGATATGAATGAGATGGTGGTAAAGCAAACTGACTCAGCAGTGCATTGGTTGATACCCATAGAGATGATTCAGTGCGATGCGCATCATAATTAGGCTGATCCTCGAGCGCGACTCCTATCGCAGGCATGGACTGTCCACTCGCCTTGTATCCAACAACTAGTGGCAATGATTGCGTCAGAGATTCCTTTGACATATGTTTACCTCCATTCCCAATGTCCATTCCTTTTATTCGCACTGCGCCAGTTCGAAATTCACCCAAATGTTTTGGAATCAGCAACCCTCTTGTTGCAGGCGATGACGTATCACGTACAGCCGTTCGAACAAGTGTAATGTAAATTCCGTTTGGAATAGATCGCTCCTCATCTGTCATGTCATCGTAGTCACGCTGAGAGGGAATATAGTCGATGTTGGCGAGATTTTCATTGGATGTCCATAAAATCCAAGCCTGTTCTGCTTTTTTTAATAGGTCTGATGTTGATGAAACTTGAATCAAAGGCTGAGGCGATGGCAATATTGACTGGGCTATGGGATCCGTATCCGACCCCATTTCATCCTGATCATCCGTATCTATCATTTTCAAGTATCCATATAGTGATGTATACACAATCAAAAGTTAGACTCGACCATGTTGAAACCCTTTGATATCCAAGCAACTATTCAACAATACCGACTGTAAACCCACCACTTTCTACACATCTGTCTTCCAAATCATACAAGTTAATTACTGGCGTTTCCTGACTGAATTCTAAAGCGGACACTTTGGGATCAAAAGTAATGGCTCGACTCTTTTTGGTTTGGGGCTTTTTGATAGTCACTATTGGCTCTTCGATCATCTGTAACCACTCGCGATTGATTTCGTCATAATCCTTGAAACCTATACCGATTGTAGCAGATGGTTTAGGCTTGGCTGTGATTTTGTATCTGTGCTGTGCAGCGGCTTTAAGATCTAACGAGGAGGTCTGTGGTCTGGATACTGAGCTGCTTGCACCAAAAACACGAAATCTTCTACGAGGAACAGAAATTGCACTGTATAATGATGGAGTGGATACACTTGGGTCTACCATTGTCGTATTTTCTGATTCAAGCTTCAGTAGCCCAACCGAATCTCGTGGGATTGTATCTCCACTGCCACTTTTTTCAGCATAACTTCCTGTTGAGAATGAAGGTCTGGATACACTTGCATCACTGTTACTTGAATCAAGGGAATGGTCTGATTTAGAGTCTTCGAAATGAATCATTTCAAGGGATCGACGGTTACGAATGCGTTGCTCTATTGTATGAAACACGGTGGATGAGTGGGTCATGGCTATAACCAATGCAGTAAACATCAATTAGCAATATTTTAACTTATTTGACAAACGTAATACATGCATCTCACCTTTACTTGGACCATCATTTGAAACTATGCAACTCTGAAGTTTGGAGGCAGTTTTAAAAGGCCGTGATTCTTCTGTGACAGATGATTGGGGAGATACTGTATTAGAATTTACCTTTTCTGCAGATGCTTGTGGTAGTAAACCTGTTGCCAACAACTTCCATTTAGATATTGAATAGGCGATTTTGCGTTGCATTTTGGAATTTGCTATGATAGTTTTTGGATCTAGATCCAAGGACTCGAATGGCTTATTGTTGGATTCAGAGAGATCAGTTATGCATGTGATTTTCGTATCTGGCTCTATCTTTAGCTGAATTGTTTTAACTTCAAGCTGCGACAGTGATTGGTTTGACGATTTATCAGAAACGGGTACAATATTATTGGACGATGATGCTGAATTAAAAACGCTGTCATGTTCAATACGAGTAAGCTTTGGCAGAACCAACTGAGGCGGAGTGATGTCAACCACTGTATCTGCACTGTATGTTACACCATGTACATCATTATTACCCATACATTTTAAAAAGTTGATTTTAAACACTGGATTAAATATGGTATCACCTATCGTAAAGTGGGATCAAAACAGCTTTTCGTTGACGCGATGACTCTGATTTGTAATTCTTGAAGCAGATTTGATTTACACCATAGTTTTGGTTATTAAAATCAATTGGAAACCAAGTTGATATCAAAATTGTTATTTCAAAAATCTGCAAAAAAACAAGGCTACCTTTTTTTTGGGTCGTGGTTCGGGAATATAGACTCGTAACCGATCGCAAGGAGTTTCTTTTGGGTCAATCAAGTCTTCATTCACTTCGCTCAAATCGGCTAGAATAGACGGTGTTCTGGTATATAAATTTTCAGAAACACTCCTTACAAGACATGAGTTTTCTACCTGTAGACGAGATTTTCCTGCATTGAAAACTAGTGATGATGCTGAAGGAGGTTTTGGCAATGGTAAATTTTTGCAGTGTTTGGAATTTGGTTGGAGAAACCCAGTGTATTGTCGTTCTGTGCTATCAGTGGGATTGGTGAGTAAAGGTTTGGTTGGCGTGGTATGATTCAATGCCGTAAGGCTAGCAGTTGCCGCCAAGGTTTCCAGCGACATTATTCTGTGAGTACGTCAACCAATAGTAACTACTAAGCGTGTAAGTTTAAAAAATGCAACCAGGTTTTGAGATAAAGTCTGGTCAACTCCTACAGGAAGTGATTGAGTCTCTTTAGAAAGTGCTATGCTTTAAGTCTGTGGCTCTGACTATATGGTATACGTATGTGAAGTCTGATCAGCCAAAGATTTAAAATCAAATTGAATCTATTTAATACTGCTGGTTGGTAAAATGTCTTGTCAAACAAGATCTTGGCAGAATATTATGTTTGACTTACGCTTGGTCACAGTGTATTTAAAATACTATTATTTGAATGATCTGAAACAAATCCAAACAAATTCAAATTTATATTTGCACAAAATCATATTGGAATTGAATAGTGGCTGGAACTTCCGGTTAGGCTGTAATGTATATAAACTTTGCAAGGGCGTATCCACGATTGTGTGAAAACGTGTCCACGCTATTTGCAATCCATAGTATACACACCATCTTGGATTTTAGAGTCGTATTCACGTAAAATAGAATATTTTTGTATTTATCTTGTAATGATTGTCTTGGAATAAACAATGGTTAAATATACGTTGTGCTTTTCTACTAGAAATCGACTTTAGTAGATATGATCAATTCAATAAACACAACGTCCATCATATGATACACACAATCAACCTATAATTTTAGACTAAAACCATCACTCTTTCCACTTTTAGCATAGTCATGCATTGCATGATTGTCAAGTTTGAGACCAGATTCATTCATTGAAACCCACATGTTTGGTTTGAGTGTTTTGATGTTGTCAATCAAACTGTGTACAAACTCGGATATGTTTGCGCCTTAATCCGAGAGAATAACGATTGCACGTCACAAATGCAACTTTTATTTCCATGCCAATCGGCAGGAGACCAGTCGACTTTGCTAGAGAACACTATTGTCTAGTAGATTTAGCACCAATTATTCCAGGAGACTGGCTGTTTATTATACACCAACACTCTTAGTATTTTACGTAAATATGGTCAAGAGCAGTAATAGAATATACCTTTTTCAATGTCAATAGATGATGTTTTATTGGATACAGTATCCTAGATATAAAGTTTTTTGTCAGGTGTATTCGAGTGAAGTCATAATATTATTCTGAGTTGTCAATACAAATGATGATGTTGGTTATGTTTTAACTCGACTTGACCATTTTCATCAATATACAAGCGAAATCCATTACTCATGTCTTTGCTTTTATTGCAAGACTACAATCTTGATAATTCAATTATTCGAAACACGAAGCAAAAGTGTTTCTAATTCCAACCAGACAAGACCGCTAATTTAGGGTAAATTTTCTTTCCAAAGTGTAGCTGTTTATACTCGACTGCTTCTAGTTGATTGCTAAAAACCAGACAGTTTCTATACTCTTTTAAAACATCTATTTTGTAAAGTAACCGGTATATACTAGGCGGTCTAGTAAATCTAAGCTGTTTCCAATCCACCAGTGCTCTAAACTTGCATCTTAATTGGATTGTAACGCCTTGGGTTCAACTTGATTCGCTACATCATAGTCGATATTGTAACTCTTATAATTGTACAACAACCAGCGTAAGTTTATGATTGAGTTTTTTGACTTGCAAGATTCCTTGTTTGTTCCATGCATGTATATTTCCCAACTTCATTGGACTCTTAGTCTAGTTAGCAACAGGATTCATTCTGAAACTGAGCGATTGCAGGATCGCCATGAATCAGGGGTATCTATGCATTGGGTGTGAATAGCCACTTTTGTATTGCATCAACAGCAAACACCCAACTGATTGCATTCAGACGGTTGTTGCCAGACTTAGTAGCAACCACAGGGAGGGTTGTGTTGCAAAATCCATTTACAATCCAGTGTATTCAAAACTCTTGGTGCTCAAATGGTCTAGTCTATATCACTGTTTTTACGGTTTCAATGTGATTGGACAGTCGCTATACCCCTTTGATATATGATCAACATACTAGAATGTACTTGGAGTTGGACAGAGTCTTGTCTAGTGCCAAGTGTTTTTGGGTGGGCTAATACTTGATTAGAATGGTGGCCTGAATGTGCAGTTTGATTGGTTCATTGGAATTCTTTGTAAATCCTCAATCTTACCTCATGCATTCTGGTGTCTTGAACACCTGGAGATGCATTCAATAGAATCTGCATGGTTGACATGTTGTGTAGGTTGAACAGACTACCAAGCAATTAGACACTGTCTGACAGGGTAGATTCAGCAGAATGCATAGCGAGACCATCTACTAGTTTTTACTAGACTGCCAAATGCTCAGCCATTCAACTTTCCATTGAGAATACGCCAAGTTCCTTTTCACTTGATATTGGGCTGATTTTCACTCGACTCTTCTAGTTCACTGCTTAGTCAGCCTACTATCCTACTACTCCCATCTCGAAAGCTTCATCATTTGTCTGTCCAACATTATCTTGAATCACGCACTATTCCTATTGTGGTCTATTATTTAAACTTGTACCTCACGCTTTGTCCTATTTTGTGTTTGTGTCTTCCAACTGCTGTGATTTTATTTGCTAGTCTTGTGCTTGTTTGCGATTGTTTGTCGTATCCCATCGGTTGGTTGTGTCTTGCTATCTTCTGATGCTTGTGACCCTATTGGGTGGAAGAATCTCGACATGTTTGAATACACACACACAATCCCTTGTTTGCCTGAAATCTCTGCTAGCAGTAAAACACGCTTCCTGTACTGTCTGTTCTCAAATCTTTGTCCAGCAGTCTGTGCTGCCCTGTTCGACTCGACACTAACCCGAGTCATTGGTGCCATTATTGTACTCTGTTACTCTTGACCTGAATCTACCATTCGCCTTTAAATATTGACCCTATTTCTCTAATTTTTCTTCATCAAGTCTTTATCTCTTGACGTTACCCACTAGATTCACATCAGCCTCAGTCTTTACTATCAAGACCAACCACTCCATATTCTAATCACTGATTCTTCATTATTACTCTAACCCACTATATTAGACATTGACCTACCAATCATTCTAATCTTCAATTCTTATTTTTCTAACTTTTAATCTCAACATTACCAACCATCAATAATGCTTTCTGGAAACCCTACCGACTCCATTTCTCTTATCAACGCTCATGCCGAAAAAGACCGCTTTTCTGCTATTCAGATGCACGAACAGCAGCAGCTTCATCATCTGCGCTACTCGCCATTATCTGACCAGCTCAACCAGCGACCCGTATCGCAGCTGTCGCAGCTTTCCTTTATCCGCCAGCAGGAAAGCGAGCATTTATCTCAAAGGCACTACAAGGCATCCCCACCAGGCATAATGGATCATAACACTTCTGGTGCAATCCATGATCATTCGGACCTGCAGGATATGCAGCATAGTCTGGGCTCGCACCTAATCAGCGTGCTTGGTCAGGACAATATGTTTCCAACACCACTTACCCAAACTGCTCTTCATAATACCTCTGCTTGCAACATTCCGGATTCCTTCTTGCCCGAGCATACATCTCGCTATGACACGACCAACTCGATTGAATCCAACGCTTTAGCAAGTCCATCCCTATACGGTATTTCTCCAAGAACTGCTTCCCCATCTCGTCAAATGTCAGGCTTCCCTCGCTCATCTGGCCTGTCAGGGTCCATATCAGCTTCCAGTGCCTCATTTGGACGAAAGCAAGAGTCGCTTAGTTCGAATTCCTTGTCAATCAACACTGATATGCCATTGCTCTTTTCTGCATCGCCCATATCATCTCCATTTGCTCCTGGTGCAGTTGGATCTCCTATAGGAGGTATGAGCAGCAACAGTGCGCTCCGTTATCGTCAGCAACATTTTGGCTTACCATCGCAGTCTGAAAAAACTTTTAATCTGAATTCGCCCATGGATTTGGCTTCATCTTTGCCTGGTCCTTCTTCTGGACTTCGTAGTGGATCCAAATACAGTGCCGATTCCCGCTCCGGCCTATATCCTGCAGACATTGTTTATTTGCAGCAGCATTTTGAAAAGCAGCATCATCTGCAGAGTTCTTTAGATAACGCTTTATTTCAACCTCATGGTTTGCAACACATGAACCATACACAACCCCAGTCAGATCTATCTTCGTCTGCTCCATTGAATCACTCTAGTAGTAACTTCAATGGTTTGTCATCTGCTGCTCGTCAACTGTTTCCTGCATCCACTCTATCTCCATTAACTTCAACTGTGGCTTCGCAGGGATCTGTTCGTCCAACTCAACGCAAACGATCCATGACAATAGATTCGTTCCACCCAGGCAACACCACAGACCCAATTGGTATTCCCTACCAGATGAATCTGCGATCCAATTCGGATGATGCACAAACCCACTCATCTGTTGGACCCACCACCAGTGGCAGTGGCAGCAGTGCTCCAAAGGTCAAGAATCCTACCCTCTACAAGACTGAGCTTTGTCGTGCTTGGGAAGAAACTGGATCTTGCAGGTACGGCACCAAATGCCAATTTGCGCACTCTTCTTCTGAGCTTCGTCAGTTAGATCGCCATCCCAAGTACAAGACTGAGATGTGCAAAACATTTTGGGAGCGAGGCAGTTGTTTGTACGGCAAGCGATGCTGTTTCATCCATTTGGAACGCACTGCTGCTGATGGTGCTGTTCCCACTGCCGCTGCGCTTGAAGCAGCAGGTATTACTGTTCATGCTGGAATTGCAACTGCTGCCATGGGGAAGAAGGGGCATGCTGCTCGCAATCCATTTGGTGATACCAACTCTATCAACATTACACAGAATGGGTCTCGCTCTGTTACTCCACGCACCCGCAGTTCGTCAGAGGGTGTCAGGATGGCTTCACAGCACACTGGAGGCAATCATACCGTGAACTCGTCTATAGACTCTAGCACTTATTTTAGTTCTTCCAACAACAACAGTCGCACTTCTGACATGGAGTACCGTGCTGCTGTTTTTGCACCAACCACTTCTGGCCATCAACTTCGCCAAATGACATCTGCCGAGAAGCTGCAGGAGTTTTGCTTGGCCACACCTTCAGACTGCACTTCAGCTGGCATCAGTGAATCAGATACCACCAACAGTGTAGAGGATATCAATGATCGTTTTGAAACAATGCATTTTTCCACTTCAGCCACTGATACTACTAGCACTGCATTATCATCTACAGCAGGTAAGCTTCCACTGCATGCATCCCCGACCAAGATGGCCTTGTCTCGTCGTGGCTTTGTGTTTTCTCCAGTCTCCATCAACACTGATACCAACGTCACTGCCATGGCAATGCTGTCTACTCCAGCTGCTTCTGGACACCAGGAAGCTTCTGAAGCAGTCTGCCCACCTTTTGAACTCATGTCTCCACCCATCTCGCCAAACTAGATTGAGAATCCCAAGTGTTTGGGTGTCCCATCTTGCTCTTCAGTAAGAATTTCAAGGCAAAGGGAGTGGAAGTTCAAGAACGGCAAAAACCATGAAGCTTATCTTAAACCCACTTGTTGGGTTTAATCCATCTTTTAATCTTTGACTATTTTTCATCTTTTCTTTTGCCCTTGATAGTTTGACGTTTTCTCGCAGATTTTAAATTAATCGATTTTTATTTTTATCTTCAATATTTCCGAGTGAATGGTTGGGTTGGGTTGGGTTGGTGGTTAGTAATATAAGATTTAATCCGTTCTTGAAATGTATGTTTTATTAAACTCATGATTGGCGCAGTAACATGTTTGGTTTATCGTGGAGCTCATTGCAACCAAAAGATTTACCCCTCCAGAATGCCACCACATTGAAACACGTAGCTCGACACGAATGGTGCGCACAACTCTTCAACTTGAACTCATTCTTCAACTTTCTTGTTTTACTACATAAAATGATGCTCATACAGAGCAACTGCGTGAATACCTGTTTTGGCTTGTCCCGTGCTGCTACCTACAAGCCAGTCGAGTCCAATGCGATTCATGTTCCAGCATCCAATGGTATCCAAGGTAATGTGGTTTGACTGGCTATTCATGCAACGTATAGGAATGAAATGGCCAATTTTAAATGCAAGCTTAATAACTAACAAGGACAAATATGGGACGGGTATCTACAATGCCATTACAAATCCACCACTTATTTGGAATTTTGTCACTATCCAGCATTTCCTTATGAGCTGTGGTATTTGGTTGCATCCTATCTATCTCCTATTGACCTGCTTTGTTTGGGTCAAACCAGTCAAGCTTTCTACTCCTTGTGCTCCTCCAACAATGTTTGGCGAATTCAATGTGGTCGGAATGGCCCAGCCCATTCACATACATCCATGCTCGCACACATGAATACCTATGCAAACCAAGACTTATTTACACTGTATCGTCAAGCATTCAAGGTATACCATTCAAACCGAAGCCAATGGAGTCGGTTACCTAGTACATTTGGATCTGTTCAGGCTCACCGACATGGCGTGTCGTGTATTCATGCTCAAGAAACGACTAAAGGAATTTTAAGAATTTATACTGGTGGATGGGACGGCCAAGTCAATATGTGGCTAAAACAAGCTTGTGGAGAGTTTGAACTTGTATCATCGTTCAAAGGACTGGGTAAGTTTTAATCGAGTATTAGATGCTTGGGAATACCAAACCACTCAACCTAACAATCCATTTTAAAACTGGTTTGCTATTGGATGTTTATGTATAGAATGTCCTATAGAGTGCATCAAAATTAAAGGAGGATATCTTGTTGCTGGATGTCGTAAACCCCCCAATATAATGGATAGGAGATCCACATCAACACTAATGTCATGGCCACTGCATTCAACTTGCGTCCAACCCCACATAAACTTGCCACCTTTACTAAACAGTCCACCTAATCAAGGTTCATATAACTATATGGACAATATACCCTTACTTGACAGTACATCTGCTGTGTCGTGTTTGGACCATGATGGAGCCAATCTCATTATTGCTGGATACAAGAGTCATATCATCGTGTATGACTTGCACGATATTCGTCCACTTGCACAAGTCACATGTGTTGATATGCGGATTTGCGGAATTCATTGGTTATCCACGGTATCGAACCATATTATTACCACATGTGAAACTGGAACAATCACTGTATGGACTATACATATATCGCCTGATGGTCCTATACATCTTGAAAGTGTGTCGAGCACGTCTACAAAAAGCGATATGGTGACCTCCCATGTGAATGTTGATCCAAACGGGATAGTCACTATAATGTGTGGATACAAGGATGGAAATGTATGTCGATGGGAATCAAATCTATCTACTTGGACCACTATGAATCAAACAGTAGACTGGTTACCATTAAATGCATTTGAAGCTCCACATACTACATGCGATTGGGTCTCTTGTATTCACGCCTCTTTTTTCAACGATCTTGTTTTTACAGGTAGTTGGGATTGCAAGATACGTGTTTGGGATCGTATCACTGGATCACTGCTTGGAGTCATCCAGTCCAATGACCAGAGTGCTGTACTAAGCTTGAGCGTTGTTGGTCAGACCTTGATTGCTGGATGCTATAATGGCAAACTTCTTTCATGGGATTTTAACTCTGTCTAATGGTTGAAATTAATACAGATGTACAAAACCAAATAAAATATTTTGACTAGATGAATTGATGTATTCGAGTCAATATGTATATCTGCCAAATCATTCCATTTGTAAGCTTGGCATTCATATTTTCAAGGGATAGATGGCGAATGTCCAGTACATGCATTCGTTATTTGTAGTCTACCCTGAAGAATATTGGGATTAGAATAAACTGGCAAGTAATATTTCACGTCTGTATTTATTCTACAATGGTGGAGTATTTGGTGCGCTTTTCTACCCATTTTGAATCCAATAAACACTCACGATACAGTCAATCTAGTTGAACTCCAAATACCCAATGTGTTGGAAACAAATTTAAATTTTATTTCAAAATAAACTCAAAAACAAAAAAGGTATCAAGATAACAGGTTCAATCAATAATCATATTTAGCTGACTATTGCTTACAAAGCTTATTCATAGTGTCAGGGTTTACTAGCTGAACAGGATACCATTTCAAATTGAAAAAACATTTAGTAGTTGGCTCGCTTGCGCTGGCTTTTGGGCTCAGTGAACTGAGGCTGGCTACTGGGAGGTTTGAATGCGGGCACAAAATCAAAATTGGGAAGGCCTTCGTTGCTGGCCTTGCAAGATTCAAAGGACTTGAATGCAGAGTTGAACTTTTGGGGCTTGACTGGGGTTATACCTGTCGATTTGGGGCCAACAAAGGAAACATTGGCGTTTGAGAAGGTGGAGATGGGGAAGAATTGCATGTTTGAATAATTTAGTCTATGTCTTTAAAGCAGTAGGAGATTGATGTCAGAGCTGATGAGGATTAGACTGGACGATCAATCCCTATTTTATACTTTTAGACTTGGTGGCTTTTGTTTGAAATCAGATCAAGGCAAGCGCAATTGTGCTGATAAGCCACTACACAAAGTGTAACCTTGAATAGATTTGATTACGGGCTCGCTATGCAAACCACCAAGCCGTACAAAAAGGCATCAGTAATTCCGATACATGAAAATAGCAGGGTTAGGCAGCTACACTTTAGCCACCACCTTACTATTCCATAGACATGGCGTAGATGTAAATATTCCGCACTCTAATCTTGAGCGGTCGTGTAGCTACTGCTGTAAGATTGTGTATGGACTGTCCAATGGATCTACTCAAGATATATTTTATATGGTCTTTTATGGCATTGCGACTCGTAGTTATTGATAATCAACCGTGTCTATTAGGGATAGATGGTGGTTGAAATGGTTTTATACACCGTGATTTAGTAAAAATATACAGCATGTTTATTTCACTCGGCACACCAAGAGTGTAGATTTATTATCATAGTATTATTATCATTAGATTCATAAAACTTTAAGAGTGATACTATCCACAACCTTGCTAAACTAGGTTGATTCTAAAAACTGGCTTCCTATCATCCATGCAGCTCCATAGCTGATTAATTAAACCCCATTTTTTCGTTTAAGCTTTCGATTAGCACTACTGGCTGCTTGGATGTACGAATACCCTTATTTCTTAATCTACAGTTCGTGTATAATCAAAGCTCTACCTGTCAGATCTACTTGGTCTCAAAAAAGCAGTGGTGGCTCAAGTGTGGCAACATATCAATATTTTAGGCAAGTTTAATATTTTCTTACCATCCAAACCATTAATAGCTTGTCGAGTGGCGCAAGACTTACAACGGCACCTGTTGATCATCTAAGCTCATCTCTCTGTAATCGTGAATATTGAACAGCAGTGAGATTCAAGCTATTCTCCAGAATCAAGACACCAACTTGAAAATATGCCACACATTCCGCTTGCTAGATTGGTAAGCCACTACTCTTTATAAATAGAGCGTTGTGCAGTGTTGACTACCCCATCTTTCAATCGTATTCTGCATTAAACTTCAAGACAATAGATTTATAAACATATTTTCAACTCATTCTCAGTCAAATATCATCAAATATGCAACTTTTCTCAGTCACCGCAGCTATTTCCCAATCTGCTTTTTCTCAAAACAGCGCGTATACATCCCAATCTTCCATGTCTTGCGCATCGTCGCTATATGAATCGGCCCGATCTAGAGCTCCATCTAGATTTTCAGCATCACCCGCTCACGAATTAATGCGCTCGAAGCAGCGTCCATTCCAATCCATGGAAAGCTGTAAATTTAGTGATGATATTTTGGCTAGCGCTACATACCTTCGTCCTAGCTCTCAGATCATGCATAAGCAACCTTGTGGTATAACCGCCCAGCGAAAGACCGTATCGTATTAAATCTTTTCTAGTTTTAGTATTATTGCGTACACTTGTTATGGCTTCAAGTTGCCAACCGGATGTGCTTTTTAAACACTTGTCGAAATATGGAGACTTTCAAATTTTAACTTATTTTCAGGACCTATTGTCCTTGACTTTAAAACACTAAATGATAGCGTTTTAATAAATACATTTTTGCTGATTGGATTTTGAGCAGTGCAGGGGATGGGTGTTGGAAACTTGCTTTTGTATTCAAAAACCACTTTTAGAATCAGTGGGAATGGCTCATGAAAACGAGATGTAAACAACTCGATGCTTCATTTCTTTACTGGCTCTGTCGAGCTTTTTTGTAAAAGTTGATGAGACCGTTTGTGCTTGAATCGTGTCCAGTTACAGGAGAAGATCCTTCAAGTTCAGGAAGAATAGCATTGGCAAGCTGCTTCCCAAGCTCAACACCCCACTACCAAAAAAATGTTAGAATACGTCATTTACCAGTGCATTGTACACATCACAATAGTATTTTGGGTTACCTGGTCAAAACTGTTGATATTCCAAATAATACCCTGAACAAAAATCTTGTGTTCATAGAGAGCCAGAAGCGACCCAAGATTGAAAGGAGTTAGTTTCTGATACATAATGGAGTTGGTGGGACGGTTTCCAGTAAACTGTTTATGAGCAAGCTGGATCTGAAAGACATCAGGATCAGTCACGCCAGCTTTGACAAGTTCGGCAGAGACTTCTGCCTCGGGTTTCCCCTTCATCAAGGCCTCGGTCTGGGCAAAAAAGTTCGAAAGAAGGATTTCGTGATGACGATTGTTGGAAACGGGATTGTGCGAGATCACTGGAGCGAGAAAATCGGCTGGAACCATTTTTGTTCCCTGGTGAATAAGTTGATAGAATGCATGTTGACCATTGGTGCCAGGCTCTCCCCAGATAATCGGGCCAGTGGAGTAGTTGGTGATGGGCTTGTTATCACGAGTGGTGGATTTACCATTGGACTCCATGTCACCCTAATATTCAAGAAACACGGTTAGTATATAATGGATGGTGAGCTTAAATCGTTAAAATGGATTACCTGCTGAAAATAGGCAGGAAACCGGTGGAGATACTGATCATAAGGAAGAATGGCATGGGTTTGAGCGCCAAAAAAGTTGTTGTACCATATACCAATAAGAGCCAAAATGACAGGCATATTCTTTTCGAGTGGAGCAGACTGGAAATGGGTGTCCATGGCATGAGCACCAGCAAGCAGCTCGTGAAAATTGTCAAATCCAATGTATAAGGAGATGGACAGACCAATGGCAGACCACAGCGAATAGCGTCCACCAACCCAGTCCCAAAACTCGAACATGTTCTTGACATCGATGCCAAAGGCACTCACAGCCTTGGCATTAGTGGAGAGAGCCACGAAATGCTTGCCAACATGCTCAGCCTATACGATGCAAACAGCATTTACAGCGAATAGTATAATTAGTGGCTGATCGTAACCATAAATTTAGTGCACAATACAATACGTTTTTAGCCTCGTTGAGGAACCAAGTTTTTGCAGTGTTGGCATTGGTGATGGTTTCAATAGTAGTAAACGTCTTTGAAGCAACAATAAAGAGAGTGGTTTCTGGACTCAGTGTCTTGAGGGTTTCGACGATATGAGTGCCATCGATGTTGGAAACAAAGTGTACCGAAATGCCTTTTTTGGCATAAGGTTTGAGAGCCTCAGTTACCATGACAGGACCAAGATCCGAACCACCGATTCCAATGTTGACAATATCAGTGATTGCCTTTCCAGTGTAGCCTATTTGATCAGTACAGAAGCCAATGTGGAATGGATTAGAGCAGACAATCAGATCTATGATAATACACAATGCATACCCTTCCAAGAGCCACTATGAATACTGTCAGAGATGGATTTCATCTGGGCCAGCACCTTGTTGACATCTGGGACAACACTCTTTCCATGCACATGAATGTCGCTATTGGACACGTTACGAAGAGCAACATGAAGGACAGCTCGTTGCTCTGTGGTATTGATGGCTTCGCCTTTGAACATACGATCTCGCCAGACTTGAACATCCGACTCGCGAGCCAGATTGAACAATAGAGCAAGGGTATCGCTTGTCAAGATATTTTTGGAGTAGTCCAGCAGCAGTCCAGGCTGAGTAGATCCGTTAGCAGTGAAGGTGGTGTGCAGTTGATCAAACCTGTTTGGATTGGCAGCAAACAGTTCCTTGAGATTCAGCTTGCAACCAACAGTGTCGTAGTGGTTTTGCAGAGCTTTCCATGCAGATTTGTCAGTAATTCCGGTCATGACAGGCAGTAGGGTTAATTTAAGGATAAATCAATCGACCTTTAAAAAGGAACGATGAATGCGTCGACTGCTGACATGAAAAATATCCCGCAGTAAGTTGCTTGTCGTACTGCCATTCCTTGCCAATGCATTGACTGTGTTTAGGAATGCATTACACAGTTGATTGTCAAGATTTACCAAGTGTTGTCTAGTACAAAACTATCGTTTATCCCAAATCAATCGATGCATTTTCTAGACATTCAAACCAATATTCTAATCTGTGGTTTCCAGATCGAAACGCATGTTAAAGTGGAATATTCAAGATTTATATTTCCATTTCCTTTACCAAACTCGACTTATATCGCCACTTGATCATGATGCGTGCTATCAGATTCCGTCCAGTCTTTTCTCATGTATTCAGACATAGATTGACTTCCAACCACTGCGTTCTGTTCTCCACTGCCACTCGCAAGCCTACCACTGCCACTGCCACTGGAAAGCCTGGTTCTGCTCAGCAAGCTGACTGGCATCGTCATAATCCCACACCATCAGAGGATGCAGTTGTTGGTGACCATATCAATGAGTCTATCCCCGAAATGCAACAACATACTATTGATGCTATTAAAAAGGAGCACCTTTCTACCAAAAAACCTGCTTCTAAAAAGTAATTGAATTTGCAACCATTTTTTCGACTTGGCCCTGGCTTCCATAAGCTCGGATTTACTTTTTACTGGTCGCTTGATTGATCTTTTACTATTGCAATTATATTAGATCAGCATTTTGATTTAAAATAAAGCGGGTTTGACCATTCTATATGCAAATAATCATGTATACTCCTGTGTGGGAAGCACCCGTGGTATTTTGTTTAATCGAGTTATTAAAGTGTGGTATATTCAGGCTTATCTACAAATTAAACAAAATCTTGTTAAAATTTCATCTGGGATTGGTAAATCAACCTACTTTGAGTGATGAATGTTTAACAACTCTGTATGTTGGATTCACAGCTGAATATAATAAACTTGGTGATATATGTCTAGTCATGTTCATATAAAATGCAATACTAAATAAGCTAAAATACAAGACAGTCATGTTTGATTGGTGTCAATCTTACTGGACAATACTGTTTTATGAACTCTCAATCCACTGGTTTCCATGCTCATTCTTGTACAAGAATACATAGTAAATGTTCACATCTCTGTTCCAATACACTCCACATGTTTTCAATCTCCAACTTTCCTTTTCTCCAAAACAAACATTTCAAACATTGCATGATTGTCATGTATAGTTGCATTCTTGAGATATGTTAAAGTAGAACGTATCTGATATTAGAATACAACAACAAATAGTTGATTGTTTATTCAGGAGAAAAATAGTCTACAAAAGTGTTTCATTTTTACGTGAATACGACCAACAAATTTAAAGTGATGCCGATGATAGTAGGTGAAGACCTAAGTATTCCTACAGTACTTCCTTCTACTCCTGTCTTGCATCATGACTCCTCACTTGACCCTACTTCTTTATTTACAGACCAAGACCAGATTGATTATGCTTCTACCAAGAGAGCATCTAATCAACGACTAAACCAGCGTAACGAAAGCACTCTATTGATGCAGTTTATTATCATGCTAGTCAATACTATTGCAACCTTGTTACCCTTCATTCGCAAGGACTTTTGGTCCTTCACTACTGCAAAAAAAAGAAGAGATGACAAGCAAGACAGCACTATGGATACACTAAACTCACACTCTTCATTTCCACGCAAGAGTGTATCGACACATTTACAATCCGACTCGTCTATAATCGCATCAACACAGGAAGGATCTGAGCAGCCAACAAGACCCAAAAGGTCGTCAAGACTACGGAGTGATGCCAACACAAATGCTTACTCGATTCACCCCGATACAGCTACAGATTCATCATCGCAGCTATCTATTCCTCATAAGCGACGTGGCAAAGCAAATACTTGTTCACCCAATCCATCTTCTGTATCTCCTTTCCTTGGTATGCCAAGCCATCGTCAGAGACTTGACCGACAACGGAAAAAGACGTTAGTATTGGATCTTGATGAGACTCTGATTCATTCGACATCTAGAGGATCTCGTCGACACGATTTTATTGTCGAAGTGTTGGTGAATAGTCATATTTGCCTGTACCATGTCTATAAGCGTCCCCATGTCGATTTGTTTTTACGCAAGGTTTTTATTATTTTGGGTTGAGATGGGTCCTAGACTCTCATTTATCAGTCATCCGAGTAGATGTTTAAACACTATTTTATTGAATGGTCTATAGGCCACAGAATGGTTCAAGATTGTGATATTCACTGCATCTATGCCAGAGTATGCTGATCCAGTAATAGACTGGTTGGATTCCACACGCACCATTGTTTCAAAACGCTATTTTAGAGAGGTGTGTAGTAGTGTGATTGATGTAATGAATGGAGTCTAATCTAGACCTTTTGTTTTTGCATCTATAGTCGTGTACAAGCTTTTTTGGAACGCTTACAAAGAATCTAGAGGTTGTGGAGTCAGATTTATCGCAAGTTTGCCTCATTGATAATGCACCATTGTCATATAAGCTAAATCCAGGTACAACTACATGTAAAGATGCTATAGTTTTAAACCCATGAGCATTCTTTCCGACTGACAGTTTTATTGTAGATAATGGCATTCCAATTGAGACTTGGACTGATGATCCCAATGACGAGGCACTACTTGATCTACTGCCGTTTTTAGATGCTTTGCGGTTTGCAGACGATGTGCGATCTGTTTTATCTTTGCGAATATAAACCATTTATACCATAATTACACATGAGACCTCGAATGAAGTGGCGTTTGGGTTGTCCTGAGGAAGGGTTTTACAATCAAAATGAAATTCAATCGAGTCGGTCGGCCAACAACTGACGAATATGAAAGCACTCATTCTTGTAGGAGGTGCGTATCTCTATTGGTAAAACCCATGCTCGAATTGAGGTGAAGGAACAACAGTGATGTGCAAAGTCGTACACATGTCAAGTGCATTGCATGCTGTTTTCCTGAAAGCTCAAGTGGTGTTGTCTGCTCGTATCGTAGATATGCTGTTGTAGTCCAGTCTACTAATACTGTGAATGTCCATTGCATGCTCCACGTATAATATTCATGCTCATTGAGACTAGGTTTTGGAACTCGTCTACGTCCTTTGACGTTGACTCTTCCCAAACCATTGGTCGAGTTTGCTAACCGACCCATGATCTTGCACCAAATCGAGGCTTTAGTCAAGGTAATTACTACTATTCATGTACATTGAATCTGGCTGAGATACGTTGTGTCCTGGTCAGATGTGTATCTATTTTGCATATCCGCGACCCTTGCTGTTCTGGTTCATCTATGGGTTATATTTTAACCGATAGGGCTAGCAGGCTTTTATACTCTGCCGCTATACTTTATTTGAACTGTTTGATTTTCATAGTGTTTACGAGTCTATGTCTGGCATGGTGGAGTTTAGAGACCGCCTATTCGACTTTTCTAGATACCATTTAGTGTACTTGTGTATAACTCTTGTATTGGTTCAATTGTTTTTAGGCTGGCGTGACCGACATTGTTCTGGCAGTCAATTATCGTCCAGAAGTTATGGCCAACTTTATTGCCACGTACGAAGCTCAACTTGGTGTTCATATCACCTTTTCTGTCGAGACTGAGCCTCTTGGTACTGGTAAGTAGATCTGACCAAGCCTTTCCATGATCAAGTTTAAATCGTGTTGCTTATTTGATTTACTATTATTGCGTATATTTGGCATTGTAACATTATGGATTAGCTGGTCCCTTGGCACTTGCTAGCGATGTTCTTGGCAAAAACGACGACCCCTTTTTTGTGCTCAATTCTGATGTTATCTGTGATTTTCCGTTTGAGGAGATGGCTGCGTTTCACAAGTCTCATGGCAACGAAGGTACTCTTTTGGTGACTCGTGTCGAAGAACCATCTAAATATGGTGTGGTGATCAACAAGCCCAACTCTACCAAGATTGACCGGTTTGTTGAAAAACCACAAACTTTTGTATCCAACAAGATCAATGCTGGTCTCTATATATTCAACACTAGCATTCTGAAGCGCATCAAGGTGTGGTACAGAATCTCTTTTTTAAGCACGTCAGATTACTTCAGCCTTTTAAATTGTACTGTACATGTTTATTAGCCAGAGCCAACATCGATTGAAAAAGAGATTTTCCCACTCATGGCAGATGCAGGTGAGCTGCATTATATGGATCTTGCTGGATTCTGGATGGATGTGGGCCAACCCAAGGATTACTTGATTGGAATGAGCCTTTATTTGGCATCATTGAACAAAAAGTCGCCCAGTTCCCTTACCACAGGACCAGGATATATTGGCAACGTACTTATTGATCCCACGGCCATCATTGGTGAACATTGTCGCATTGGTCCCAATGTAGTGATTGGTCCAGGAGTAGAAATTGGAGATGGAGTGCGACTTAGCCGGACGGTTCTTTTGGAATCTGTTAGGATCAAGGATCATGCATGGATCAATTCATCTGTTATAGGATGGCGGTCAACCATTGGTAGATGGACTCGTGTCGAAGGAAACTCGATTACTGGTGAAGATGTCCAAGTTTCTGATGAAATCTACTTGAATGGTGCGTGTATTCTTCCCCACAAGTCGGTTAGTGCGAATGTTCCTCAACCCAAGATCATTATGTGATACAAGGGAATGCATCGTTCTTGTGAACTTTTGATTTAAAAAAAGGAATAATCAGACCATGATTGACTTGCTATTCTCGGACAGATTTGATTTATTTTTGAGTTCAAATATATACAATTGTGATGAGAATCTAAGATTTCACTGCCCAGCTTGTACGATCCTGTAGATATGAGTTAGTAATGTACAAGTTTTAATATAAAGTGTTGAAGGACATGAAACTTACTTTTGGGCAAGTGGGAGGATCGTTTGTTTCGATCCATTCTTCGATGCAGTGAATATGGAATACATGAGTACATACTCCAATGACTAACAGAGGGTTTAGTATAGAAGTCATGATTAGAGTTATTACAAATAGTCAGACTTGCCTAGTGGACAGTCATCACCTGGCAGCTTGCATTTAGGACAACAGGATTCGTAAGGATTCATACAGATGGCACATACATCATCATCGTCAGGAACAACAGCCCAACGCCATTCTGCTACAGATCTCCAGTCTGAAACAATAATAAGAATAGTGATAGCATGCTGAATAGTAGTAAAAGACCACTTACTGTGGATAGTGATCTGTAGTGGCATTCCAGATCAGAATCAAGAAAGTGCTCAAGTTGCAAAGACTTGTTTCAACCAACAAACATACGTTCTTGACGAGCAGTCATGAGTGACGATACAACTATGGATATCATCTCAGATGATCAGACAAGCATGCACTCTATGAATTCATTGATTCGAACAGGACGCTTTCAACCATCTGTACAACTGGATGTGCATTCAAATGCCTCGCTAGTGGGTGTCTCTTTACACGATCAAGTGTCTCACAATCTTGAATCTACTGTGCCTGATGCGAGTGTGATTCTACCATCGTGTACGAGTCATTGTGCATCCATGATCGAGTATCCTCAGAGACAAATACATTCGTCTGTGCCATGCATCAGGACTCTGTCCGAGTGCATCGATGAAACAGATACACAACCTAATAAGCGTATACAATCCCTTTCACATCACAATCCTTCCAACTGTATCCAAGCCAATGCTTGTAGTGAATCCAGTGTTCAAACCACTGTTATCATGGCCATATGCTGTAGACATAACAGAATGGGTGCTGCTCTGTTGAATGGTTCCACATCTACTCTCCAGTTGTTTGAAGATGTATGTGAAGACTCGACCTACCAAATGTGTAGATCGCGTGAGTAGTCTCGATATAACCTTTCTTGTCCGACACGCTGTAATGATTAATCAATTATAAACTCTAGTCTTATTCCAGACTCATCCTACTAGTATTCTTACATTTGCTCGTGCTGATCAGGCTTTTATTCGTATTCTTGAACAAGCCATCTCATCCATGGAAAACCAGTCCTGTGAATTGTTACTCCGTCCCACTCCTGAATTCTCATACGAAAGTGGTAAATCTAAACTCTTGTCAATTCAGCTTGCTCATCTCAACAGTTCAGTCTACTGCGTACTTGATCAATCCGATAGCAAAGCAAAATACCGTACTCGGCTTCAAATGCTTCTTGAAGGCATCGTTGTGTTGGATCATCGCGAGATGGTCGGTACTGCTGGTGCACTGTTAACCTATCTTGCAAAAACTAATTTGACTAGAACGTTTGACTATGGTGACCACATTACAATTCAAACTGTTGAAAACATTTCACTGGAAAATACAATGCAATTGTCTGTGAATGCAATGACGTAGGCATTTGGTTTAAATCGCTTGAATGGGTTGTAGGTTTCATCTGATCATGAATATCTGTAGATCGTTACATATTTTTCAAGAACAAGGCCATCCAAATATATTTCGACAAGCTAAACGAGAAAGTCTTTCCCTATTTGGTAATAATGCATTATGCTTCATGTAAATTGAATTGATAAATCAGTAACTGTATATTGCTATGTGCATGTTTAGGAATCTTGAATTTTTCCCAAACCCAGGCTGGAAAAATGCTATTGAAACAGTGGATTATGCGACCTCTGCTTGATTTAGATACTATCAAGGAAAGACATGATTCAATTGAATGGTTTATTCAACAAGATTTATCTTCTCGCAAAATGCTGCAAGACTCGTTGAGGCGGCTTCGAAATATTCCCGTATGTATTGATTTTGTTTGTATCGAGCCTCGAGATATTCATTATTCAATCCACGATACAACTACTACATAGAAACTACTTAGGGCTATGAATTCAAAACTATCACTAGCAGATTGGCAAGCACTCCATCAGGTGAATTAGTACACTGATTTTATGAAAACAACTAGACTGCATATGGCTAAGTAGCGTGTTGGATCAGTTTATGTTTTATTCTCTCACCATACGCACATTTTTTCGGGATCATTGTCACCCATCTCAATTAAAAATTGTCATCAAGGTATATGATCACTACTCTATTTATTGAATCTATCAAATTCATTTGGTCACTGTTAAAATGAATGATGTAGATTTTAGATGATGTTCCGCCTAGTCTATTTCAGCAACTCTCTCAGCATATCAACGATGTGGCAAGTATATTGCACTAACACTGGTTATTTGTAATGGAATTACTGTTTGGATCACATTAACAAGCATACCATATATATTTAAAGATTGATTTTGATATGTCAAAAGAGGAAGCACGATTAGTTGTCAAACAAAATGTTGATGAGGATTTAGATTCTTTCAAAAAAACGTATAGCAATCTCGAGACAATTCTATCCACTGTTGCGACAACAGTTGCTCAAACCGTTCCTCAAACCCTTTCCAAGTCTCTAAATATTGTATACTTTCCCCAGCTTGGATATCTTGTAGCAATTTCAAATTCTGCTATTCTAAAATGCCAATCTAATCACGACTATGCCATTGATGGTCTGTTATTTCAATTTTCTACAGCCACGATGGCATACTATAAGAGTGACATGATGTATGAACTTGACGACACCTTGGGTGATATTCATTCTATGATTGTTGATCGTGAACTAGAGGTTGTACAACAATTACGAGAGGTTATGTTGGATCATGGTGAGTATTTTTTACAAGCATCCAGGACTCTCACCGAGCTTGAATGGTAAGATGGGTGTTGATCAAGTAGACTGCATTCTGGCACTAAATGTGTTTTGAATATACAGCATACTTTCGCTTACTGAAGCTGCAGTTCGATATAAATACACGAGGCCAACCATGACACATGAAAGCGGTCTGCACATTATTGGTGGAAGGTAGTTTGAATTGGACATGCTATGTCTAGATGTTGCATTCATTTGAATCTACATGCATTGATTTATATGATGGGACTGATTAGACACCCTTTGAAAGAACTGTGCATTGATGCATTTATTGAGAATGACACTCATATTGGATGTTCTCACCAAGACACGACTGCTACCCACAGTACCCAATGTCATGCAGATGCTTCATTGTCCAATGCCAAAATGATGCTTATTACTGGAGCCAATTTTTCAGGAAAGTCAGTTTATCTTCAGCAAGTAGCTTTGATTGTCATCATGTCCCATATTGGTAGTTTTGTTCCAGCATCGTTTTCAACGATTGGTCTTACAGATCGTATTTTTACTCGCATTCACTCTGACGACAGCGTATCTGCACTCAAAGGATCATTTTTGATTGATTTACAGCAAATGTCGTATGCAGTAGTCAACTCATCACCTAGGAGTCTTGTCATAGTGGATGAATTTGGCAAGGGAACCATAAGTCATGGTGAGTGCATATCAAAAAAGTCGAGTTTTTACACAAATGACTGATGCATGTTGATAGATGGGATTGGACTTTTGTGTGCAATGATTCAATCGTTTTGTAGCCGAGGACAAGAGTGTCCGCATGTGCTTATTGCCACGCATTATCATGGTACAGTGTCTACACGATTTACACTTTAAATGTGATTGACTTATACATGCAACTGTGTTACATGAAACTAGAACTGTTGATGGATGGAGTACTTGATTGCATGATACCCAGCGTGTATTCTGGACACGACTGCATGATAAAACCTACAGCCACGATTGACTATTATACCATGAGGATCATTGAAACGCATGATGATGAATCGGATGAAACCTACAACGGTACAAGTAGGACTGGAGTGACTTTTTTGTATCAGCTTATCCATGGCAAGTGTTTGCAATCACTTGGTGTGCATTGTGCACAGGTTGCAGGATTACCCAAGAGTGTTATTGATCGAGGTAAACAGTAATTCAAGATTAAATCATGAATCTGAATAATCCGTATGCTTATACACGTTTATAATACAATGGTATGCAGCACAACAGGTATCTGAATGTGTTATTCAAGGTGAACCCATTCCAATGAACAAAACAGCTCAAGACCATATCCGACAGCAGATAGCAGATCGTATTTACCAAGTATTTCAAGAGTGCAACGTAGTGATTGATGACTTACAATGCACGTTATGGTCGCACATTGAACCATTTGAAAGTCGGTTTCAATAAGGTTTCAATAGTACTGTAATGATTACAATGCATGACAGTAAAGTTTATTTTTTGCAATAATTTACCAAATGAAAAGTTTGTACACGACACTGGCTAGTTGGTAGCAGTGAATAAAGGTTGCTCAAGAGAGATGCGAATGAATATTGAAACAATTGATGGATGTAAGAATGGTTTGACAAGCTACATCACGAGTCGAGACAAGCGACAAGGTTGAATCAACAGTATCGATTGGGTTGTGAGACGTTCGTTGTCTATGAATCAAGGAAGCTCTCTTGTTGACATCCCTTTCTTTCTGTCTCCTATTCTGAAACCATATCTATAGTTGTATGAGTGAATGATGAAGATTGAGTTAGTTGAATATGTTGATGGATTGACTCACTCTGATGGTTTTGGGAGATATTCCCGAGACACAAGCAATTGTGTGATGCAGTTGAGTTGTAGGATACGGAGTGGTGGAGTAGATCTGAACAAGAGCATTTTGAACAGAAGAAGGTATACGTCGAGGAGTGTCTCGATGAGTGTCTCGAGCAGTACTTTGAGTGACAGGAATGTCCAAACTTGCTTTGGCTTGAACAGTTTCAATTGTATTTCTTGCAGTGTCGACTGGCAGCATATTTTCATTGCAAAAAACCAAAAATTAGTTTTTTGGTTAAATCCAAATTTGTAGACAAAGTTGGCTGCTACAACCACTACTGATTGTCTGCATTCACTCATAGACTATGCTCAACTCTAATGTGTCCTTCTCATTGGAAAGCAATACTGCTTCCTCTAGACCAAAAAGAACTCAGCGTAGGAAAAAGTCGATCAAACCCGCCGTTTTTAACGCTACTGGTGAACGCATCTATTGTATCTGTCAGGACGAGGACAATGGGTCGCTTATGTTACAGTGTGACTGGTGCGAAGACTGGCAAGTATTACTCTGTTTATGAGACTGCTCTTGTGTTCAACTTTAGTCTAATTCTTGTGAATTATCGTATTAGGTTTCATGGTGTCTGTTTAGGTTTAACTGATAAACAGGTTGATAGTCTTAGTACTTATTGTTGTGCTGATTGCGATGGAACAGAGTGGCCTAAATATCTGGTTGATGCTGCTACCAGTCCTGCTGGGAAAGCTGCTCGTATGGCGGCTGTTCCAGCTGACTTGTATTTTACTTCTCCATTCTCTTATTCCGCTTCTTCCATAGTCGATACTCACGCCAATGGATTGTCATCCACCATTCCGATAACTGCAATCAATCCATCTGCAGTCATGCCTTCAAACGCTTTATATTCATCCATCACAAATGGAATGCAATATCAAAACTCGACAACTTCACTATTGCCTTCTAGCCCTGATGTACCTTTATCTTCAAAACCTACCAAACTTTCCAAAAAGGAAAAAAAACTCAAATCTACTCTGCAGACACCTTCCATTTCTGGTAAGTCGAGTCCATTTTTATACAGTGCGTTTTGAAAGCTCTGTGAATCCTAATGGTGTTTCTATTTAGCAAAGGATAAATTGAGCCATAATGATGTCAAGTCAGTGATGGATACCAGCGTGGTTTCACAAGAACAAAAGAGAAAGAGTCTATCCGACTCTCGACCATTAGCAATGTCCGCTTCGACAGCAACACCCGTATGTACTATTTGTATTGACTTGTCAATCTAAAAAACATGATGGTCTAGTGCAAATTTGTCCATCTATTTGCTAAATCTATACTTTACTATAGTCAATAAAACGTACGAAGCTGAGTGTCGAGCCCAAGCGTGCAAAATCAGTAGATCATACTGCCAGCACCTCATCACAGTCCTCGATTGATCCGCTTCGAGCTGCGTTTCTAAGTCATTTTACTGCCACATTTCGCGATATTTACGAATGGGCAAAAACACACAAGGAAGAACTGGGCGAGCCTCTGCATGCTTCGATCCAACTAGACGATTATAATGGCATGGCAAAAAAGGTTGAACAAGCATTGTTTGACACCACTCATATTTTAAAGAATGGAGTCAGGGTTGTGAGTGATCAAGTAAGTATCTATGGATTGATAAACTGAAAAACATTTAGAATCAGATACTAATGCATACTTTAGTACAAGGCTAAATTCCGATCATTGCGATACAATCTGATGGATGTGACCAACACGAGACTACGCAAGCGAATATTGCTTTCAGGAAAGCAGTATTTAGATGCAGACGCATTAGTGCGGTTGTCACCCGATGAGCTTGGTAACGAGGAGATGAAGGAAACAGCCGACAGAGTCAAACGACAGAGTTTGAAGAATGCGTTCAAACCTCGAGTGGAAACCCCGCAAATTGTAAGAGATTTTAGCAAAGGAAACAGTCAGTTAGTAGAGAATGTGAGCGAGTGGGGAAAATCCACTGATAGTCGTGATAAACATGGAACCATTACTCCACGTATATCTAATGTAGATCGAGATGGACAGGTATCGATGTCCAGTGGAACTAGTACTAACATTACTTTACAACGCAAAAAAAAGACGGATACGTTGGATGATTTGATTGCTAGTATGAATGGCAGTAATGCTATACGAGATACACCCATTATCAGCAATGAAGAGAAGAAACTAAAGCCTCGAGCAACAACTAATATTGCAGTTACATCAGGATATGGCAGTGACTATGAAGAACAACCACTTTCACCCTTTGACAGTATTGCTTCAAGTAGCGATGATGAACCATCAAAGAAATCAACTGTGTCGAGTTTGGCTGGTAATCGTCAGAATCAACCTCACAAGGACTCATCTCCAATAGTATGGAAAGGAACGGTACACATGCCACAAGTGGGCAAGTTTGTTGGTTCAGCAACACAAGTAGGAGGACAATGGGTTCAACCAGCAGCAACTTGGATGTCAATTCTTGAGACAACCATGGACATCAGTGGACGAATTCCTATAGACCGAGTGCAGTCTTACTTGCATGGAAGAACATCAAGTGGGAATGGAGTGCTGGTTGTTGTTGAGTTTAAATCTACTAGCAATGTAGACCAGCCAACAGCAGTAGATGGACTGCAGACTCTTGTTGATTATTTTGCATCAAGGGATCGATGTGCAGTTATCGGACAACATCTGGCAGCAGTCAAGGACATGTACTTGGTGCCTGCAAAGGCATCTACTCCACTGCCATCATTACTAACTACTATTCCTGGTGATGTACGCATTGATGCTCACAGTACTAGAGACCGACTGTTTGGACTGCTTCTATTAGCAAGAGACTTTGTTGTTGCTCGTAATCTAGGTGGTTTAATATCAACCAAACCAACACTGAGTGTTGGAACTACTAGTACAACTGTTAATGGAACTGTTGGTGTGACTACTAGTACAACTACTAGTACAACTGCTAGTACAACTGTTGCTAATGACAAGGATGGATCTCTTAAACGTCGTAATGGACAATCTGCTACAGAACTGTCAACTCAACCAAAGATCTCTACAGACATTCCATCAGTCACTACTGCAGCTGTAATGGTATTGCCAACTTTGGCAAGTCTATCTACTGGAGCCATGCCACAAGTACATTCATCTTTGACTGGATTACTCACATCCATATCTAAACCCACAACCTCAACCCTGACATCCAATCTCTTGCCAACATTATCTGCATTACCATCCCTTGCATCATCCACCACTTCACAAACTCAATCCTATCCATCTACATCCTCATCTATACCACAACAACCTCTAGCACGATTGGATATATCAGCCTTGTCCACTCTATTGCCTTCCCTTGCAGGTGTAGGCGGAATGAATCAAACCTATCAAGATGTTCAAACTCTACACAACTTGATGACTCAAGCTGGATTACATCTTCCATCACAAAACGATACCACTGGTAATGGAGATGTAAGTCAGATGTTGGCTTCGTTGGTTGGAAATCATCCTGTTTCGTCTCATTCTACTCCTAGTGGTGAGTATACTTATTTACAACCACAGTTGCATGGGTCGGATCGGCATGCCGATGTAGGGGATGCGGTTCAGGGGTATACTTCCACATATCACCATACGGGTGGACATCGTGGTGATCGGAATGAATATCGAGGTAGAGGGGGAAGGTATCGGTATAATGGTGGAAGGGGTCGAGGTGAACACTCTCGGGGCACAAACAGTGGGTACCACGACCGTTACCATGGCAATAGCGGATACCATCGATAAGACTCACCATTGTATATTGAAAAATATTGGTTTATTCCCATCAAAAAAAATAAATGATAATAAAAAAAGGGTATAGTTGAAACAAGATGTAAACCAAATGTAGTAAAATAAAATTAAACTCGAGTCGATTTCGGAGTACCACAAAACGTCTCGTCGACACCAGATGTAGCACGACATCGTTTCGTACCCATCTCATCTTCTTCAATTTCTGGATGAGCAGTAGACAAGACATTTGTTCTTGCTGAAATCACTTCAATCCAATTCATTGGTATACCATAGTCGAATAGATCTGATCCAAGATTGTCTCGGAGTGAGTGGAGGTTGGGTTTACCAAGTTTACATACTATTCTGTCAGAGGTTTGAACTAGTGTGGATGTATGTCGAGCTACTACCACGGCAGAGGTTTTCCAAACCCATTTCCCTGTGAATGCATCGTGCACATGGCCACAGATCAACATCCATGGTCGTAGACAATGCGTTGCACTTGGGTCTAGACCATCACTTTTAACACCAATTTGAACCGACCAGTTCTCATATGTGTCAGTGTGAACATTTGGAAAAGACTGCTGCAATTCTGCCGCGTCGGTATATGAATGCATGCTGCCATTTCCACTGTAAGTGGACAGAGGGTGAGGTGATAAGCACAACTCGTCATGTCCACCTCCACTACTCGACTGGCTGTATCCACGAATAGGTGGAAGAAACATACCAGCAGGTGTTCTTGGCGATTGCAACATTTTTTGTGGACGTATTACAGGTGACCAAGGCATGTTGGTTGACGGAGGAGATCCCAAAGACATGGTGGTGCTTGTATACGGTAGGCCAGCAACCATGTGTTTGCTTGACGGCCCACCCGTATCATCAACAGACAAATGACTGTTGATCCCACTCGCGTTTGTTACATCGCTTGATACAGGCGACTGCACAGCAGAATGATAGTATTGCTGATGCTCAGGCAAACTTGTGTTGAGTCCTACTCTGCTGTTGATATATGTGTGTGCATCAGACTGCAGAGTAATAGGTGAAGTAGGCAAACTTTGTGATGAATGCACCCTCAAAGCCGACATGGCCAAAACATCTTCATCGTCAAAATTCCTCAATCGTTTCATCAATTCAATTCGTCGAGTTTCTAGTTCGAATTTGTGGCGAATCTCATCTGTGATGGGTCTTCGATCATGTTTGGATAGGGTGAGATGACGAAGGTATTGCTCGTACTTTTCGTATCCAGAAAAACAGTCTCGACAGTGAAATTTGCGGTTTTGAGAGTGAATACTTCTTGCATGACGATATAGATCATGTCGACGTGCAAAGGGGAGACTACAGAATGGACATGAGTACTGTTTCCCCTCATGCACCGCTTGATGCGATTTCAATTTGTAAACACGATTGAATACTTTACCGCATCCTTCGTGCTGGCACCTGAATGGTCCGGTTGTTGCAGATTGAGATGATCCTGTAGAAGTTGTGATGGCGCCTGGAGTAGTGCGATGTCGAGATGTACCTTTGGTGCTTCTTTTTGCGGCAACAGCCATATTACTGTCATTGCTGCTCTTGCTCCATGATCGTGCACATGTTATCTCGTTTTCATTCCGTGAAGACCCAGCTGGTATTTGAATTGGTTTTACATCGAGAAATTGTGAAGAGTGTGGTTGTGGTTCACCAGTGTGGATGATGTTGGATACGCTGAGTTCTTGAAGTGTTGAATCGGGTGCATTAGATAGAATCACTGTAGGTGGTATGATGGTGCTCATGTGTGTCATGGAGATATTATCTGATTGTGTTTGTGAATGAAAGTGTGCCAGAGGTGGCTGAGTGGAGGATTTTTCAATGGCTTGATGTAAATTTCCGTTTTCCGATTTGCTTGACTTGTGAGCAGCAGAAATACTTGAACTTGATTGTCGTCGAGTAGAATGATCAGATTGGTTCATGTCAATTGCGCCAATAGTCAGAGATGCAGGTCTACTTGATTGATCTTGAGTGGATATTTGCATCTCGTTGGTTTTGACTAGAGAAGTCAATAGACTTTGCCAATTTTGTGGGAATCCATTCTTGAAAGCCTCGCAAATATGCAGTGGAAATCCTTGAGCTAGAGTTTGTTGAATATCCATCTCGCCAATAATACGATATACTTCTCCATTAAAAGTGCATACCCTGGACTCGTCGATACACGAAACAATATGTGAAGTTGTCCACAACGAATCTTTTTGGGCAGTGTCGGTTGAATTGGCCAAATATCCTGCCAAAGCAACCCAAATCGATGCACCACCATATGCATCTGCGCGCATTGGATCGACATCTTGTTTACGTAAAAACCAGTTGCGCAGGCATATATATGAGTTTGGAGATGAAGGTATAAATGAAGATTGATTTGGTTCTGAAACAAAAACATTGTCGCTGTTGGAAGCTGCGACCAATTGAGGGGAAGGTATTGATGGCGGAAAAATAGTATTGGCCGCAATGATGTTCAAGGCTGGTTCAGAAGTATGATGATGGCGGGTTGTGGAGAGGTCGCGATGCGTAATAGGAAGCAGTGTTGATGGTTTGATAGGTGGTTGCATTGGCTGTTGAGTTTGGTCTGATTCGGTAAATGGTAGTAAAAGCGAGCTGATGCTAGGAAGAGAGGAACGAAGTTGAAGTTCGGTGTAGCCATTTGCAACTGCTAATGGAGTGCTCATTTCTAAACATTCAGTCAAGTAATAATGGTAAAGTATATTTAATATTTAAACTTTGAAAGGATAAATAAAGTAGATCATTATCTACTGGATAGATTGAAGGTCCAATTGAAAAACAATCGTTTAGAAAATGGTATATACCTGCAGTTGTTGACATGATTTCAGGCGTTTTGGCAGGGTAAGCAGTGTCTAAAGAAACCTTGAAGGCTTTAGGAAAACAGGATAGAGTATCAGTGCAATCAGGAAAGGTATTGCCAATTTCGGTAGATGCCAATGTATCTAAATTAGCAGTAAAGGGTAAGGTGAGTCGTAGAATAGGAACGCAAGAAATAGATTTAGAATCGTTAGTAAATCTTGGCGGAGATTGGGGCTCAGCGCGGCGAACAAGGCCAGTCTTTAAAGCATTAAATGGTGTAGTTTTTGGATTGGGCAAAGAAATGTGGAGAGGCGAAATACTTTGAACGCGGGTCTTTACAAGTTCTCGAGATTGAATGTGCTGGAATGCTTTAGTCGGAGCAATAGAATGTGTATCAACAATACTAGTATGCTGTTTTTGCGCATTGGGTACTGAGGGGTTGTCACATACCAAATTGTTATCATCAATCTTGTGTTGTGGTGGCGAGCCGGCATAGATAAACTGTTGGTTTTGTTGCTGTGTAATAAGTGTGGGTAAAAGTGTTTGCTTGCAAGTTACCAATGCAACCGTAGCCGGTGCTTGGTCTGAGTTAAGGCTAAGCTCAATTTGACAGTGCTGTGTCTGTTGCTCATGAAATTTCTGTTGGTGTTCAAGCTGCGGATATTCCCATTGTAAATTATATGGAGAAAAACTATTGGATCTATGATGGTAGTCTAGCAATGCTTTTTGCGTCTGCTGATTTGCTTTTTGAAGCTTTTGATGATGCAATCCATTCTGGTGGCTAAATTCGCGTTTTTGGAAACATGACTGCCAGTGCTTTACTTGGGACAATGCCTGTAAAGATCGAGACTGTTCTCGACAAATCGATTGCATAACCAGGTTATGCGGCTTTGGCACATTCAATTGGCACCCGTATGACTGACTACAAATGACTGGGTAATCGCTTTGAAATGCGTCTACATTACACCTCTGTTCCCATTCCAAATGCTGAGTTGGCTGAGCATTATGACTATCGATTGGATCATTCCATTTGGATTGATTCGCTGAATTGGATGTTAATGAAATGACATGGTTCTCTTGAGACTCTATTTTGTTGGAACTGGGACCAGTAGAATGAATCATGCTGTCCTTGCTACTGTCATCCCTGATAAAATGATTTTCAGGGCTATTTTCCAAAGCGTTGTAGTTGGTATACTCTTGCTGACGAAAACACAGTTTCTGGTGCTCAGATCTGTCTTGACACAGATCCCTGGAGCCATGGGTTGTATGTTCAATTTTTTTGTAGCCATGACTATGCTCCATCACTGATGCATTCGACTGTGATGCTAGAGAACACGAGTCATGCTGATTAACACAATTCACCCCACGAAAAGCACTATTTGCAAGCAAATAAAGCTGTTCAGGATGTTTTGGATCCCGTTCAAATTGGGCTTGTGGGGGTGACTGTGATAACAAATACTGTTTCGTGTCACCATCTAGTACATGGTCAACAATGGATGAGATTCGCAAAGAGTCTTTCAACGGAAATGAGTCTTGTACGAGTGGTATGTGTTGGGATTCAGCTGGTATTGAATAAAACGCTTCAGCATCGCCATGTACACTACGTTGCTGCTGGCTGGCATCCAATGTATACTTGTCAGTAGAAGAATACCAAGGAGTTTGAGGCTGCCGTTTATGTGGATACCTGTCCACCACATTAGAAGCAGTCAGATGTGGCGATTGAGAGCTCTGCACTACCAATGTGTCAGCTTGCATTGCTTCCAACTCTTCAATCTTATCACTCATTTTAGTTTTAGTGTTGATCGAGAGAGCAGCTGGCATTTGTACAGTTGCAGCTGGATGAAGACCAAGTAATTCTACATTCAGCTGTATCTGGTCATCTTTGGCTGCATTTGTCTTGGTACATTTGTTACGTATTCGTTTAGATAGTGTAGTGCTCTTTCTTTTGCCTCGAGTGCCAAGATCTGGGCCTTCCTTGAGCGTTTCAGAGCTCTTATTCACACTTTGATCTAGATTGTCTACTATAGTATTGTCAATATTAGAGGCTTGACTGATATTAAGACTATTACTGCTGTCCATGACAGCAGCATCACACATCTTGTCCATCTCCTGTCTATCATTGGATTCAGGACGGATATTTCTGTGGAGAATACGACTATGTCGTAGGAGGTCATGGCGGCGAACGAATGCGGCTTGACAGATACTACATTCATGGTTGCGGACACCTTATACAGATGTTAGAAAGGGTAACAGACATGAATTGGTATCACATGCCGCAGAAACGCCATGGCGTCATTGGTTTTTAATATAATCCGTTCCAGCGATGTGCGTGAATTTAAAGTGCAAAGTATTGTAAAAAGCAGCTGTTAGTAAAGCCCAAATAATGTCGGATATTGAATAAAAACGTGTCGAAAAAGATTAGATGGCTTAGAAATGCCAAATAACGGCAGTTTGGCAATAGATTCAAAGGGTATATTTTGACATTGCCATCAACAAGCATTAGTGCTTGTTGATGGCGGGACTATCAATAATACTTTGCATAAAATACACAACAAACCAAAGCCAATAGTTTAATTTTCGTTGCATTATCCAAGCAGATCAAGCTGGGTCAATAAAAATACGATCCAGAGTATTGAGAACTAATTGAATGCAATTCAGAAATAAGGGTAAATGGACTAAATCAAGCTTGATACCGCCCTTCAAGCCCAACATTTACTGCAATACGTAATCAAAGATTTGGTAAAATGCAAGGGATCGGAAATAAAGGCTTTGTGTATGCTTTGATTACCGCTAGTTGATGGTCAACAAACAAGCACATCAAAAATCCATTGCATTTTACTACGCTATGGCATTTAGAATAATGGTTGTGACAGGGATGGTAGTCTGTCCAAAGTAGCATCATTTATGCCATATTGAAAGCACATTAAACATTCAATTACCAACAGATTTAAAGACTGTCAATGATTGTAGCTGGCACTCGATCAATTGGGTGTTGTAAATGGACAAGTGCCACATGGGCAATTTACATGACCGCAAAACATAGAGAATGGTTTAGATCATGGCAAATGACTGTAATGACTGCCGTATTCACGTAAAATAAACCATTAAATAAGAGTGCCAAAAGATTAGACATTTGTGAATTGGTACTAGTCTTACTAGACAGTATTGTAAACCTTGTGGTTTTCCTTGTGCTTACTATTGTATAAACAATTGAACAGATGTCTGCATCTGATTTAATTCATCCCAAGTTTCTTCAATCTCCAACTCTCCTTCTCTATGACCAAACATTGGATGACTGGCATGGAAACAACAGTTGTATTGAACTAGAGCGCGAATGTAGTCGAGATTTTAGAGTGCAAGGAGGAATGTGTCAGGGTTGATATTAAACCCAAATATCTAGATTGCAATGAATGACTGCCAAATAAACAATCCCAGTTTAAAACTATAGTTTGACTGTACATCATATGATGAACATTGCTTTAAAAAGTCAATATCTAGTAGGAATACAATGATTGATCATCGTGTATTCCAAGACAGTCATTGCACAATGAACAAGTGTTCCATTTTACATGAATACGGCTGCAAAACGGTCTAGCTAACCTTTCTACTCAATAGAATGGTGCAACCTCGATCAGACCCGCTATTTTAGCAATGCATTCAAGAAAGTTTGCTTGAACCACACCACATGACTTTGCTGACCCTTATCACAGCCCTTAATTCTATAACACTGACAATGCATGTTTGGACAGAACAAGTCTCGACACATCTATTCTTTTGAATATGAATGCTACGGGTTTTAGACCATGCATTGAATTCCTGAAAAATAGTGTGCTTTGAAAATATATGGAGAGCCTGACCGTTTTTGCAATAAAGCGCATGTCACAAGTGACATAAGGATTAGATGTAAAAGCAGAATTTGAAGGAAACTCGAGGGAATAGAAAACATCAACCAAGCACAATCTCATAGTAAGCGTCCCGAAATTAAGCCGTATGGAAGTCAGTATTGAGTGAAAAGATGCAAGATTGGTCAATCCAACTTCAGCTCAGTAAATGGCTCAAGTGCACATATTATGCAGGGTATTCACACAGCCCTCGTTTAAAGTAGGTGAAGGTGAGATTGTAGTCTAGATGGTAAAAGGATGAATGGCACGGACTACCCAAATGCAAGAGTACTGACTGAATGCTTTGTATTGGATCAATGAAATCATTTAAAGATACAAAGCACTGTTGAAAATTTACCTGTATGAACCAGAGTATGAGATTTGAGATTGTATGGTTTGTAGAATATCCGATTACAGGCTGGAAACGTACACACATAAGTTATAGGCTGAGATTGCTGCTTATCTGCCAACCCACTCAATTTTTTTGTGACAGCATGGGTTGAGTTGGAGGTATCTGATTCGGCTTGTCCGAATAAGGGAAGTGCTTGGTTTGTTCGTTCTACCATGGCACGGCTTTGCATTAGACCTTGCTCATAATCAAGTAGATGTGGTGAATGCTGCTTGGCAAGATCAGATACTACAGAATTACTGTGCTTCAAATTAATTGAATTAGTGGACGCAGTTCTATGCAATAAAGCCAAACTATCGACAGCTTGCGTAGATGGAGTGGTAGCTGTAACGGAATAACTAGTGATTGCTGAAGACTCTTTAGCTGCGGCTACCATCCAGTCCTGTTGCTGCGGTTTGGACGGATTCAGATGTAATGATGCGGAACAATAGTCTGCTTCGAATATCTTGGATGCTGATTGCTTGTGTGGAGATGCAATATGACCTAACGATGCAAGCATTGCAGCTGCTTCTGCAGCAGCATATATTTCCTTGTCAATGGTTACAGTTGCAGGAGTAATGGACAAATCCCTCATCTTGATCGCTGCTCGCAAGGGACTTCCTTGATATCCAGAGTCATTCATATCTATAGTAGCATCGACGCTTTCAGCTGTACAGAGTGCTGCATTCGACAATGTAGACTGATGAATTGATGTAGCTAGTAATTCAGTTGATGGCATTAGATTGTGATGTGGCTCCTGTATTACCAACTGTTCTGAAGAAAGTTGTGCTTGTAAAAAACTCATTGGATATTGAAGTGGCTGGAAAATGGTTTCCAGCTTTTGTAATCCAAATCAAATGCTTTGATGCAAATTGGCTAATTTACGATATCTGAAAACTCGGTTGTAGTCGAATGGTATCAAAAGAGTAATCAAGTCAATTATCAACTCAGTCGAGAAAAGTCGACCAAATTAGACAAGTCTGATTAAAACTCTTCATCTAGCCGAGGCTATTGAGTGGATGTGGCGGGTCTCGGACCGTTACTTTGTTATTGCTGTGGATATTGCTGGTAGATGCTTCCCACGTGATGGACTTTCATTACTGTCATCACAACACTTGTATGTTGGATCGACTGTCTTGCTCGATAATATACAATGTTTCTAATGCTTTCCTGTTGATTAACTGTTTCTACAATCCTTCAAAATACAATACTCATCATATAATACATGTATAGTTTTAACCCAAGATTTCCTTATTTGGCAGTCATTGTAATCCAGATATTTGGTTTTAATATCAAACTCTACAAACTCATTTTGGTTGTATCCCAGTTTTGATGCGTTTGTGCTCCAGTTCAAGATAATAATATCCCACTTTACACCAATACAATTGTGTATCCAATCAAGTTTTAAATATTGATCATTTGTTGGTGTCAGAAACTAGGCCGAATAAATTGTTTTGGAATGTTATATTTGATTTTATTAATTCCAAATAAAAACAGATCAGACAGATAAATAAATTGCAAAACGGTCTGATAATGATTAACCTTTTGGACAAACCAACACATCTTCAGCAAGCAAGGCTCAGACGACATGAGCATTGTCTTGAGCATTACACGCCAGTTTCTTTTGAACAACCATTACTGACGAGATACAAGAGTGATCTAGCCAGTATCTAAAAGACTGAGCTCTTGCACCAGAATACATCAATGAGGGTGGAGTGTTGTTTGAATCGGCAGATCCTTGTCCAGTTCCAATAGTAGTATTAGGCCCACCATTTGCAACCGAGGGTGGAGATGATGATGATTGCCATTCCGAGCTATCAGCATACTGGCCACGACCAATAATGATCATGTCTTTGGGTCCGTATGTATCTGCTTCTGCCATCACCGTTTCCAGTGGATCATCATCCATTTGACGGCGTTGAATTGTCGCGCCTGGAATCGTTGCTAGTGCAGCCAGTATCGTTTCTTCCTCATTTGCGTTTTGAACAGTATTTTCTACTGCTCCCGTCGTAGTCACGATAGAACTGCGGCGGTGTGATGCCAAGGTTGTGTCAACAGGTGGCGAAAGTGAGGTGGTTGATACAACACCGCCAGATTCAACTTTAACAACAACTGGAGTTTGGAAACCTGCACCCATAGCAGGCACAGTTGGCTGTCGATCTACATTCACCGTGGCCATTGATCCCCATACCGAACTACTGCTATAATTTTGATTATATAGCCCGTTTGAAAAAGAAATAACTAAAACACTGAGTGTAACACCAGGATGTTTGGCCAACAGACCTGCGAGACGAGCAGCTTCGCAGTCATCAGCTCCTCCATAGAAAACCATAAAAATACGTTGATTGGAGCCTGGGTATGCAATTGATGTGGCGGGTGACGTGATTAGCGCAGATCGCTCACCAGATTCGGTCATGTTTTCAGCAGAAGATACACCAAACCCACGATCAATGAACAAGGCAACAGAGCACGAAGCGTCTCTAAATATTCTTGCCATGGTCAAACCAGCTTTACCACGTGGATATCCGCTACCTTGTCCAGTAGATCGACTCGTCTGCACAGGGTATATAATTAAATTCACAGAAGACTCTTCGGCAGCATCCACCACATTTTGTGCATAATTTTCTGGCTCAGTCACAGCCAAAAGTGTCCTCACTCCAACCTTGTTCAGCTGTCCAAACGTTCTGAATACATTTACAACAGGATCGGCACGCAAGGTTTCTGAGCTCTCGGTAGCCATCATGACTTTGGACATACGACTAGTTAATTCAACAAGACGGAGAGCATAGACTGATAGATTGGTTGAAGATTGAGCAATCATTTGAGTGAGGTTCATCATGGCTGGAACAGTACGCATGCCAGTAAGACAAACAAGAATTTTCACAGTGGCTCGACTGTTTTGTCCCGTGGTGGGTATATCGCACAAGACATGTAGGTTTTGAATCGCACCTTTACCCATTGCATTCTCAGACTTGAGCTTATCATGGCGGGTTTTTTCAGAGTAAGTGCCGCCAGTTCCATTCACGTTTTGATACAGCGACATGGGATAAATCACACTCACGATGGGGACAGTCATAAACGTTGTGACCAGCGCCATAATGACAAATATTGTAAAGATTTGAGTATTGATTACTCCAGCCTGCAATCCCAAGTTGAGAACAATCAATTCCACAAGACCCTTGGTGTTCATCAGAAATCCAACAGTAATACTTTCACGCCATGACATGCCAGCAAACTTTGCTGCAGTGGTACAACCAATGATTTTTCCACCGCATGCAACGAAAATGACAAAGAACACCATTCCCCAACTGGCTCCATCATTGAGAGAATCAATTGAAAAGTTGAGACCTGAGTAGGCAAAGTAGAGAGGAAGAAACAGGATTGAAATCAAATCCTCAACCTTTTCAGTGATTTTGATAGCAAAGCCATGCTCATGAGGAGTAATAATTCCCACGAGGAATGCACCGAAAATAGCATGGACGCCGACAGCCTGAGTAAACCAGGCAGAGATGCAGACAAGCACAAATGTAGCCAACACTGCCGACTGGGAAACGCTTTCTTTAGTTTCACTGCGACGCACAAGATAAAGCAGAATGGGGCGAATGGCAATCCATAAAAAGATGGCCCATGCAACAACAGTCAAGAACACATACAGAGCAATAATAGAGTTGCTTGGATTGTGAATCAGCGCAACAACGAGTGCAAGCAAGCACCAAGCCATGGCGTCATCACTTGCGGCAGCCGCCAATGTTGCCTGACCCACATCTGTTCTGAGTAGCTTTCGCTCAGTGAGAATTCGCGCAAGAACAGGAAATGCAGTGATGGACATGGCAACACCACAAAAGACAAAAAAGGAACTGAACTTGACGGATGGGTCAGCATAACGATCATAGAGTATCTTGGAAACACCAACACCGGCAGCAAAAGGGAGGGCAATACCGGCGAGAGAGATAGCAGCCGATTTTTTGAACTGAGATATCAATTTTGTTGGATCCAATTCCAACCCAACCTAAAGCACAAGCACAGTGTTAGACTTGATATGTAGCCTTACGACTCGAACGGGGATTTACAAAAACACTCGATCTTGCCATCAGCAAGAAATATCAAGGATGGTAAATACCGACAGTATAATACAAGATTGGCATGTGCCAACTAAAATGCTTACCAGAAACAGAAACAAGACCAGACCAAAGTTGGCAACAATGTTGAGAATTGGCAATGAAGACTAACACCATTCAATATCCATTGAACATGCATTGTTAGTACGAATAGTCTACGATGCAATAGTATCAAGCCGTGGCTTACTTTAGGAAACACATTATCTTTGAATGATTGAAACCTGCACAACACAGAGGGTCCAAGGATGATACCGCCAATGACTTCAGCAATAACAATGGGTTGACGTAGATACTGCAAGGGAATAGCGACAAGCCTTGACATGCAGATGATGATAACCACCTGCAACAAGAACAACGCCAGACTATCAGACAGTGGATTGCTGCCACCCAAAAAAGAACCTCCTTCAGTCATACGTTTCAAGTAGATTGGGTCGAGTAAACTAGAGAGTATCGAAACGATAAGAAAAGAACGAGGTTGGAATATTGAAGATTAACGCTCGCTAAATATACTCGTCAAATGTGGATGTGCTTCAAATCGTTTCATCGATTGGGGTACTTGATTAACAATCCACCCCAGTCTGAAACGGGTTGTTGTTACATTCATCTCGCACCAAGCAATTGTATTGACCCGAGTTACTCGTCATAGTGCACATGGGTCTCCACTAACAAATATTACATTCACTATCTGTTCATAAAGTTTATTTGGATTGCTTGTCTTTCAAAACACTCAATGTACTCGTTCAAGATATACACATTCACGTGAGTTTCAGTTTAGGATTGTCCATGAGCAATTCTACAAGTGGTTGCCAGTCTGTATCGTTTCCATAACCAATACTCTTAAAGAATGCTCCTGCTGCTGCTTCAGGTTGACTGGTGTTGAGTAATGAAAACGCCAGCAGATGTTGCCCTTCCCGCTTAGTCCGTTCGTTTCTTAATGCTGGCGCTACACACTCAATAACCATATGAAATTGCTTGAGTTTATAGAAGCCCCGTGCGGCATACAGCCATCCTATGGCATCTATTCACAATATACAAACATGTATCAACCATGAGTTTCATTGAAAGTTGCTTGCATTGAAACCTTTGCAAGGGGCATGAGTGTTACCTTTGGGACAGAACCCTATAGACTGAATAAGTTGGTCTCTAATTGATTTGCGTTCCATTAACAAGATAATGTATAAGGATAAGACCAAATATCAAGATTTGCTTATGGAATCCAAGTCGGAGTCCAAGTTTTACCAGTCGCGCTCCATCATCAATGCAAGATGACCATTACGAACATGGAGATGGATGATGAAAACTCATGTATTGGATTGTATTCCCAACTGTCTAATCAAGTTGCTAATACCTCGAAGCAACCCCTCAGTATCAACCAATTGGAGATGCAATGAATACCAACAGCAAGTAGCCCGCAAAACACAGGGTAGTCTGGTCGTACCGGGCCAGTAGATATATAAACCATAATGTACTGATTGCAGTGTTGGTCGTAACGATTAAGCAACTCGCTCATGGAGGCCATTGGGTAAAGTGTAATGGATTGAATGATCCTGAACATGACTAATACGTTCATGACAATTAGAAGAACCGACTTTGTGCTGGTGGAAAGAGCAAGCGGCAAGAGCTACGCTCTGCCTGCACAACAAAACATGCAACAATCTAATGCATTCATGGTATTGTCCAAGAGGTAAGTTGGGTTTGGCACTGCAATCAAGTGGTTGATGTCATCTCATGGCTATGCATTGCTTTGTTCAAGTCGAGATGCCTTGGCAGTAACAGTTTTACCCAAATGCCCAACACTACTAGCAACAACTCTCAGTCCTTGACTGTGATCGACAACCGTAATGGCAAGTCTTATCAGATTCCCATTGAAAACGGATCCACCATTAGATCTACTGCGTTCCAAACCATCAAACATGACAAGATCGGTCTGCGTATGTTCGACCCTGCTTACCAGAACACTGCTGTTGCTTGCTCCAAGATCTGTGATATCAATGGCGACGAGGGTATTCTTCGCTACAGAGGTTACCCCATCGAAGAACTTGCCGAAAAGTCCAACTTTCTTGAAGTGTCTTATCTGCTGATTTATGGTATATCATGTATTTGCTGCTTGATGATGACTATATCTAACACTGTAATATCTTGGATAAAGGTGAGCTTCCTACTCGCAATCAGTATGAAACATGGTCGAGCCAGGTCATGAGTCATACTTTTATTCATAATGGCGTTCAAGAACTCATGCATTCATTCAACTACGATGCTCATCCCATGGGCATGTTTATCAGCTCCATTGCTGCCATGTCAACCTTTCATCCTGAAGCAAACCCTGCTCTTGCTGGCAATGAGATTTTCAAAAAAAACCTATCTATTCGCAACAAACAGATCCTTCGTCTGTTGGGAAAGGTTCCTACGATCGCTGCTGCCTGCTATCGTCATCGTATTGGCCGTCCTTACAATAATCCATCCAAAAATCTGTCTTACACTGAGAATTTTCTCAACATGATGGATCGTCTTTCCGAGCCAGACTACAGATCCAATCCTAAACTCGCAAAAGCCCTAGACGTACTGTTTATCCTTCATGCTGATCATGAACTCAACTGCTCTACGGCCGCAATGCGCCATATTGGTTCATCACTCGTTGATCCTTATAGTGCAGTCGCAGGTGCTGCTTCTGCCCTATATGGTCCATTACATGGTGGTGCCAATGAGGCTGTTCTCCGCATGCTGGAGGATATTGGCACAGTTGCCAACGTTCCTGCCTTTATTGCCCAGGTAAAATCCCGTCAACGTAAACTCATGGGATTTGGCCACCGAGTTTACAAAAATTACGATCCTCGTGCAAAAATCATTCGTCGAATCGCATTTGAAGTTTTTGAAATTTGTGGCCACGAGCCGCTTGTAGAAGTTGCGATTGAGCTGGAAAAACATGCTCTTGCTGATTCATACTTTGTCGAAAAGAAACTATATCCCAATGTTGATTTTTACTCTGGATTGATCTACAAGGCCATGGGATTCCCCACAGATTTCTTTCCAGTCTTGTTTGCAATTCCACGAGTTGCTGGATGGCTTGCTCATTGGGTCGAGAGTTTGGACGATAAAGATGCAAAGATTTGGAGGCCAAGACAGGTTTATGTCGGCGAAGCTAAACGATCCTATGTGCCCCTAGATGCTCGACCCAAAAACGACAAAATACTGACTCAAGCTGATTCTGTAAGTGTGCGTTTTACAAATAATTCAACGCTGGCTTGTAATCTAACAAACCATTTATATACTAATGTCATCAATAGCATCCATTCAGCAAGCGCAGCAAAATTGCTATCCAATCCAAAATTTGATTTTAGATATTCATCTGAATCTTCAAATGCCAACTCAAATTTCAAGTAAAATAAAATCTTGTTTTACTATGCAACCCTATTACAAACATACTTCCAATTAGTTTCTTACTCTTGTAATTTGGTTTAACTTGTGCTTTTGTTTCAGGGCTTAAGTCGTTGCATGTAATTTCAACATTCTTGAAAATAGGAGGCATTTCAGCAAAGTATTCCTTTAAATGTTCAGGCACGGCAATATCACACTCTATCTGTCCAAAGAAACTTCCGTTTACAACATCTTGAAGAATATCGGGATAAACTGGAATTACCTGGTGATCACCACATGGCATATCTTGACTAATAGCCGAGAGATACAACGCATTGGCATCATATCCAAGTATTCGTTGGCAAGGCTTTCCGTTTCTTATTCTTGTCTTGTTCCTTTCGTGATAGTGATGAAATACGATACTTGGTCCACCTACAAGGTTGTCTCTGTACTTTTGATACAAATCCTCATTCCTTTTGAACAGCTGAAACTCACAATCTTTTTGTTTTGTATGCCAGAGATATTTAAGAGTGAGACCAGGAACAGAAATACCATCCTTGTGAATATCAAGATCCAAAGACTGAAAGAAAGTAGAAAGCTTCTTGGTTGCTTTCACACCTGGCTTTACGTCTAAATTGTTGTAATCTTTCAACAAGTCAAACAGATTTGTGTACTTGGAAACAATTTTATTATACTCTTTTGGTGAGATCGCTTCGCTCTTCAAGTCGTTGTAAAACCACTTTTTAGATGGAATAGGTGAATGTTTGAGAACTTGTATGACATTATCAGAATATGGCTTCAACTCTGGGTGCTCTCCAAGATAAGTGGTCAAGTTCTGGGATACTTTGTGAGGAAATACTCCCTTTTGTGATGTAGTGTCAAATGAAGTATTTGGTGGTTGAAAAGCAAGAATATCTTTAAAAGCAAAAGATCCATTCGAAATCATTCGATATTTGTTACATTTAATAATGTCATTCACTTGGACGTTTTTAGGTTCCTGAAACTCAACCCCAAATTGATTTGATTTTGTATCCCATTTGTTTGAGAGCTGCTTCCTTTTTGGCTATTTTTTCATACAATATGTTCATCGTATCTCCTGTTAGTGGGTTAATATCGTCTTGTTTATAACACTTGATACAACCGTGAAAGAAGCACCCATTGAATTCATAAACAGTGGTTGATTCTTTATCAAATCCATCCACATTGTATTGTCCAATCCTTTTGTTTTGCTCAATATTTCGTCCTAATTCTTCAATTGAACGAATCCAAAGCTTTTCACCTTTTGATACATTTCCATGTTTCTTGTCATGTTTCATCAATACCTCTGGAAGGTATTTCTTTCGTAATTCGTTCATTTTCGTCATCATTACATCTAAAGCTTGTTCAGTTGTACCTTCAACCGGGATGAAGTCAGCATTGCTTTCTTCGCTACCAATGAAACTTATACTCAATAATTCGTGTGTACCAATATACTTGAGCTTTGAATTCATTGTAGATTCAACTGGTTTCAGAGTTCCAATCCAAATAGGATGGACGGTCTCTTTGAAGCGAACGTAAATTCCTCCCATTCCCTTTTTGGGTAGAAACCTTCATTTTTTCAAAAATGTCGCTTCATTTCATTAAACTCGTACTGGGAAACAAGAACTACAAAGACAAAGCTTCTACTCAAGGATGTGCTGATGTTGCGGACTTTAAAGGTGCTATCAAAAACAAGTATCCTCACTTGCTCAACTCCTATGACGCTGCTCAACTCGTTCTCTTCCAACCTGATGGAGTCACTGAAATTGATCCTGGGGAGGTCATTGAAAAGTTAAACGAGTTTGCTGTTGGTCCTTGGAATCCTTTGGTGGTGACAGTGGAGGAATTACCCATACCAGCTCCCATTGGCAGTTCCAAAAAACAACTCACTTACAAGGGAATGAGCACTGAAGCTTCCTGTAGAAAGTATTTGAATGCTATCGCAAACGAAATCTTTGTCATCTACGATTTTGACAAAGCTTACAAGAAACCTACAATGGATGACTTACTTGCAGCGAAAGACGGACAACTTGGCCAACCGAGTGTACCAACAAAATTAGCCTGGTGGGACTATAGGAAGAATGGTGGACAACAACTCACTACTACACCTCTTCTCTGTTTTCGCAGTCAGAATGGGACATATTGAAAGCTCTGAATGCTGATACTACGAAAAGAATACACGATGCTAAATTACCACAGACCAGCACTCGGAAACCTTTTGTCATTATTCCTCATTCAAAATTTACAACCGAGTACGTGGGGAGCTTGAAGCGTATCGCAGCGATTGCTGATGTTGTATTTGAACAAGATGACCTGGTCGTGAAGGATGAATCGGACCTTTCGGGAAGCTCAAGCTCTAAATCTGGGTCACCCGACAAGGACAAGAAATTGTAGTCTAGGGAATAAACAGTTTAATCCTTTTTAATTTTCATTGAAGTACTTAGCTGTACCAATACAAAGTATGAATCTGGCACGGAGCCCCTAATAATTCAAACGTATAATATACCCAGTGCTCTTATCCCACGGTTTTTGACCTGAATTGCTCATCTCCGATAAACTGTTATTTTTGTCAAACTTGGACAAAATTTAAATTTAGAGATAATTTTCAGTTAAGAAAACCGGTATCATTCGGTGCCCAATATATACTACTGTCATGATTGATCAAAATAGATTTATCAGCAATTGCATTTCCCAAATTGATAATCTCTGCAAAAGTATGGTTGAACTCGTCATCGTCAGTCTACAGATGGTTTCAAGCAACATATTTGAAAAATTAGCCGGTGGTTGGATTAAGCTTTGTCAAAAATTACATCACTTACATGATCAAAATCCACAGGTTTGCCAAATATATAGTTGTTTTGGAACAATATGGCAGATTCGTCACTGTGATTACGAAGAGATAATCCACCTTTGCGTTTTGGTCTGAATCTACTTGCATCAATGCTGTCCCTAATTGTTTCTAGCGAGTCCGCTTGTTTGAGATGTGTTGGGCAAAAAGTGACATTTGCATCGTTTCCATGATTTATTAAATGCTGGTTATTAGATTCCTCGTCACAAAGCAAAGGTGACTGGACTGAATGATGCAGCTGCGGAAACTGGCTGTATTTGCTTTGAGATGAACTAGTTGGATTTGAATTACGATCAAGTGATGTGGGTAAAAGAATATCTGTTTTTTCTGCAATTGCACTTGGCTGACCTTGAGCGATACTCTTGACAGTATGCTCCCTACACTCGTAAGTTATATGAATAAAATTAGTGCTTTACCTTTATACATTGCAAATCTCGCTTAAAGTCAAATAATAGGTAGTTTAAAAAGAAATTACATTCCACGCTTTTCAAGTGCACTAATATACTGCTGAAATTTGATATTTTTACCAAGTAGCTTGATTGAAGTCCAATTGTATGTCAAAGCAATGTTTGCATTTTGTGTGCGCTCAAGAGTTTCGATTTTATGCTGACGAGCCAGTGCATCATCATGCATTTGGTGAACAAATCTTATTTTTGAGTTTACCTGGTGTACAAATATCAAGAATTAGCTGGCCGTCAATTTTGAACAATTGTATACAAAAGGTTTAAACTTGCCATTAACAACTTTTTACGTTTTTCCGATTCAATGAATTCAGACATGGGAAACCGATCACCGCCTAACACATTAGATATTGTAATTTGAAAAACAACCTGAATCAAGATTTGGCAGTCTTCAATTCCCAAACTATGCATTTTAAAAATCTGCGTAATAAAGCATTAAACCTATACCTCTGGGCTTAAATGCCCTAGAAAACTCGTCGGATTTGCGTGCCAAGGTTTGCGGCTGTCGTAAAGAATCTACTCGTTTTACAGATGTGTGCGTCAATTTAGCCGTTTCAACAATTGGTGGTAGCCTAATCAAATATTCACGTGGTAAATGGTCCGAGTTAAATTACCAATTATAATTAAAGTGGGCTTGACTATTTGCATTGTATATTTATATATCACATAGTATATATTTCATTTGAATCCAACATGACTGATTTAATGTGGCCAAATGAATCACATCTACCATTTTGATTTACGGAGTCGCTCAACCTCTATTGGATTATAAACTGTGGGATCAAATGGAGCATCCAGTGCAATACTGTCCATTGTATTCAGCCCTAAATAAATTGTAAACAAAGAGGTTGAATGATAGACATGCGAATATTTGGTATGTGTGCTACTATATGGATTACATAGCACCAGAAAATGAACCCAATCATACCTTTCATTTGTTTCGGCAATGGCAACATGCAAATAGATTAAAACGAATAGGTTACAATTGTTGAATAGGTATAATAAAATGTAAAACTGCTGGATAAATTGAAAGACATTTATATCCACATTAAACCCAATCCACTCCCAACGTTGAGGTGGAGTGGATCTTTTAGCTCGCCAAATCGCGTAGTCGGATTTAGATTTCATACACTTGTATATATCCTGTAGTGGCTATTGTTGAAATAAACAATGGTTAGATATTGGTTGCGCTCATTAAAAATTGACTACCTTTTCGATTCCCTCAATCATGCCGTCCATCATATGATGTTCACAACTAAGCTATCGGTTTGAACTGAAATTGCCCTTTTTTTTGTTTGAAGTAACCATACATTGTACAATCTTGTTTAGTATCTCATTTGGTGAATACGACAATAGTATTGATCCACATTAAATTATATTCAATAAAAATGATGCAAACCTGAATGTGCCAAACTACCATATGTTGTATTGAAAGCTGGCAATTTATTGTTATCATGACAGCAATTCATTTGAAACCATCAACGATTGATACTACTGCAATATCACATTGTTGTATCAACCACACAATACCAGTGCTATCGTTTTTTCAAAAACCCGAATCTTTATATTGGTTCTATATATTTTTAATCTATATTCGAAGTCAACTACTGCCTGGTTAATGCCAACAATGGTGATGTACATGGCCATTTGTAATCGAATCAATTAGCCAGACTATTTCATGTTGAAATGGCCGATCTTGCACGTGTCTAGGTGATTTGAATCAAATCTTTTAGAAAACGGCATGTTTTTCTGTTCAAGTGATTTTGCAGCCATATTCACGTAAAACAACATTGGATGTAATCAAGATACATGATAAACGGTCATGTTTGGTTGGTGTCAATCTTACTGGACAGGATTGTACCCTTTGAACCCTTTGATAAAGTTCACTAGTCCTTCTTGATGCTCATTCTTGTACAAGAATACAGAGTGAATGTTGACATCTCTGTTCCAATACACTCCACATCTTTTCAATCTCCAACTTTCTTTTTCTCCAAAACGAACATTTCAAACATTCAGTGATTGGCATGTATAGTTGCATCCCTGAGATATGTTGAGCTAGAACGTATCTGATATTAGAATAGAGTTTCAATAAAAGTAATCAATATCCAATAACAACGAATATGTAACCATTGTTTATTCCAAGGCAATCATTACAAGATCAATACAGAAAATTGTTCATTTTACGTGAATACATCTCTTGTAACTCGATGGTCTTTGGCTGTGATTGATAATTTTTTCAGCCAGTTTAATTAATGCGTATTCAAAAATTATGATTGGATAGCGGCAACTAAATGACGATTGACCATCTCGCTTGAATGTTTGGCGGTGGCTGATTAACACACCTTGTCATCTCAATTTAGCGGCCAAAAGCATTGAAACTGGTCAAAAATATCAATACATTTTACCACAATGAAGCTGAATGATCAGATCACCAGGCTCAAACTGATGATATAGTTTACAAAAATATTGGAAGGTGTACAAAAGTACTTTTATAGTTTGCTTGAATGGGAAGTTGGCATTGGTTTCTGAGCAACTCACCATTTGAATCTGTTGAAATAAACCGCTATATGGACATTCCTTTGTATATAATGTATACAGTTGTTTAGCCTAGAATATTTGCATGAATTTAAAAAAAAACAATAGCTAATTAAACATGTATAGTTTGACCGCCTATCAGTATATTCAGATATGTACACACATCGCATCGATGTGAGAAAAAATACACGTTTGATGAGTGAAGCTAGTAAAATGACCGGTTCGAGTGCGATAGATCATAAATGCTCTTATCTCAGTTCAGCAACCCTTCAGTCTAAATATGGAGTTATGAACTCAGCCATGTAAGCTATTCACTTCGTGTAGCACGCAATCGCACCCTAACATTTCCTATCCTTGAATTCATTGGATAAAGAAATTAAGCCCGCGTAAGCACTGTCCAATACTTGATCAAGACAGATCAGTGTAGATTTGGAAACACCAGTTTGATGAACAGCCTTTAAACTTGTATATCTGACGGATCTTTTGATTCATGATATGTTTATTTAGCACAAGCTGTATAGACAATATTTGCTTGATAGCATACATGCCATGTTTTTTGTGCCTGATCGTTTGATCTGTGGTAGCGTACATTTGTCACGTATCTTTGTACAAGCAAGCCTAGTCGTAGAAAGTATTTTTGAATTGTTTAATTAAACTGCATTGTTTGGATTTAAACCTTTTTCTCACATGGTAATTTGACTGTTTTGGCTGCTCACATGTAGTTTATTACATCAAAGCTCATTCCCGTATGCTTGCTTCTACATTTCGCGATGATCACGTTTCTTTAAGCAAATGATACGCCTCTGTTGTTGACTTGAACACAACAAATTACGTGGATGCATGGTCATGAGTGTACAATTACACGAAACACAACAAAGTTGAACAGTGTTGAATTCGCCAACCGGTTATCATTTCCACTGGTCGTGCCAAATTGAATGGTAACGTTAATCGATCGTGTTTTAAAAAACCTACCAGGAAGCTAGTTGGTTAGGGTAATTGGGTCAAAAAACTATGAAACAATTCAATAGTACCTTTTAAGGCAGGTTAGCGTGAATATATCCGGCAAGCGGAGCATTGGTCCTAATATAGTTTTTGCGGATAGAAATGGCATGCTTTTGTTGTCACTTGCGTGTATTCCAAACTCTTGTGTATAGTGCATAAGCCTTGAATTGCATGTGCATAATTAGTTACAACTCCAATCAAAGTCCCAATGTTCCACAAATTTGCTTGGCTACAACCAGCACTTGACTGTTTCAAACCATATTAGATGCATCAATGGTATTAGAGCACATACGATTTTTGACTAATCGTAACTATATTTTCAGCCAGGTATTGATAGAAGGAGTTTAATGTTGGAAATATTTAGCCTGTAAATGCATGCAAATTTCTCGTGTGCAGTCGTGACAATCATTGAGTAATGGCATGACATATTTGTCTCGATCAAAACAAATGCTATCTATTACAAATCAAACGTCGTGCCTCCGACATCAATCATTTGCTCAACCAATCATGCGTTATTCATTCAGGTTTGTATTATTTACCTCAGTCTTTTATGGCATTGAGTAGATGCAGCCATTTTACCAAAAAGAATCGGAGCACCATTTTGTTGGGTTTTTTGCACAACAGTGTCTAGATCCCTTTAATGTACTAGCTAATCCCTCAACCTATCTTGTTGATGCTTCAAATGTGCTACCAGATTTTAAACCTATCCATCAGTATGAGTATGAACTGGAATCGTACTTGGTGATTCTGACTCAGTATGACTTGTTCATGCCATCTAGACAGGGTCTAATATATTGTTTTTTTGCAATGACACCAATGCTACTCCGACGCGAATCTTGAACCCCTGAATGGCATGCAGCAAATGTTTATTGCGGCCGTCTTGACCAGCAAATCTCGCATTATGTTGAGAGTATCCCCGCCTTGACAAAAATAAAGACCCCAGCTTCATTGCATCAGATCACACTAATCTCCATCACCATCTTGCAATTATCAACATGTAATTTTTACTTTAGTAGCTTCCTTTTTCAACTCAAAACCCTCGACTCATTTTGAGTTTCCTGTTCGTTCGGATCATTTTGCATTCTTACGTTCCTTTAAATCTTGCTACTTTTTAAATAGTCCATCTAGATCCTCCAGAATCCTGTCTACTCTCCGACACGCACTTTTTGACGCAGGTGGGTCTATTGTTAGAATGCATGCTTTTTCATAAACCGTATACCTTACCACCCTATGCCTTTGTGCGTATCTGAGTATCCCAATTGGATTTATTTTGGTGGTGAATTGTTGAATGGGAGATGTAATATTGCAATATGTTGTAGTGTGGCTATACCCCACATATTTATCTTGTACCAGTTGAAGCTTTATGGTTTCAATGAACCAGTTGAAAAATTATATATACATCTAGTGTTTAGATCTCCATGCCTTTCAACATATTTCTTAATGTGGTTTCATGTCCAATATAATATGCAAACTACTGGAGATGCGACACAAAACTCTTGATACCGCTCGATCGGCCGAGATACCCAAGAGCAACTGAGTTTTGTCTTTTTTCACTTTCCATAACAGTGCAGCTTTAAATGTACCGATATGTGAAAGCAATTCAAGCCAGTAGTCGCTTTTAAAATGATAAATGGTACAGCTGTTGGTATATGGTAAAGCAGGCATGGCTTTTGCAGCTGTAAAATACAGCTATATCTTTCTGTAAATGCTTGCATTTTAGCCATTTTCATCAACTGCACCCTGCTATAATTCCCACCAAAATGGCTCATTTTGTCATTGCGTTTTTTCCTTAATTGGAATTATGTACTTGGCGCCATGTGCTCTTTCCGTCTGTTCAGTTTTTTGGATTACAATGTTTGGCTTGTGCAAAACTTTTGTTGTCCCTAAATGAATGACCATATTACTGAAAATATTCATAACAGAATACTGACCTATTGACATATGTTGAGTGAATCAAAAAAGAGGGTTGTCGGCCAATCATTCATGATTCAAGTGATTCATTCGCCCTGTATTACACAGATTCGTCTTGTCATACTCTAGGTATGAGTTACACAAGATTGTACCAGACTCTTGATTTTGATTTGAAAACGGTTCAGTTTTGCTATATGCAACTGCTCCAGGTTTCGAAAAGTAGTGCAATATATCGGTCGTTTGAGATGAACAAAGTGGCTGGCAATGTCAGCAGTCATTGTTATAATTTAACAAGGGCCGACCATTTTGCCAAATCTACTCGGTGCTTTTCGATTTTGACCCATGTCTATGACTACACGTCAAGGTTAAACAGTGTTTTTGGGAGAACCTTTTTTACCTCCACGTGGTTGCCAACGCCATTGTTTTTCTCATTAGAGAATATCACATCATGTGATGTTTTGAATTCAACTCGGCCATTGTTCGTTGATTCTTCACGGGTTGAAGGTATTTGCACTATTGCAATAGCGGCTGTAAGATGTTGAATATTGGAGTTGAGCCTAGATATTTGAATGTTGCGACGCGAAATGAAGATTCGATCTTGTGCTGTGAAGCTTCACTGCAAATTCATTGAAAAATGAACCGCGTCTTGCATTCCCTTGCCATATCACAAGATAATTTATTTATTTCGTGACCCAATATCTAGTAGTTCATGCATCTGAACTTGCAGATGGTGTATTGAACTCAATGCCAGGATGAAAGATTACAAGGTCAATTCTATTGCACCACGCCTTTTGTTTTAAAACACTTGTTTGGTGGTATTATGGCCGCCATGGTATTGGATAATGTTTGAACTGCAAGTGGTCTATTTTGTAGCAGCTATTCAAACATGTATCAATGCCAAGACTATATATAGATCACACACATATACTGTTTTGTGACTTTACTGTATCTGGGCAAGCAATATTTCTGTTCCGACATTTGCTTTTTTTGTAATGGAAAGCTTTTGATGTAGCCCAGTGCTTTTTTAGTCAGAAAAGCAGATTTTGAGAATAACAATTAGTGAAATATACTTTTCAGTAAATGCCAAAACTCCCAATACTTTTTATTCGTAATTGACTATACTCAATATTCATTGTTCTTGACTGACTCACCAGGTTGGTCCGAATACATTCCTTTCCAATGCGCATACTTGTTGGTTTGGTATATCGAGGGTTTATTGGCTTCCGCCACCTTTTTCAAATCTACTTTTACCATTACTCAATACAAGGGCATTATGTTTTGTATCCCATAATATTTTGATTTTTATATAAATAATAACTATTCTCCGCTTAATCTCCGCCTCCATTTGTGATTGCTTCTCATTTGTTATACGCGCAAGTGCTTACTCATTCAAAATTTTCATTTCCAGCTCAATTCAATTACGCCATTAATATTCTAGTGTGGCACATTCAACGAATTAGCACACCAGTTTTTGCTACAAGTGTATTTGACTGATTTATGTAAGTTTAGGTCTTGTTAATAGAGATATCACCCTTTTATTTTGTTTTAAATCTAGTTATAATTTCAGCCTTTGCCTTGCCAACCTTTGCCTTGCACACTATTGTTGCTTTACAGACACCATTCCCAATTCTAAATCTATTATCAATCTGCTCTTTTCTTTTAACCAGCACTTGGTCACCTTGGCAACGCTAAATTTCTTTATAAAAGCTCACCAGAAACTTTGTTTTGTCATCATTGCCTAACAAGATAAAGGACACGATAGTTGCAGCACACCAAATATACATCTAATATTATCATTCTGTGCCAGATTTATTCAAACTTGACAAGCTTTTGCTCCTCCCGTTTCGTGCTCTTTCCAGCCTCAACACTCCTACTGTTCAGCAGCCCACCTACTCGTTCTATCACCCCAAATTTAAATTCTTGTACACTCGTGGGTGACTTTGGCGCATCTTTTGTTTAAACTGCATTAATATCCAACACGAGTATTGTTTTAGCGTTTAGTTTTGCTACTCAACTCAAAAGGTAGGGTTAACTGCCGACTGTTTTACTATTCCTATTTTGGCCAGTGTGCTACCATGGTCTATAGCTGTTTATACCTTGTGTTGAAGACTGTGTATATGCTATTATGGCGTTGAAGACTAGTTTGTCTTGAACCTACCTTCTATTTGCTCTACATTGTGACCAGTACCAAGTGAAATACACGTATGTGTACATAAGCAAACGGCTAAATGCAGATCCTTGATTTCAGTTGACACCGAAATAATGGACTATCTATCTAAAACTTGTTTTGGTTGGGCACACATTTTTGAGTACCACAACCTGCCAAGCCATATTTGGTCTTGCATTTTTATATATGAGATGAACCGACCAATAATAATGTGTTGTTGGTATACCAAACAATTTGCATTTTGTTGAAACATATTTCGATTAGCTTGACTAATTTATTTTATCCGATTCCTTTTTTATCGATAGTCGCAACTCGACATTGTTTTTGTTCTCAATACTGTTCACATAATGTCTTTATTGAATTCAAGTGTGGATAGCGGCATAGCATTACCAGCCAATCCATCCGAACCTGTGTTATGCAAGGATTCAAATCATCATACTTCTGAACCCGAGTTCAAGTCTACAAAAGAGCTTGCCTATGATGATTCTTTTAGTAGCTCTATATCCGCCACTACAGGTGGAGCGATACTTTGGAATTCTGGAGCCGATCCTGCATTAAATAGTGTATCAAATCGAAAACGGCTTAGAAGCGACCTTGAAAATAATACCAATCATGCTGGCAGTGCAGCCCCAAATATAACCGAGTTTGGTAGACTTGCTCACGGTAGCTTGTTTTTAGCCTCAAATACCACCAGCTCGGTAACAGCCATCGACACCACTACTGTTGAGCAGGAACAAGAGGCCCAGCAAGTTGAGCCCAGATTGGATTCTATTGCTAACAAAAACCTTGCTACATCACACACTTCCTCTACCAGTCCCGTCAAAACTGCTGAGCACAAGTCACTTGAGCCAACTGCCGTTGCAAGGTAAGGCGGAGAATAGCGTGCTTATTATCAGATGTTTTGCTATTATTTTGATCCAGTCATATATTGAAAGCCATTCGCTGCTGCATCTCAAAAATTGGCTGGCTTTGCCCAGTTCAGTTTCAACTACGGCCAAGTTTGGGGTTGTATCAATATCCACTCTTGGCTACTGTTGGTATATATTGTTGAAACAAGGCTGAGCCAAGATGAAGTATAATTTGAACCCTAATGCAATTACACATTCTGATGTGGAAAAGCGCACAATATACTCCGCAAAACATAATGCGTGGTTTGTAAGAGTCTGGCAAACTGATCAAGTTGGGGTGAATCAATAGTGGCAATTCCGCTAGGGTTCATTGTAATATTTGCACTTGAATGGCCGCACAGTCGGATCAATTGGTACTATTCTAAAGAATTTACTCATGGACTAGATACTGATATCCAAATCATTCCCATGAGTACATCATGGACTGCTTTTGGCTTCCATACTGTAAAATGCATTATCATTTGGTAATGGTTGTTTGGTGATGTGTAGCTAATGCTGCAAACTAAAAAAAGCTGAGCTCATTATGCTATTTTCTCACACGACCACATTTGTAAATTTTGGTTTTTACGGGCCCTTGGAATCATTCATTATATATGTTGTAACCCTTCTACCACTATACCTGGCACACCGCTCCATTCCCGCTGACTTTGAAGCATGCAATCTTGTGGCATATTGCATTCTATGCTATTTTTTCGCTTTGCTGTTGTTGTAGTTGATGCTTATACAAACATTAGCTGCTGCTCATACCATTCCCGCGCTTATGGTTTAACTGATTTACGGCATAATCAAAATGCTTTTGATGGGTTATATATGAGCGATTTTGCATCAGTGGAACTGGCTGGGGTATTACCACAAATCCGGTCGTATGTTTTCTTTCCTTTCCCCCTATGCAGCTATATAAGTCGTGTGTTGATTATTCAGCTCAATTTCTTAAACCAGCTCTCCCACTCATGACCTGCAGCACAGATGTATTCCATATGAACGTGTGTGCACCTACTAAAGAAAGGGATGCAGTAAGGTTTGGATTTTGTTTAAGCTTGGATGCTTTACCCTTTGATTCCCATACTATTCCCATGATGCACAATACCAATTGGATAGGGTTTCAAAAGTAGACTATAATTTTGTTTCAATCTTGCATTTATGTTTTCTATTCAATTTGTTGCATTCACTCATTGACTAATCGGCCAATGCTTCAACTCAATTTTAGCTTCAATGGTCTACCCAAACTAGTTGTTAGACAAGAACCCATTCATGGACGTACGTGTGGGTTCGCAAATGTCAAGGACCGGAGAATGATGTAAGTTTTTCACAACTCGGCCGTAATAATACCATCATTAGCATGAAATGTGAAATGTTTCGATTGAAATACTTGATCAAACTTTGCTTTACATGCTCAGTATTTAATATCCATTAATATTGCTATACATCTGAACTAAGCCGCTTTGTTATTTACCTTGATCTAGTAACCCAGCATTGATTCTACAAGTTGTCAATCAAAATGGCGATGTACAGGGGTAAGCAAACAAAGGTTCTCCTTTCCATATACTCCGTCAGCTCCACACCCTGTGTTGTAATACTTGGCGTAGTTTGTGCTTGAGCTGGAGATGTATTCCGAATCTATCGACATCCTACAGTATGGTTTGATATTGGAGAGGAGAGTCGAGTACTCGGCAAACTCGGTATCCAATAGTCATGTGATTGGAATGTAATGTATTCCACAAACCAATAGAGTGGGTTTAGGTAACTACCCACTGCTTGCAGACATATTTATAATATGCTATTAGAAGTGCTCTGCCGCCTCTACTTTAGCATGTTCAAAGTGTTTTGCTATAGACAATCTCTTACGATAGAGTATGTTGGTGTTTTACATATCTTCAGTCTCCTGTAGTGTGCAGTTGTATGCTTGCAAACTTTTTAAAAAGCATTTTACATTTTTGGCTGATTTTGTTGGATAGTCAGTGTAGTGCTGTAGTGCAGATGAATATCCATAGTAACATGTACTAACTCATACACCATTCAACCTTAGGATCAATTCAGATGACTATCTATGCTTGGTATCCCTTGCGGCTGTCGAGGCAGATGGTGGCGGCGATCGTAGTGCAGCTCTAAACTCACGCTCAAAAATGTGTTTACGTGCACGCAATACTCGCCCAGAGGATGCAAACGATATCACAAGAGCAGATCTTATAAACCAAACAGTTGTGGGAGCCAATATCAAAACTGCCGATCTTCTTATTGATCTTAATGGCACCAATGGCGTATTTTTTATATTCTCTGATATCAGCGTACGAGTGCATGGCCGATATAGACTCAAGTGCCAGTTGATGAAAAAGAATTTTAGCAATGGCGAATTCAACCTCGATGTCTGCAGCATCGCCTATACCAGACCTTTTATGATGTATCCTCCAAAGAATTATCCTGGAATGACAGGTGATATTAAACGCATTTACACTAATCCTAGATCTATCATCCAATTTAACCTCTGTGCATATTGTAGAAGGAACAAATTTGTCTCGATGGTTTTCACAACAAGGAGCTCTTGTTAGCGTTCGACGATTCTACGTTAGCGAAGACGCGATGAATTTCTAATTCGTGTAGTTTGCATAATATTATCGTTTTTTGAAATCCAACTTGGTACTCCCAAAATGTAGAATGGATTTAAACAAAATTTTAAAACGATACAATTTAGCCTGATGTAGCAGCTTGTTATCATTGAAATTTATGGGATATTTGTTTTGCTTGAATGGCAACTTTATAGAATTGCATGCATAGTGTTGTGGGATATTTGATGTGGGTTGTTTTTAATGGCGAGACTTTATTTTTCTGGTGGCTGTAGATCGTTTTACTTGTTCACATTACTTTAATTTCTTATTCCTTGCAAACTTGTTGTTTTGCATTTCAGTTTAATATGGCTTGACCGACTTTTCTCTACAGATATACTTTCTCTATCTCAATACAATAAATTGAATTACAGCTAATAGTATGACCAAGGGAGAGTATTGAGGAGTTTGTTGCATTGTGATATCTAGTCCAGACCGGTTCAGTGAAACACTTGGATGATGATAACCATCCATACGAATAACATTTACTAATATTGGTGTTTATCGTAATCGTCCTAAACTGCTAGATTGATTGGGGTTGATTGCATGTTACAACCGTATTCATGTAAAATGGAATAATAAAGTCAAGATCCATAACAATCTGGTCCATATCTGAATAGAGTGAATCTTGTTGGACAATGCTGTTTTCTAAATTCTTGTACAAGAATATAAAGAGAATGTTGACATGTTTGTTTCAATACATTTCACTTTTATTTCCAAACACTGAATGATTAGCATGTATTGTTACATTCTTGAGATATGTTGAGCGCGAACGTATTTGATATTAGAATTGAGTTTTAATAAGAGTAATTTATTTCCAATAACAAATGATTGTTTATTTCAAGACAGTTATTGCAAGATCGATACAGAAAAGTCATTTTACGTGAATACGGCTGTAAGATTAGAATTTACGGCATCAAGCCATTTGTATTCGTATTCAATTTACAATAGTTTGTCATTGCTTCATCCCATCCAGATGAGCTTTTTATTCAAGCAAAAAACCAAGACTCCGGCCGAGTTGGTTCGCAATATCAAAGAGTCGCTGGGTCGACTGGATAGCGGTGACATGAAAAAGGTAAACTGATAGGACAGCTGCATTGACTTGAACAAGGGGATGACTTGAAAGGAGTTGAGCAAGATAGTCTATGAAGGCTATCAGGATACATATCAGTTGTTTATCATCGCTACTGCTACATCAGTTCATTTTTATTTATCTACTCGCTCTCAACAAACCTATTCACTCTATCATGACCACTTTGTAAAGAGTCTTGAGCGACTTGTTTGCTAGTTCATGATGAGTTTATACTACTTTCTTCAAATTTCAGTCATTTTTAAATGATGTGCAGATACATGTGTTGAGACTATTGCTGCTTTTGAACGTCCATATTTAAATGGAGTACGTTACTGATCACTTGCTATGGGCTTGCTTGAACTAATAGGCCAACGAGGAGATTTCAAAGGGTCTTGTTGCAATGAAGAACATTTTATACGGAGATGGAGGTATTTCCACCAGATTGTCAAGTTACCACTATTGCAATGTTTATAAAATAGATTCGTCTATGCCATTCATCAAATCACAGATCCAGCAAGCCACAATCTATAAACTTGACCTTGCATGTTTGATTCCTATGCATAGTTTAAGAGTCTCATTGGCTTCTTATCAATGCATATGCTGTCTTGATGCAATGGGTCTGAACCTTGAATGTTAATGCATGCTGCTGTATGGAATAGAAAGTGATCCCGTTCCCGAATTGGTCACGCAACTTTCTTCGGAAGTCATCAATGGTGATATATTGGTGATGCTAGTCAATAACATTCAATGCTTTGAATTCGAGGCAAGTGTTTTGGTTGATTATAATGCGAGTTTTCAAGATAAACTATTCCAATGGATAATTGACCAGTATTGCATTGTGGTGGGTCATGTTTTTAGGCCAAGAAGGATGTGGCACAGATTTTCAATAATCTACTCAAGCGTCAACTGGGAACTCGGTTCCCAACAGCCGATTATATTGGAAACAAACAAGATATTCTATTTGTGCTTATTGGGGGGTAATTTTGATCACTTGATTTTGTTGAATCTTGGCTGTCTGATTGATTTGGAATTAACTCGAATGGTTTGCTTTATCTGTTTGCTGTATGTCTCTGGATGTTGTTTTTGGTATATTAAATAGATATGACAACCAAGACATTTCACTAAACTGTGGCATGGTTTTGCGCGAATGCATTCGTCATGAGTCTCTTGCCAAAATTGTTTTAGAGTCCCAATACTTTTGGAGATTTTTTGAGTTTGTGGAGCTTTCCACATTTGATGTTGCATCGGATGCTTTTGCCACGTTCAAGGTATTGTCATGTTTAATCATACAGATGATGAAAGCATCCAATTGAGGTGGCATTATGAAATACAAGACCTAACAAGGATGTTGTAGGATTTACTCACGCGACACAGAATGTTGGTGGCCAAGTTTCTCGAAATCAAATACGACGAGGTGTGTTGAAATAGTTTTAAATTACAGTCATGTTTTGTTTGCTGATTCAAATGCTTACGATTTGGTTTATCCTGTGTAATAGTTTTTCTTGAAATACACCGATTTGTTGAATTCAAACAACTATGTCACAAAGCGCCAGTCACTCAAGGTGAGTTGTGATTGCATGGTTTCATTGAGTTGTACCAAACTGTTGAGATGGCTTATCTGTATGATGATTGAATACCAATATTTTTAAACCATGACAGCTTCTTGGTGAACTGCTACTTGATCGCACAAACTATGTCATTATGACAAAGTATATTTTGAGTCCAGATAATTTGAAATTAATGATGAATCTGCTAAAGGAAAAGAGTAAAAACATTCAGTTTGAGGCGTTTCATGTTTTCAAGGTAAATGGATGATACTGTGTAGAGTATTTTACAGTGGTATTAATATATCATTTGAATGTTATCTAGGTGTTTGTAGCCAATCCTTCCAAAGCAAAACCCATTTTGGATATTTTGCAAAAAAACAAGGACAAGCTGCTGGTATATCTATCAAACTTTCATAATGAGAGATCAGGTAAATTTCAAGAATTTGAGTCAATGCTTGATATTTTATCAGTTTGTGGCGTTGTAAGATGACTAATGAAGTTGATGGAATTTAATATTTTAAACACAGATGATGAACAATTTAATGATGAAAAGGCATTTCTTATTAAGCAAATACAAGATCTGTGATTTGATCATTTTGATTGATTTTGATTGTAGTTTATGATGGATGAAGCAAGTATTTTATTTTTAAACAATAGTTTGAATTCAATCAACAGAGATGAGCAATGATGAATTAAACCAGTAGTTGAAACGGGAAGAATAGTTGTGGATTGATATTAAATGATTTGAAACAGAGTTTAAAATTGAGTATTTGTGAGTGAATAGATCTGCAATAGTGCAAGTTGAATGCTTTTTAACTGCAGCCACCAAGTCTGAATTGTTTGTTGATTTCGTCTTTCCTGGTTGAATCTACACATTTTACAAACTATTGACACTCTCTTATTTGCTTTATTATCATAACCATGTCTTGGCAAGCATATGTTGACACCAACCTTGTTGGAACTGGAAAGATTGCTCGTGCTGCTATCCATGGTCTGGACGGCAGTCTCTGGGCTACATCCAAAGGCTTCTGCGTAGGTTTCTAGTCTGACAGATCTTGTTCTTTCCTTTTAGTATTCATAGTATTATCATCTCCTTTTCTTGTAGTACATAGTTGATATATGTCATGAGTTGTTGTTTCTCTTGTATGCATGACACTGGTTGGCATGTTGAATCTGCTGTTGAATCTGCTTCACCCTTGCAATTATCCAACAACGGTCTATTATAATATCTATTCTTTTCACTATCCCGCTGTTCAAAAGGCTTTACTTTATCTTATTGGTTTCTGTTAGTAGATGTGACTGTTTGCCAGTGTCGTACTGGTGAATAATGGTTACGGTCTGAATCTTGTTTTCCTATATGCGTATTGAGAACATAATGACTGTCTCTTTGTAATGTGTCTTGTTACTCTGAGCTACTTGACTCTTTGAGTCTTAATTGCTACCTTGTGTTTGTCTCATTTGTCAAACCGTTGCAGTCAACCCCAATACAAAACACATCTTGTGTAGACTACCTTGACTTGTATTTATAGTAATCTTGAATTACACGCAGTCTTAATCTGCATCTGGCAGCGAATACTGGCCAGATTGGTGTATTCACTGCCATTCAAATCTCATACTGCTCCTCTTACCGCTTAGACTTGCTACCATTCACTCTCAATTCATCGCATTCTCTTCTAATCATTGGCTGTTTAAACTCATTCTTTATACAGGTATCTCCTGCAGAAGTTGTCACTATTAGCAAGGCATTCGGTGATGCATCGGGCATCCGTGCTAGTGGCATCATGATCAATGGTGCAAAGTACTTTGCACTTCGTGCAGATGATCGCAGTATCTATGGAAAGAAGGTGCGTGGTTGAATTTGAATTCACCGAGTAAACTCGGAACTCCTGCTGGTTGAAATGCACTAATCCTCTTATTTTTAGGACAAGAGTGGCGTTGTTCTTGTCAAGACCAAACAGGCTATTTTGATTGCAATTTACGACGACCCTGTTCAGCCAGGCGAGGCCAACAAAGTTGTCGAGGGTCTCGGTGACTACCTTATTAGTGTCAACTACGTAAGTCTTGATGGACTCATCTTGCATTCAACTTGAAAGCTAACCATTTATAATATAGTGATGATTCCCCTCTATTGGAACTATTGAGCGTCAGTATCTAATCAGAGCAGGATGTCTGTCGTGCTCTACATTAGGACCACTCTTATGATTTCTTATTAAACGTTTCTTTAACTGCTGAAAATTGCAACACATTGTATTCAATTCTTGAATTATATTGACATTTGAGCGGGGTTTAAACTCATTGATATCGTGTTAGTATTGTCACCGATGACATGCAACAGTCATGTGTTGTAGAGTGGTTTGCTGAACTCTTTCAAGCAATTGATGGTCATTTGTTACCAAAATGAATGGTCCGACAGGAATATTCTTGTACTAGTTGACACAGCCTTTGGATTTATGTTCAAAATCACCGCCGTATCCACGTAAAATGGTTTTGTATGAATATTGTATTTATAAGAATCAAGACAAACATGACAAGACTATTTTCATGTTATTGAACTGTTCGTTTTACATTGGCTGGATTTGTCTAATCATCAGTATCACGTGTTTTTAATTTCACTTGGCTTATAAGCCATTTATTTTTCTAATCGCAAAACATCAATTTGGACAAATGAGCGACAACAGCAATCCAAAGGTTATTGATGACCTGGCTTGCAATGCAGAGTCTGGTATGCATTTATTTAAACCCAAAGTTATTTTTTAGCTTTATGCTATACATTTATAAATGAGTTGACTGAAATCACCAACAAAATGAACATGCTAATCCATCATTCAACTTTAAATACTATTGTCCAATTCTAAACACAACAGATGGATCTAACAAGGATAATTGGAGCGATTGGGAAGAAGATCATGCAACACATGCCATGTGTCCATTTTGTCCATTTACTGATTCAGCACCCACTGTTTTTAAGCATTTAACCAACGTGCACGCATTTGATTTTCATGCCATACGGACTCAACTCGGTAATTTAAACTATAAACGGCTTAAAAATTGTCTTGTATTCTCAAACATAAAGTTTATGAATTTGTTTATACACAGGACTGGACTTTTACGGATCAATGCGATTGGTCAATTATGTCAGATTGGTATGTGACGTTTTGGTGTCGACTTGATCTATGCTCAAATGTAAACATATATTTTATAAACACTAAACCAATTTATATATACTCGTTCACCGAATCTAGACCTTGCCTACTGTAGAGGCACTTTTGGCAGATTCAAAAGAATGGCTTGCAGACGAAAAATATCTTATTCCGACCATTGCAGATGATGCGCTGCTTTATGGTAAGTGCACTTTGCTCATCTATATATATTTAAATAGTGCAATGATTTAAACACATTGGATGGTTTTGGGATCCATTCAGTTTTCAACACCCCATTCTTAACATTGCTTTATTTCAACAGCTTTTGAAGACGAATATGGCGATGAACCACTGGATAATATTGTTACCAAGCCCGATACAGTAGATTCAAAGTTTAAATCAGTTGAACACTCTAATGACGAGCTTGTGCAATCACTTCTTGCCGAGATTCAGCTTAGTCACGCCAAGTTGGAAACGCTGACTACTGCGTTTCAAGAATACAAGGATCAAGTTCGATCCACCTTTTTAGATTCACAAAACTGTATAGACTTTCCATCTGAAACAACAGAAAAAATTGAAAATGAGTGGGAAATGGATTACTACTTTGGATCGTATGCTGAAACAGAAATTCACGAAACAATGCTCAAGGTAGACGTTTTTATTCTATGGACACCTATTCTGATGAATACTGATGTGTATTGAGTGCTTTATCATTATAGGACACGGTTCGTACAGAAGCATATCGCAACTTTATTTACAACAACAAGGCTTATTTCAAGGACAAAATTGTGCTTGATGTTGGATGTGGAACTGGCATTTTGTCCATGTTTGCAGCTAAAGCTGGAGCAAAACAAGGTAATGTATGATTGTCAAACGTTATCTGTCCTGCAATATTTAGTTGAAAGTATCCATGCGCATTCTAATGATTTGCAAACCTGATTATGCTCTAGTCATTGCTGTGGATAATTCGACGATTATCAAAAAGGCAAAGCTGATTGCCGCTGCAAACAAAGTTGATGATGTTATTACGCAAGTGTTTGCTCGGTTTTATTTCATTGAATTCAGTCATGGCTGTGCTTGATATTTAAATATTGACACTTTTAAAACGGTTAAATCTACATATAGTTTTATTGCAGGAAAAATCGAGGAGATCAAACTACCTGTTGATAAAGTTGATGTGATTGTGTCGGAATGGATGGTATTTTATTGGAATTCAAATAGCGCATAGACTACTACTGCATTTTAATCATGTTGTTTATGATAGGGTTATTTTTTGCTGTTTGAAGGAATGCTAGACTCTGTTTTACATGCTCGTGATCTTTACCTTGCTCCAAATGGAATCAGTGAGTTGGTAAACTGTTTTTAAACAATGGCTATAGTATCAAACAGTATAACTGATTTTTGATTGATATATAGTGGCACCCAGTCATGCCATGATCAAGATTGCTGGAATTGAGGATGCAGAATGGGTGAATGACAAGCTCAACTTTTGGAATGATGTTTATGGTATGCTTTAACTGGATCTAACCATCCACTTGCCAAGATGATACGCGTAACTAATGTATTTTAAACAATAGGATTCAAGATGGATCTTATGAAGAATGGGTTTTTGACAGATGGACAAGTTGATTTTGCCGATCCCAAAAGTCTTATTACGGACACATGCACACTTGTTGAGATTGACACCAATGTTGTCAAGGTATCTGATCTTGATTTTGAAAGCGATTACACAATGGTGGCTACCAAGACAGGAACGATGCATGCAATCTGTGGATGGTTTGATATTGAGTTTCGTGGTAATGCTGGATCAGGTGAGTTGGAAATGGAGCCTTTTTCTACTGGTCCACTTACCAAGGGTACACATTGGAAGCAGACCATGTTTGTGTTGGATCAGGCTGTGGATGTAGTTTCTGGAGATGTGATTACAGGACATTTCACAGGAGTGAAATCTCCCGAAAATCATCGTGATATGGTAGTGACCATTACTGTCGAGATCAAAAACAGAGGCATTAGTCGTGCAGCCAAATCATTCAATGTTCGATAAATACATGAGATTCAATCCAAGGTTTTACATGTGAACATAAATTATAGTTTTTAGTCTTGCTAGTGAAGTTGTGATGAGCGAGTCCGCTCAGCAAGTAACTAAAATGCTGTTTGAATTTGATGGAATTTATTCAACTTGACAAACAACAAATGGCAGCAACTGCAGCAGTGGGAATATCGGAGTATTACATGAGCAAGATCGAGGTAGACTTTTATTCCATACATAATATTTCAAGAAAGTTTTATTGTTTCCTTCATCTTCCTGTCATGAACTTCACATTCATTGTCACTGGAAACGCCGATAGTTTGAGTTCAATGAGCCAGTTGCTGTAAACAGCACAACATTCTCATGAACAAAATGAACTCAAAGTCAATATGCAAACTGATACATACCATCGAGTAGCTTGCAATCTACTTTTTTATAACACCAGATTATCAAGACATGTGTTTTATGCTGGTTGAAAGTCCGTTCAACTTTATCTCGACTAGGGGCAATATTAACGTGTCGTGCTAGTAGTGCTACTGCTCTACCTTGTCATGCATCGACTGATGTATTGGTAGTCTTGTCTGCACACACTATTCCAGTTTGATATCTTTATTTTTGCATTACTCTAATTATCTTGACTGTCTCGGCATACATCCACTTCATCTGTTCTCTTGACAATCGGCTGGAGTGACTACCATATGTTCTGTATCCAATCTACTTTTGATTTCCTATTATGGACAAATGATTTCTGTCATCTGCTTTTAGTCTGGTGTTTGTATCTGATTCAATTGAATCAAGATATGCCAAACATTGAAATATATTGTATTGCATGTCAAGTATGAAACCCATCGTTCCATACTCGACTTGTTCAAATAGTCTTGATTTTTGAATTCTATTCCTGATTGAGTCGTCCACAATCTGGCAAAAAGGTGGATTGTTTTCAAATGACCGCTCACTATTGCTGTTTAATTTTGAATAGGGTCTTGAGGTCAAAAGTAACAGCATGACCCACAATCTGCGACGACTCGAAGCTCAACGTAACCAACTCAATGCTAAAGTGCGACTACTCCGTGAAGAACTTCAGCTACTACAAGAGCCTGGCTCATATGTTGGTGAAGTTGTAAAAGTCATGGGAAAAACCAAGGTTTTGGTCAAGGTTAACCCAGAAGGAAAATACGTTGTGGACATTCATCCATCTATAGATCTTTCTCAACTGACACCTAATGTCCGCGTTGCTTTGCGTCACGACTCATATCAGCTTTACAAGGTGTTGCCTAACAAGATTGACCCACTTGTATCGCTTATGATGGTTGAAAAAGTTCCTGATTCGACGTATGAGATGATTGGTGGTCTTGAAAACCAGATCAAGGAAATCAAAGAAGTCATTGAACTTCCTGTAAAACATCCCGAACTATTCGAATCACTTGGTATTGCTCAACCCAAGGGAGTCTTGTTGTATGGACCTCCTGGTACTGGAAAAACTCTTTTAGCGAGAGCTGTTGCGCATCATACTGACTGCCGATTCATTCGTGTATCGGGTTCAGAATTGGTTCAAAAGTATATTGGTGAAGGGTCTCGAATGGTTCGTGAACTTTTTGTCATGGCCAGAGAACATGCGCCTTCAATTATTTTTATGGACGAAATTGATTCGATCGGCTCTAGTCGTATGGAAGGCGGCGGTGGTGGTGGTGGGGGTGGTGGTGATTCTGAAGTTCAGCGCACTATGCTCGAGCTTCTTAACCAGCTGGATGGATTCGAAGCTACTCAAAGCATTAAAGTCATTATGGCTACTAATCGTATTGATATTCTTGACCCTGCTCTGCTACGTCCAGGTAAAAATGCTGATTATGTATTTGTATTGATTTAATCTGTCACATTAATATGTTTTTTGGGATTGATTTTGGATTTCATACGCTTTTTTCAGGTCGTATCGATCGTAAAATCGAATTTCCTCCACCCAACGAAGCAGCTCGTGCTGATATTCTCAAGATTCACTCCCGTAAAATGAATCTCACACGTGGTATTGATCTTCACAAGATTGCTGAACAAATGATTGGTGCGAGCGGTGCTGAAGTAAAAGGTGTCTGTACAGAGGCAGGCATGTACGCTCTTCGCGAACGCCGTGTCCACGTCACTCAAGAGGACTTTGAAATGGCTGTAGCCAAGGTGCTCAAGAAGGATTCAGAGCAGAATATGAGTATCAAAAAGCTTTTCAAATAGTCGATTTTTTTGTTGGCAATAGACCAATAAAGTCCATTCTATAGGATTATAAAGTGTGATGTTTAAATTGCGTAACCAACAAACTAAGCAAACATCATTCATTCAAGTTTTTAAATGGGATAAAATTCAGCAATGTCTTGAACTCTACTCGTCATCCGAGTTATCTTCGTCAGCTTCACGAAGCCAGTTGAGAAAGGGTTCTGCCTTGGCACGGATGTCTTTGCTAATTTTTCGGTCGACATACTTTTTGGATGGTTTGTCGCCCCAAGCAAGAACAACATCCTCCTCTACTAGATCGACATCGTACAGTGCCTTGAGAATCAGAGCCACTTTGGGAAGGAGTTCAGGATGTTCTATTCCTACTAGACGCTCGATGCCACCCAAGAGAGCGCGCTGGCACTTTTCATTTTTGACATACTTGAGCATAAAGACGGCATGTTTTTTGACTTCATCGTCTGCAAGAACTTGATCGGTAAGGTAGACGCTAGCAAGAGTTAGACACACCTTGTAGTCGCGCAGATTAAATTCGGTTGCTTTGGCAGAGATGTCAGTTTCAGAAACATCTGGATTGGAACGAATAAAGGCAGCCAGTTGATCGACAGGATCATCGGCTTCGTCGCCGTCGTCGTCCGCATCCAGTAGTTTAGCAAGAGCGCCAGCAACTTTAAGGTCTTTCATGCGAGCTGCGACAGCTTCGACACTAGTGTCTTCTGCCCAATCATCGTCATTGTCCAATGCCGCAACGGGAATATTGGCAGCACCCTCCTCAATCTGACGAGTGAGTTCATCATCGTCACCAGATCCTGCAGAGTTTTCAGTTGGGGTAGATGCCTTTTCAGTCGCATCCTTGCGATCAGTCTTTTTCGACTTTTTGTCTCTATGGATCAAAAGAGGTTAGATGGGTAAAGACAGCACAGGATAGTAGTATACACATACTTTTTAGACTTTTTAGCAGTTACGGGAGGATTCTTGATGATGTATGTAGTCAGCTTGTGGCGCATATCAACAGGAAGATGAGCACCACAGGCTTTGCAATCTCGCATGATGAACTCATCTTTAGTGATGACTAGGTCAGTTTCTGGATTTTTGCAGGACGGACAAAGAACGAATTTGTCGATAAATGTGTCCAGAAGTGATTGGAGTTTTTCAGCATCGTGAGCACCATTGACAATATGTCGATCATTTGCAGCATCAAAGATGACTTGAGCACCTAGCTCACACCCAAAGACTAAGAGTGGAATACAATACATGGATCAGTATTCTATTAAAAAACACAATAAAGCAAAAACACATACATTTTGTAGGATACATGGGAGGACGACTAAGAGCTCTAGCAACCTCGGTCATATTGGGGATAACAGTTTTGATTCCATTTCCCTTTCCTTCCACCTTTGATATAAGCTATACACACCATGACATTTCAAAAACAAGTAATGATTAATGGCTGCAAAATGATCAAAAACAAAAAAATAGAAAAACAGGAAATAACCAAGACTTTTTAACAGAGTGACAACACCATTCCAGTAGTACTTGATGGGATTATAAAAGTAAAGCACTAACAAGAGAGAGATGGATAGACTCTACAATACAGTTTAAAGCAGATAACAATACATACACGGGGCATTTTGTAGCGATAGAATTTGTCAGAAACATCTCTGCGAATATTGATGACACCAGACATGATTGGACAGTAAGACAAATAGAATAAAAGAGTTAAAGCAGCGACTTGGAAGAGTAGACACTACGAGACTTGGAAATAGAAGGATGACGATGACGCAGACTCAGAATTCTACTATGAGAGAAGGAGCGATACAGCATGAACGGGAGGGAGAATTGGATAGTGAATCAAGTGCACCAAAAAAAGGCAGATATGGTAGAGCAGGACGCAGAGTAAGTTCAAGAGTTGAAGTGTTGCGATAATACGACAAGTTGAAGTGTTGCGATAAGATGACAAGTTGAGTTGAAAACATTCCAAGTCAGATGTGATCGTGTACGCTCATTTTGAGTTTTGTTTTTTGTTCTTTGTAAAACTATTCCAACAATACAATAATGGGACACATGTGAGTTGTCTTGGTTTGAGATGTTCTTGTCTTGGTTTGAAATGTTCTTGTCTTGACCAGGGTTTCAATCTACTCGTTTGTTTCTACTTGTTGTTGTACTCATCTGTTTTTACTTGTTTTAGATGGTGGGGATCTCCAATGAGCCGACAAGTCGGCTTCTACGAGTATGGTGTTAGTCCATATCATCTCAAACCTCTCAAGGGTGTCATCAACCCAGGTGCAACTCTCTTCCTCAAGCGTACAGGAAAACAATTGCTCTACATTGCTCCACCTGTCGCATTCTTTTATTCTATTGCTGTCTGGGCTGACAACAAGGTAATATTCAAAACAACTTTGACTATGATATTGATCTGTTCATTCTCAACTCATTTGCCATGTAACTCATACCTTGACTTTTATTCTAGTACGAATACAACTGTCGCAAGGCAGGAATCAAGGCCGCTGCTGAAGCCTCTGGTCATTAAACTGCATTTCATTTGGAAAACTATTCTCTGGAAATAAAGTTTCTACTAAAAACTCTTTTTAAATATCATTTATTTGCTCGCTGGAACAGACAATCCTCTCTGTGAAGCAATCTGTACTATCATTTGATGTATATCTGAATTCTCTGCTGTATCTTGTTCCGTCATTCTCTTTTCAAGATCTTGCTCATTGCATTCGAGACACTGTATCATAACCTGTAATGTCATATGAGGCTCAATCTCCATGGCTGAAAACACATTCGAGAGGTAATTGATGTCAGTAGCCAATTGTCGACATCCGCGAGAAGAAAGTGTGGGAATACGCTTGACTTGATCCATCAATCTTGATTCAATCGCTCTTGACATGGACAGAATCCATACATGTGTCACATCAATTGATTCTTGATCTTCTAAATCAATACATTCTACTCCAGGAAGAGTAGCAAGTGAATACTGTAAACTCTGCTCACCAGCAAACGTGTCCAAATGCAGTGGAAGCGCCAAGAGCTGCTCACCAATATTGGTCATGTATGCAAGTGGCAAGAGTGAAAACTCTGGCAGTTGCGTATCAAATGATCCTGCTACAGTGTTTGTGTATTGGGAAGTCCAGCACGAAAGTGCAAACATTCCATCCATTTCACGAGTCATTCGCTGTAAAAGACATTGAAATACAAGCTTTTGAGATGCAATCGCTGCTGACGTCAGTGCTGTCTTGCTCGCTTGCATTTGACTTGATAGTGTCTGTTCAAGCATCTGGATTGAGGATGGATTTTCATTGTTCATCTCAGGCTCGGGATGGTTTCCTGAATCTGACACGCGCTTATGCAGAGTATTGTAATCAATCCGACCTTGCTGAATCATTTCCTTTAAATAAACTCTTGCAATGAAAATGTCATTTGTGTCAGTAGTCGAAAAACAAGTAGAGGCAGATCGATCCATTGCAGTCCAAATAAAAGCAGTCAGCATCTGATGTCGAACCGTCAAGGAAACAACTGTGTTGTGTACTGCAACAGCAGCACGGAAATCTGCCCACTCTTCATCCTGACCATACACTCCATCTGTCGCATCACTTGCAAACCCACTCGTATAAGGAACATTATCTTGTCCAGTATTACTATTACCCGTATTGCCTGAAGCCAAACTTGATGCTGTAGCTGCTTGTCCTGCAACAATCAATGCATGCGTATTGGAAGGAGTTTGTAAAAATTGTAGCGTATGTATTGCCACATTTGCAATGGCAACCACATACTTGTCAATTTCCTCTGCTACAACAAATAATCCCAATCCCAATGTCAATTTCTCACAGCGAACAACTGCTGCCTCACATGTTACAAAAACTCGCAAATTACACTCTGATAAAAACTCGGAGATGGAGCTTGCATCATTCAACTGGGATGAATCTGGCAGATGTTGCATGAAATTGCGTCGCTCCAATACATTGTACTCTTGCTGGTAGGGAATAAAACATTCCAACACAAGTGTTTTCCATGCAGAAAATGCTTTAACTGACAAGGACGAATCTTGTTGGTCAGGTTGAAGTTGAAACGTTGAAAGACGAGTATGCATTTCTTGAACAAAACAGCTTGAAATAGTATAGAGCTGCACGATCGTATGCAGCGCCAGCTCACTTTGAGATTCAAACGAATCGTATATACCACGAATCCATGCAGCAAGACGCGGCGTCATGTTGGAAAACAGGAAATCTAAAAGTGCGTGCACTAAATGTGCTGTAGATTCTGTCGATTCTTCTGCCACAACATTTGGGTTTAAAGGAGCACGATCAAGTTCTTGCAATACAACTGCCACTGCTTGATCAAAAAAATGCTGTAGGATTTTGAGCTTGTCTTTGCTTGCAGAAGTGCATGCATTGGTCCACTGAAGCAACAATGGACCACAACAAGTTTGTGCATACAATCTGCAAAACTCGGAAAATGCGTCCAATTGCAAATACACAGCTGCCAAACGCTGTACCGCATCAAAGTCTATGTCTCTAGTACTACCACTGTCTTTGTCAGTATCCGCAGGAGATCTTGTCTGTAAAAGAATAGACTCGAGCTGACCTTTCAACGTGTCCAGTAACTGTGTGTGTAACGAGGTAAGCAATCTATGACGTTCATCATAGGAAGCAGATCCGACAAGTAAAAAAAGAGATCGTTTAGCTTCAGCAAAGCGGCGAGCTGCCTTTGCAAAGTCCTTTGAGATGAATATAGCATCCATTTCAGCCGATAAAGTGTTCCAATTTTCAGCTTCTTTTAAACACGTACGAGTTGCTTCCATTCTTACAAGAATGGAATCCATAAGCGACAGCTGAGAAAAGGCTGCATCGATAGAAGGCGACTTTTGGTTCATGCTTGAAGCGAGTGCTACTGGAGATTGGGGAGGATCCGAACGAGTTAAAGGCAGATCTGATTGTTCCTGTACTCGATTCAACTCCACCATGTCCAACGATGCGGTTAAATGTATGGCATCTCGTTGTACAACTTCTAGTTCCTGTAGATTACGAGGTATGGCTGATACAGCTCCTATAGCCAATGAATCCAACTTATGCGAGGTAGTCTGAATCAGAAGCTGCAGTTCAGTTATGAGTTCCTTGACTATAATAAAAATCAATTTACCCGTACAAGAAATTAACATGATGTCAGTCACAGTAGAGGTATATGCAATAGCAAATCTAGATTAGAAACCAAGATTTACTATTTCTAGATTCAAGGCATTCCAATGTTGGTCATGCAGCAAATACCTTTTTCTGAAGCAACAACTCGATTTGATTTCTGGCCAGAAAGTGACTGGTTGATCCAACGTTTTATTTCAAAGTCTTTATCGAGTAACATCGAGTCTGAATGCAGATAAGAATTGCATGGATTGTTGGTCGCATTCCAGTCCAAATCACGTGGAGTCACTTGTTTAAACTCAACTTGATTCAGTCGCTGATTCTGACCATCGCAATCATGAGGCTCTGCTTGACTGACGACGAAGGTTCCTTTAAAACCATTGAAGTGTCGAGTACGCTCGAGGTACTCTTTGGTGGTGTCTTGTAGCGTGTATTTTTTAAATCTATCGATAAATACTTGTTCTTGCACTGACATGCATTCTATATCTTATAATACTATCCAAGATTGAAAACTTGGCTCCTCTCATTGAACTGGAATTACAGATTCCAGCTTCTCGTCAACTTTTGTATTCAAACGGTACTCAGCTCATCGATACAAAACGAACTCTAGCTTCTTACAAGATTAATCAAGACGACATTATTCTCGTGAGAAATCATGGACCTGCACCGAGCACTGCTTCCATGTCCAAAGCTGAAATGACTCGTCAGCAAATCTTGGCTGATCCTGATTTACAGCGTCGTCTTATTATGGTATTCTTTTATCCTGATTCCATCCATCGTAAAAAGTGGATTGCTTTGAGTCAACTAATGGGTTTCTATTTCTGGATCTACCGAGTTATTAGCAAAATCCTGCTATTGCTGGTGCACTGACTTCTCCTGATCAATTTGAGCGAGTATTTAATGAGATGAGTCGCCAGAGAGCTGCATACGAACAGCAAAGTCAGCAAGAGATGGTGTGTGATTGTGAACCTGCAAAAGTATAACCTTTTCTAAAAGCGAATTTTACTTTCTATTAACATTACTGGTCTCGAACTTGTAATTTATTTTACATTTAAATCTGACATAGCGAAATCTTCAAAACGCTGATTCTATGGATGTCGAGGCTCAAAAAAGGATTGCAGAGGAGATCCGAAAAGCAAACGTTGCTCAAAACATGGAGGTTCGTGTGCTTTAAATAGATTTAGCAAGTTTCATTTTTAGTGAGTTGTTGAGTTGTATAAATTGAATACCCTGTTCATGTATACAGAGAGCAATCGAGTATCACCCAGAATCTTTTGGTCGAGTAAGTTGAATGGTTTACGATTGTCGCTCAGTCTCTAGTTTTAATGTCGCATTGGCTGCAATGGATTTTAAAACGATACAACTTTGTTTTAATCATCTATCCAGGTTGTCATGCTGTACATTGATTGCGAAGTAAATGGACATCATGTCAAAGCATTTGTAGACTCTGGAGCTCAAGCTACAATTATGAGTCCAGAGTGTGCTGAAGCGTGTCATGTTATGCATTTACTCGACGAGCGGTTTGCAGGAGTTGCCCATGGCGTCGGTACAGCCAAAATTCTTGGTCGTATCCACTCGACTCAAATCAAAGTCGGAAAAAGCTTTCTTCCTTGCTCGCTTACAGTAATGGAGGTAATGAATCGAGTCCAGTATTGAGCTTGTCAATATTGTTTTACCAACTCGACAGTTGATATTTTAGGGAAAGGGTGTCGATCTTTTGTTTGGATTGGATATGCTCAAGCGACATCTGGTAAGTATTTATATACATAGGATCACCAGTTACTTTGACAACACATCTACCTATATTCTAAACCATTTGATAGGCATGCATTGATTTGGCGTCAAACGTATTGCGAATCAATCATGAAGAAGTCCCATTTCTTCCTGAACATGAACTTCCTGATAAAGCGAAATTGGAAGCATCTGGCTCTTCTCGCGATGGTAAGGTTTTTACACGCTTTATGCATTGTCTTATGATCGAATGTGTGGACTAATACTGTTTTGTGGTCGGGATATATTGCATTAGAATCAACTAATGGTGCATCGTCTTCAGCTGCTGCAGCGGGTGATTCTGGAAAAGTTGCTACACAAACAACTCAACCCAGTGCATCCACTCACGCTGTACCAACAGCCAGCACCTTTTCAGAAACATCCATCCAGAGTTTAGTAGATTTGGGTGCTACGCGTGAGCAGGCCATCAATGCACTTGAAGCATGCGGTGGAAATGTGGATATGGCAGCTGGTTTGATTCTTTAAAATAACTGACAGTGATAAGATGGCCAGCGTGGCCATTCAAACTTGGTGGGGTATCGATTCGTATGGATATTAATAAAAAATGGATTGAGCTATTTCTAGGGACATTTTTTAAATGCTAAACACAGTCGACTGGATTTGAATATAAAAGAAATCGTATTTATTGCAGATCAGATTCGTCCCAAGCTTAACTAATCGTGGCCTTGCGAAGAGAATGCACGGTCACTTGGCCTTGACTTGTCTTGAATGGTATGTTTTTGTAAGTAGCAACACATTCCTCAGTTGTCAAGAAATCCACTGCGCACTTTTCAAACACCTTATGCTTGGGATTGAGTGTCTGATCGGGAGAAAAGGTAAATCCGTCAAACGTAACTTGCTCCCCAATTTTGCTATCCTCGTTTGGTTCAAGAAGCTCTACAACAGACTTGTCCGCATTTGAAGCAGCAAGAACCATGCCTTCAGATAAAACACCTGCAAATTTAGATGCCTTGAGATTGGCCACAACAAGAACAAGGCGTCCAGTAAATTCTTCCTTGGTGAGATATTTTGCCAGTCCGCTGACAATAGTACGAGGTCCCGTTGCTTCTCCCAAATCAATTTTTTCAACATAAAGATTCTAATGACAAAAAGTAAATAACAAATTTGCAAGATTTTAAACTAGTTAAAAGCAGTACTCACGTCACGTTCGGGATGAGCTGTTACTTCAATCACCTTTCCAACACGAATATCTATACATCAAAAACATCCATTAGCATGACAGTCCAAGGAAATCTGAACTAGCAGCACAATCGTTTCTCACCAACACGAGAAATCTCGGCCTCGACCTTGGCTTTTGGAGTAGGATAGGCATCAATAGCCATTTGTTTCAGTTCGGGACTGTTGTGGAAGTTGGCACGAATGGGTTCCAAAAGAGAGTTGATGGCCTTGGCAGCAGCAGATTTGAGATCTCCAGGATGAACCAATTTTTCACGGAAAGCCTCCTCAAGATGAGTATAAGTGCTGTATTCGGCATTTCCACCATATTTTTCAGGTCGCTCAATTGTAAAGGTATAAGATGGATTTGTAAGAGAGTTGACAGGAAACACGACGGCTTTGATAAATGCTAGAATAGGATTATCATCCACATTTCCTTCTTCACAAAATGCCTTTTTCAGCTTGGCAACAACGGAATCAGGCTCGTCAAGCAAATCCACCTTTGAATCGGGATCAGATGAACTCATCTTGGATCCACTGAGACCACCAACCATGACGTTCATGAGATGTGCTCTCTTGGCATACCCTAATTGTGGTAAAAACTTTTCAGCAAACGTAAAGATTTTGCGCTGATCCACACCGCCAAACTGAGCATCGACACCTAGATACTCTTCATCAAGTGCTTGCAACAAAGGGTAAACAAGACCCGATAGCAAAGGGGATTCGACTTGCTTGACAACTTCTGCACCAGCCTTTTTGGCAGCGTGCTCAGTAGTCATGGACAAAAGTCGGTATACATCCAGCGAATACTCCTTGCTGAGCTGATAGGATGTGCCCACTACAAATTTGAGTTTTTCGATGGGAACACCAATAGAAGTCAACATGGATTTGATTGTTGCTTCATAGTAGCTGGTGCGTAGTTTCAATAAATCCCACGGAGCCTTTTGATTGTCAAGAAACGCATGCATGTCTGCAAACAAGATAGTGACCTAAAGAGCACCACAACATGATCAACACTAGTTAATACAACTGGTTCATACTTGGCTCATGAATGCATTTGTCAAATTCACTGCGATCACTCATGATAAGCCATTCATGCTCTTACTTCACATCCAGCCTTGAGAAAGTCGGCAACTTTGGTCATGGGCACAAAATAGCCAATATGAGGTTTACCAGTAGGTGCAGTTCCCCAATACACTTTGAGATCTCTAGTGGCCAAAACCTCCTTGATCTTATCACCGCCAAGATGCTCCTGCAAGTTGCGAGTAATCAACTCAAACCTTTGTATACAGTTGAAGGGTGAATCAGTCATGCATTATACAATGGATGGATATACAGTCATAATAATATCTCGACAATCTTACTTCTCATTTGGGGTCATTGAAACCATTCGAATCGCTTGTCGTTCAAGTGAAAGAAATTTCAACGAGGCTGGCTGGTGTCGTGCCAAACAACGAAAACGGCATAACATCAGATGGAATGTAAAGTTGAATGTTAAATACTATTTTACTATTGCAGAACGTAAAATATTCGATTATTTATTGGTGTTTTACTGATAGATGGCATCATTCTCAATCCAGTCATTTCAGTCATTTCAGTATCAAATGCTGTCAAATCTCGACTTCATGCGTGAATCTCGTTCATCTCAAACAGTTCGTGTTCAATTTTGGATAATTTGGCCCAGTCGGCTCGAAGTGAAAGGTACGGATGAAGTAACTGCATCTCAATTCTTCCAAGATAACCTTCATTGATTACCGATTTTAAATTCTCTGGCTTGACTATAAACATGTTCCCCAATTCCTTGATCATGTCAAACCGCTCATCCAGTAGCGTGATTTTAAATGTCATGATGACTTCATGGTACTTGCTCACGTCCCTATCAACACAAGTTTCGTTTCTGTAAATAAATCATCATGATATACAACAGTGCATTGAAATATATTACTTTGTCAAAACAAGCCCTCCTGCATAGCTAACCGGAAATTTCTTGAAATGATCCAGCAAAAGACTAACGTGCAACAAGATCACTGTGTTACTACCAATTTCAAATCAATCGGTATTCATAAACATGTTGATCTGATACACTTACCAATGGAGCAGTGTACCCACTTCTGTGAGGTATGACTCTAAATTTTCTCCATCAAGCGAGACATGAGCTTCGTCTCGAACACGCTGGATAAAATCGACTACTTGATTGCACACCTAACATCAAACAGCATATATTCAAACGTTTAATACACCGTTCTGATGCTCAAATACTCATCAAACAGATCATCGAGACTTGCCAATGTAGATAATGTATTTACAGCAACAATATCATCTCGTGGCTTGAAATCACTCTTTTTTTGTCGAGCAAACAAAACTTCCATCCAAGATGCCACCACTGACAATTTATCATAAAATATTTAAATTGACTGTAAATATGTAGTGTGCGTTTGGCCAATAATACACTTACCAGCAATCTTTCGCTGCATTATAGCATTCAACTTTTCTTCAATCGCCGAGAAAAATTCATTTTTAAAAATCATCATTTCACGCTGCAGAGTTGGAGAGCTGGCTAACATGGGAATCTGATTGCAGATGTGATGAATCAATAGTGTCAATTATTGAATGCTTTCGAGACAAACATCAAACTTACAAGTTGTGCTTGGAAATGGTGTTGAAATATTTGTAGTATTTTTGTTACTGTTTTAATCACTTTAAGCTGCCCAAACTCGGGTTCGGATTTATGATCGATAGCATGCAGCGCCTCAAGCTCACTACACACATCAAAACACGCCAAATTAGTCTAATTTAACATCTATCAACTCGAATAGTAAAATACATACACATCAAGTCCAACCAATATGGATGAAGCTCCAAGTTCCTTGACCAACAGTTTAAACAGTAAGCTTAGACAAAGTGATCTATATATTAGGCAATCATTTCATACAAAGTTAGATTGTGTTGATTACATTGACATATGGGATGGGGCTGTCAATGGCTTACAAATCAGTCATTTGTGCCAGCTCCTTGCTACGATGCACACTTTGCATATATACAGAAAAACATTTGGTTGCATCCTTTACAGTCGGAACCCAGCATCCATCCGCGGACGGAGTAGCAGGAAAATTTTGTCCCAAAGGAGATCCAGAAAGCTGGGTGCCCAACTCACTACTCATTGCAGACACGGTGCTCATGGTGTTTGCAACAGTTAACATGATGGACGACATGACTGCATTTGAAGTCAAGGGAGTTGCTGTTTCCTTTGTTGGCGATGATTGCTGTGATCGTGATAATGCCTTGCGATGATGAAACATTGTTTTTGTCTTGATAAACTACAAGGTATTCAAAGCAAAATCAAGCGGTTGATTGTGATTAAAAATAATTTGATATTCGTAGTCGTTCTACAGCAACGATTTACTTACCAAGCTTGATTGGAGAGCTCCCAGATTGTTTTGCAGTTTTTCTGAAAGCCATGTCAGCTCCATATCAATGTATCGACTATTTTCGAGATATGGAACAAACAGATCTTCAAAAGATCTGTTTAACAGACTTGATAATGCTGGTGATCCAAGAGCTTTTGAAATGACTTTTTCATCAAATCGATGCAAATCGGTAACCAATTTGGCTGTGGCAGCATGCGAGTGTGCCAATGCCTGCAGAAACGATACTGGACTATCATTTCTGGCACGCTCAAGTAGCCCTTCCAAATAATTTTGAATCTATGACATTGAAAAGCTAATAAGCTACGCAAACTGGGTAGAAACCAACTAGCATTTTATCAATATTTACCGATTGAGCAAAAATACGCTGCACAAAAACTTGAATGACAGATGCAGCATTGGGAAACACAACAAAAATAACCTTCCATTCGTTATGAATTGCAACAGTAATTTCCTCGTACAGTCGAATCAATGCAGGGTCAACCTCGGAAAAATCTTCTCTAAAAATAAAATGAATGTATCAATACAAGAGTTTGATAGTGCGGAGCATTCAGGTTGAAGCTACCAAAAACGTACTTGATGTTTGTGGTTGATTCTTGATCCATTTCAGCAATTTTAAGTAGATTGATGAAAAACGCATGTTGGTTGACATATGTCTGCACACACGAGCTACCACCATTGAAATCAAGAAGAGTACATGCGATTTTCTGCTCCACGTTAGGTTAGTCAATGTATTGAATTATATATTTGATTCCAAACAAAAAATAGCAATGCATACGTTCATGGTAGATCCATCCCCTTGAGAGTAAGCTTGATCAAACTCTACAAGCAAGCTTTTTTCAAGATTTTCGCAGTATTTTTCAATGTTTGCTCGTGCCTAGAGTCCAAATTGTGTATTAAATTTCAAGATCAAGATCAGTATAAAAAGCAAAGCCACCCAAAGTATATATAAGCATTAGACTTACAGCTTCAGTATCGGCAATATCCACTTCTTTTGCAATGGTATTCAACCGTCGTGCAATAATAGCAGCCTGATTCAAGCCCATATTGTTTATATAATTGTGGTGAGTTGACTGAACATTGCGTCATCTATTTAAAATATTGGATACTCATCATACCTTGTAGCCTCCATCAGGTTCGCTTTGTCGGAGCGTGTCAAGACGAGTAAATATGCCTTTGTTGAACTCGAGAAAATATTGGATGAGATCCTTGGCCTCGGCTGCACGAGTCTTTTGCTTGTCAATGGTTTCAAGCTGTTCACCTATAGTTTTGCGCAAGTTTGTCAATCTTTGTACCATTCTTGGATGCCAACCATCACCCTTGAGCCACTTTAATAAACACACGCCAATGCATTACATACCAATTCGAATTGCAGTATTTCCAACCTCGCTTAATCTTGAATCCAAAGATTCAAATGCACGATGCACATCCTATTTAAATTTTTGATGTGGTTAGTTGGATTACACAATAGTCGATTCTATCATGAATCAAGACGGATTTTAAAACAGCTCACGTCAAAAGTATCTCCAAATGACTTTAGTTTCCGTTGTCGTTGTGATTCCGAGGCAGCTGCTTGATCCTCTTGGTCATCAATTTTAGCTTGAACACGCTTTTTGAGACGTAAGAGTTCATCACTGGCCATGTCAAATGCCCGAATAAATGGTTTTGGGTCGAATACAATAGCTTATATGTATATAGTTTAATTACACTATATTCAGCGCCTGTGACATACCCAATACGTGATTTCATTGGGTAGTTACAATGAGTCTAGCTAATGTACGATTTTACCTTTGACTGGCGAAGTGCTGCGTTTAGAAGCAGCCATCATTGAAGAGGTAAGATTATCCACAAACTCTAGCGCAGAAAACTTTTCCTGTATATATTCAATGCAGTAGATATTAGTATTTATAAATGCAGTCGTATCCTATACCAATGCAAACCAGCGTCATGATGTTTGAAACTGATTTAAATCATTCATGTCTTACTTTAAATTTTTCATAACTAACAGCATCCTTGATACTAGATATATCTGCTTTGATTGGGCTTGACATGGTAGCCAAGTGTGTTTGCAGCAGTCAGATTTAGATGGAATTGGTAAAGATTTCAAGTCGGAAATTTAGCCAACGTGTCAATATGCTACTTTTGACGAGAGTCTAGCGTGAATTCAACCTATGAATTGGTTTGAGATATTAACCAACTACTTGTATAGCTCGATCTGATTCTATACTCAAGAATAAACAGAGTGGTGATAGATGTACAAGTCACGTGAAATTTGTTTCACTTTTGTGTTTCCATCAGACAATGTTGATGCCTACTATTGTGCAAAGCCCAACGACACTTGCAGCTATTTCCCATTGCTACTCAATTCGCCATGGCTGCTTCGTCCCTTTGGCTACCTTTGATATATGTATCCAGTTTGGCTATTTTGTTTTCACTGTTTGCCAGATACAACAAAAGTCGCCAGTATATCCATGATCATTGTACGCTTCATATCCGTCTATTTTTGGGCTATTATCCCTTGCTATTCACTCTGTATATCAGCAGATTATGGTCTGATGGTTTAAATTCAATCCTATCCATCTATATGTATTCACACTGCTGAATGCAATGCTGCCTGTGATTCAAAGGAGCCGGAAATATAGATTTGATCAATTCGTCATTTAATCCATGGATTGGATCAAGACGACCAAGATACTCATGATAGAAGACCTTGTATTTAAACGATTTGATTTATTCTTGTGCTGCCAGATATAAAATACTGTTTTTCTCGTTTAAACGAGTTGGGTCTGTCATTCTTTATTAATACTTACACTATGCCTTGTATTGGGTATCTGCTGTGATGATTTTCGTCTATTCAACTAGCATCGTCTTATTTTCCGATCCATCTTGCCAAATACGAGTATGAGGAACTAGCAGAGCAGTTTTCTCCTGAAACCGAATCTGGAAAGATGGCCATGACACAGGCATTGGTCAAGCGTGCTGTCGAAGATGTAAAACGAGTGTTGAGAATTCGGGAAGAAAAACCTCCACTCCAACAGATGGTTCGGGAGGGCATTGTTGGTGAAGATTTACTGGATAAGATTGTTCGCGCCGAACAAGAACTGGAAGATGAACTTCAACAGGTACGCAAACTATGATTTCAATTTGGATTGCATCTTGATCATGGTTATTGGGTGTGTTCAAGCTGTTTTGGTCGTCATCATTTAACACTGCTGTTTGGATGGTAGGTGATTGAGGACTCTGAAATGTATCGTCCGGGATGGGGTAAAACCATTTTCCAAGAAGTCTCGAATATTGCTCAAAAACAGATTCAGGAACTTGCGAAACAAGAGGCATCAGCCAGAATGGAGGAGGAGATGGAGGAAAAGAAATATTCTGAGCAGTTTTCTAGCAGCAACGTTCGAGAAACTGAGAAATCCGACAGCAAGACTTACAAGAATCGCAATTCTGAAAACAAAGAGAATGCTACAACATCTAACCTTTCAGAAGAAATAGAAGAGGAGCGTATCCGTATTGAACAAGAACTATTGGAACAGGAAGAATTGGAGAAACAGATGGCTGATAACAAAGGCAAATCTGGAAAGGACAAAGGAAAGGGACAAGTAAGACGCAAAAAGAAGTAAAATAAACTTTATCTTTTCAATGAGCTTCAATGTTTTATGGTTGACGATCAGTATGATTTGGCTAATACGAAACTAAGCCACCAAATGAGCCAACTGATCGTATTCGATCAAATGGATTAAAGACGATTTATTGAATAGTTTCCAAGTAAACCAACAATTGAGATTCCAATGCAGATCTCGTTAGAATCCACTGCAACCACAGAAAACCCTTATCTGGATGAAGAAGAGTTGGCCAACGCTGATGTTTCTGGACAACCAATTAGGTTTGATTATATTTGATTTTTACAAGTACTGTTCTAATTCTAATACAAGTTGTCCATTAGAAATGCACAGGATTTGTTTTTGCGGAATGCAGCCATAGTAGTGGCAGAAACCATTTCTGCTGCATCTCGTTCAAATGCAAAAGTTCAGAGTCATGCAAACGAGGATATTTCAGGCTCATCCGTTCCGAATTCAGCCAATACACAACCTATTCTAGAGCAGGTCAAAGATCGGATCTTGTAAGCAGCAATTCCATCTATTTTAGATCTTCACAAATGCTTATGTTCAGTTCTGATGAATTCAGTTGCTACTGTCTATTTCCATGAGCAAATATCTAGTTATGCTCGAGAGGAAGTGCAATTGGCACTAGATGTAACACTTCGACTGATTGCTGCACGACAACGGCAGCCAGAGAATCCATCAGCAGTTGAAAATCAACTGCGTATCTCCAATATTGGTCGAAAGCCTTCTGCTGCACCAATGAGTCGTATTCGAGATTTGCAGTATTTACTGTCTTCAAAAGCAATGGTGAGCTTTGTTAGATTGCTCACAGTGGCTTTAAATCTTGGTCAAAGAATCAAGCATTGCTAATTTCGCTAATCTATCAAATAGTGTCTTCGAGATGCATCCAATGCTCTATCTCGACGTGCACAGCAGCTTAGTGAACTGGTTGAGCAAGAGCAGCGGTTTTATGGACAACACGCATTGGCTCTAAGACACCATAACTGGCCTCTTCAACCTAGGTTGGGGGATTTAGTAGCAGCTATTTTATATGTAGACTATGGTTTTAGAAAAGGTGGTTTTCATTATGGTGGCAACAGAGTTTGCCAACTACTCGGCGTGTCTATAATTTGATACTGATTGCCTGACTCAAACTTTTGTTTTATTAACGTGGCAGCCGGATCTAGATTTACTGGAATTGCAGAAGCAGATGTTTTGCGAGTTCCAAAAAAAACTAAAACGACAGCAGTTGACAGCAATGAAGGAATGATGATTGTGCCAGTTCATCAATCGGCTATGCTTTTGGATATAAAGTTTGGTGAGGTATCGTGTTTAGATACAGCTTCCATGGGACCATCGTATATTCCATATGCTCTTCAAGGTATTTTAAATTGGCTTTTTGGTTTTTTTACATGGGAGTTGTAAACATATGTCCTAACAGACCATTATAATCTCGATCCATGGCAAATGCAGGCACTATTGAACATTCAAACGACATGTTCTCTATGGATCTGGCTAGCAGCAGACTTGCTGTGTTTGAGACAGAGCTGTTTCAACAGGCAAGTAACTACTATAATGCTGTAATTAATATTAATCAGTCTCACTGCTATTATGAAATGTTTTTAACATTTTTGTTGCTTGATTTTTTAGCTAACTAAAGAACTATCCATGGAAAATGGAATTGGAAGACAAGCCCGATTGACTACACATGCTTTTATGCTGCAGCTTGATCGTCAAAACGCCATATATGCATCATTGTCAAAAATATATCAAGTATGTTGAGCGTTTAGTCAAAAGACTATGATTTGGTTGATCTGATATACAAATCATGTTTATATTCCAAACAATTAGATTAATTTAGGAAAGACGGCTGATTTTTCGAGTAGGCTTTTGGCCTTGAGAGTCCGATTAGCACTGCGATCACAACACAACTTTTATGGATCTGAAAGGTATTTTTGACAATCTGTATCAAAATATAGGACAATCAATGGAATGCTTATGGTCATATTTGTAGCACTGGTGTTTTTCAGTCGGCTATCTCGGGATTTATTTTGGGTCGACTACAAGATCTATTAGAGTTGGAGCTTCATAATGCTATACAGCCATTGAAACATAGATTATACGCACGAGTCGAGACTATGCATGCCACAAATACCCTTAAACCCTTGTTACATACCCCACAACGCTATAGTCTACCAACTTGGACAGTGATAGTACTTGATCAGAGTGTTGGAAGCGTCAGGCTATGCTCAAATGGCATGTTTGAGTGTTTTTCTCGCCATTCCAACATGACATATCAACATAGCACAATAGGAGACGTTTTAATATTCATCCAAGTAATGCTCTCAAACTATGTTATTAATATGATTACCAAAGAGGCGTGCTCAATATTTGGATGTGGTGCACTGTTGGGATTTGAAAAAGTTGGACAGAGTGTAACCATCACGTATGCTGAATTTAGGTGAGTTTAGTTGTCAATCTATTTAAATTTTCAATCATTACTGACTATGATTTCATTTACATAGCATCTGTATTAGTATTGCTGCACACGAAGGCTCGAATGCATGCTTCTTGCTTTCAGTTGCCAAATTTTCATGGTCAGAACGGCTATGGCTTTACGACAATCATACAAACAGATCTGTTCGATGCAGCCAAAAGTTTATGGATGATGTTCAAAGCATTCTTATGAAGCTTTATGGTGTTGTTCAAAAATAAAGTTTTATTGACCTGTGCTATACATGACAATCGACTGGCGAGATTCGGTTTCAGCTAAAGTTTGAAAACACGATTGTAAATCTCAATTATTTTGTTTCTATTCCAACTCAGACAACCCATTGGTTTGTACCCGGGTACATATAAATGACGTCTCTTATTGCAGCGAAATGTAGTGCATCAGCTGTTTTGATAAAGCCGCTTCCCTTGTGCATTTCACCAGCAGCTGAAAAACTTCTTGTAACACACACTACTAAATTCGGTAGGATTTTTAAATTTGCATTTTCTGGCTGAACTTTCGTTGATTTGAAAGCATAATTCTATTTTGAATTGGCGCGCCTATCATGATAATACTATCAAAACGATACGATAGTGTTTGATGCTAGCCATCCACTATTTATCATTTCCAGACCTACTGATAAAGAATTCGTGCATACATTGTATAATCACTGAAAATGGTAGCGCCATTTGAAACATTTGGATATCTCTAATAGCCGATACGACACCATTTTACATTTGAATAGTTTCCGTTCTTGACACTGACGTGTTTTCAAAGTTTTGTCGGATTAAAGTTTCGACCACCATCCAGCCGGCCAATCTATGTATTCCTAGACAATTGAAAATTATCAGAGATGCTTTGTATCAATCTGGTGAGTCAGCTTTCTATCAAACATACTGATACAAAAATCCAGACAATGTTTCCAATTGGATTTATAACTTACGTTTAAATGAGGCAGAAGCCAAGGCTCAAACAAGTGCGTTGATTTCTATTAGAGTCTACAGCGATTCCTGTTATGCTTATAATAAGCGCATGACAGATTTACAAATTCACCGTATTATTGATCGATTTACAGCGGATCCTTTCAATTTTACCATGCAAGTGCCCAGAAAGATCGATTTTATGACCCATTTTAATAGTTTTAATTGAATATGGTGCTGTAAATTCAAAACTAATATATTGATTGTACAACTGATTACAAAACAGTCCAGATGTAAATTTAAAGTGTTCATTTGAAGGACTCATGGAGTTTCTTGGAGCCTATACATTACAACTTCCTGGAGGACTGATTCCCCAAAACATCCTAATGAAACTAGATAAACTTCCCAGTAAGTTTTAAACAGCGGTGTGTAACCGTGTATGATTTCAAAAGCTGATATTCAGATATTGTCGATCGAGTAAACAGAAACGATATGGTATACTGGAAAAATAAAACCAATACGCCAGATTCTCAACACACTCCCAAAAGAAAAGCAAGATATTATTCAGTATGTTGTACAACTCATGTATGATGCCTTTTACTTTGAGCAAGCGTTTCTTGTCAACATCATTCAACACACCAGTATTAGTCCTAAACGACTTGCAATCATTCAACATCATGTTCAAAAACAAACGGTTCTTACTCAAGGTGGATCAAGTCATCCAGGATATCAGGGCCCTGTTGATAATCTTGAGCAAAATATTTTGTTCAATCTCATTCGAGCGATCGAGCGGGGATTATATCATGCTACTCCTACAACTGGTGACAAAGGACGCGGGAAGAAATATCGAGTTTGATCAGATCGGTTACAAAATGCATGTGTGCTAAGCAACTCATATCAATCCTGCCAAGACACAATTTGAGATTTAATTTTAAAAAAGAACTAGCTTATTTGATAATGGAATGGTTGATTCATCATGTCTTGATTTTGATAAACTTGACTAATTGAAATCTCAGTATAAAACATTTTGAAACAATGGTTGGAATACTTTAAAGTATGGATGCCTAACGATTGATTTACAGTCACATTTATGTAAAATGCAATATTTGCGTTTATCCTACAGTCAGGGTTTTGAAATAGTTGAATATTTGTTACGGTTTTCTATTCAACTGTTTGCTTAAATGAACACAGCATCCATCATATTTTTTGAATTTTATTTAAACTTGGTATTGATACACGAAATGAAACAAAATGATCTCATACAATCAAGTCGTGTCGTATAGGCAGAGTGTTGGTGCTACAAGTTTGTTGGATAGTTCCTGTTTGGTGGTTTCGGTGATGACGCCAGAGTTATGTTGGATATTGCCAATACGCTACCAGCATAAACTCGACTCATCAAATTGTCATGTATACACATTGTTGTCAGTTACATCGAGTGATGGTTCAAGTAGGTCGATTCAGATGGGTTGCATAGAACCTACTCATCCAGCATCCATCCATTGTCAAACAACTATAATGCACAATACCATCAAGTGTGTGGTTGCATACACATTGATCAGTCATTGCACAGTATACGTCGGTTGCAGTCCATAACGCATCCACACGATTCAACATGACAAATCATGTACCATGAGTCCGAGATTGATCTGAAACAAATCTTGGACAAACCCAAAGTACAAAACAGTATTAGCACAAATAATTCTGGAAACTTTGACAACTGACAGTCTCCAAGTAACACATTCTGTTCATAGTATGAAATGGAACTTGATTGTCAGTTGTCAATGATTTTGAAAACAGTATTATTACAAAACCAACACTTGTGAGTGACGAACTGACAAAGAATATTCCAACAAATTCGATATTTGGATTGTAATATATGAATCTGGTATCAAACATGTCGATCGTATAAAATGTGAAGGATAATTTGACAAAGTTTGATTGTGTGCCTTGTACAATGGTCGGTGTATTTGCAGACCGATCAAGGAATCTGTCAAGAATGTAATATTTCAAGACTTTCCTAAACAATGTCATGCAACATTCCCAAGCACGCATCTTATTCTAAACAACTGTTTGATCAGACAAGGTTTACCACCATTCAACAAACAGCGCGAGGGTTGCAACTACACTGCTTTATATTATCCATTCTCGAGTCCTGCAAAAATGATTCGAGTAAAGCATAACTTTGTTGATTGAGCAATTCCAGAAAAAAGAAACTATGCAATCAATTTTAATAGAAAAGTACAAGGATATCCAACCATTGTTTACTCTGAACCAAAACAATCGATCCAAGATAATTACAGAAAAATGTTTTATTTTACGCCAATACGACAGTAAAAACAATCAGGTTTTATATACGTCAGAAAAGTGCCAAAATAATAGATAATGTGACAGGATGAAGCTTAGGCTTTCATGTACAAACATAATAATAGGCAAATGCAGTAGGAGCTTTTGCAGATTTAGACCAGCAGTAAAGGTTCGAAATACACTTTGAGTGTGGACGACTTTTTCAAAATCTTGCTGGCCCCTACGCAAGAATAACAATGTAATAATAGATGAGGAAGTCGGGATTCAAAATACGACCAAAAAGGTCCAGGCAGTACACCAACAAGCTTTCGAACAGGCGCTGACAGGTCTTGATAGTGATGCTTTTTGTTTCTAATTGCGCGTAACAGATCTTGTACGCTTGCACCATCGTACGTACGGTGCTGAACAAGACTCTCATGTACAATCTTGTCAAGTTTGGTGGTCCAGTCACCACCCGTCACTTTTGCCCCACCACGTTCAAAGAACTTGAGTAAAGGTGATATGGGATCTCGTTTTTCAACTTCTAGGCGGTCAGATATGTCTTGAAGGAATAATAGACGCTCCGATGGAGTCCAAAAATACGGATGTCGCATGACTTCATGTGCCTCGGGTCGTTTCCGCGGATCTTTTCCAATCATACGTTTAATCAGATCTTTAGCCAACACTCCATCGTTGATCGTATCTAAACCATCCAACCGGTAGTTGCCACGAAGAACATTGACTTCCCGTAAAAACTTTTCTCCAAAAGGATGTTTTCCTCCTGTGAGCACATAGTAGTAGATACATCCACAGGCAAAAATGTCAACTGAGCGAGTAATACGTATTTGAGAGACGGTAGAAACACTTGCAACATCAGTCGATCCATCCAGACTCTTGTCTCCAAAAGAGGAATGGCTGGTTTCGTTATCGCCATCACCATGAGTGGGTGGTACGTATCGAGAAATTTCAAGCAAACACTCGGGTGCTCTCCAACCCACTGTTCCACCTCCAAACCCAGCTGTATTGTGAAATGATGATTGATCGTCTGCCAGCCGCTTTCCTAATCCGAAATCCGAAATCAGAATACGCGGCTTCAAATCCTTTTTGTTTTTTGGCCCGCCAATCAAAATATTCTGCGGTTTAAGATCACGATGAACAATTCGCATCAAGTGCAAATGTTGTATACCATCCATGATCTGATAAAGCACATCCTTCACCGCCAACTGTTCTCGAATAGCTGCCAGTGCAGGAGCAGCTGGTTTTTCTATGATATCAAACAGCGATGCAGGACACAACTCTAATGCAATGTATAAAAACCCATCGCATTGTTCTTGTATGTAGTACCGAATCACATTGGGGTGACGGTCTGTTTCTTGTAAAATTTTGACTTCATGATCGGCTACTTGAAAAAAGTCCAACAAAAGTCGCTTGATGGCAACTTCTCGTCCTTCAAAATACCCCTTGTATACAATTGTGCCATGGCTTCCGTAGCCTATATTAAAATTCAATCGTATTAGTGCCAATAAAACAATAACACATGCCATTATAATCACAATTAAACAATCCACTTGCCTAAGATTTGACTGGTCAATGTTAGTTTTTGAGAACCCACTAAACTGGAAGAACTAGATGTTGCTGAAATTGGAATAGTAGGATTACCATGTGTAGATTGATCAAATGTATTTTTTTCAAACTCTGCAGCTGACTTCTTTGGCACTATTGCATGTACATCAGATTCATTATTGATAGTTTGGTCGTCGTGTAGGACGGAAAAGGTCAATGATTTTTCTGTTGAATCTACAGGTATCGGCTTTAAACTCGGCATTGTAAAACTAGTAGACAAAGGAGAATGGATAGAGTCACGGTTTGCTTGATTTTCCAGTATCGTGCTTGTATCCAACTGGACAGAGTCTTTGCATGCTTCAGATGTAGAATTGATATACTGCGCATCAATGTCAGTGGTACAAATAGTAGGGATAGTGCAAGTGATGCTGCTTGGCACATTTTCCAAAAAGTCTTGAAAAACACCCACGTTTGTTTTTTCAGCAAGCCTGTCTAAAGAAATCTGATATCCAGCTATATCTGTAGAAATCATGGTTGAATCGATCAAATTGGTGTCATTTTGATCAGCTTGATGAACAGCCTCAGTATTATGAGTGTGCTTGATTATTGCTTTTGACTTGTTATCCGAAACGATTCCTATCCGAGACTCCACATTGATAGCAATAAGTTCTTTGCAAGTCAATTGAGATGCAACATGAACAGGACTGTCTGTATCCAAACTCGACACTGCACAATCTGTTGTATCTTGCGATGACGCTTTTAAAGAGGAGTTTGAACCATAAGACTGTAGTGAACTAGATTCAGATACCCGATCAACACAGTTTTCCCCAGGAATTGACTGGTATAGATTGATCTGTACGGAAGAGTCGATGGGTAAAACAGGAGAGTTTGATTTTACTGATGAAAAAGACTTTAAATCAGATTCTTCAAGTTTTTCAACAGTAGGTTTAACGATTTTTTCAACTTGAATAGTGTCTGTTTGATCTATGAGTTCTTTAACTGTACTACATTCAGGGATATGATGTAAATCAGACTCTTGATTGGATGGATTACGGAGCAATGTGTCTGAACTGGATTTTACAGATTCAAGTGTTTGCAAAGTTGCTGCATCTGACACGACAATATCTCCAGAGTTTAAAGTATCTTTTGAAGATGCAGAGTGTACTTTTGGCCCAGAGCTTTCCAAAAAAAAGAGATTTGTCAATTCAGAGAATGTATATGAAGAAGAGTTGGAGATTGGAGTAACGCACGAATCAACTGGCATTGATATGGATAATGGCTGAGGCAATGAATGTTTCGACTGTACTGGCGGTGATGCCAATGAAGTAGTTGTGGTGCTTGTCATGGAATCGGTTATACTTTGCAGATATGTCATTGCCTCGTCGGTAGGCAATCCAGGCAGTTTCATTCCAAGTGCACGCGCAATTCGTAGTCCAGCTGCAGCTATTTGAGTGGGACTCATTTTCGAGAGTTTTTCACCGTAAGAAAATTGATCCAAAGATAGATTCCATGACGTTGAAGGACTAGTCGAAGAAGTAGATTCCACATGAAGTGCTGGTACAGGAGGAGGTGTAGGAGGAACTGGAAGGTTTTTGTGGATGGATGGCGGAGCAGACGGCTCTGGAATAGCAGGTATAGCAATAAAGGCAAGGTTATTGGAAGATTGATTCATTGTGGGTAAAGGTTGTTGGTTGGTGGTGACTGAAGAAGATTGTTCAGATTGTTCAGAATGTTGAGTAGCAGATTGATTAGAGAGTACACGAGCTTGCTGCAATCCAACAGAATTGGTAGTTTCAAAACTGTCAGCCACATCTGGTTTGGCATTCACAGAAGTACTACCATGACCCACAAAGTGACCAACATCCTTTCTCTGTCTTAACCACCCATCGTCCTCATGATATTTTTCATCATGGTGTCGCTCACGACTTTTTGCATGCTTACGATGATTTTCGTGAGTGAGATAAGCATTCAACGCGCTCGGTGCACTATTAACAGATGCGGGTTTATGGATTGGTTTAGTAGGCAAAGTGTGATTAGTATGATTAGAGACTCGTCTAGCAAGCTGTTGTTGTAGCGGCTGTGGATGATGATGTGGACGATGATGCGGTGGATGGTGGTGTGGTGGATGGTGGTGTGGTGGATGATGGTGTGGTGGATGATGATGTGGTGGATGATGTGGACGATGGTGTGGACGATGATGTGGATGATGGTGTGGTGGATGATCGGGAGAATGATGACCTGGATACAGACTAGGATGAATGTTTGAATGTGGATGAGGCTGATGAGGATGATGAAATTCGTTGGATGTGTGTGCTATGCTGATGGGAGTTACGGGTGCAACTGCATGATTAATGGAAACTGGTGCACTCGAGATGGTGGATACCGCATGTCTGTCTTTGAGAAGTTTCAGCTGTTCAATGGCTTCACGAACCACTTCTTGTGCTAATGATCGACTGACTGTTGCTTGATCCAACGCTTCAACGACCTCCAATAATGCAGTTCCAGGATTATCTTTAGCACTTTCAAAAGCGAGTCGATGTTCAGCTAATTTAACATCTAATTCGATATCCGCCAACTGTTGGGCAGCATTATGTAGTTCTATTTCTGCAATCTGAAATGGTTCTGTGATTGCAGTGGCAGGAACTGCTGCTTGAGAGTTGGTAGATGGTGTTGAAGTACGGGTCAACACATCACCATCAATACCAGCTGGATACGCACCAGGAGTATTTCCCGAGAAGCTTGAACTTGTAAGTGGATGTGTATTGGTAGCGATAGTTGAAGTAGTTTGTTGAGTTATAGTAGAGTAATGTGCTGGACAATGCTGACTATTACAGAAATGACTATTGAGACTGCATCTACTCCTTTGACTGCATGCATCGCTACTAGTGCTGTTTCTTTCACTGGAAGTATCGCTAACGATGCTGCTTCTTTTACTAGATGCATCGCTATTGCTTCTTCTTTTACTGATGACACCCTTGACTGCACTCATAAAATTAGAGTTGTTTGTAATAAAGTTTGGCAAGGCTTGACGAGCCCATGAAGTCAATGCAGTGCCCTGTGGTGGACTGGAGGGAGTGGAAGGAGTGGAAGTGCTAGAAGTTGATTCGAGTATAATTGGTGATGATGGATTGTCTGTATTCACATCATGATTTCCAATATTCAGTCCCAATCCTTTTGAAACCTGCATCAGAGTCTGAAATATTCCAGTAGGTTTGGTAGCAATTGATGTCCAAGTGCAACCAGCAGTAGTATTGGAGTCTGGCATCTAATCAGCCTTGATCCAATTTCCAATTCAAATCAATCAAAACACTCGATAAGAATCTTATTGCTAAATTCACGTAAAATAAAACCCTAAATAAGTGTGCTAGATTACGTAATAAAATGACTTTCAATTTACTGAATAATATTTCTTGTTTCATTGGTCTTGTTTTTGTACAACTCTAAAATTACTGTTACATTACACACTTGCTCAATCTACAACTTCTCATACAAACTTATTGTCTGAAATAAACAACTGTATTCCTAAGAGTGTAATCATTGCTATATCAAACTAAAGTGTAAATGTATGTTTTTTGGGTATGAGTTTTGTTCAGGGTTTTTTTTGAAACAGTCGAACCAAACATGTGGAGTGTAACGAATGAATCTTGTTTCAGGCTTGATGATCGTGCAGTGCACAGCTATACCCAAACTGGAGAAAGGCACGGTTGAAAAAGAAATTTTTAGTTGAAAACTAGTTTAATATGATGAATGCAGTCTACTTAAGCAGTCAATTTGTGATAGAAAAATAAAGAATATTCATTGTTTATTCCGAAGCAAAGTCACTACAAGACAAATACAAGTGTTTCATTTTACGTGAATCCGGCTTGTAAATATTCAAACCATCCAACTGCTACAAGATTCTGTAACAGGATCATCTTCAGACAAGTCTTATTTGTTCACTATACCCGCTGGTTCTATTCGATTTTTAAATAGCACGAGTTGGGATAATTCAAACATTGCAGTTGGATTGACGCAGTCTAACATTACAGACTGTCATTGCAATCAACTGCTACAATCCATTGATATTATTCAAAGTGGTAATGTTTCGAACTGGACATCCGATTACGCCGCACAGACATCCGGCTTTCCTAGCATCGTCTACTACAACCACAACTGTCAATTCATCAATATCAGCCACTATCAATACAAATACAGCCCATACAAGCTTCATGGACAATTCAATCCACAATAGGGTCCAAGAACCAGTGTTTGAAAATACTGGTAGTACTGCTATCACTACGATCGTTTCTCCTATGGTTAGTACTTCTGGCGTTGTATCCAATGTCGCATCCACAGCCGCTGCGAGTATGACAGCCAAAATGTCATTTAGACTGTCAATGCTGGCATCATTGACTCCAAGACGGCCCACTGTCACCAATCCAGCCCCTGTTGGCCAGAACCATGATATTGAGCAAAACTATGATTCTGATCAGGACTCTATCATCAGTGATGTAACTGAACCATTTATACCAGACAGACTCGATGGAGTATCGACTGTAACCGTAAAAACTCGAGCTATACAGCGACTAGTGTCAGCAGCTAGAAGAGACTGTGACCTTGAGAATGAATGGATCGACCGTCAGTTGCTAAAGCAGTTGACTTGTCTGGACTCATCATCAAAGCGTACATTGACTGCTGTCAATGCAAGAACGGATACCAAAGTGCTGGACACCAAGGCTTCCACAAGTGTCGATTCTTGCGCAACAACGATTGTCCTGGCCGACAATTCAACAACTTTGGCTTTTGCCAATCCACACAAGAATCTACCGCCCATTCCTCTCTTGGCTGCTACTGCAGAATCACTCGCTCCAATCCACAACGAATCTATTCAGAATTTGTTAGGGTCTCGCTCACTAAATCACACCCAAAGTCTGCGCTCACTCAAGACTTCGTTACCCGATCGTCGTAGTCCTTTGGCTCTAATCTCGACTACTGCTCCTCCATCTCCTCCTGATGCAGTCTTGGACACTTCCGAATTCCATCCAACTGCTCCACACTTGAAATCTGCTACTGCTTCCGCAGCAAGTCCCTCAATATTGAATACTCCCACTGATCCACCAAGACTATCGTATAGCTCATTACTGGATCAGAATGACTGGATCTCTCTTTTTTCTCATAGTGCCGATGATATGTCCACCATCAGTCACGTCACTGACGGTGCACTCGTTGATGGCGATTATCAAAATGATGATAATAATGGTAATCTTGAGCAGTTGTTTTCCAATAGTGGTAGTCGCATCATCGATTGCATCAACGCAACTCCAAGTGCTGACGCTCAGCCACTGCCCGAATCTACTGTTGACACTGATATCCCAATGTCTTGTGTCGATTCAAAACCATACTTTCAAAATACTCCATCTACACTACACTCTAGTCCGTGTACTGCAACTCGTCAACATGAATCGCATGCATTGACATTCACTGCTGTTACTACTGCTATCGCTCCTAGACATATACTTTCTTCAACTGCTTCTGTACATAGCAATTTGCCTACTGATAAAAGTAATGAGACTCCGGTTACGCGTCCATCTGCATTAGCACTTTCTCATACACAGGCTCATCTGGCAGTTAATTCTATGGTTCCATCTCGTACATCATCATTGCGATCCAAGCAAAGACCAGAAGGACCTCCGCTGCATCCATATCTCATGAAGAATGCATTGATTGATTCAGCCGCATCAGTAACATCTGATTCGCACCTTCAGTTTCATTCTCCAGTTTCACACAGTCATGTTGGCTATTCTAAAATGCTGGGTAATCATAGTCCATTGAGTCCATTGAGTTTGTTTGGAAATATAGATTCGACTGTTTCTCAAATGAATGATGGTTTATCGGGTGGTAGTATGGCAAATTCACACTCTGGCAACGGAGGTGCAGCTGGATCTGCACCTCTTTTGCATGATAGTGTTTTGCATTCTAATCATTCATTATCTCAATATAAACTAAGCTCAAATAGAAAGAGCAGTAGAAAGCATTCTACACCTGTTATTTCTGACCCAATCTCTCCAAAACCTGATGGATGTACATTGTCAGATAGCACCTTTTATCCAGGCAACACCAGTCCGCTACACAACCATTTGATGTGCTCTACGGATTCTGACACTGCAGATTCTTTTGATAGTCCGATTGCAAGTACTTTTCGTGCTTCCGTTGATTCTCAATTCAGTCAGTGGAGCGATCCCTTATCTGAATCTCCAAATCCTGATTTTTGCACAAGGATTAACCACTCGGCAGTCCGCAGAGCTTCGTATGCTTCAGAACTCTCTGGAAAGCAATCCATTGTAGTATCTCCTACGCTATCACCCATCACAGTCACCAATGCATCCCCATTATTTTCCTCAGCTGTTCAAGGCGATGAATCTGAAAAAATGAGCAACAAATGGGTTCAACGAGCCAAAAACGCACTACTTTCTCGCAAGTCATCGGTTGGCTCATCTTCTCTAATTACACGACCTATATCAATGAGTGTCCCATTTCTTGTTGATGGCTATAATGGTCGTTCTAGCTCCTCTAGTTTAGTATCAGCATTACCATCTGGTGTCCAAAACTCCCTTCAATCTGGTGCTACTGCTTATTCTGGTTCTGCTCGTAGAATATCTACAATAGGCTCATTGGGTGGTAATAATTATCTTGAACCCGTTTCTACCCCACCACAATCTCACATACAGTCCTCTACTGTATTGCCATTTAATGCGTCAGGCATAGCTTCAAATACAGCACTGTCACCTTTACATTCAACATCAACTCGAGATTCTATATCCACCAGTTCTACGTCCATCTCATCTGTACCACGCGAGCAATGGCGTAAACTTTTTTCAGCACGAACACTTGGTGTCACATCAATGGGCACATCTCTCATTAATTCGTTTTTGCGCAAAAATGTCCAGTATGATTTGGAAACGGCTGCATACAAGGGCATTGATCCACCTGATCAGGGTGTACAGTGGATTGCGGTGGATTATGAGCTATTGCGTCGACCATGGCGTAGTGCTGGACCACTGATACCGACAAATTGGAATTCACAAGATGAAATGGATCAGCGAGCAATCAATACACGTATATTGCTTTCCAAAGCCAGACGATACAATGCAATTCACCGTAAATCCATTTCATTTGATATAAATGTAGATAAAAATGCAGTAAAGTCGGTCCTACCAACGCAGACATCTGATGCATCTTGTAAAGTAGCACATGTTTCACTGGAAACCACTGCACAAGCCGATAGAGATGTGCATGATTCTGATGCCTTGGTACACACAAGCAATAGGATAACCTCGACAGTGTCTAATGCGCGTGTTGACGAATGTCAGCAATCTCCTAATGTACTGGCGATTTCACCCATTCTTCAACCTGCTACTGTTGAATCTGAGTTAAAGCCGTCTATTGATACTTGTACCAATTCACCCGAGATTACGCCTACAACACAGATAACTGAACGTCCTACATTAGAGTCTCCAACCATGGTCCACCCTGTTGAACGCATGTCAGTGTATTTGCCCAAACAATGGGTAGTGGATGAATTCTTTTCTATGAGACCCACTACCCGTCGCACATTAACAACCAACACAATGGACTCGAAGCAGCTTACTGAAATGAGTCTTGCCAACCCACATTTGAGCAAATTCAAGCGAGCAAAATCATCGGTCCATATGTCGCTTAGTCGATTTGGATCAGTCCGAGGACCCAGTTCAGTTTCAACAGCCATGACGGGTAATGGAAATGACGGAGGTAAAAGTAGATTAAAATCATGGTGGAAACGAAGCCAAGTTGGAGGTGGTAGTGGAGGAGTACCCACTAGTTCATATACAGACATGACGAAAGCAGCGTTTCAAGAAATGTTTGATCCAGTTGTACATGCGGCCAAGATCTGTAAAAACCAATCATCCAATACGTCGTTGTTTTATGCCGATGTGATACCTGGAAGTGATGCAGGGTCGATCAAAGAAGGTGGAAGGTCACCCTTTGGCAGTTTGAATCGACCACGATCTGTTAGTAGCGATTTTGATCCAACTAGGTATTCCGATAGTGGTGTAGATGCGCTCGATTTTAATCTTCTATCAGCATCTTTACACGCCTCCTTGCCACAATCACGCTCGTCTTCAGATATATATGGTAGTTTATCAAGATCTGCAGGTACGTCATTGTACCCATCATCACCTTTATTTGAACAAAAGTTGCTTCAGCAAGAGACCGAACAAGACTACTTTACCCATTCAACTATCACACGAGTTCGAAGTAGCACTGCGTGCTCTGAAAATACGTTGGGCTTGAGAACGGACGAGGTTCGACTAAGCAGTGACTCTACTGTCAGCTGTCCATCTATGCGATCCTATCGATTTGACTTTGAAGACACTGATCGTGGTGGAAATGACGAGTTTGATGTCGAGTCCCTTTTAGGAGTTGTTTCAGTATGCTCATCTATTGGAGAGTTGATTGATGGCGATCGAGATCAAAACCAAACAATATTTAGTCGGTATTTATGCCTTGATCATAACGTTGGTCAACTTTGAGCCTGTAATAGTTTATACAAATGAAGATGTACTATGCAATTAGTTTAGAACACATCACGTGGCTGAAGCTTTAAATATTTTATTTTGTTGAAATACAATTCATGAATCCATGGCATCGATTCAACCAACTGTCCAGGTCATAGCGATTGTCAGAAAATATCTCATTCCATTTGTCCGTACGGTTCATCCAGACTTTTTTGGCTCAGTTCCACGCAAACAGGCCATTAACCAAACCTCATTACAAACCGTCAACTCGATTGTTGGAAGGATTGAAGACAACAAAGCCAACCATGACAACATGTTAACCAAACCGGTAGAAGTCGAGTTTTATCTTTTGAATCAAGAGAAAAGTGTCTGTCACTCGTTGGGTATGCATGTTCGTCCCAGTGGGCTACAGCAAGGTATACATACATATCAAGAACTCCATTCTACCACCCAAACACCATCTATCGAGAAAAAGGACACAGTGACTACATATCATGCTGGATCAGACGATCAGTACCTACTTGAACAGCATCAGAAAAAGATACAATCGCAGTATGTGCATATCACTCCATTGATGATGCGAAGCGTTGCTGATAAGGATCAAATGGATCTGCATCGATTTCTAACAGCACGATCATTACTGTCGTTATTTGGAGCAGCTGGACAAGGTCTTTGTGTCGATGACATTGCTAGGATTGAGAATGGAATTAAACGAATGATTGGTATGGGTGATGAGAATGCATTTAGAACGTATCCAAGATCGAGCAACCGAAAGAATCCAAAAGAACGATTTGGCAATCTGCTGAAACAGGACATTGCAAGAACTGACCGAATTGTGTGTGATATTCAAGAATAGACTGCACATGAATTGGCAATAATTCTATAATGCAATCTTTTAAAGTATAATTTTATGGGTTGAATACCCTGAAACCAAATTGAATTTTGCCTTCTTTCGACGAATTACCAAACACTTTGCAGAAAAGCCATGAATACTGCAGCTACTCCTAATGCGGAGGGTCAACTCATCAACAGCACAAATGGTCATCCCGAAACGCTGCAGACTGGACTGAATAAAGCGTTGGACTTTCTGGACCAAGTCAAGGCATGTCTTAGTCCTCCACAGTTTCAAGAGTTTCTTGTTCTACTAAAGATGTTTAAAGGCAAACGGTAGGTGTTGGTGATGAACGAACAACAGGCTGTACATGGTTCTATTCCATGACAACCAACAGTTGGATTGATGCTGACTGTTTCTGAATATTGTATTGCTAGCATTTCATCGAATGCCATGTCAGAGAGCATCTCGGTGCTTTTTCAGAACCATCCACAATTAATGCATGGGTTTTCTGCTTTTCTACCCACTGATCATCAGCAACTCAACTCGTCAACTGAAAGCAGTTCCAGCCTTCAAGATATCAATCTGTCTGTTGACAGCATTGTTACTCCCTCTGTCACAGCCGTTCCTCGGCAAGATTTTTCCCGTCCATCTCGCAGAAAGCGAAGTGTGAAATCCCTCAAGAGCCAATCGACCGTTGCCAGCACTGCCAGAAGTCCTGCTGCTGGTGGAATGGCTGGCTCTTCTCGTAGCGTGACGACGGCCTCTTTACCTGCAAACCATTCCGAGTCGACCGTCGTCATGGCTCGATCTTTGGATTTTTTAAATATTGTTCGAACCGCTTACGCTCATTCTCCAACGGTATACACCAAGTTTGTTGCTTATCTACAAGAAAGCTTTGAAATGTCTCTACCGCTGTCCAAGGTATACATTTCTTTGTTTGTATACATGCCATGTGTCAGTCTACTCAACTATGTTTCTGTAGGTGGTGGAAGATGTTGGCGCCATGTTTGCTGATCGTCCTGAAGTCATGCAAGCCTTTTTGGAGTTTATTCCCATATCTGCCCTCAAGGACAGTCATTTGGAAATCGAGCGCATGCAATTGAATATCACTCACACATCTACTCCCGATCTTCAACAACCCCTCATTCTATCTAAAGAATCTTCTACTCATGACTCGATTGAATCAAACAATCGAGGTATACCTCATAACCCTGACTCGCTCGCTATTCCTATAGATCAGATGGAACACAGTGTTACTGCTTCTTCAATCACCCATGTAAACTCTAATGAAACTCTGAATATTCATGCCAAACAACCTGCTAGCTCCAGTGATTCACACTCGATTCATCACAATCAGTCTGATCAGTCCTCTAAATCCACAGAATTGCTTTTTACCAAACCACTGCCTTTGTCTCCAACAACTCGTGTTTATTCTGAATCAGATCCGTTGATTCCTACATCTTGCACATTACCAACTCGTTATACTGCCATCTCCAATACAACCACTGAATGCGAGGCAGTACATGCTACACCTCTAATCAAGCGTTTCAGTACCGCTTTTGTCATGGCAGTTATGGGATGGATGCTGTTTGCTGCTGTATTGCTATACGCTTTAATTTCTGGCGAGTATTTTAAGACTATCCAAGAGTAACACTACTTTTTGGCCAGATCCCAAGTTTCCTGTTTGTTTCATATATATTATTTTTGGATTGAAAATTTGCACGTTTTGAATCGAAGCCTGCTCTGTTTTGCTAGGCTAAACCATATTTCATTTTTGTTTCAAGTGTCGAGTTTGTATTGGTGATGGATACACAATACTGGATTGTCTACGCCAACATGTTTTTGAAAAACATTCAAACGTGATTGGTTTCTATAATTAAAGCATTATATTTTTTACAACTGTGTTCGTGTAAAATGAGATATTGAATAAGTTGGAATACATGATAAACAGTCATGTTTGGTTGGTACCAATCTTACTGGACATGATTGTTTTATAAACTCACTAGTTTCTTGATACTCATTCTTGTACAAGAATACAGAGTGAATGTTGACATCTCTTCCAATGCATTCCACATCTCTTCAACCTCCAACTTTCCTTTCCTTCAAAACAAACATTTCAAATCAACACTCAATGATCGGCATGTATAGTTGCATCCCTGAGATATGTTGAACTAGAACGTATCTGATATTAGAATAGAGTTTCAATAAAAGAAATCAATATCCAATAACAACGAATATGTAACGATTGTTTATTCCAAGATAATCATTACAAGATCAATACAGAAAATTGTTCATTTTACATGAACACGGCTGTAAATGAATTTTATTTAAACTTGGTATTGATACACGAAATGAAACAAAATGATCTCATACAATCAAGTCGTGTCGTATAGGCAGAGTGTTGGTGCTACAAGTTTGTTGGATAGTTCCTGTTTGGTGGTTTCGGTGATGACGCCAGAGTTATGTTGGGTATTGCCAATACGCTACCAGCATAAACTCGACTCATCAAATTGTCATGTATACACATTGTTGTCAGTTACATCGAGTGATGGTTCAAGTAGGTCGATTCAGACGAGTTGCATAGAACCTACTCATCCAGCATCCATCCATTGTCAAACAACTATAATGCACAATACCATCAAGTGTGTGGTTGCATACACATTGATCAGTCATTGCACAGTATACGTCGGTTGCAGTCCATGACACATCCACACAATCCAACATGACAAATCATATACTGTGAGTCCGAGATTGATCTGAAACAAGTCTTGGACAAACCCAAAGTACAAAACAGTATTAGCACAAATAATTCTGGAAACTCTGACAACTGACAGTCTCCAAGTAACATATTCTGTTCATAGTATGAAATGGAACTTGATTGTCAGTTGTCAATGATTTTGAAAACAGTATTATTACAAAACCAACACTTGTGAGTGATGGACTGACAAAGAATATTCCAACAAATTCGATATTTGGATTGTAATATATGAATCTGGTATCAAACATGTCGATCGTATAAAATAACCAAAAACTGATGATCTTGGTTTAAAACTATTGTCTATTCAAAACAATCAAGACAGTCAAGACAATCATTGCAACATAAATACAAGTATTTCATTTGGTGTAGATCCGGATATAATTCAATACTCATACTGCATCAACATCTCAATCGACATCAATCTTGATGGTTGCTGATACTTGACCGACTCAATCTTTGGATTTGTAAATTGCACTATTTTACACATTTAGTATTTGAATACAGCTGTGACAATAGATTCATCTTGGCTTGACCTACAACTGCACTTTGATCCGATCTTGTGTCGATTCTCGATTGTATTGATCCAATCCTGTGTCAAGCATCAATAGTCTTGATCGTATTGACACTTTTGACAGTTTCTGTAGACATATAATTGGATGATGTTGGTTTGGATGTTGGCCAGTAGTACTTTGAAGCAAGTGGAATAAACCGTTTTTCTGCTGGTAGACTTGTGTCATGCATGACATATGCAGCCGTTCCAATCAAAAAAAACAATATTGGATCAACTCTGGATGATATGAAGCAAGTGTATCTGATTGCTGGTGACATTCAACCTTGTATGATTGATGGTCAACAACAAATTATCACTAAAATCAACACTCGTTTCCCTGAGGACGTCTGTTGGAATCAAACAGCTTTAACGATCATCGCTTGAGTTAATCTTGGCCTGCGCATGAAGCAAGCTCGACGACCTGTCCGTGTGGATACAACTATTACTACCAATCAAAATCATACACATGCTACAGGTCTTAGACATCGTGTGTTTGGTTCGCCATTATCAGCCACGTCGATAGCATGTTCAAACACATCTACTACCACTATTACATATTCAGCTCGTCATTCGTACAGTTCTAGTCAGCCATCTAGTCAACTATCTGGTCAACCATCTGGTCAATCCTCTTCGCTCCTTCAATCTAGCGAGTCGTTTCCAGATACTCCATTTCAGCCATACTCTGCATCACGAGTCACTCCGGGCAATGGTCGAGGCATATCTCCACGCAGAGCTCCACCTTCACCACGGACTAACCAAGACACAGATGTACATGCGCATGAACTGCAGTTTTACGGTTGGGTTTTGCTGATATTTACAGTGCTGTATTTCAGTGTCAATATGTTGATGATGGTTGGCAGCAAGTGGATGATTCCTGCAGACACACAACACAAGGTATTTGGCTATTATGATTGACAATGAATTGATTAACCATTTAAAACTGACTCGACTGTATTCGATTTCACTTTGATTCAATCCAATCCAATTCAATCTCAACCAACTCGATAGGTTCTAAAATGGATCCGAGACGATACATATTATTGCTATCTGATACCGATTCTTGGACCTGTTTTTGTATTCTTTATTTTTTTCAACTGGTTAGGCATGAAGTACTTTCGACAAAACGCATAACACCTCAATAAACATATTAATCAACAAACATACTGGCCATTGATAAGATTAGTTTGATACACTGTCAAAGTGTAACATTATATCAGTGGTTTTATAAATATTGATTTTTGTGGCCATCGAATGTAGTGTTAGTTGTGCCGCTCGGATTGGATTGGACATAGTTGTCCAGCCACTGTATAAATGTGTTTATAATCGGTTAAACCAATGCCAGGTGAACACACATGATTTTTAGTCAAGATTGGCAGATGTTTGCTTTGCTATACAAGCATGACGAAACTGCTTGGTTGATTCGAGTCGGATTGCATCTGAAAATTTGACAGTCAAAGCCAGTCCATGACATATATTGCAGATAGACTCAAACGGCATACGGTTGATGGCTCAAGTGTTTAGAGTGGTTGAGTGATCAAGATTGATAGATTGTATTTTGAAACTCAAAGCAAAAGCACGATCGAGGTCGCGAATATCATCTAGGATATGCTGTACTATAATGGATTATGCTGTAGCATAGTGTAGCAAATATGTCATGTCATTATACGATGGTCCACGACTGTTTTTATTCGGCCTAGTTTTGATTTGTAATGTAAACCAGTCGAGATCTTGTCGACTTGATATATTGACTAAAACAACAGCATGATATATTTCTGAGCATCTTTGACTGTGGTGACTGAGTGGATTGCACCAATCGATTATTATACGCCTATGGTGTAGTATTGTATTGGACATGACATGACAGTCTAGTTTTGGTGGTTCCAGTTTGGTTGTAATGTTTTGCGCAGTATGCGGTCTAGTTGGAGATAAATGGAGCAGCTTGAACAATCCCATTCGCGAGCTGATAAAAAGCATAATGCGCTATTAACTATACCACAGTCAATGCAAAACTGTAACATCATCTGCTTATGAAACACTGATTATGAATAAGCAAATCCCGACTGGTGCCAATAGGTGGCGTGGTTGAATGGTTTCATTCTCGGCCAAAGCCACGTTGGATTTTGAATAAATACAGAGCATTCGGAGCCACTTTTTGATATCGAAATATTCGATTTGAACTGACTGTTGTACCAAATCTTGACTGTCATTGCACTTAAGCTGCCATCATATATTGATATTATATTTACTTGAGCGTCCATTTCATTCATAACCTAACAAATTCCAACAATGATTGCTTCTACTTATTTGTTCACCATTTTTGCTGCGTTTGCCATGACTGCATCTGCAGTAAATCCACACAAATCTCCAGTCTCACACAAATCTCTAATAAATTCCCCAAAATCTTTAACCCCAGCTTCAGCTTCAGCTCCAGCTCCAGCTCCATCCCAATTCCCACCTCCATCCCAATCTCCAGCTCCGGCTCCATCCCCACCAGTGGCTTTTGTTGGAATGGGTGTTGCTGGACCGTGCAAGGATGACTCGTCGTGCGATGAAGGTCTCAAATGCAAACGACTTGATACTCAAGATCCAGGCAGTGATGGCATTTGCACTGTTCCAAAAGGAAAGGTTGTCGATCTAGGTGCCAAATGTGGTGGGTTTTCGCGTTCAGCCCCACAGTGTGCCAACGGACTCACTTGCAAACTTGGTCCAGTCTCTGATGGAGGTGGTGTCTGTGCTCTCCCTAGTGGTGCTACTTTATCCACTGAGCAATCTGGTTCGAATTCCACTGCTAGCGCAAATGAACACCATGGACCCGATCATCCGGCCGATCCAAAGGGGAACGACACTAAATCAGATACTAGTGAGCACCCAATATACTCTGAACCTACACTTTCTGGATCAACTGCTTTGGTATCAGGTTCTGTTTTCAAAATTTTGTCCATGTTGGCTGCCGTTCTTTTGGCGATTTAAGCTTTTTTAACCTGATGAGTGCACGCGTTGACAACACGAATCTTACAGTTACAGACGTTAAATAAACTTTGTTTTATGCTTTCTATTATATTTTTGTACTACATTTCAATAACGCATTAAAATGCACTGGGAAAACTGAGCAAGTGAATATATTGCGAGATAATTATTTCAAGAGTGCCGAGCTTCACTGGACCAAGCGGACGGATTCTAGATTATAGTCAAGATCAACATTTTCTAAGCTGCCACTGGAGTGGCTTTCATGGTAATCTTTTTCTGAGCCTACAAGTCTGGTTTTTTCCGATACTTGAGGCCCATTGGGAGTTGTAAGCTTGGATGGGTGGCTAGTCAAACTTCCCTGCCTGCTATCACGTGTTTCATCAACAACGGCAATCGACTTTGATGGCGTTGAGAAATGTGTATTGTCGGAAGGTGTATTCAAATTCCATTGTTTCGTTGAAGCAGTGTTGATCCGAGGTTTGGTAGTAAAAATATGCTTTGCCGCGCTCATCCAGTCATCTTTTACACCTGTTGCTGAGTTTCCTGAACCACCACGACGATCCAAATCAAACATGTGTGGATAAAGCTCAAAGTATCTTCTACACAATATAACTCCAACCGTTATCCCGATCACAATAAACAAAAGTGCAACTTGCACACCCATATACTGAATCTGTTTTCTCCCAGGAAGTGTAATCACAGGTGGTGGTGCATTGTCCACATCCGTCAAAGTATTCCTTGGCTTCTTTCCAAGCTCTTTAAGAAGTTTCGTATCAAGCTCGTCAAGCAGTGTACGAATATCTGAAACTCCGTGAAAAATATTGGTCATGGTGGCAGTGATAAGAAGCGAAATATTGTTGTAATGAGAGCCTACCATGGTCGCTGGACGATTTGTAAGAGTTATGTTTTGATAGAGATTGGTGATTGGATCGGTAAGGTGTGTGGCTATAACTGGGTCTAAAAGAGGGTTCATAAAGTCGAGTGATGTGATTGACGGATTCAACCCAAATCATGGATTAGTCAGTATAGTTTGTATCACGTTAGCACGAATTATATAGATTTGAAATAGTTGTTATACTGTTTGATTTGGATGCACCCGAATAAGCGCATGGCTATTATTTACCTTGAAGTAGATGTCGATTGATGGGAAAATCGAAATCACCTTGCTCATCTGGACTTGTAAATTCAGATTTTTCATACACATCAGAAACTAAATATTCTAGTACTTTTAGAGCTGCATCAATGTTTTTAGAGTATCGGTACACAGCCAAAGCGTATCCATCCACTACCCCAAACGTATCTGATCCACCTATTCCACTTCCAATGCCATTCAAAGCTGGCATCCCAATGACTCCAACATCAAATATGACTGCACTGTTACCATTTCTGCCCAACACGGCCGCAAGATCGTTTGATGTGGTATGAAGAAATACGGCTTGTCCTTGTACAAATCTCGATAGAGCTTCACTCTGCCCAAATGTATCAATATCGTTTAAATCAATAATTCCCGTATTGACCCATGTGGAAATGTGGGTGAGAAGTAGGGCAAAATCACTATCGGCGATTGTAACGTTTCCATCTGGAGTGATGATGCTTGCATTAGAACATGCGATCCATTCAGAAACGAGTATTGGCCACGACTGTGGATCTTGGTATCCCAGATATACAGTTGGGATAAAGGTGTACACGTTAGACGCATACATGCACAATTTATTTGATCTGACAAAGCAAAGTTATCGAGTTACCTTGAAATGAGGAAGTATACCCACTTAGTTTATAATTTTCAACGGCACGCTCGTTTTGAAGAATGTCTTGCAGCATGAATTCCATATCTTGTATGGATGTGGGAGGTGTATAGTAGCCGTGAACGCTCAAGTAGTTTTTGTTGTACATCAGCATTGTGGTTTGAATATCTACATAAAATGACTTGATATGAGACTGCCTGTTTACAGCTCAAGAGTAAATGCACATAATGTATTTCAATCAAAACATGCATTATACTTGCCTGCTGGAATAGCGACTAAAACAAAGCAGTATTGATGAAATCGGTAGGTTTGTTTAGTCGAACACGTTTAGAATACACTACATGGCTTAATTTCAAAATGAATGATGCATGTTACCTAGACGGTCCGAGACTACTCCAGCATCAAGTAAATCTTTTTGTAAATTTTGACCAAACCCGTCATCCCAAGCCCACAGATCAATAAAACAGTCGGAAACATCACCAATCATATCGACGCTGATCCATACCAAATCAAAGGTGTCATGGGTTTGATTTAAATCACGACACGCATCCAAGATTGCTCCAGCAGCATCATTATTAGTTTTTGGGAGATTTGGGTAGGATGAGTATGAAATGGTTATGTTGTTAAGTTTTGCCCATGACGCTTGAAGCTGGAGAGATGATGCAGATGGAGCAGACTGGGTTGGCATTGCACGAATATTAACATGGCCCGAGCCAGTTGTTTTAAAATCGGGGTTTGAAATAGCCGAGTCATTGCGAGTTGAACCATTTGGGTAAGTTGTGCGATTACCTCCATAAGTATAGGGTGTAGATGTAGCGCATACGTACTCTAGATATTGCCAATAGTTTACAAAGTTTAATGTTGCATAAGTGAATGGAATACGTTTTAAAAAATTGAGTTTTACAAGGATTAAATCAAGTATTGGCAGTTTTATATTTAAATATTAATATAGCTTGCCTGTTAATACAAAGATGACAACATATACTATACTATGCATGTTGGTTTTGGGATTGAAATTGACGAAAGTCGCGTTGAGTTTAAGCGATATGGCCAGTAGTTTAAGGAACAAGCTCTAAAATATAGCGAATATACTGTATAAAAGCATCAGGCTTGGATTTTTCTTGACTTGAAATTCATAGCAAAACGAGAAATCATTGCAGTAACTGGACTGCTGCACATCATGGCTAGTTTGTTGCTGATGCTACGCAAGAGAGCGCCTTGTGTTTTGCCAAGACATTCTGGATATGTTCGATTTGTTTCTACCGATCAAATTCCGCTTGTTCATGATGTGTTTCGACCCAGACTGGAGGAGCATTACTACAACTCGTTGATGGAGGATCTGATGGTTTTGTCTTATGATCATTTTTCCCCATCAGCAGGACTGGATGCTCTTGAGAGTTTTCCTGAATGGAATAGGTCTTTAGGAGATTATCCACTTCACGATCTGTATTCATCTACACTGGCAAAGCTTCCTACTCGTCCCGAGTCGCAGCAGATGGTATCGTCGTTGCTGGCTTTAGAAACAGCAAAACAGGAATTGCGACCCAGAAGATACCGAAAATTGTTGTATAATCCCATTGACTATACAGCAGTTCCTCGTCATATTCTGACAGCCAAGCCGCCACCACCACCGCCGCCGCCGTATGCACCTCTACCATCGCGCTTGCCTATTCCCAAGCGTATTGAGCTCAAGATCTGGTGCGAGCAAGCAGCAACCAACAAGAATCTTTTACTGTCAGCGATCATGTGTTTGCAATCCATTAGTGGAACACAGGCAAGTCCATTGTTTGCAGAGACGGGAGATTCAAGTAAGCGAATCCGAGCAGGGATGCCATTAGGAGCACGAGTTGAGCTTACTGGATCGCTCATGTATGGATTTATTGATAAGCTTACACAGTGCGTGCTTCCTCGAATGCGAGAGTTCAAGGGAATAAGTCCTATTGGAAACGATCAAGGCATGATGAAGCTTGTTTTGCCAGAAACAGCAGTAGGATATTTTCCTGATATTGAACCTCATTTTGATCAGTATCCAAGAATGTTTGAGACGGATGTGATGATGTATACAACAGGTAAGAATGACTGGGAGGCAGCATTGTGCCTGAGTGGGTTTCAGATACCATTTATGGAAGAGAAGCATGTAGTGGTTGAATCAGTAGCAGCGGAAACAACAGTGGATCGATGGACAGCGATCCGAGCAGCCAAGACCAAAGAGGAAAGAGCAAGGTTGCACAAGATTGCAGAAGAAGAAGAGAAGAAGAGTAAGCAGAAAAATAAAGAATGAATATTGAGATGATTAGAATCAAGTCAACAGTAGTTTAAATGAATAGATTTCAACGCGATGAGATTTAAAAACAGTAAAAATGACAATAGATTAACAAGTTAATTTGAATGAATAAAAATGAATTGAATAATTTGAATGAATTTTAAATGAATTGATTCATCAATTCTATTCATTTTATTAATGAATTGAATAGAAATGAATGAATTGATGAATAGAATTGAATTGAATATGAACGCGACAATAACTCGAGTCATGACAAAGTTTGAAATGAATTCAAAAAAGATTCAACTTGACATTGCATTCAAGCATTGAAACCTTTGATTTTAAATTCAGTAGCAACTTGACAGACATTGACACTACTGGAACTGCTTACTCATCATGTCTATTGCTCAGTATGGCAAAAAGTTTCCTGTGCTATTACGCATGACTTCCCCTCGAGGCCATGTGGAGTTACTGCAAACTATTGGCAAGGGAAACTATGGTGCTGTTTACAAGGTATTGACTAATGGATTCAACTTTACTGTTTGATTACTCTGTTTCTCTTGATTGCATTGCTGGATAGAACTCTTCCGACTCTCAACTTCAATCACTTCCAGACCATTCATGTGTTGTTCTGATCCGTCAGTTGCTTCATATCGAATCAGTGCTTTGCTCAGGGTTTACTAAACAGCTCTGGTCACTGTCTGGCATTGGCTTGTCGTCTGGGATGAATAGAATGAATGGAATCAAACTACTACGTCAATGTGATCAACTTGTTTCTTTCAACTTCCTAAAGCCACATGTATTTCATGTCTTGATTTCTAAATACTTTCTATTGTCATTGCAATCAGGGAAAGATGCATGGTTCCACTTTTGTCGCTGTCAAGGTTGTTTTTCTTAAAGAGGATGAGTTGAGAGAAACGCTGTTGGAAATGGAGATTCTTGAACGATGCAATCATCCCAATATTACAAAATATTATGATTGCTATTTAAAAGGCTTGGATTTGTGGGTGAGTTCGTGCTACATTCTATCTTGCAAAGTGTCAATCCATCATCTATGCTGATTCTGTCATAATTCTAGATTTGTATGGAATTCTGTGGTGGTGGTTCCCTTGACTCAATTTATAGAACTATCAAAAATCCCCTCAGTGAGGATCAGATTGCCGCCATTTTATACGAATCACTAAATGGATTAGACTACTTGCACAACAAAGCAAATCTTATTCATCGTGATATCAAGGCTGGTAATGTGCTCTTGACTGATGAAGGTCAGGTCAAATTGGCTGATTTTGGTGTATCGGCTCAACTTCAAAGCCCAAGTGGTCGTGCCAATACATTTATTGGAACTCCGTAAGTAGTTTTGAAATTCTCTACTTGTTGCCATCTCTTGTTTGGAGTCATCTCATCCGATACGTTCATGTTTAGGTATTGGATGGCGCCAGAGGTTATCATGACAGATCCTGACAGTACATCCGGACGAGATGCCACATATGACAGTAAATCAGATATTTGGTCACTTGGCATCACTGCCATCGAGATTGCTGAAAAAAATCCTCCCCTTTCAGATATTCATCCTATGCGAGCATTACAACTTATTCCCAAATCAGAAATCGGATTTGCAAAACCTAAAAACTTTTCAAAACCATTTATAGATTTTGTTTCTCAATGTTTGATAAAGAGTCCTGCAAAACGACCCAGCGCTGCTGAACTATTAGAGCATCCGTTTTTTGCAAAAATCAAGGGAGTTTCTAGGGAAAAAATTGTATCGGATCTGGTGGCCAAGGCCAAGACCATTGCTGAAAAGAAAAAGGCTGGATTCAGTGTAGATGATGATGATGACGATGATGACGATCGTCGAGCAGAAGCACCTCCTAAACTTATTGCCGAAACTGTTAAGCAGGCAGAAGCCGCCAAGGACCAGCGTAGTGTTACTGCAATCCTTCCCACTGTTAATTCTGCAAGTTTGACCGACACGCATGCACAACATCAACAGCAACAAAACAAAATACAATTGCCATCTTCACAAACTCAACCCCAATCCCATCAGATCTCCCCAACAGATTTCCCAGTGTTTGTGAATGCTGTACAGAGTGTCGAATTGCAAGTATTCGAGCCCACTCCCATCACTGCCAGTCGTAACGAATTCTTTACTGCTGACGTGCTGGATGGTATATACATGCTACTGGGTGGTGACAAGGGCTTGTACTTTATCGATCTGACAGAGGGAACCATCAAGCAACCGGTTCCATTGATTCGTGATGTCCGCTTTAGGCAGATTGAAATTTTGCACGAATACGGAGTTATCATGGCTTTGTCTGGTAAGCGTGATCATGTCCGTCAATATAAGCTCGCTTCAATTCGACGCTTGATTCGCTACCTTCTTGGAGACAACATCCGCACCGTTGCCAAAATGAACATGAATCTTCCCATGGCAGCAGCACTTTTAGACAATGAGCAAATTGCATCCACACCCGTTGACGATTTCTATGCCAACCTAAATCGTGATAGTGTTGATGAGGCAGCACTTGTTTCTAGATGGACCACCGATTTTATCAAGATCATTGCCACAAGGGACACCAAGTCTTTCCTGATTGAAAAAACAGAAACTACTATTTACTTGACCGTGCTGTTCCGTCAAGACATTGTACTATTTGAATGGGCCAAAGAACCTTACTTGAAATTCATGAAATTGAAAGCATTCTGGCTTCCTGAAACTCCTCAATTTCTCATGATGTTTCACGACGGACTTGTTGCTCGTGAGCTGTGTCTTGGATACACTGGCGAAATGAACATGGTTGACGTTGAGCACTCTAAAGTAAAGGAAATCCTTGTCCATCGCGACTTTCGCGAGCGTGCTGGTGCTAAACCCAGATGGCGCAACTTTTCACAGATTCCATTTTCCCATGAAAAACTACAAGAAATGATGCGAAACACTGTTCGTCCACAAGGGACCGTCAATCGTAAGCTTGCTGCTGTTTCTGGATCAAATGCATATACTGCAGCTGCTCAGTCTGCTCCTCCAATTGATCGCTACTTCCTTGGCACCTATGACCGTGTGACCAAAGTGGTAGACATTACTGCTCAGCCTATGATGGGATCGGGTGTTGGAGGTTGGAAAAATGGAGTGTGTTGGAGCGAACCTCCTGTCCATCTTATCTTGCGACCCTTGGAACACGTAATTGCTGCCGGAATTAATACTATTGAAATCGTTAATTGGAAATCTGCTGAATTGAGACAACGACTGACTGTTGATTCTTCGTGCTCGTTGCGAGTCTTGTGTCCACGTCAATGTGGTATGATTGTGGCTGTTGATCGCAAAAAGAAGGGATCATTTTTCTATTGGATGCGAGAAAAACCAGGCACACTAAAAACCGCTCCAAAGCAAATAGTCGCTGCTCCTGTATCTACATCAGCTTCTTTTGCTACAAATAGCAGTGCAGCTGCAATATCTACTGCTAGTGGTGCTACTGTTGTTGATGAGAGCCATTCTACTAAATCTGACGGATTGCCACAACAACCCGAAGTCAGCAGTTCAAACATTGAGGATGCTAATAGACAACCATCTGATCAAAAATCTATTACCTATGCAGGACTGCCTTCTATGCCAGTGATTTCGTCATCCAATCCTTCAACACATTCTCGCCCATCCACGAACGACTCGGCTCGAAATGGATCAATGGACACTCAGGTTTTACAGCAACAACCTTCCTCTTTTCAACAGCATCGCGATCAGCAACAAGCGTTGGCTGCTGTTCCCAATCAAAGACCTTTGCACGGAAATTCACCATCTCAACATGCTATGCATTCCGTGTCGTCACCGCAATCCCCACCTGCTCGTAGCCGTGATGAGTTGGCAGATCAGTTTGAATCGGTGAAACTGACAGAAGGTCAACAACAGTATGGAGTAGATAGCTCCACTCCAACCAAAGTGTACACTTCACAGGATACTGCTTCTGCCAGAGATTCACAAACCCGTACTCAGTTACCCGATGACAAGACGACTCCCTCAAAGTATGATCATCGACAGAATGTCAAACAAGACAATGTATTGCATTCACACACGGCCGCAATCCAAGCTGCTGTTCAAGCCGCCAATACTCCTGGTGGGATTTCTGCTATTAGAAGTCAAAAATACGAATCGCATCAAACAAGACAGCCGTCATCCGGTGCAACAGGAAAATTACAATATTCACCATCAGCGAATGGTGCACCGACTTTGGACACATCTATTCTGTCAGATCTTCACGGTGGGTCACCCGATTCACCTGGCGAGATACCTATTTCGATGCCTCGACAAAATAATATTGCTACTGCGTCATTACCACCGAGCCAAATGCACCGGCCTAGTGTGGTGATGCATCAACAGCCCATACCACCTACTGCTGTTGGTTATGCTCAGCAACCAGCTCACCCATATCCTGTTGTTCCTGTTACTCGTGTATTATCGCCTGCTTCAGGACAGTATCAAAAATATGCATCGGGTGGACAGCCACGACCCAACAATGATGTTCACCAGCAAGCTGCGGGACCAGATCCACAGTATGCTCAAGATCCACGATACGCAGAGTACTATGCTCAGTATTATGCACAACAGCAATACATGGTGGATCCACGATATGCTCATCAACAACAGCATTATATCCGACCTGGTCCGCCCTCTTTGAGCTCGGGTGGTGGTCATCCATCTCAATCTGGTGATTCTTCTCGGCAAACACATGTGTCTTCTGTACAACATGCAAGTGAGCCTAATCTTCATGCATTGGGCCATAGCGAAGTGCGATATACACATGATCCGCGATATTCGATTGATCCTCGCTATGCTCAAGATCCGCGGTATGCAGATCATTATGCTCAAGTCTATTCCCAACAACAACAGTATGCAATAGACCCACGGTATAATGCACAACAGCAGCTTCGTCAACAGCAAATGTATCACCAACAACAGAGTCAGAACCAATCTTTGCCGAATTTCCCCAGTGATGGTCGTGGAAGTATTTCCAGTAGAGATTCGGGGCTGACTAGTGCTGGACAGCCTACAAGGATGCATATTCGGCCTGGTGCAGCTGCTGGATTTGGACCTGGTGTTCATGACCCCCAATCTGGAGTGCATGCTCATCCATCACCACAGCAACAATATGATGCACGATATGCTCAATACGGTGTACAATTGCAACAGCAGCAAGGCATACCTGTACAATATGCCAATGATCCGCGGTATGCTCAATACTATGCTCAACACATGCAGCAGGCTCAACAGCAGCAGCAGTATGCGCAACAGCAAAGAGCAACCGGAGGATCCATCTCAGGGCCTGGGTCTGGATCTGGATCTGAACGACCACCCCAACCCAAATAAAAGCGATGCTTTTTGTATTGAACGTATATACAACTATCCCTATTAACAGTGTATCACTATAGTTTATTTTCGGAATAATTGAATCAAATCAACTATAGTATTTATTAGGTGTTCAAGTGACCATCAAAATGCTTGAAAATAGAGCAAGATAAACACGCAAAAAGCATATAGGCAAAAAATTGGAGTACATGGTTTAGCCCTGCACCAAAGCGTCGGATTCATTTTAGATTGTCGTGAACCATGGTGGGATCCGAATCTAAATTGATGGAACGATCCCACATTGTATCATACTTTGTAGCCACAGCCTTTAGACTTTGTACAATTTCATTTGCAAGCAATGTTATTGCAGACTGACTCGGTAAGGATGCAGATGAAGAATGCATGCCCCGCTCACTCTCTACCGAGGTATTGCGTTCATTTGAATGCTGCGTCAACACACCTTCACCCGACGAACACACAACCTGATTCAAAGGTACCAAAAACGGCTTACACGCTTTATAAACAGTATTAAACACTTCTTGTCGTTCGTCTTGCCATCCACTACTTGATTTGGCAACAGCAACCATGGCTTGTAATTGAACGACCCTTTGTTCGAGTTGTTGTACATAGGCTTTATGTCTTGTTCGAAAACTTCGTTGGGCTTCACGGTTTTGTTTTGCGCGACGTTGCTGTTGTTGTCGTTCTGATGTTCGATGCTTGAATGTCTTTGGACTGGCAGATGAAGTCTGAGGCTCACTTGCTACGGCCACAGAGAGCTCTTGATGATGGTGGGTAGAAAAATCAGACAAAGTACCCCATTGTGGGGGTTTTGAACAAGACAAGGTAGAGTCCGGACAGTTGAGTTTGGAATGCACCATCTCTTGGGATTGAACTGGAATCCAAGTCGTTACAATAGACTGGGGTGCCACGTCGCGTTGTAAATTAGTAATACGTGATGGCATCGATGCCATACGGTAATGATGTAACCCCATACTTGGAGTTGGTTTCGTAGTGGCTGGCATGACTATATCCAAAACTTGTGGCTCGTTTTTGTTCTTGTACGGTGTTGTCGCGGGTGGGTTTGGATTCTGGTGCGATATGGATTCATTTTGAGAATGCGACTTGTTTGCCATGAGTAACTGTGACGACAAATGAGGAGAAAAGCTTGCTTGGTGCATTGGAGATAGAAAAAAGTTGGAATTAAAAAAAGGATTGGAAAGAACTGTGATGGGTAATAAATTGGACTGAGAGCTTGGTTTAGAAAGCGACTCTTGAGTGGAATGAATATGTGATTGTGGTGTGTCCTGAGAAGGTTGGGTATTAAGAACTAGATTAGGGCTGGTATTGGACCATGGCATGCTAGGATATCCTTTCATTTGCGGCTGGGTATGATTTAATGGTGTGTCTAGTAAAAAGATATATAGCGTGATGAGCAACTTTAAAAAATTGATATGTAGAGATTATGTATATCTTGGCAAAATAAAACTGTTCAATGTACATCAATAAAAAATCAGTAACCGCTACTGATTTGGGCGTCCAAATGCCTTTTGAAATGACACAAGCCAACCAGCACACTGCCTCAGCCAGCATCAGACCAAATAGTGGACATTACACTAATGCCAAAGTTTATTCGACACGTCACATTTTTTGATGTAACAAAAAGGAGAGCAAAAGTAGGGAACAGGAACGGATTACCATAAATCAAGAAATTCTCAAACTCAGAATAATAGATAAGGAATGACTGGAGAGTACCTACTTTTAGCAATGTCGGAGGGCTGTATCTGACGAATGCATGCTTCATTTGATAGGCGAAGCTGTTCTTGCTGCACCCATGCGTGTCTAGGATCACAATTGAGATGGTTGTCATTGTGGGAAAAGCAGGGTTGGGATTGGATCTTGGATAGCTCATGTACAGTATTTTGAATCGAACCAGATGATTGTGATAAACTGTCAAGTAAAGGATACATTTCCTTTGACCGATAATTGCCTGGCATTTGCAAGTGATGATGTACCGTTGTATCCGACTGCAAACCATCTTGTTGATTAGTATCTTGAGTCGACATTATTTCATTGCGCATCCCAATGTCATACTCAGTAAAACCAAAAGCAATTATAGCCGCAATACAGGAGCTCTTTGTACTCTTTCGACCAGAAAAAAAACCCCTGTTCCAAAATCACTAGATAATTATCATCAGCCCATTGGCTCCTAATATGCTGTCCACCGCATGGTTTCTTGAAGCATTCACGAATTTAGTTGCGGTTGATTCAATCATTCGAGTTACTTGGGCCATGTCTCGCGATTTTAGTTGCAATAAACTCCGACAATAAGCAACTTACCGATTTGCTCCGACAAAGCGTATAGATGTGACATCAAAGCAAAGGGAATAAATTTAAATTGATTCATATTCTTGAATTACATGTTTCCAGAGCTGCAATCAGCATTGATGTCACATTGAAAATAAGGCCGGTTAGGTAAATGTTGAGGAATAGATTTTGTACACAAGAAAACATTATGCCCCGGAACCTTTGGCCAAGCCATGTTGATTTTAACGGCAAGTTTACATGTCCATTGAAAAGATTAAATGATTCAGTCATTTGGTTGTTTGTCCAAGCTCCATAACACATTTACAAAGTGTCTAGGATAAAATAAACTGCTTTTGATGACAACTAGATTGTTGCTTTAAATGAATAGATGGCTCTACAAACTATCAGTTTTGTTTTACAGCAAAACTTGTTTTCAACTGTTTATTTGGGAATGTAAACTCATTGCGTGAATAAAATGTGAGCAAAGTTGGCTTTATACTGCCATCATCAAACCAATCGACTCGCACAATATAGCATATGAACAAGACTATCATGCAGATACTTGGATAGTTTTTGCAACAGATACAAGGTTGTCTAGTTTTGAAATACGCCGAGTTTGAATATTCCGCACCATTTAATGGATTGAGAATTACAGCCGTATTCACGTAAAATGAACAATTTTGTATTGATCTTGTAATGATTGTCTTGGAATAAACAATCGTTACATGTTCGTTGTTATTGGATATTGATTACTTTTATTGAAACTCTATTCTAATATCAGATACGTTCTAGCTCAACATATCTCGAGAGTGCAACTATACATGCCGATCATTGAGTGTTGATTTGAAATATTTGTTTTGAAGGAAAGGAAAGTTGGAGGTTGAAAAGATGTGGAATGCATTGGAACAGAGATGTCAACATTCACTCTGTATTCTTGTACAAGAATGAGTATCAAGAAACTAGTGAGTTTAAAAACAATCTTGTCCAGTAAGATTGGCACCAATCAAACATGACTGTTTATCATGTATTCCGACTTATTCAATATCTCATTCTATGAATACAGTTGTAAATCGATGTGTAGAAAAGCATAATGAATATTCAACTATTATTTATTCCAGAAGTATCATTGCAGAACAATGCTCCATTTTACGTGAATACGACGGTAAGAATTTGTCCATTATTCTCTCATAGAACAAGACATGAGAGTTTTAGATACATAATCAACAAGCTTGTTTTTACAAAGGCACCAGACATGCCATCAAAAGAAATAAACAATTGAAGCTTGGAGACGTCATTTCAGTGGGTTTACAAAAACATAAACACAAGTGAAACACAGAGTGCGCCAAAGGCATGAACGGCTGCGTTTGATCCAACCAAGACACCTGCCGAAAGGTATGCGTCTGTTTGGTTGGAATTGGAAGAGTGAGAAGAAGGAACGGAGGATGGGCCGGGATAAGAGGACTCAGAAGCGGCATGAGTGGCAGAAGCGGTGGAGCCAGCAGGAGCAGCGGAGTCAGCAGTAGAAGATTGATTCACAAGAGCGGAGGAAGGATGAATGCCTACAGGAGTGCTGACCAAAGAACTTGGCGCAGAAGCAGTGCTGTTTCCACTAGGAGCATTGGGGACAGTTCCATTGCCAGGAGTAGTGGATGTGCCTGCTTCACAGACACCACCTCCATCAGAGACTGGACCAAGTTTGCAAGTGAGTCCGTTGGCACACTGTGGGGCTGAACGCATGAATCCGCCACATTTGGCACCCAATTCAACAACCTTTCCATCTGAAACAGTGCAAACGCCATCACTGCTTGGATCTTGAGTACTGAGGCGATTGCATTTGAGACCTTCTTCACACGACGAGTCATCCTTGCACGCTCCAGCAACACCCATTCCTGTAATAGCCACTGGTGGAGACTGGGATGGAGCTGAGGACTGGGTTGAGTCTGCTGCAGATGCAGTCATGGCAAACGCAGCAAAAATGGTGAACAAATAAGTAGAAGCAATCATTGTTGGAATTTGTTAGGTTATGAATGAAATGGACGCTCAAGTAAATATAATATCAATATATGATGGCAGCTTAAATGCAATGACAGTCAAGATTTGGTACAACAGTCAGTTCAAATCGAATATTTCGATATCAAAAAGTGGCTCCAAATGCTCTGTATTTATTCAAAATTCAACGTGGCTTTGGCCGAGAATGAAACCATTCAACCACGCCACCTATTGGCACCAGTCGGGATTTGCTTATTCATAATCAGTGTTTCATAAGCAGATGATGTTACAGTTTTGCATTGACTGTGGTATAGTTAATAGCGCATTATGCTTTTTATCAGCTCGCGAATGGGATTGTTCAAGCTGCTCCATTTATCTCCAACTAGACCGCATACTGCGCAAAACATTACAACCAAACTGGAACCATCAAAACTAGACTGTCATGTCATGTCCAATACAATACTACACCATAGGCGTATAATAATCGATTGGTGCAATCCACTCAGTCACCACAGTCAAAGATGCTCAGAAATATATCATGCTGTTGTTTTGGTCAATGTATCAAGTCGACAAGATCTCGACTGGTTTACATTACAAATCAAAACTAGGCCGAATAAAAACAGTCGTGGACCATCGTATAATGACATGACATATTTGCTACACTATGCTACAGCATAGTCCATTATAGTACAGCATATCCTAGATGATATTCGCGACCTCGATCGTGCTTTGTGCCTCGAGTTTCAAAATACAATCTATCAATCTTGATCACTCAACCACTCTAAACACTTGAGCCATCAACCGTATGCCGTTTGAGTCTATCTGCAATATATGTCATGGACTGGCTTTGACTGTCAAATTTTCAGATGCAATCCGACTCGAATCAACCAAGCAGTTTCGTCATGCTTGTATAGCAAAGCAAACATCTGCCAATCTTGACTAAAAATCATGTGTGTTCACCTGGCATTGGTTTAACCGATTATAAACACATTTATACAGTGGCTGGACAACTATGTCCAATCCAATCCGAGCGGCACAACTAACACTACATTCGATGGCCACAAAAATCAATATTTATAAAACCACTGATATAATGTTACACTTTGACAGTGTATCAAACTAATCTTATCAATGGCCAGTATGTTTGTTGATTAATATGTTTATTGAGGTGTTATGCGTTTTGTCGAAAGTACTTCATGCCTAACCAGTTGAAAAAAATAAAGAATACAAAAACAGGTCCAAGAATCGGTATCAGATAGCAATAATATGTATCGTCTCGGATCCATTTTAGAACCTATCGAGTTGGTTGAGATTGAATTGGATTGGATTGAATCAAAGTGAAATCGAATACAGTCGAGTCAGTTTTAAATGGTTAATCAATTCATTGTCAATCATAATAGCCAAATACCTTGTGTTGTGTGTCTGCAGGAATCATCCACTTGCTGCCAACCATCATCAACATATTGACACTGAAATACAGCACTGTAAATATCAACAAAACCCAACCATAAAACTGCAGTTCATGCGCATGTACATCTGTGTCTTGGTTAGTCCGTGGTGAAGGTGGAGCTCTGCGTGGAGATATGCCTCGACCATTGCCTGGAGTGACTCGTGATGCAGAGTATGGCTGAAATGGAGTATCTGGAAACGACTCGCTAGATTGAAGGAGCGAAGAGGATTGACCAGATGGTTGACCAGATAGTTGACTAGATGGCTGACTAGATGGCTCACCAGAACTGTACGAATGACGAGCTGAATATGTAATAGTGGTAGTAGATGTGTTTGAACATGCTATTGACGTGGCTGATAATGGCGAACCAAACACACGATGTCTAAGACCTGTAGCATGTGTATGATTTTGATTGGTAGTAATAGTTGTATCCACACGGACAGGTCGTCGAGCTTGCTTCATGCGCAGGCCAAGATTAACTCAAGCGATGATCGTTAAAGCTGTTTGATTCCAACAGACGTCCTCAGGGAAACGAGTGTTGATTTTAGTGATAATTTGTTGTTGACCATCAATCATACAAGGTTGAATGTCACCAGCAATCAGATACACTTGCTTCATATCATCCAGAGTTGATCCAATATTGTTTTTTTTGATTGGAACGGCTGCATATGTCATGCATGACACAAGTCTACCAGCAGAAAAACGGTTTATTCCACTTGCTTCAAAGTACTACTGGCCAACATCCAAACCAACATCATCCAATTATATGTCTACAGAAACTATCAAAAGTGTCAATACGATCAAGACTACTGATGATTGACACAGGATTGGATCAATACAATCGAGAATCGACACAAGATCGGATCAAAGTGCAGTTGTAGGTCAAGCCAAGATGAATCTATTGTCACAGCTGTATTCAAATACTAAATGTGTAAAATAGTGCAATTTACAAATCCAAAGATTGAGTCGGTCAAGTATCAGCAACCATCAAGATTGATATCGATTGAGATGTTGATGCAGTATGAGTATTGAATTATAGCCGGATCTACACCAAATGAAATACTTGTATTTATGTTGCAATGATTGTCTTGACTGTCTTGATTGTTTTGAATAGACAATAGTTTTAAACCAAGATCATCAGTTTTTGGTTATTTTATACGATCGACACGTTTGATACCAGATTCATATATTACAATCCAAATATCGAATTTGTTGGAATATTCTTTGTCAGTTCGTCACTCACAAGTGTTGGTTTTGTAATAATACTGTTTTCAACATCTCTTGACAACTGACAATCAAGTTCCATTTCATACTATGAACAGAATGTGTTACTTGGAGACTGTCATTTGATGAAATCGACTCGCTTTGATTCGAGTGTTTTATTTTACGCGAATATGACAATAAAGTCGAGTTGACTATTCTGACAACATTCGAATAAATTCAACCATGAACGCCAGAGTATTCCATCGAATGAGTTGGTTAATCTACCAACCTGTTTCTTATAAAAACCATACAATGATACTTGGACAAACTCATACGTTCAGTAACAGTTTGTCCAAGTCAAATGCATATGAGTTTAAATTCTATATGAGCAGCAGTTCCTGTTCTCCAAACTCAAACCATGATTCCAGAGTTCACAACCAAACTCACAAGTATGGTTGGTATTCATCAATGAATACAAAAAGAGTATTTGGTGTGACTGCCACTCTGGCTACACTTGCGTTATGCATTCACCACCGAGAGCATATTGAAATAGCATGTACAGCAGCAACTCGTAACCTGTACACGAGTTGGACATTGGCAGTGATCATGCTGGACTATTGGCAACTAATCCGATCAACCAAAGAACAGCAACAGAAAGTAGTATGTCCAGCCGATATGGATGCAGTAACAGATGCAATCAATACAGAATGGTCCAATATGCATCTCAGATCTGCACTGCGACTTCGGCAGCTTTTTCGATCGAATGGAGGAGTGTATGTCAAACTAGGTCAGCATATTTCAGCTTTAGTCTATCTGCTTCCCAAGGAATATACTGAAACCATGAAGGAACTCCAGGACAAATGTGACCCATCAACATGGAAAGAAGTTGATGATCTATTACAAAGCGAGATGGATGAACAGACAATGAGTATCTTTGATTCAATTGATCATTCTCCAGTTGGCGTTGCCTCGTTGGCTCAAGTACATCAAGCTACACTGCAACAAGAAGCACTGTCATACATACCAGATTCATGTCCAAACTCTTTGATTGGTATGAAAACAAACCAACACGAATCTATCAAACATGTAGATTTGGCTGAGCAACCGCATTGCTTACATCCACACCATGCTGGTAATCACAGTATTCGAAAAGCTGCCATCAAAGTTCAGCATCCATCGATAGAGAAATTCGCAGAGGTAGATATTCGTACTTGCATATTTGGAGTAACTGTATTGGAGTATTTCTTTCCACAATTTCAACTCGGATGGCTTGCCAGGGAACTTGAGCGGAGTCTGAAGCTTGAGCTTGATTTTCGACTCGAAGCAAATAATTGCAATCGAATCCGAAACATGTTTTTAAATTCAGGACTGATCAGCGTACCCAAAGTTATATGGGTTTCAAAACGAGTGCTTGTTATGGAATGTAGGGTTGAATTGTGATGAATGCTCGAGTTATCATGAATGATTTTATCGTGGTAAATGATTAATCTGTTAATGTACTTGTTTTATACAACTAGATATCGATGGAGCTAAAATCGACGATAAAGAGTATATGAAGAAACACAATATTCATCCCGAAGCAGTAACACAAGATCTGTCTCGAGCCTTTTTTGAAATGATGTTTTATCATGGGTTTGTACATTGTGACCCACATCCTGGAAACGTGTTTATTCGAGCTTGTAAAGATCGATTACCCTGGTACCGATTTCTTGTTGGTAGTAAACCACGGAATTACCAGATTGTATTGTGTAAGATCAATGGACTAGAATATTCAATGATTGTAATGTTTAAAGATACGACTAATAATGTGGTGTATTTTTACTAGTGGATCATGGATTGTATCAATCATTAAGCAAGCAGTTTCGACTGGACTATGCACATTTTTGGACAGCTTTGATAAACGGGTGTGAAGCTGATATTGAAACGTATTTTGGTCGATTTATGAAACCACAAACAAGCACATCAGCCAAATTGGAACTTGGTACGATCCGCTATCATCGGCTATTTGCATCAATGGTTTGTGGACGATCATGGGGTACAATTGCTTTCAGACCTAATTCTGATGTGCAAAAGAGTAGCACGGTATCTACTGGGTCTATAAACAATGATGCTATGACAGGATCGACACTGGACTTGGAAGAACGCCTAGTGAATACAAACTTATCCAGTATTGAAGCCGATCAACCCAATCAACAAAAGCGTGCTTATGGTCTTGCACGCTCAAGATCGGTATCGGAAATCAAACAAATACAACATAATGCACAATCAGCACATTTCCTGGCTATAATTACAGATATTCTTGGACAACTCTCACCACAGCTCTTGTTTGTACTCAAGACGCAGGATATTCTACGATCTATTGACAAGCGGCTAGAAGTTTCACATGGATCGCATCATGTTGCACGTATGGTGGCTATTGTTGGCGAATACTGTGCTGAAGTAATACGAAATGATGACATTGAGCGATTGAAAAGTACGCGGTATATTGATCAAGGTGGATGGAATCGGATTGTATGGCCAATTTGGACATTTACAGAGTTTTGGAAATGCTGGAAAAACTATGTTGAAACGCTAATGCGATTGACGTTGTTGTATCTTGTAACATAATAAACATTTTGATGATGTAGCTGATGACTTGTGGATGTATTGACGTAGATTGATGTTACGGTTGTGTTCCTGTAAAATAAGAATGTTTCAGCAAAACCAAACGAGTAACATTGCTCTATATTTAATCGAAAAGTATCGGACCGTGTCAACAAGCTAGATTGTTGCAGCAGTACATGAAACACGTTGAGTAGATACACTTGCCATTCAATGAATAATTTACTGATATTTGCAAACAACACGCTGATGGTTTCTGAACATTTCTCGTTTATCTTTATCATCAACTGTGACCAGCAAACTACTGGCTGATATTTCCTGCATCAGCAAATGCTTTGATAAGCTGAGGCTCGTGTCACGTGGAAAGTGGGCTTGTATTTAGAGTTGATTCGCCAAGAAAGCCTGCCAATCAAGATTCAATATCGCTAAAGAAATGCTTGCTGCCAACACAGATGCTGTTCAAAAAGACAATGATGTGGCCAATGATACTGCTACTCTATCTAATATCACATCAACTTTCGATTCTAGCATCCCTTGTCTAATTTTACCAAACGACGTGGATGCTGCAATATCTCGTCCAGCAACTCCTGTAGATAGACATACAAGAAAGCAATACTCATTATTGGCCATATTTTTGATGTTGGCTGAGTATTGTCTTGAGTTGATTGTTGGACTTACTAAACGAGTCTTGTTGCCTTCCCGACCTGGTCAAACTTTTTTGTCCAAAACATATTCACCAGATACAGCATCGGTTATAAAAACAGCTTTGCCTCGATTGTTGTCATTGAAATATCAGCCTGGTTATTGTGGTTCAGACGCAGTGCACTCTGCCCAACGACTTGAATTATGTCTGATGCGACTAAAAGCGGATCTACAGGAGCTTTTGGACATATCCAAGATCGCGTTCATCATTGACTCCAACTCTTCATCTGGCGAGGGTATGGTATCTGCTCAAACCAACATTGAACCACAGAGCAAAGTAGAATGTTTGGAGCATGGTGACTTTTTGTCATTAAAAAAGCTTTCCTTTGCTCAATTTGATTCACTGCGGAAAACCTTGATACATAGATTTGGAACCATTGCTTTAGTTATTACCGAGCCTATTCGACTGGTACTCCAACTGTCATTTGAGATTTCAGAGCTTCAGCTTCAAGTTTACCAAAAACTGCACATATATCCGTTTGCAGAGTCATTTTTCAGCCCAAAAAAGATCAAAGTTGATCAGAGACCGGGCACAAAGTTTATTCAGCAAGATGTATTGCACTGTTTAGTTCTTTTACAAGATACCATCAGGCATCATCGTAGATTGTCTGATTATATACCAAGGTAATAGGGTTGATTCATTTTTATATTTAATGCAAACCACTAACTATGTCTATTGTAAAAATTGTATTTATCTGCTAGCAAATTGCTCGAGACTGACTCGCAAAGGTCAACGGAGCCATTTTCAAATAATAACCTTTGTGTAGCAATTCCATCTGCTCCTCCACCGCCACCTCCACCTCCGCCATTTCCTTTAATCATACAGCCCACACCTGATTTGTCTACAAAAAAAAGTGGTTTGATCAGATCCACAGTATGTCCAATTCCCAAAAGTTATATTCCAAATCTATCCGAATCAATCAAATCAGTCAAGCTTGTACAGTCAAAACATTTCGAGACCCGACTTCCAAGATCCACACCCAATCATTTTCAAGCAGATACTTTACAATATTCTAACACAGACTTCCTACCAAGCAAATCCGGAATAGAACTTCAAACAGCACTCCAATCTGGTCGACGTAAGCTGAGAACAATATCTACTCCGCGAACACCAAGTGGAACACCTATTCCTACAGAAAAATCACGTCAGTGTATTGCTCCTAATGATATCATCCATGCAGCACTTTTAAAAAAGTTTAAATCCATTCAACACAATTGATTGCTTATCATTGGCTACTTTATTTTGAAATGGTGTTTGAATTGGAAGTTGTACAAGTTGGACTGGGCCAGAGATTATTGCTTCGTTACCCAACCCTTATGGTTGCTTGCTAGCCGTAACCAATGTAAATGGATAGCGTAATAAATCAAGACGTTACAGTGTTTATTCATGTATTTTTAAAAAAAGAGGTTGGGAAAATCTTGTAAATTCGGTTCAGTCATAAAGCACATTCAAAAAATACAATGGATTGTGGTTGTGTAAAAACCAGTATTCATCACCAATTGAGTAGTGTAAGCGCTCTTGTATCTCGAGCTCACGAGAGACGATGGTACTTTGACCTCCGATTGACAAATGCACGGAATGCAACAATACTGACATAGAGTAAAAGCATTCCCATAATGGCAAAACTAATCGGTACGCTTATATCGGTACTCCAAGAATCTATGCGATCTGTTCGCGCATTCTATTTGAAGGAAAATATAAAACATGTCATGAAATGGTCAGTTTTTGTCATTGGGATTGCTATATGCTAAATATATTCTTATTTTTGAAATTTCAAACTTACATCTGCTTGACCGAAAACAATAGGAAGCTCGGCTTCCATATTACTTGGTGGAATAGGTCGATCGGATATAGTGGACTGGTCAGCCGCCATAGGTTGTGAATCAATAATGAAATCGTCTTTTTCATCAATATCTCCTTCGTGGCCTTTGTCCTTGTGAACCTTGGTGAGATCCTCCTCAGGAGCAGCATCAGGCAAAGTAGGAATCTCGACTCCAGGAACATTGTGAGACCTGTCTTTTGACTCTGTAGAAGTATCTTGGACTTTTGGAGAGTATTTTTTGATAAATCGCAAAATATAATTATAAAACGGCTCCTCTTCATCGCTATCTGGATACTCGTGCAGCAACGTTCCATTTACATATCTAGATAAATGTAAAATAGGTGAGTTTTTTGAAAATTGAATGTAAAAACGGACACAGCTGTATTCACATAAAATAGCAAAGTTGATTGTCTTTTTCAATGCTCATATTACAGTTTCAGTACATTTCACACTTGTACAGTATCCTTTCTACATATCAAGCATTTGGAATGAACAGCAGTTGCATTTCTATGCGTGCAATCTTTGCTCTCGAATTAAAGCGCATCTGAAATTTCAAGATACAAAGAGTTCAAGTAGTCGAGCCCAATATCTGGATTGCAATGGATAGGTTTGGTTCTAAACTTGATGACTGTACAATGTACGGTTATGCCAAATAAAGAGGAGTGATAGGTTTGAAAAATATGATTGAAAAAGCATCAATCTGTAGTAGGAAAGCGCAACACACTCGATCATTGTCTATTCCAGAGCCAAAATCACTGCAAGATAAACTTTTCCATTTTACATGAATACAGCGGTGACAAAATAAGATACCAACTTACACGAGAAGAGTAGGATATCCTTCAATCTTGTGGACAGTATGGCAGTAAACTAGACACGGAATAATGGATTTAGCCAATAGTTTATCACATCAACAGCTGGAGTGATTGGTTGACAAGAATACTTTATCACCTTCATGATCCAGAGCACATTCTACTTTGGCCATTTGGAAATCAAAGTCCTTGAGGTTGGCTTTATCCACTCTTTCCTGAACGCTGAGGTATTTAGGATTAAACCTACAGTTCAAACAGAAATGTCAGAGTCAGACAAGTGAGTAATCGTCGTATCAGCCATGCTTGGATACCTTTGAGTTTGATGACACCTGATTGATGGTATAAGCCATAGCAATGGAGCATATTACATGTATTAAAGAGGTAGTAGCCAGTTGGAAACATTCAATATTAGTCAAACTGGACTCATTATAAGAAACCGGATAATCTCGATGATCGATGCATTGGCTTATTCTGGATATACCCAACATACCAATGAGCGCCAAAAAACACAATATACAGTCCTTGCTTATGCACACCTTGCTGCAAGTCATCGAAATCGATAAACCGAATGGATTTGTCTGCCTTGTTGGATGCATGGCGCAAAGCCACCTTTTCTGCATGTGTCATTCTACGAGTTTTTGCAGTAACAAGTCCAATAATAGTAAATAGTAAAACCCACACCCAATTTGCCTTCATTATCCGTTAAAACAGATACTCGATATTGCAGACTTGAATGTAGGTTGGATTACCCAAGTTTTCTCGAATCGTCCAAAACTGTTCCGCGCATTCAAATTAAACCCGAAGACAAAAGGAACGAGAACAGGGTCAAAATATTTGTTTGTATTTCATATTTGAAACCATTCAAATGGCATTCAAATGGCATTTGACAAGCAGATGTTGCATCATTTCAAGTCTTTTGTTGGTAAAGTTTCACGACTATGTCGGGTTGAGTTAACAAATCCTGTAGGTAGAATGTCAGATTATCTTGATAAAACCAAACAAGTGTCATGTATTGGATTAACAGGAACAGAGTTTGTTCAAACTGACAATGGCTAAACAGATTGTCTTGATGGTACGCAGAATATGACCAATAGATACTCCTACTATTCAAATCTATTGATATTTACAAAAGAACATCAAGAATGATGGTTGTCAGCAATTTCTCATTTTTCCCTGTTCTCATTCCCTCTGTCACTAGTTGTGAGAGTGTTGACGCCACAAAACTGATGGAATACACTGTTTGCTCCAAGTCTTTTGGCAAGGTTTAGTAATCTTTCTCTGCTCATTCTTGTATAAAAACTAAACGAATGCTCACATTACAGTTACAGTACATTACACATCTCTGACACTTGTTTAGTCTTCAACTCTATTACAAATATTTGATTTGTAAGAGTTGCATTCTGAAACATGTGGCCATTGTTTTTTCAAGCTAGAGCGCGACGTATGTAATTTTAGAATATAGTTCGAGTAGTCAAACCTAATATCTGGATTGAAATGTATGAATTTGGTTCTAAACTTGATGATTAGACAATGTACAGCTATGCCAAATAAGGAAAAATGACAGGTTTAAAAAATATGATTCAAAAAGCATCAATGTATAGCAACAAGCACGATACATATTCAACCATTGTCTATTCGGCTGCAACTACTAAAATTGAAATAGCTGTTTTCCATTTTCCCGTCTGTATTGATCTTTTTACTTAAATTCAGCTTTCCGAAAATACACAATGTCAAGTGAAACTAACTCTACTGACATATCATGCCAGTCAGACCCATTTCAAGACACAACACACATCAACTTGCTTGTTTTAGAGTTTACAGTACTGTGTTTACTGTTTACATCTATAGCATCAAATACTCCCAAGCAAAACTATCGGTCGCGTCTCCCTCAAATTGCTGCCATTTTGATAGTTATTGAGTCTGGATGCAGTATTTTTTACAACAATCCATACATTAGCAATGAAATCTACTATCTGTCAGACGGCATTGCATGGACCTGTGATATTGCCATTCGATTATGTCTTATCAACTTTATGTATTACCGCTTTCGAGGTCTGTATGGACGAAGACTTCCTCGACTGCCATCAAGATCCAATAGCATCATCAAAAGTAGGCTTGAAAGCTATCGAGCGTTTTTTAGTGATATTCCACGCTTAGTATTTATGCTTGTTGCGCTACTTCAGGTGATTTCCTGTGGTATGGCTATTTACAGTGATATAGGCACGGTTGCTGGGGTATACACATCCAACGGAGAGGTATCATTTGGATCAGTGTATATCTTGGTTGATCTATCCGTGTCACTACTAGACGCATCTGTCTGTGTTCAAATTTGGCGACTCAAGGCAAGCAAGGCAGGTGCAAAACTCAACCAAATCGAGTTTGTCAGGGCATTCATAGCAATTGTATGTTGCGCCATCACTACTGTTTCCGAAGCCATTATATTCTCTATGGGTTATGATCGACAGTGGGAAGTTTATTTTATTTTGACAAGTGCTCGGATTGTTTTTTCAGAAATATTTAATTCAAGTTTGCTGGCAGGATTAATAGATCAGACACCATCTCGTGTAGCAAAACTCTCGACGCAAAAAAATGCTCAAGCCGTAGAAAGCAATTCAAAATGCTAGTTTTTAACAGTATACAATGGTTTATCATTTCAAAAACAAAAACGCTAAATAAAATAAACCCAAGTTTCTGCTACATGGACAGTTGTAATGACGACCATAACTTTTCAAGTAACATGCCATCAAAATTCAATTAGGAATTCAATTGATAAATAATTATAGATTGTTTGGAATCATTGGCATTTAAACGAACATTAAAATAGTATATAATAACGCATGATCAGAAATGCATCATCTATAGGCTAGCTTGTGTATATTTTTGAATTGCTAAACACGAATCCTCGATAATAGTTCAATCCTAAACATTGCATTATTGCCATGTTCATATAAATGGAGCAATAATAACAGTGTCAAAATGCATAATAAACAATCATGGAATGATTGATGTCAATTCTCATCACATTTATTGGCCAGTATTGTCCTCGAAACATTTCGATAATTTATTAGTCTTTCTCTATGTTCATTTTTGTATACAACTGAATGATATTCACAACAGTTTCTGCCAATTTCACATTCTTGTCATTTATTGATTCTCCATTCTCTTTTTCTTGAACCAAACATTGGAATGAACAACTGTTGCATTCCCAAAACATACAATCTTTGGGGTTTCAAACTAGAACACGAACGCATGTTTTTGAAATACACAGTTTGACAACATCTGAACTCAATATCTGAATTGCAACACATGAATCTGGTACCATACTTGATGATTGTACAGTGTATGACTACCAAATAAAGACAATCTCAGTTTACAACTATCGTTTGATTGTATCACATGATGAACATTGTATTTTAAAACATTGAAAATGCCAATCTGTAGTAGGGAAACGCACCAAATATGCAACATTGTATATTTTGAAGCAAAGCAGTCGCATATACACGTTCCGTTTTATATGAATACGACTGTGGGATCAAAAACACTTGAATCAGTTTGCTTACTCTATATCTTTGACTCACAGCTGATGATAAAAGGTGTGAAAACTGACAAGTAAATCTAAAGTTGTTGGCCCCATCAATGCTGATGAAAGTGTTTTTCCGTAAATATCGGCAGACTGCTGATTTGAATGGCGGAAATATGTATTGCTCGTGTTTTGTGTACCATGACAACGATCTGATGTGTTGACACAGCCAGTTTGTTGAACAATCTGCTACTTTTTTTAATCAAATATAAAACAACGTCCCTTGTTGATCCGACGGCAAGTGTTTGCTGAGCTTGGTGAACTCGTTGGACTCGCCGAGCCTGTGTCGACACAATTTTGAGTAATCCACATACAGGATCAGCATGTCAATCTAAAACAATCATACAGTTTTACAAATGGAAAGTCCATGTTGATATGATGCAACATCAGTCTGTTTGATGTTATCACAATGTTATCACAATTTATTGCAGTGTTATTGCAGTGTTGTCAAAACACGATGGAATTGGGTTGCTGGAGTATAAATACATATTTTTTGCAATCTCATTTGTTTTTAGCTGTAATTCAAATGATAATATCAACCCATAGTTGGCATATTTCAAGCACATATGTTGATTGTATTTGACAGCATTTGACAGCATTTGACATGGTTCAAAGTCGGTTCAGATGAATGTGTATGCATGTTTTGTCGTGAGTTTGGCAGATCAGACATTTCATATCATCAGACCACTATCCAGTTTGCTGTTAGTTTGCACAACCATGGATCATGATCAAACTGCAATACTCACTAAAGTTGTTTCCAATTGTGAAACGATTGGTAACCACAGTTTGGCTATCTGATACAATCTGAAATGCACTGTACAAGTATACTGTATTGATTTTACTGTTCAAATCAATTCATTGGATATCAGTCTAAATGTCAAGCAATGATGTTTATAGTAGAATCATCACATTTGATTGTGGATTGTCATACCAAACAGATTGTTCATCAGTGTATCATTTTTACACCTGTTGTACCGAAGAGTCTGGATGAATGATTCAAAATACACGACTGATGATTTATTATGAGTTGGATATAGTAGGTCCAAATATGAGTGTTGACATCAAGATGTTTGTGTCGGCATCATAGTTTGGCATAGCAATATCAATGATTGAAAAGCTTTCATGAGCATGTATGAGCATGATCCCTTATTTTCACCATGTACTATTGATGTCGGTGAATCATCAAACACACACCCTTCAATGCAAGTCTGAGCCTGTGCACTGGATTATCACAGTAATCACAATATCTGTGGAAGGGAACGTTGGAAATAAAGGCTTTATTCAGCGGATCTTTATGCTGTACGATGCTCCCTGCATAATTTGATACACCAGCCCTGATATTATCCATTTTATAAACACTCAAAATATCGTTTATCCAACAAATATCCTTGATTACCAATAGCACAGCGTACTTATTTGACTGACTGCAAGTGTAGTAACCAATCGACTAGCATACACGTTCAATACACCAAACCCACAGATTACTTTTACCAATCAAATCCAACAATGAGGCTCACGGACATTTTACTCGCATTGACTTTGGTGATCACTAGCAGCATGGCAGTAGTCCCACCTGGTAAAAATGCTCAAACCCCTCAATCAAGCCAGAGTCCTGAATGTCAACCGGGACCATCAAACGAATGTCAGCCGAAAACCAATAGTCCAAAAAGAAAATACATAATTCTTAGACAAATCAGGATCAAATATAAAGATCTAAAGAAAAAGGTGAAAGATGCCAAGGAGAACATGAATATATGGTGCAGTGACTATCGTAAACTCAAAAATGAACTCAAGTCGCATCAAACCAGTGGAAGATCAGGTTTGGGGTCGGGATTGGCCAAACTTGTGCCAAAATCTGTTAAACAGAAACATGGCAAAGCTCCAGATGAAGTAACAGATGTCGAACTTGAACTTTTAGACAGGTGTCTAGAAGCAAAGGGCATATACAAAGAATTTTTACAAATGCTTAAAGAGTTCAAGGAGACTCATGGCACTGGATTCACGGCAAAGGCAGCAGGAGTTTTCCGGCGTTTTAAAAAATAGCATATTTCATTCGACTCTGTTTGATTCAAATAAATTTAATCAATGTGTCAATAGTTGTATGCAATCGCATTGTATTCATTCAAACATGGTCTGGTGGTGTTACATGACTTGTGGTGTAATCAATAATATATTCAGTGACATTCACAACCAATCACAACCATTTGCAATCATTTCAATTCATGCTAACACTCCAATAATTGATTGTTGCTCCTTTCATCTGCATAGCAAGGTCTGAATTGAATATGATGTTGACAAAAAACTGTTCCGTCTTGGTTGTCACTGTATACTTTTCTGCAACCGTCTTGACTCCGGATACACCTTCTGTAGGCATATTACCATTCGGATCAACCGTATTCAAAAGTGATTCCACATTGTCATCCGAATCTGTGATATACAAGCTTAAAAAGTCGCCATACATTTGCGATTCAAGCGCGGCATCAATTTCAATAGTGATGTTGGATCCAACTGGTGCAGTATAGTATGATCGGATCTCAGTGACTATTGCAGGACTGTATTGTATTCCGTCACCAACAACCCATTTACCATTGACCGAGTTCCATCCCTGTGACTTTTTGGTAGATGGCGAGTTGTATATTCCAACCGATTTACTGGTACCATTAAACACCCATTTGACACCATGTTCAAGTTTAACACGATCTTGTTGTTGTGGAATGCGACTGATATGCTTATGTGTTTTGAGAACCTGTTTGCCGTTGTTTTGGCCAATGATACTGACCCGAGTATTACCAAGATCGTTGATTACAGATGCCAGTTTGAACGAGTGTTGACTTTTTATGTTGCTTTTAAACTTGGCAACTGAAAGTGATTTGCCAGTGTCATCAATAACTGACAGTTGATTGATTCCCTTGACTTGTACATCAATGGTTACGTCACTGCTAGTGGTGATATAATCGATGGACTCGCAAACAAATTGAAGATTGTTCAGTCCAGTTCTGACACCCAATGTTTTGAGTTGATCGGCAATACGGTCAAATTGTGAATCTTCAGTGGATCCAGGCAATAAATCCGTCAAACGGGGTCGTACAATGTATTCGGTTACGGCACCAATATCTTCAAGCAGCTGACCTTGCTGTTTGCCGTTGCGTATTGCCTGCCGAACTCCGATTGAAAGAGCGTTGGTGTAACTCTGACCAGTTGTATTGTCAGTCAGTTTTTTGTAATACGGCATTGGTTGAAAATCAGGTTTGAAGAGTTGTGGAATGTGATTGGAATGTGATTGAAATGTCATTGACAAACTCGGCATTACCGCTTGAAGTTTACAGAGACCAATCACAACAGCATTGGTGTTTATGAACATTACTGAAGAGTCTGGATGAATGGTTCAAAATACACGACTAATGATTTATTATGAGTTGGATATAGTAGGTCCAAATATGAGTGTTGACATCAAGATGTCTGTGTCGGCATCACAATTCGGCATTAGCATAGCAATATCAATGGTCAAAAGGCTTGCATGAGCATGTATCGAGTATGATCCCTTATTTTCAGCATGTACAATTGATATCGGTGAATTATCGAACACACACCCTTGAATGTAAGTCTAAGCCTGTGTACTTGACCATCACAATAATCACAATACTCGTTGATCGTCAATCCCTGCTGATCGTCAATCGAGGTTGAAGGGAATATCGAAAATGAAGGGTTTTGTTCAGAGGATCTCTATGCTGTACGATGATCCCTGCATGATCCCTGCATAATTTAACATGTTAGCCCTGATATTATCTATTTTATAAACGATTAAATATCGTTTATTCAACAAATATCCTTGATTACCAATAGCACAGCGTACTTATTTGACTGACTGCAAGTGTAGTAACCAATCGACTAGCATACACGTTCAATACACCAAACCCACAGATTACTTTTACCAATCAAATCCAACAATGAGGCTCACGGACATTTTACTCGCATTGACTTTGGTGGTCACTAGCAGCATGGCAGTAGTTCCACCTAGTAAAACTATTCAAACCCCTCAATCAAACCAGAATCCTAGATGCCGACCAGGACCATCAAATATATGCCAGCCGACAGTCAGTAGTCCAAACAATGAGCGTGAATTAAAGGAACAAACTCAGAAAAGATATGAAGATTTACAGAAACGAGTGGAAAGGGCCAAGATAATCATGGGACAGTCGTGCGGTAAACATTATAACCCCAATAATAAATCTGCTTCGAGTCAAACTGGCGGAGGATTAGGTTTAGGCTCGTTTTTTGCCAGGTTTGTGCCAGATTCCATCAAAAGCATGTTTGGCAAAACTCCGGTTAGTGTGAAAAATAGTAAAAGTTATTCTCATCGTTATTGTGAACAAACAGCAAAAATGTACAACAGAAGAGTAGCTGAATTGGTCAAGTTCGAGGAAACTCATAACATTGGATTCATGACCAAGCTGTACAACTTTTTCCGGCGTTTTAAAAAATAGCATATTTCATTCGACTCTGTTTGATTCAAATAAATTTAACCAATGCATCAATAGTTGTATGCAATCGCATTGTATTCATTCAAACATGGTCTGGTGGTGTTACATGACTTGTGGTGTAATCAATAATACATTCAGTCATATATTCAGTGACATTCACAATCATTCACAACCAATCACAACCATTTACAATCATTTCAATTCATGCTAACACTCCAATAATTGATTGTTGCTCCTTTCATCTGCACAGCAAGGTCTGAATTGAATATGATGTTGACAAAAAACTGTTCCGTCTTGGTTGTCACTGCATACTTTTCTGCAACCGTCTTGACTCCGGATACACCTTCTGTAGGCATATTAGTATACGGATCAACCGTATTCAAAAGTGATTCCACATTGTCATCCGAATCTGTGATATACAAGCTTAAAAAGTCGCCATACATTTGCGATTCAAGTGCGACATCAATTTCAATAGTGATGTTGGATCCAACTGGTGCAGTATAGTATGATCGGATCTCAGTGACTATTGCAGGACTGTATTGTATTCCGTCACCAACAACCCATTTACCATTGACCGAGTTCCATCCCTGTGACTTTTTGGTAGATGGCGAGTTGTATACTCCAACCGATTTACTGGTACCATTAAACACCCATTTGACACCATGTTCAAGTTTAACACGATCTTGTTGTTGTGGAATGCGACTGATATGCTTATGTGTTTTGAGAACCTGTTTGCCGTTGTTTTGGCCAATGATACTGACCCGAGTATTACCAAGATCGTTGATTACAGATGCCAGTTTGAACGAGTGTTGACTTTTTATGTTGCTTTTAAACTTGGCAACTGAAAGTGATTTGCCAGTGTCATCAATAACTGACAGTTGATTGATTCCCTTGACTTGTACATCAATGGTTACGTCACTGCTAGTGGTGTTATAATCGATGGACTCGCAAACAAAGTAAAGATTGTTCAGTCCAGTTCTGACACCCAGTGTTTTGAGTTGATCGGCAATACGGTCAAATTGTGAATCTTCAGTGGATCCAGGCAATAAATCCGTCAAACGGGGTCGTACAATGTATTCAGTTACGGCACCAATATCTTCAAGCAGCCGACCTTGCTGTTTGCCGTTGCGTATTGCCTGTCAAACTCCGATTGAAAGAGCGTTGGTGTAACTCTGACCAGTTGTATTGTCAGTCAGTTTTTTGTAATACGGCATTGATTGAAAATCAGGTTTGAAGAGTTGTGGAATGTCATTGGAATGTGATTGAAATGTCATTGATAAACTCGGTATTACCGCTTGAAGTTTACAGAGACCAATCACAACAGCATTGGTGTTTATGAACATTACTGAAGAGTCTGGATGAATGGTTCAAAATACACGACTGATGATTTATTATGAGTTGGTTATAGTAGGTCCAAATATGAGTGTTGACATCAAGATGTTTGTGTCGGCATCACAATTCGGCATTGGCATAGCAGTATCAATGATTGAAAAGCTTGTATGAGCTTGTATCGAGTATGATCCCTTATTTTCAGCATGTACAATTGATGTGGATGAATTATCGAACACACACCCTTGAATGTAAGTCTAAGCCTGTGTACTTGACCATCACAATAATCACAATATCCATTGAAGGGAATATCGAAAATGAAGGGTTTTGTTCAGCAAGCCTCTGTGCTGTACGATGATCCCTGTATGATTGACACACTGGCCCTGATATTATCCATTTTATAAACGATTAAATATCGTTTATCCAACAAATATCCTTGATTACCAATAGCACAGCGTACTTATTTGACTGACTGCAAGTGTAGTAACCAATCGACTAGCATACACGTTCAATACACCAAACCCACAGATTACTTTTACCAATCAAATCCAACAATGAGGCTCACGGACATTTTACTCGCATTGACTTTGGTGGTCACTAGCAGCATGGCAGTAGTTCCACCTAGTAAAACTATTCAAACCTCTCAATCAAGCCAAAGTCCTGCATGCCGACCGGGACCATCAAATATATGCCAGCCGACAATCAGTAGTCCAAACAATGAGCGTGAATTAAAGGAACAAATTCAGAAAAGACTTGCAAAACTACAGAGACTTGTGGATCAAAACACGATAATCATGAACAGGTGGTGCGGTAAACATTATAATCCCAAGGATAAACCTGTTCCATATCGAATCAAAGAAGAACAAAAAGCAGTTTCGTTTTTTGCCAGGTTTGTGCCAGATTCCGCTAGAATCATGTTTGGCAAACCTCCAATTAATACGGAACATAGTAAACGTCACCTTGATCCTTATTGTGTACAAGCAACAAAAGTATACAACAGAGTTCTAACTGAATTAATCGACTTCAAGAGAACTCATAACATTGGATTCATGGCAAAGCTGTACAACTTTATGAAGTGGTTCAAAAAATAGCATATTTCACTCTACTCTGTTTGATTCAAATAAATTTAACCAATGCATCAATAGTTGTATGCAATCGCATTTTATTCATTCAAACATGGTCTGGTGATGTTACATGACTTGTGATACAAAAGCAAAGCGTACAATATACTGATCATGGTATTTTTTAAATAACCACAACCAAAATCCATTTTTATACCCAAATACTCCAAACCCATTACATGCTATGAATATTAAAAGCAATCTTCCTAATTGTTTTTATCTTGACTATTCTAGAACAAACATCAATTGTTGATAGCGTACTTGTCCATTTTTTATCATGGCAAGACTACATATCAATTTGAACCATCTTGCAACCATATTCTTTACTGGATCAAAACACTCCTACTCGGTCTACCCAAATTGACGTGTAGTTTTTTATAAAAGGAGAAATATACAAGTATTTTATAGGTGATTGTTTTATAATGGGTTTCAAGAGTCATTGTTTGGAATTGCAGTTTAATGATTAATAGCAAGTGATGAGTATTGCTTAGTGGTTGACGAGGATTAGATGTGTTGCATTCCCAAGATTTCAATTTAGTTTTTAGAGTACAACAAAAGTATGAGAATAACCAACTCCAATATTTAATAGAAAAGCATAATGAATATTCAGCTATTATTTATTCCAGAACAAGAGGACATCATTGCAGATAAATACAAGTGTTTCATTTTACATTCGTATTCATGTAAATAAAAGACTTATTTTGGTCGTTCATTAGGTTGTGCACGATTATCAGATATTGAGCTTCTCTGATGAATTCCAGCAGGCGAGTATTGAATGGGAGGAGTGATTGAGGCTGGGTTACGAACAGCAGCTCCTGGTAAAGAGTTTGATCGTGAATGTGTAGCGTACTGCATTCCAAGTGGAACATTGTCTGAAGGGGACACAGAAGATTGCAGTGGCTCGGGATTATCAGTAAAAGAACCATCAATTTCAGCTGGAGGAAGAGTAACGATATGAAGGGACGATGTGGATCCATTTGAAAAAGATCCACCTGCGTAGCGTGAGCCAGGTCGAGTTAGATTTCCGGAAAGAGGCTGACGATATACGTTTAGTTTTGGACTTCCACTTAAACTTCCAGAGCGTCCAAAACTACCTTCGCTATCAGAATCCAGATCATCAGAGTCAATATCATCCGAATCCCAGTCACTAGAGTAAACGGACGAGGTTGCAGAGAAATTGTTTCCGAATAAAGTAAGTGGTGGTAGAAATTGAACGGGAGGAAGGGGTTTGTCCACACCAGTCAAAGTATCGTTGCTCATTTCAAAAGAAACATTTGTTGCTGATGACGAGCGACTCATATCCATGTTACTAGAAGATGGAGATGGCATATTTCCAATGGAATCAGGCGATACCGAAGTTGGAGAAGTACGCGTAGTGCCGGATTGTCCATGGGTTGTAACAATAATCTTGGAAGTGCTGCTTCTTCTTAAAGTCAAAGGCGAGTCGCCATTGAGAGTAACTGTATCGTTTACAGGTGTTTTGGTGGAAGTGCTTGTTACGATTTCGAGCATATCGTCTTGCTTGATTTCCGAAGCGCGAGGACCACCCCAGCTACGCACATTCCATGTCCAGATCGAATACACATTGACAAAGAAATTGGCCCATGCAGTCACAATCAGCATGACAGGAAACATGTAAAACACCTTGAACCGTCGTAAAACAAGAGCAAATACAAGCAACATGAGCCAGTTGATCATGACAGGACCAAACAAAATCAGCAATTGAAGCCAATTGTAGTTTGTACCACTGCAGAGCTGAATGACGACAACATAAATAAAAAAAGATGAAGCGGAACGAGCTGTAAAATCATAGAATTTAAACAGAAGCAAAAAAGGAGTGCGCATCCACAAGCGATAGTCGGACAAAAAGTAGATTTCGTTTGAAAATGCACCCAGCAACCAGCGACGACGCTGCTTCAAAAACGAAGACCATGTATTAGGAGCTTCAGTTTTTGCGCGTGCAGATGGGCAAAACCCGATAGAATACGAACGAGACTGTTCCATGAGCAAATGCGTCAAGTATCTGTCTTCACCTAAATGGTAGCGATGAAAGTCAAAGATGTTTTCCGTTTTGAGATCGGAAAAGTAAGTTTCGGCTGCCTTGGAAAGCTCTTTGAGACGCAAAATAGTCAATGCACCAGGAAGACATGTCACACCACCAAGGGAGGCTTCTAGCGAGCGCCAAAACACCTGACTGGTAAGATACTCGCAGTCTTGGCAGTATAAAAGAATGTTGCGTTCACGAGAAGAAATGGCGGAAATGAATCCAGTCATGCCAACCAAATTTTTGCCTTTTTCCATGGCACGAACAAACTCAATCATGCAATCTGGATACAAAATAATATCAGAATCTACAAAAAGAACATAAGTTTGAGACTCGACGGCGCTGTACATTTGCTTGATCTGCTGAAATGTGTGTGCTTGCGTACCACGCTTGCCACCATGAGGGAATCTGTTTATAACAAACTGAACACCCTTGTAGTACAACACAGTGCGATTTGAATAGCGTCCAGGTTCTTCCGTTGGGTTCTGAGTAAGAAACTTCATAAGATGCAAAAACAAAGGACTTTCTTGATCGTAGTCAAAACTGAGAAAAACAGTAACACGAGCAGAGGGGTATATTGAGTCAACAACAGATTTAACCCCATTGATCAAAGCTTCTGGTTCTTCGTTGTAGATGGGCATTACAACAATTATTTGCGGAATACGATTGTGACGAATGCGTTTACGCACACGAAATCGAGCACGCTTAAGCACCTTGTCTTCATGACGACCAGAGTTGCGCCAGATGCGATACTTGATGGCCCAACTGGCTGCAATCATGATGGTAATTAAAAATACAATGACGTAGAGTAAAAATAGTCCAACAAACGTGATTTTAAAGACAATTTTTGGAAAGTGCCAGATATTCGGGATAGGAATAAGCAGCATCAGGAATGGAAGGTACAAGAATCTAAATACTAGGAAAAGGACAGCAACCATAATCGGGAAAAACTGGCAAGGCGTATTAGTGATAAATTATTGTACAAGCAAGTCACATGGTATTGAATCTACCTTTTCAAGTCCACGAGTAGCACGAATGGTTAAAATAGTGCCATAGATCAATAGACTAGTAAAAATAGCAAAGTCCAACAGCGAGATAAATATAACGATGCCTTGCAAGATTTGAACCCATAGATAAGCCAGCCAAGTTGCAACACGTGGATTAGATACCTATTATTATTTCAAATAAAAGATCCAAACTAGAGTTAAAAAATCATAACTACAGTTGTATTCACATAGATGGAACAGTAGTAAGAATGCCAATATGCACAATAAACAGATGGTTGTGATATGATGGTGATTGTACAGTGTGGTTATTCCAAAACAGTATTGATTCAAAACTATAGTTTGATATGAATATTGTGTTTTGAAAGAGTCGAGATCTATTGTAGTAGGAAAGCGGAAGGAATGTGTAATGATTACTTGTTCCAAAGCAAAGGAAAGTCACTGCAAGATAAATACAAACGTATTTCACTTTACGTAAAATCGTAATTAAGAGTGAACGGGCGGCATTAGCACCGCGTCCAGCACAAGCCGGATATTTAATAAAACATAACATGTAATGGAACGAGCAGTAATAGTTGAGACCAGGAAACGGTAATCGCATTTTGCACTGTCAAAACCCCGATTTCCAAATAAACAAGCGTAAATGGGTTGGGCCGAATGGTCAAGTATTGCCATGTATTTGGTAGCAGCCAATATCACAGATCTGACTCTAGATTACAGGCGGTGACAAAGTTACTTGTACTAGAACCAAGAAAGTATAATAAAAACTTACAAAGTCTTCGATATTAAGAACATGATCTAATAAGTCGTCAAAGGCATTGCTGGAATGAATGGATTTGATTTGAGTAGTATTATCTCTACTTGCGGCAGTTTGGTCGATAACAGCACCATAAATAGTCGGAAGGATCATCGCGAATACAGAAAAAGCATTTGGCCACGAGCGGGTCAAAGCTAAAAGAGACATGGTGATTTATATCACACTCTTGAAGACACAACTTTGGTAAGCAGACTTTTGGTCGACTATTTATGATTTTCAGATTTTAGTTGCACAATGGATGAAATTAGTACACGATGATAACAGCAGGGTTTTAAATATGTCGGAAAGAGTGATATCATCTGCGCTAAAATGTCAAATATTGCAAGATTCCAAAAACAGCACATTTAAAGTGTCAAAACCATGTAGCACTACATTAAAAGACCCTGAATAAAAACATTTGCAGGATCAATTCGCTCAAAACAAGTGGTAATGTAGTATCAAAAAAAAGAAACGAGAAATCAGCAGTGCTCAATCGAGTAGTCCAGATGTTGTGGGCAACTGCTTGGGGATAGTAATGTAGTCCAGTAAACGTAAATTAAACATGAACTGCTTGAATTTCCATTATGACTAGTAGTGATCACCTCAATATATAGGGTTTTGATGAATAAAGACATGGTACCATGCCGGTAGACATATGGTAGACTAAACCAAACAGTTGGTTATGCTAGCACAAATTCAAGCAGAACGACTCGAGTTCTAAATATCAAGAAATCATTATACACAAAAAGCCATGGTAGAACCATACCTACTGATTGTCCAGTTGATACGTTTTCTGAAAACAAGTGATGGTAACAGATATGAAGAGGTAAGGGTATAAGCGGGTTGTACAGAATTAAATGACACGATCCTATCAATGCAAACTAATATCGTTTTTAAAGACAATTTGGCAGTGTTTTTGAGCTTGCAGAATACGGAAGCAAGACTATATTTTGTTTCATTTGTGGCAGTGAACGTAGACGCGCCGTTTCAATTAGCTGACGGACCTGAACGGGTTCAATGCTATTTTTTGGGCAGAATCAGTCAAGCAACTGTTACGTTTTCTAAGCGAATTCAAATTCCTTGATTCAATGTATACCTGAACAGGCTCGAGTATTTATGAAACTCCAAGCATTGTTTCAATCTGCCATAAATGCACATCGGTATCAGATTATAGTATGTTTGAATGAATGCCAACCCAAACAAACTTTCAAGTAGTACCACATCATTCTGAATAGTGTCTTGTAAAAAGCCAACTTTATTCAAGCATATACTGGACTTGCCAACAAATAGAATTTCAATTACAAAACATGCTGAGCTGATTAGTATCGAATTGCTCAGTTTGACCAAGGTTTCAGTTTGATGCCAGTGCGCTCTTGGTCCAAGTCCTTGCAATCAAGCACGTTTCTTGTTTGGTTCAGTACTACCAAGAGACTTGCAGTGTTGAGATCTACTGTAAATGACTTGCAGAAATGAATGCTTACTCATTTTATTTTACGTGAATACGGCTATAAGATAGTATCAGGAAAGGCTATTGGCTGGAATACGCAAGAACCCATAAAGCAGTCGAATGCAATAATAAACGCCACTTACGATTAGTCCAGAGCACTGCCACGATAACAGGTCCAGCTGAATTTTCATGCCTGTTGAATTTCAGCATACATTTGTTCTAGTCTGAAAATTCAACACATGGAGCAAACGGCCGCATCAGAAACAAAGCGTTTCCCAATCACAGGATCGATTGACTACCCCTGTAGTGAATCCTATTACGTTTAATATTCGCACTAAGCAGGGTTAAACTAATCTAATTGTGACTAAAATTCCAGTCAACTTTTAAATATTGTTTTTTAATCGAGTTTTGGTTTTTACCAACTACTAAAACAATAATGATTTCAGTACATCTTTTATTGGCTACAGTGGTGTCCTTGACATTGTCTGTTCATGCTGCAACTCCTACGAAAATCGATTATCCGGCATCTATGACCGTACCCCCTCCGAATCCAACCTGGAGTGCTCGTTTTTTACACAACTCGAATATCCATATGCCCAACATCCCAGTGAATTCAGCTCCCATGACTATCAACAATTTTACTCTAGATATTACTCGCTGTGTTGACGACAATCATTGGGGTATGACTTATGACGATGGGCCAACGTAAGTTGATTTTATTGGTATCACGACCTGTTTTTTTATTCTACATGAATGCAACCTACAGTTACTTGAACAGTATCTCGGACTCTTTCGGTTTATCGGCTGTGCTGAAGATCCCTGTAGTCGATGGGGTTTCAAGTCTTTTCTCAATATGCATATTTGGCATGACTTGAATCTTTTAAAGTACTGCCGGGAAGTCTAGCCGGTTCACCAAGCTTATCATTTAAGCCATATTTGTGCAAAATAGAATACTTTTGTATTATCATGCAATTGCTATTTTGCTTTGGAATAGACAACAGATATTCGTTGCATTTACTAGAAATTGAGTTTGGGCATTGCCAAATGTCAAGCACAGCGTCCATCATGATGCATACTATTATGCACTTTTGGCATTCCTATCCAGGGGGTTGTTTTACGTGAATACGACTGTAGCTCAGTTTATTGAATCTAACTTGTGCTTTTTTTGGTATTAGTAACAATACGCAGATGGTTCTTGATTCCCTAGCTTCGCATAATCTTAAAGCAACCTTTTTTATTATTGGATCGCGAGTGCTTGGTGATGGATCGAGTTTTTTGAAAAAGGTGGTTGCTGCTGGACATGATATTGGAGCCCATACTTGGTCCCATCCATACCTTACTACTCTCACCAATGAGCAGATAGTAGCAGAGTTTATGTGGACTGCAACCATCATCAAAGAAGCAGTTGGAATTGTTCCCAAATATTATCGTCCTCCATATGGAGATATTGATGATCGTGTCAGAGCAATTACTGCATCCATGGGGTTATTGGCTGTTGATTGGAGTTTTGCACCTGGTGATACCAATGGGTTCACCAATGTATCGGCCATCATGACAGAGCGTGCTGCTGGTCCTCGAAACGGTGTGATATCCCTTGAGCACGATTTTGCCTATCAGTACGCTATACAAGCTCCACCTTCATTGGATGCCGTGGTAAAGGCTGGATGGCAAGTTAAGCCTCTTTCAGAGTGTATCAAGGTTGACTCTCTCTACAGCGATTTTATGGTGAACGAGGCAAGCAACCATACTGCAAGTACTGCCAGCGCGAATGTCACTGGTTCCAAATCTCAAAGCAACGCATCTACTTCCAACATGGGTGTTAACTGTATGATGCTACTGATCAGTATCATGACATTCTCTATCTTTATGCTGTAATTCAAACGTTGTTATCTATCTTGATACACTACATCAGCTGTCTTTTTATCATGACCTACATTCTTGGAACATCTTATTGCATGTCTGTTTCCAACTTTGTACATGTATCATTCCTATTGATTTGAAATAATATTCAGAATTGGTTTGGGTTTAAAAATAGAATTGTATTGAAATGGTATACTGTGAATGAGATTAAGCTAGTATAGTTTGTAGTACTCTGAGCTGGTTGTAAGACCAGCAATGACTGATGAATGGAAACCTTGATCATTTACAGACCAGATCCGAGTCCAATGAGTTTAAATCCAATCCAACCAATGTGATTGTAGGCTTGAGCATGTAATCCAACCCATAATAATACATTACAAAAAACTTGTCCCAATATACAGCATTACATGATGGATTTGACCAAAGAAGATGGTGTTCTTGAGTGGGTCAAATGTCTGTTTCCTACAGATACAGTTCAGAGTGTCACTCCATTGCAAGGTGGATCTGCAAACTTTATTTGGAGAGTCATCATTCATGCTCCCATACAAGTACAACTTCCATTTGGTCTTTCCAACCAGCATCAACCATGCAACAGTTCCAAACCAATGTCTTTTACTCAAACTGTGTCAGTCATTGTCAAGCATGCAGAAGGCTTTGTTGCATCCAATCCTTCCATGAAACTCTATCAATCTCGTATTCAGGATGAAGTGGCTGCCATGACTTTTGCTAGCGATAAAACCATTTCACTCCTGAATCCATGTCCTGTTTTGGGTCAAGATCACTCGCTGCATGCAACATACACTGTAAAATGTCCTCGAATACTGCATTTTGACGACATAAACTCGGTCTTTATACTGCAAGATGCTGGTCTTTATAGTATGAACTTGAAGGCATTCATGTCTTCCTATCCATCAGCTACTGTAAAAGCAGATTCAAATGTGCCAATAGATCCCATCTACACCCACTTTTCACCTACTTCGACCCAGTTTCATGAGGCTGTTGGGTCTGGATTGGGAAAGTTTATTGCTAGACTGCACAATACAGGTCGATCTCTAACCCAACCAGAGTTGCATAAATTCATCAACCAGCCAGCATTGGCTCTTTCAAACGAGATACTCTATGCTCGGTTTGAAACTGTTTTGAATTCGCTAGGAATTGCGTCAGATCTTGTGACTGATGGAATCGATGCGGTCAAATGGGCGTCCAAGATTCTTTTAGATGGCGACGCTTATCAGCATGCTAGTCTATGTATGGGTGATTTTTGGCCAGGAAATATCATTGTAGACATCAGTTCAAACCATGAACCCAATTCATCTGATTCACACTTGCAATCAGAACATGTTGCTATTGGACTGTCGATTGTCGATTGGGAATTGGCTCGCGTTGGTCCAACTCCAATGGATTTGGGTCAGTTTCTTGCTGAAGCCTATAGCATTCATATCTACAGATGTCCGGTTCCCGTACTTGTTCTCTCTTTTCAAAAAGCTTATTTAGCTACACTGGAGTCTAGAGTGTTTGGATGTGAAGATGTTAAATTATGTCTGATTCACATGGGTGTGCATTTGATTGTATGGGGAACGTGCACTGGATGGTTTGATGCCAAGGATGTGACAGAAAGTCGACGGTTGGCTATGCTCGGACTGGGATTGGTTGCAAACGCTTGGAACTCCAATTGGAAAGCCATCAAGGAATCCGAGTTTGGTGAATTACTAAATCCATTTTGCACAGCTGCTGCTCAATAACAGCTTATTGATCATTTCTCCAGTTCAAGCAGAGTTACCGACTACATCACAGGGAAAATTTTAAACAAGACACATTGTATGGCCAGAATATTTTGGTTCAATGAAATTGTATGGTTTATTTAGTGTCTTGTATAGTCAAGAAATGAATGTGTTATCATAAGGTGGACAACGGCATGTTTGTCAGTGTCATCAAGCTTTAACCAAGTCTAAATGAATACTAAATCTATGGAAATATCATCTCGATGTTACCCACACTTTGTACCTATCCGACTTTTAGTCAATCAACACTTTCAAACCGGCATGACTGTTGTGAATCGTCAACCACGTTTTTGGCGTGTTTTACTTTTGGAATCTTTAAGCGAATCTATAGCAACGGCGAGTGCATGACCACTGATTTTAATATGTTCAAACATCTTATTTCTGGTGGAAAATGCTCGAGTGCAACCATTGCAAACCCATTCGCTTTCTTTCAATGCCTTGTCTGTTTTGCACACGTGTTTCTGCTTTTCAGCAGTCATCTCGGCTTGAGTTGCAGTCTTGTTTAAAACGGGAACTCTTGTATTAAGATTGGTTGAAGAGTGTGCTTTTCCTTTTTCTCGAGGCTTTCGTTTTCCTTTGGCGGATTTACTTGATTTTTTAGTGTTCCATACATCATTGTCGTTGTCGTCGGATACTATTACATCAAGTACAGGTGAAGAAAGTGTTGGAGATGCAGCAAGCTCAGAATCAATGCATACTGAGTTCATGTCCATCACCAATTTTTCGACATGTTTGTTATCGGGTAAAATTGATGGATGAGAAGATGAGCAGGATTCAACATCAGATTCAACATATTTTTGATCGTGTACATCATCTATAGCAACTTCCTTTTCATCAACAATAGAGTCGTCTGGATCTAATTCACTGATGGTATCAAACCCATCAGCCAAAAGTTCTGCTCTTAATCTTGCAGTAGCCTCGATATGTTTTTTTGATTTCTCATGATTGGCCAACTGTATTGATTTAAAACAATTAGAGTTGACATTACTTGTTCATGTATCGACCAAGTAATGCTTACCTGCATAGCAGATCGAAATGTCTTGTCGCAAGAAATACAGACAAATTCGTCCAAGTAGAGATCGCAGTCATCTTCTTGTATGACATCAATAGAGTCGTGTTTAGTCCATTCTGCTTCTTTATAAGCCTCAGCCAAAGCTCTTTGATGAGCTCTTTGTGCTCGTTTTTGCTCATCTATTTTCTGATGCGTTTCGTTCTTTATACGCTCCTTTTCAGCCAAGTAGGCAGCAACACGCGGATCTCGTTTGTACAAGTATGCGGCTATCCTTCTGACAGCATCAACGAATTCTTTTCTTGCTGTACTTCTCATTTTGTGATTGTGTTTTTTAGCTAATCTTCGAACCCTTCGATCGGGAATGTCATTCATTTTGTACACATCCATCCACCTGAACGATTTCACAGTTTGAAATTGCATAAACCGTGTATAAAACGAATGAAGATAGGGCTCGTATAAAGTTGTTGCATCTCCAAATAGAGTAGAGCTGGTATGGGATATAGTTTCGTCGTCGTACATGTGTTCCATGATGGATTCGGGATCTGTTTGGATTGATTCAGACTCTTCCTGTGACAGTTTTATGAACAAGGCATTGTAGATGGCGTAGAAACCTTTTGGAGATGGGTCTGTGATGGATGTGTAGCACGAGGGAGAAAAATAACGCATCAGGTCGCAAGTTGGTGTTGTTTCCATTTGCGATGATGCCGAGGTTGAATTGCCAGCGCGGAGAATGGCATCTCGATGTGAGTCGTACCATGTTCGTTCGTGAGGATCAGATAAAACTTCATACGCAGCTTGAACATGAGTAAACAGTTCTGTTGCTTCCTCTTTCCGATCAGGGTTTTTGTCTGGATGGAATTCCAACGCCTAGTATATGCATTCAAATCAATGGTTGGACTATAATGACTTGCATTCATGCTAGAAACCAAGACTGTACCTTGCTTCTGTATGCTTTTTTCAATTCATCGGCAGTTGCAGTTCTTTCCACTCCCAACACCACGTAATGGCATTGCATTTCGCTAAAATGCTGCGAGTGGATTTTGCAAGCAAATTTAAATTTTATCCTCATACACGTGACTTGTTCATTCTGTCATACACGTGACTTTTCAACCCAAACTGCAGCAACACGACTCAACTACACTAAAACAAAAACAAACAATTAATTCTTAAATCGACTCCCAAACAATATTACTATTGCTTGGATTCATCCTCATTTCTCTTCCGTTCCACTACAGGCGCAAAATACGCATGTCGCATTGCTTCACGTGGTGTCAATCGTTCTTGGTGATCGTATTTCAAAAGCTGATCAAGCAAATCAAGTGCCTCGGGTGAAATGTATCGTTGGTTTTCTGGAATCACAAAACTCTCCCATTCTTTTCTTGGATGTCTACAACACGTTATATATTACACGTCAATTAATACTCCAAGAGATGGTCATCTACTATAAATACTCGAGTTCCTACCTTCCAAGAATACCATCAAAGTGCTCGCTCAGCTCAATATCGTATTTGTCCAGATAAGCATAAAGTTCATCAGTTCCAAGCACTTTTGAAATGGCCACAAGTTGGTCATAGTTGTCACTACCATGAAAAAAGGGCTCTTTGCGAAAGATCTAAAGTTGGTGTTATGATTTAAAATCGATACTCTTGATAAAAGTACAGGGTTTGATCAATATTTACCATGCTGGCAAACATACAGCCTAGACTCCACATGTCTAGCGAGTAATCGTATTCTTGAAAATCTACAAGAAGTTCTGGTCCTTTAAAGTAGCGCGATGCTACACGCACATTATATTCAGTACCTGCATGATAAAATTCTGCAAGACCCCAGTCGATCAAGCGAAGCTAATCAGTACACGTAGACGATTAGTCTAGGTACAGAGTGTATTGAAACATACATTTAGAACTTACTTTTCGCTGCTCATGGTCAATCATTACATTCTAGAAATTGGAGTGAACCAAGTCATGTTAGCTTTTGTTGGTTTAGGATCCAGCCGAATTCACTTACGTGAGGTTTGACATCGCGGTGCATAATACCACGAGAGTGACAAAAGTCCAATGCCTAGTTGTTACACATGGTCAGATGAATTACAAGCCAATTCAAGGTATATTTTCAAGACAGTTGAACAATAGTATACCTTGAGGAGTTCAAAGATATAGTAACGAACGTCATAGTCGGTGAGTTTTGGGTAAAGGACTTTAAAATCATTGCTGTTGACATGCTCAAATATAAGAGCAGGTGTTTTTGACTAGAGTATCAGAGTATATTAGTGTTTATCATGGAGCCTTTTTGTTGTATGATTACCAAGTACCTGTGGATCGCGCACGATATCCAACAATTGAATGATATTTGTACCACCAGATAGATTCTGCAGAATCTTGATTTCACGCTTAATTTTTTTCTTTTTAATTGGCTTGAGCACTTTGATGACACACTTTTCATCGTTGGCCACATTGATGCCTTCAAAGACTTCCGAGTATTTACCACGGCCAATCTTGCGAATGATTTCGTAATTGTCTTGACCGCTGGATGCACAAAATGTCGAGTAAATCAATAGTATAGAGTTTAGACTACGTCAAGATGAAGTATATATAGTTTGAGCAAGGGGTAAAACCCAACCAACTTACCCCCATAAGATTTCAAGTGCATCGTAATCCCAGTATTCTCTAGGCATATCCTGATTTACATTTGCATATTCGCGAGCAATTGAAACAGGTTTCTCGGTAGGAGAAGCGGACATGATTAAACCTTGAAACGCTGTTTTCTAAAAATTAAAAGCTTGACAAAGACACTGCACTAGAACAATGTCACAGATATGACTGCTGGTATTAAAGTTGAAATCTGTTGGTGAGAAATAAATGCCACAAGATGATACATTTCAAGTAGTATGTGATGAATGGAAACTCTGACATGAGGATTGTAGCAAAATTGATGATTCAATCAGGATGCCAGTATACAGATTAAAGCACAAACAAGTATCAGTTAAATTGAGAGAAATCAAGTTCAGACTATTTGAATAGACAGTTTCTTGAATAAATGATAAAATTTACCACCATAAAGTGATGAGTTTATATTGGCAAGAATCCATCATGAATACACCAAAATCAATGCGTTGGTAGAAAATAGTCCAGCTAGAATCTAAAGAAAGTGTATGATAAAGTCATTTGATAGTCCAAAGAACAACTTACACACACTGACAAGAGAATCGAGAGCGAGGCAGTCGATAATGGCAACAAGTGCTGCAAAAAGACGAGAAATTCGACTTTTTTTTTAATCAGACCCCAAACATATAGAGTTCAGACTGTATAATTCTAGGGTTTAACAAGTTTTTGGTTTTAGTTTTTCTTTCTCATAATTCAAGGTAAGAAACTCGCATGTATAGGATATGATGATCATATGTGTTACCGTAACAGCTATGCTGTTGATCCTTTGATCTATAGTTCTGGATTAATGGGACCAGTATTTAACCTTTTGGTTGTACTGGAGAACCTACCCATTCCCAGCCAGATTCGCTTGTTTACTCTCCGAGTAACAAGTTTGGAAATGGTATTCATTTTTTCCCTCTGAAAATGTCTGATCCTTTTTATTATAAATTGAGTGTATGAAGATTAAAAGTGTCTGACTTATTGATGAATTATAGGATTTTTGAATAAATGAAAATGGTTTTTACAACTGAATTTGTCTAGAATGAAACATTTGTAATACTTTGAAGAGTGATGATTGAATAATGTTTCATTATAAACTGTTTTTATAGAATTCCTTGACATTGCAGTGTTTTTAGTCTTTAATAATTTGATTTTTTTTGAGTTTGAAACAATAAAAATGTCGATTGAAGAATGAATTCAAATTTCGGAAATCCGAAAGTTTGACAAGTTCATAAAATCGAGTTTGACATTCTTCAGTTTCAATTTACGAAAATACGGCAGTAAACCAAACCATGTCGAAACTGCTGCATTTGCAGTCTTTACTTTTATCTGCTCCTTCTACCACGACTCTTCCACCACAACTCGCATTGGATGCTCAAACTCTTGTTCAAACTGCAAATGGCTTGAATGCCATCATGGATGAGTTATCTGAAAACAGAGTCAGCACTGTTAGTCGTCTAATAAAGTCGGCTGCAAAAACTGTTTTACAAGAAGCTTCGCTGAAACTGGAGTTTCAAGTCAGGAAAGAACTCATCAAACTCTCTGTTGCATTGGTGGAAGCGGTTCATCCTGCATTCCAAGGTAGCTTGAGTTTTGTATTCAATTTACTCGATTTCTTTTGAAATTACCACGGTTATTATTATATTATCAGTTGCATGGATTATCTCTTATAGGTTGAGTTCCATAAATGGATCGTTTATACTCCTATTATTCCTCTACTTTTGTGGCGTATCTAATCCAACTCTTGCTGTTGTTGTGCAATTGGTGATTATTTT